ACCAATTTTTATCCATACCTTTTCTTTCATCATATCCATATCAATGCATCAAAATATAATAGGACATCTTAACAAATATTCGAAATCGTCATATAACAAGATCTATTTTTTATATTATTTTTAAATTTTATTTTATTCTGAGTAATTGATATCCTCTAATAATTACTTACTACAAGCCATCACTATCAAACGCTTTGTTTTTATTATTATTATTATTGTTTTACCAATTCATTACACATTACTTGTACATTATTAAATATCAGATATGATTCCAGCAGTTCAAAACGATAAATCATTATTAGAAGAACATAAATTTTATCAAAACACCGATCATTCTCTAGGTTGTTTCAGTTCAGTTGGTGATTTGTTCAAATTAAATAATTTGTTGAATGTTATCATTTTGTCAATTGTATTATTTGCAATCTATAGATTTGTTAAATTCTTCATCAGAAGAAATAGAACAATCAACAATGAAAGAACACTTGAGAAATTAAGTCCAGTTTAAGATTAGATAGTTCAAGAAAAACTGCAACCAGAGCCCGAGGTCACCATGTTACCACCACAACCACTACTACTACTACTACTACTATGACTGATCACCAACTATCCCAAAAATCATTGTATTATTAAACCAGACAGTTTGTCACCAATTTTCTCCATTCCTTTTTCTTTTATTCATTTCATTATCATTGCATCAAATATTATAGACATTTTATCAATTTTCTTTATTCGTCAGTTATCGTTTCATTCATTCAAGTATTAACTTTTTTTTTAATTTTCGGTTTTCGTCAAATGGTTTGGTTCCATTGAATTTGCATTCTTATAATTATTCGTTCTTTTGTTCATTCATAGGGGTTTATTAATTATTATTATTATTATTATTGTTATTTTCGGTTTTAGTCAATATATAAATTATACATCGTAATTAAACATTTCTAATAATAGTATTTCTCCAATATTTCGAGGCAAGAAGTCATATAATTAAAAATAGTTTATTTGTCACCTCCTATTTCCCGTCCCAGCATAGTCTTTTGCCCTCCGCTTCTCGACCCCCCATTTCCTATTACAACCCTTCAACAAGTTGTTTCTTTTTCATTAAAGAAAAAAGAAAAACTCTAATTATTATGTAAGATCCCTTCTGTATTGTTGTATAATTTAATCATTAAGAATTGCAACAATTGAAAAATATTCTCCATTTTGCTAAGTCGTGTATACATGGAGAATATTTTTTTTTGTTTAATTTATATGAATATTACGTAATCCACACACAACTGTTCGTAAAAGTCGCTTTTTAATCATCCTCAATGAAATGTTCTCTCCCCACTCATCGAGTCACGTTTTTTATTTTTTTTTATTTCTGTTTTTATAAATTTCACTGCCTCCCTTCTGGTCATCGAAGAACAACATCGATGAGAAATATACAATTAATATCACGTGGGTGATGTATTTCTGCGATGATAAAAAAGTTAATGTCTTTTGATCATTATTGATATAGGATAACTGACAGTATTGCCTGCGATTTTGTCACATTCCGATTCTCGCGGGCGAGGCTCATTCCAACTTGACGGTGTAGTTAATTTTTATATGATGTAATATACCCAATTATTCACCGATCTGTGGAGTTCTCGGTATGTGCAAAGGTCTACTACTTTTCAAGATGGTTATTACCACTGTTATACTGAAACTCAACTTGATCTTTTTATATATATATAATATTATTATTATTATTGATGTCTATATAGGTAGTTGTTCTCTATATAGTATTCATAGATTGTATAGACTAAATGATGAACATAATAATCCGTCATCGACAACCAAACAAAAAAAAGAAAAAAAATTTCATCCATGTCCATAAAACAGGATGTAATTCAGGAATGGGATGTAATACAACGTAAATAATAGAAAGGAATTGAATAGGATTGATGACTTTATACATCTCTTAGAATAACATATCCAAAGTACAACAAACACATAAAGCAGCAAGACACCCATTAAACAAGATTCATTTCCACCAGAACGTGGTTGTTGTTGAACATACATTGGTTGTTGTTGTTGTGGTTGATAATAAGGTTGTTGCTGTTGTTGATAATATTGACCTGTTGGAGGTTGTTGATAATATCCTTGTTGTGGTTGTTGATAATACCCTTGTTGTGGTTGATTATGACTAAACATTCCTCTATCTTGAGTTTGATTTGAGTAATTAGGTTGTTGTGTATTTTGATTCTGATTACCGTAATTTGGTGGTGCACCAGCTGGTTTATCAAAGTATTCGTTTTTGGACATTTCTAATCAATTACTAAAAGCTAAAAAAAAAAAATTCAATTCAATTTCGACTTGGAAAAGAAAAAGGAAAAAGGAAGAAATTGTTTGATAATTGTTTATAAACTCTAGTGATTTTTTTTTCTTCTTCTTCTTCCTAGTTTGTCTTAAATTTTGTGGGCAAAGAAAAGAAGTAGAAGAAGAAAAAAAAAATATAGTGTGCAAGCATTTTACAGTTACACTTTGCTGGGCTATGTAAATATTACATTTTATTACAATTATTTTCTTTCCTTTGTTCTACATTGAATTTTTTGAACCGCAGTCAAGTTTATTGCATGACACATTGATCATGTGATCTAATGATATTATCCAAGATATAACCTGGTTCAATTTTGACAATACTGTATTTCCCTATATATACACAAGATTTCCTAAAATTCCGACCTTGGAGTAATATTCTTTCTAGAATACCAACTAATAAAATCTTTTAATGCCGATCTCACTCTTCTATTATCTTTATTAGGTAATGCAACCTTAATTACATTCAACAATCTGGTAATTTCTTTTTCATTCACATTTGGCAATGAACAGACAATTTCATTCAACCATCCTAATGACATCTCAAAGTTTGGTACAACTACTAAAATTTTGATAATCAAATCATTAACATCTTGTTTAACATCTGGATGGAATTTAAACAACAATCCATTAATTAATATTTTCAATAATTCACCTCCTTGATTATCCAACATTAAAAACTCTTGGATAGTTTGTCTCAATGGAGTTGTGTCCCCCATTTCAAACAATGAAATCGGTGGGTTTGGTAATCCCCATGAAATCAAATCAATCATAAAATGAACACATGCTATAATTGCTTCAAATTCATTAACAAAACTCAAGGTCAAATTAACAGACTTGAATATATTCTTTAAGATTTCAACATTTGGAATCAATTTAAATGGGAAAAACATCAATAAATCATTAACCATTCTGAAGAAATCTTCAATAACATCCGGTATACGCTTAAACTCTTCTTCACTATTTTTCGAGAACAAAATCTCAAAAACTGTGACACTTTGTTGAATACCAAACTCATAAACTGAATTCTTGATTTCTTCGTTAGTGTTATATTCATCTCCAAACTCTCTGATCAACACACCAGTAACCCAAAGATAACATCCAAATTGACTCTTTTGAAATCCTTCATGTAATAAACTGGCCATCTCTGGTAAAATTCTGGTCAAAAACAAACTACATGATCTAATAGCACTCTTCAACAATTTCATACATCTTTCACTAACAATTAATGCACTTCCAAATTTATTCAAAAGTTCTTTGGCTAATGGCCAGACTTTTTCGATAAATAAATCAGCAATTGGATAATTTGGTTTTTCCCAATCAGATTCAGGGCATTTTAAAACGTCAATAAAGATGGTTATAATTTCAATTTGATCAGCTATAAATTTATTGGTTGTATCGTTACCAACTGGTTGATTCAAAGTCTTAGTCAACAAATCAATAGTTGGATCAATAAACATTTCGGTAGTCTTGTACATATTCTCACGAGGGATCTTGGAAATAACATGGGCCAATCCATCAGCCAATTCATAATTAGATTCAAGATCCATTTTATCCTTAACTTGTCCATACAACATGTACAACTGTTCCAAATAGTTAACCAATAACTCAGAACAATCTTGACAGAAATACATCAATGCATGTGAGGTAGCCATAATGATATCATTATTGTTATCAGCAACTTCAAACCCTTTAATGATATAGTTCAATTGTGGTTCTAAGAATTCAGGATGTTTAGCTGTCCATTCAGTGTATCTTCCCAACACCAAAGTGGCGGCATATCTAATCTTTGGATGCTCTGGCAATTGAATCAAATATGACATAATAGTAGGTAAGATGGTTTTTTCATTCAATGAAACTTCCTTGGCCATAGTTCTCATCGAAAACAATGGTGCTTCTAAATATTGCCAATGACCCAGAGCATTGGAAATTATACTTTGAATTTGTTCAAATGGCACCTGTAAAGCTTTGGTGGCTCCTGCAACTGCACAACAATCTTTCAATACATCACCCATTTCATATCTAAATTCTTTAAATTTGTCTTCTTGTTCTTTATCCCCATTGAACAAGTCGTTATCATTATCACTAATTGGATATGTCAAATGCTTGATAATTATTGAAATCAATGATAAATAAACATCACTGAATTCGGCTTTTGCTTCTTGGAACTTTGGTAATGTGATTAATTGTTTCAATTGATACCAGAATTGGAAAGTATATTTAACAATATCCAAATCCTCGTCATATTTAGTACATTCCAAGATAATCAACACAAGGGGTTTGAAGTGTTTGCTATTTTTACCAATTAAAGTAACCCAAGATTCTCCACATTCAACAAATAATCTGGTTAATCCATCAACATATTCATCATCTTTCAATTTACCTGCCATAAATTCGCCTAATTTTAAAATTTGTTGATATAATGCATCTATGATTTCGTAATTCTCCAAATCTCTAGTTTCTCTTACAATTGTAATTAAACAATCAATTGCTTTTTCAAAATTTTCATCATTTGAGAAACTACCAAATATTAAATTAACTAATGAATCAATTTGTAAAAGTTGATCAATTGGGAATTCTTTAATCCAACTATTTAGACAATCTAAAATTGAACTTTTTAATACTAAGGAACCGTTTCCATTTGAATCAGTTAAGTTTTTCAACAACAATAATATTTGTTCAACATTATCGTTAATTAATTCTTTGCTTCTGTTATTAAATTCTTCATCTGTTAAATTTGTCTTTTTAACATCGGATAATTCTTCTGGTAAAATTTTCAAAAAATCCAACAATATAAATAAATTTTCAGGAGATTCATTCCATTTAGTTAAAATTTCCATAATTGGAGATTTCCATGAAAGATATTGTAACAAAAAATGAGATAATGCAATAGATAATTGAGTTCTGATCAATTTTTCATTTGGCTGATTATACTTGATCATAATTTCAAGTAATGAATTTTTCAACAATTCATAATTCTCTAATCCAGTAAATTGACTAGATAAATCATAAATTATCTTGGATCTTAATGTTTGAGCAGCAAATAATTTCAATTGGACATCATTATTGACGTTATTTAATATTTCAAGAACAATTTGCCATGCTTCAGGAGATTTTTGAAAATTTTCTAAATAATGAGTAGCCGTCATTTTATCTTCTTGTGATGCATTGGAATACATCGTCAGCAATGCTGAACTTAATTGTTGAATAGCTGTAGTAGACGACATGATCAGTTTATGTCTTAATGAATGATTTGGAAACTCCTTGTTAGTCCCTTGAAGTCGGTTATTGGGTTTTTTCTTTGGTTGTCAATTTTTTTTTTTTGAAGACAAAACCGAAAGAAGCAAAAAAAAATTTTTCTGGTTCGTTTTCAGGAGAGATAGAGTCGAATCACATTGTTAACTATCACGTGATATATATATATATATATATCTGTCAATTATATATATTATTACAACTATTTACTCGTCGTCTTCATCATCGGTAATAATCATTCTCTTTCTTTTCGTGGTTTGCACGGTAAGCGTTTCTTCAACATCGTCATCTAGCTTTCTCTTGGACAGTTCTACTTCCAATTCAACATCAGAAGTATCTGATGTATGACTTGAAATTTGTCCTTCTTCTTCTTCTTCTGCGTCAGCATCAACCACCTCTTGTGGAATTGGGGATAATGATGGAAGTGACACCTGGCTTTGTTCTGGTGTATTGATATGAGTTTCTTCCTGTGGTCCATCTTCGTTATCACTCTCAGCAACAAACAATCCAACTTCCTTAACTGCTTTGGCAACAGAAACAGCAGTTTTATCACCACCTTTTATTTCCAAATTCTTCCAAAGTTTTTGAATTTCAAGCAATTGAGCCGGAGTAGCAATACCTCCAATATCATCAACTAATTTTCTCATACGTTCTTCTCTTTCAAAAAACTCTTTGTCTTTTTCGTCATCAGATTCATCATCGGATTCATTGATGAATTCAGCTGATTTAATTACGTGCAAGTCATCATCTAGTAAGTCCTTTGGAATTCTTCTACGTCTAATATGATTTGGATCTTTATGACTAGTTTTAGATTTACTCTTCTTTTGTGAGTTATCATCTGGTCTCTTCTTTTTCTTCCTTCTTGCTTTACCTCGAACATGATCAGGATCCGAGCGATGCTCTTTGTTCCTTTGCAGCAACATTAATTGTCTCTCCAATTCATCTAATTGGTCCAATTGAGATACGGCAAAATTGGTGGAGTTTGGATTAGCTTGTGTTTCAAATGCAATTGATTCATCATCTGGATTATATTTCCCATCGTATTCAACATCATCATAGTCATCTTCATCGTAGCCTGACTCTCTAGTACGTAAGAAAAATGAAGGTGATTTATCATCTTCGAATATCACTGGTTGACCTGAATTCCATTTCTTAATCAAATCGGCTATTTTAGTCAAATATCCAATTTCAACACTGGTTGGTAGTTCTGGATTTTCTTCCATTGTGAAAGGCAAATCAAACCCTATTAGTTTCAACAATAATCTTAAATATCCATTATTAATAAATAATCGACGGAATTGATTGGTTCCATTTAATTCAATAATTGCTTCTGAATCTAAAATCCTATCATTTATAATCCTTTCTAATTCCGAAATCAACCAATTTAACAACATCTGCTTTTCTTGAATATGCAATTGACTAACTAGAATCTTAATTTTTTCATCCAATGTGAATTCACGAACAAATTCCAACTCCTTAGCAAGTCTAGGTACACGAGTTGATGAAGATTCCTCTTGCTTTTCATATAACTCACCTGTTGCTAAATATACTCTAGTTTCTTGATCTTCAAATCTTGGGAATAACACTTCAATAGGTAATGGGAATCTTTCCAATGCAAGTTTGAATTTCTTCATGAAATAATAAATGAATTCTTCAACTCTGAGTCTTATAGAACTACCTCTTTGGAGGAAATTTCTTAACCTGTGTAAAACTTGCATGAAATCCATTCGATATAATCCAGTGTAATCTTTTCTAACCACAAACAACCTATGAAAATAACTAAGACAAATTTTGATTTCTTGGTCGGATAAATCTTCGAATCTCGATAAATACTTGATATAAGTAGTAACAATAGCCTGATGAAAGAATCTTGCTTCAGTTTTAGAAAAATCCAACTTACGTTCTTGAGTTATTTCCTTAGCACTTGATTCATCTAATTCTTCATCTGATGCATAAATTACATCTCTCAATCTATCTTCCGTAGCTTTATCTAAGTTATTAATTCTTGATCGATTCTTTCTCTTTTGTCTTCTTTTAGATTGGATGTATAATTGAACGTCTTCATTGGCAAAACTTTCAAATGCTTTAAGAAGAATATGGACAACTGAAACAGATACTCGAAGATAATCCGGTGAATGTTTTGCTGCTGTTTGGGGTATTTGAATGATAATATTCATGAAATCTCTAAATGAAAACAATTTTCTAATAATACCCTCAGCCAATTCCCTGTCAACTTCATGTTGTGACACGTCATCTTCATTTTCGATATCCTTGCTGTTGATGTTCTTCCTCTTACCAAATATAGAATTTGAAATCTGTAGCAATTCTCTGAAACAAATCATTGCCACATGTAATGAATTCCATCTTTTAAGAGTGAATGAATCTCTAAAATAACTAATAATCAACACAAAGTTAACTTCACTTAATGCAGCCCCAACCGATCCATAGTTCAATTCATGATCATCCGGATTCAATGCGATTTTTTCTCTTTGATAACTTAAAAACCAAGCAATGGTGAAGAAATAACTTGCAACAAATAATTCATCAATCATGGCCAAATCAGATTGTGAAGTTAATCTTGACCCCATACATTCAATCAAATTATTGAAACATCCTCCAGATAAAAATTGTTCAATAAATGTATTCATAATACTTTGACCCATGACATTAAGGTAAACCGGGGTGGTTGTTTTAACATAATCATCAGAATCATATCTAAAATAAGTAACTGATTTCCATTTTTTAGATTTATCCAACTTGGCCATCGAGCTATTTGCATCTATTAAAGCTTCTTGACCAGAGACAACAAAAGAGTTTGAATCAGATGATCTAATGGATAGCAATGATCCAAATCTACCATGACGTGATGATATGGTCAGTGTTTGAATCTTCTTTCTTTTAGATTCAGTACTCAACAAATCTTGTAATTGTAATCCCAGGGTAGTCGTAACAGATTGAAGTGGCTGAGATGCATTAATTGAATCGGGTACAAAATCTGTGCCAGTAGCGGTAGTACTAGTTGTAGTTGATGGAGTTGATAATTTCGGAAATTCTTTTTTAACCAAAACATCACTCGCAGACATTCCTTTCACCATTAAATAAATACATTCCAAACACAATTCACCAAACATCTCTCTATCAAATTCAACACCAAGTGATCCAGATATAGTCAATAAAAGCATTAGTACTTTATTCTTTTTAAAAACAGTCAATATATGACTAATAGAAATATCATCAAGACTAATACCTACTGGTAAATCTGATGCCAAAGCAGTTGAACCTTTATCTGAAGATTTGCCTGAAATAGATTGATTTGCAGGCTCAATGGCTAATATATTTCTGATAAGATATAATACTAATTTCATTATTTGATTATCACGAGGTTCACGATCGATTCTTGACTTTGCAATGGTTGGTAAGACCAATCTAATAACTGCTTTCAATAACTGACCATTGTTATAAGTTAATATTTGTTTCTTATAAGTAACGTGAACTTTTTTAATATTTGAATAAAGTAATTTCTGACTTTCTGATAATTCTTTACTAAATTCAACGGGCCAAGTCAATAATACCAATAATTCAAGACATGCCAACATGGTTTTTTCAGTGGTTGTTTTATTAACAATTGCTTGTTTCTTTTGCATCTTGTCCTCCCATTGACATAAGATAACTAATAAATCATTGGGTACTAGTCCAGTCTCGGCACAGGCTAATGCAACTTCATAATTATTTTTCTTTTCATCAACGGCTTTGATCCATCGTTTGATATCTTTAAGACATGCAAGGGCATCGTGTCCCAATTTATAAGGTGGTGGTTGAATATCAGAAGTATGATCTGGACCACCTAATGCTGAAACTAATACTGATATATGTGCTTTTAATAATTTCTGAGCTTGTGTCTCATTCGGTTTCAAAGTAGTTGTTAATGCTCTTATCCTATCTTCCTCTTCTTCTTCAACTTCACCATCGGAATTGAGTTGTAATTCTACTTGCTGAGGGTTTTCTTGTTGATTTTCTTCATCACTATAATCAATAAATCCGTCTAATTCTCCTCCATCAGAGTATTCCTCAAACTCGGATTCTGGTCCACTAGAACTCATTAGGTAATTTATTTCGAATGATGAACTAAGTGAAGTATTATATTGGTGGTATAATTTTTTTTGATTTTTTTTTTTTTTCAAGTTACAGTCGTGGCGCGTTCCGAGATTCAAAGCAACGCGTCTCAAGTTAAGAATATCTGGGATTCAAATCATTGCAATTATTAACTACAGTATTGTCGGGTATCATTGCTAACCTATTAATTGATTAACTAGAATTTTGTAATATTATCTGGGCATATTGGCCATTGGTTGAGTGAGAGTTTATAAACCTTCCTAAATAGGTAATTAACAAGCCGCATACCTGTGATTGGCTAAGAATCCCCACTACCAGAATTATAGAAGTTGAACAAATCTCAATGGAGCATTCCAGTAGTCTTCAACTCAATATTGAATGTTGTATTACAATCTGAAGCAATGTAACAATTGGCACGTGCTTGTGAGTCCTATGTTTATTGCCACATTTGATCTTTGTCATTCTGTTAAATCGAAACTAAAATTATTGCGGAGGAAATTTACCGCATGTCGACAAAAAAAAAGAAAAAAATCCCGCTTGCTCCCATACTAATCCAACGAATGTACGTTTTCTTTATGAAAAGAGTTTCATGAATCGTTTATTATATCATACATTGACTAGAATGACTAAAGGTAATATATCAGGGAAACCTATTAGAAGTGCTGGATGTTTGATCATTGGTGATGAAATTTTAAATGGTAAAATTCTCGACACTAATTCATATAATTTTGCTAGATTTTGTTTTAAAGATTTGTCCATTCCATTGAAAAGAACAATTGTATGTGGAGACGACGAAGATGATATTAAAAAATGTCTCGATATGTTGATCAAAGATGATTTGGACTTTATTGTCACATCAGGGGGGTTAGGAAGTACACATGACGATATTACTTATGAAGTAATTAGTAAATATTTCAATGTGGATTGTAAATTAGATAAAGAAGTTGTTGACAGAATGAATTCGATCCGGGGTGATTATCTCAACAAGTTGAACCCAGAACAAAAGAATGCATTTTATAGAATGGCAACTATTCCTTATCCCACACCAGAAAACTCTTCTGTTAAAGTTGAAAAATATTTCTTGGATGATAAATTATGGTTCCCGATTGTGGAGCTCAATGAACAGGTTTATATTCTTCCTGGAGTCCCCCAGTTATTTACTCAACTTATACAGGACATGAAACCCATGTTGCAATCTAGAGCTATATCATCAAATTTAATGAGAAGATACGTGCTGACAAAAACAGGAGAAACACAATTGGCTCCATTTTTGACTAGATTACAACATGAATGTGATGAGAAATTCGGTAAAGGAGTGTTAAAATTGGGTAGTTATCCACATATGAATTTGCATATTAATACAATCAGTGTTATTGGTACTAATTTAAACAAAGAGCAATTAGACTGGGTAGTCAATTCTGTAATTGAAAATGTTGGTGGTGGTGCCAAAGAAATCAGTCAAGAACAAGAGGATGAAAATAGTAAATAGATCAATATGAAGTTTTTGTTATTTGAAGACAGTTCAATTGAAACAAATTTAGACCTGATCTGCCTTGCGTATTTTCTCTAGTTTCACTTGCAATGATTTGCTGTCTGGAAAACGTTTCCTAAAGTTGATTTTGTTTTGTTCTCAGGATTGTGGTCTTACATCGGTGATTCAACTAGTTTGTGCACCATGTGATGCTTCACCAATTTCAATCACTCTTAAAATCATTGCCAGCATATAGACCAGATGATATCCTGGTTTGTTTGTAAAGAGAATGAACGTATAATCAGAAACTAACGTTGAATTAAACAGATGGTCATGAAAATAGACGAAATTTCGAGGCTGGTACTGGAATTCACCTGGTAAGCAACACACACACACACACATTCCTCTTCAGCCAGACTACAACCAGGGCAAAGAATTGCGTTTTGAATTGTTTTGATTATTCCACATCCCAATTTTGTGGTGCAGATCGCATGATAGTTTTTGGACTGAGTTCGCAACACAATCACGCTTTTTTTTTCGAATCTGTTTCGCAGCTTGTTTGGGGATCAACTTGTTTGTTTACATTCCAGGGGTTTTGTGGCACCACATTTGTTTGAGGTTAATTTGGACATGGATTTTAGTTTAGGAATTGTACTTCCCCGAATGAAAAATAACAAATCTTACAGAGATCAAAAGACAATGGTGTCTTGCATTTTATTGTTTACGATATGCTAATAGTAAAGATCACGAACGGCTTTCGAGAAGATGTTCTCAGGTTTCCAGAATAATTGATACTTGATTAATATAACGATATATGTTTGTGGTTCTTGGTATGAATGGAAGTATCGTTCAGAGAAATAAAAAAAGCGATTATTAAAAATAGTTTATACGTTGTTGTTTGGAAACTAAATCACACCTGAAATTCGTGAATGCGGTTGTACCAATACACCAATGGATGTGCATTAAAATTTCACAAATAATATTTTTTTTTTAGCCATATGGGTTGGTAACAGACGAAAATTTTTCTATTTGGAATTCGAATGACTGTCGTACCTTATAGAATGGCACAGTTTGCGTAACAATGATGACAGACTTGTTTACATTCTGAAAATTGTATAAATACTGGCCCGTTAGACTCTTTTCCCTGTGAAAAAGGAAAATTTTATACTTGATTTCTACTAGCTTCAAATCTCAATCAAATAATTATTGCAACTATGAGAAAAACTACTTTATTCTTTGCCCTTTTGCAAATTGCCCTTGCTGCTAAACGTGCCGATGATGACTGTAATGATCATTGTACAGCTGCTTTGGCAAAACAAAATAGTTGTGGTGGTTCTGGTGATGCTGGTACCCAATCTGAAACATTGAAATGTTTATGTAAAGATGAAGATTATTGGAGTGAATTGGCTCAATGTAACTGTTCAAATTATGAAGATGATATCACTGCTGAAGATCTTAGAAGTTACTATTGTGGAATTGGTGTCACTAGTGGTGATTCCTCAAGCTCTGCTTCTTCTTCTTCTTCCTCCTCCTCCTCATCTTCTTCCTCAACTTCCACCGGTAAGACTGCTGCTGCTGCCACAACTGCTAAGTCATCATCTTCAAGTAGTTCAACTTCCACTTCTTCAAGCAGTTCTTCTAAATCTAGTTCTTCTAAAGCTAGCTCTTCTACTACCAGTACCAACAACAATGACAAGAAGACTACTTCATCTACTTCCACCACCACCAACGATGACAAGAAAACTACATCATCATCAAGTTCATCTACTTCAAGCTCATCTTCATCAAGTTCCTCATCATCATCATCATCATCATCATCATCATCATCATCATCATCAAGTGCTAGCTCTACCTCTACTGATGGTTCCAATGGTGCTGCTGGTTCTAAATCAGGTTCTTCTGATGCTGATGCTTCCGGTTCTGGTTCAGACTCTAATGCCAGTGAAACTAATTCCAAATCTGATTCTGAATCTAAAGAAACTGATTCCAAATCTGACTCTGATGCTAAAGAAACTGCTTCTGCTTCTGCTTCTGGTGCCGATTCTGCTTCTGGTTCCGATTCTAACTCTAATGCCAGTGCTTCTGAAACTGATGCATCCGAAACTGACAACAAATCTGGCTCTGATTCCAGTGAAACTGATTCTGTTAATGCTAGTGAAACTGACGCCAGTGCTTCCAAATCTGGTTCTGACGCTGAGTCAAGTGAAACTGATGCTGATTCATCTGAAACTGATAAATCCGGCTCTGATGCTGCTACTGAAACTGGATCTGCTTCCGGTTCTGGTAATACTGTCGTTGCTATTGCTACTGCTTCTGGTGATTCCAACAGTTCTGAAACTTCTTCAGGTAGCGCTTCTCACTCATCTACTGCTTCTGGTTCCAAAACAAATGGTGAATCCACTAATGGTGGTTCATCTAGTTCTACTAAAACTAACGGTTCATCCAGTTCTACTAGAAGTGGTTCTTCTTCCAACTCAGCCACTACTTTAATTTCATCATCATCTGGATCCAACTCAACTAACTCATCTAGTGCTTGTTGGACCACTACTGTCACCACTACTGTTAGAGCTGGTGCTGCTACTGTTCCAGCTTTGGCTGCTGGTTCTTTATTTGCTTTGGCTTTGAACTTTATTTAATTTTGTCTACACGCTTCTTTAGTTCAATATTTGCTTCTTGTCTTCTTTTTTGTATATTCGTTAATAATTTCGAAATGGTCGTTTGTATAATATAAGTTTCATATAATTTGTAATTCTTTCAAATACTTTAAGATCCACCACATCCTCCTCCGCAACCACCACTACTACTACCACAGCCTCCTCCACTGCTGCTACTACTCCCGCCCCATGCAGAACTAGTAGAAGTTACACAAGTTGAGCCACCTCCACCAGAACAAGAAGCAAAACCTGAGCAAAGCCCATTGGAACTGGCACAGTTTGTACGTGCAGAAGTACAGGTACCATTTCCATATAAACCACACAGCGATTCCAGTACTGGACTATACGGTGCGACAGCGTAATTTACCGTTGGATAGTTGTAGCTCCAATCGATGTCACTATTCTTACGTTTTCTTTTGGCTTCAGATGTTGGTAGCTTGATTGAGTTATGAGTACTAATATGTGTCAACCCTTCATCTGGTGTAAAAAGTGGATTACGTCTCATTGCCATCTCTCTTTTAGCGATAATTCTCTTTGTGTTAAAAATACCACCCATAAATTGCTTTTTATTTGCAGCCCGGTCATTTGTACAGTACAAGCAATAGCAAACTGAATAGTTCTCTTTATAACGCATCTTGTATATCTTACTAGTGTGACTAAAAGCTTCATCTAATCTTGATTCATCAATTTTATCATCATGATCAATTACCGAATGACATGGGGACGACTTACAATCACGGAAATATCCATACATAGACAACTGGTGGGTATGCCATATTAAATCAATATCAAGACACGGTACCAACATTGCTCGTCGATTTCTTTCCTCAGTCAACATTGTAAAGAATCTGTGATAACGTGTTATTGATTCGTTCAAAGTGTCATAAATCAATGGCGAATGTAACCAATCTAAATTGTTGATCTTCTGGACAAATCGTTCTTGCCTTAAGACACAACCAACCAAGTCTTCGCCAACCTGTATTCCATATTGAACGGTCAGGCTAACATAGTTATGCTGTAAATATTCTCTTAAGATCATTCGTCTTCTTCTCTGCTCTTGAAAATTCCTGTTCTTAATACTTGAGATAAAAGCAGTAAGGTCACTGGTAAACATAGTGTTCAACACCGCATTACGAATATCTTGCTGAATCACATCTTGTCTTCTTCCTTCATAACGAGGATCACACAAAACACTAGAAAAATGTTTATACACCCCCTGTAAAATGGCATTATCAGCAACATCGTGATACAAATTAAGAAATCTTATTTCGTTATGGTTCAAGTATTGGGCACCTTGACAACGACATGGACTCTTTGGAGCTGCATTTTGGATATTTGAAGATCTGTAAAGAGAATAGTTCATATTTCTTGATTGGAAATTGGGATCTGCAAATCCTTGGTTCTTATTATTGGTTATTGATACCGATCCAGTTAATGCCGTTTGGCATATTGGACAAAATAACTTAACACTATGCGTTTGAGGTGAAAACTGGTAGTTAAAGGGATGATTATCTTTCTCTTCTATAATATCAATCAAATCCAAATAGTTTTGTTGCTTCTCTTCTGGAACATTAAACTCAAATGTTTCATTGTCGATGAATTGACTTACCCTTTGTAACGGGAATGGATAATTTGCAAAATGAAGAATATTATTTCTCATACATGTGTCATAAAAACATTTTGGATTGAGCAAGAAAGCATGCCAAACCATAATTACGTCTAATGGTGGCATAATTTTGTCCATTAAATTGATAAATTCGGTGTTCTTTTCATTGGCATTTTTGAATGTATTTCTTTCATTCGGCAGGATAGGGTAATTTGCCGCACCATTTAGCTTCAAGGCTGATATGAATACAATTAACCGTCTAACGGCAATGGTCACTATACATTGCCACAGTTTCTCACGATATTCATCAAATTCGGTATCTGAATTCCCACCAGGAACCAAATTGTTCTTCAATACTTCAAATGCTTTCAATAATTTCAAATGTGCAACCACCTCGGGTTTGGTAGGTAAACTCTTTGGAGGGTTAACAACTTTCATGTTAACTATCGGCTCTGTAGGTGACTGAACATATCTGTGAGTAGTAAAATCAGTGTCTTTTGAATATTCTAGGATGTCAATGAATCCTTGTGATTGTTTCACCATTATTAGGAAAGTGGTAGATAATTGATAGAAGTGCAATCAACAAAATTGGAGCTTATTAGGTCTCCCATTTATAATAAATATAACTTTTCAGGGTCGCATATCCACATGCGATTTAGTTCATTGTTTCATCATTGGGAATGTTTACTAGTTGGCAATTTAGTCCTTGTAGCAAACTTACGTTATTTTCTCGTGGTGATTCAAGATTGGAGATTGCTAGAAATTTACGAACCAACGCTGCTTATGTAAGCGTAATGACTTTCCGCAAGAAAGTTCGTATATTTGTTTTAAGTCAGGTGGGTATACAGCTATTGCTTCTTTGGTTCAGTAGACCAATTTGTTTGCCACACTGTGGTGGTATCTCTGTTGAAAGCTTTACAGGTGCATAGATTTTTCTATGTATAGTCACGATCTATAGTCGTGATGTATTTCGTCTAAGAACAACCTCCTACTCCTCCACGACCTTTCCCTCTGCTGTTACTGCCGCCACATTCATGAGTGCATGCCAGTTCTGAAATACTTATACAGGTGTTTCCACTAACACCAACATCCGAATCATAACTACAGCAACTGTCACCTGAATTGACAGAAGTTAGTTTAACTGTTGCACATGAACGATATTGATTGGATAAATTGCAAAGAAGTTGGTAATGATATAGAATATATTATCAGTAATCAAAAAGCTATTTACTTGGTGTTACGTAATAACGAATATTCATCTGGTTGTGGATACTCTGAACCGCCCGTCAATTGATCTATCATATCACCAAAATTTTCATCCTTGTGCTGCTTACGTATTTGATCCATAATCTCTTTAAAATCAAATGACCCCCATTTGTAAGGATCTTGTGCTATTTCCTCTTCGGTATGGTCTCGGAAATAATGTTGTGTTACACCATCCCAATCAATACCATTAGGAGATTTATACCCGATTGATTTTATCTTTCGAAGTAACCAATCAATTGTAGAATCTGGCATTTTACTAACACGATGCTTGACTTCGTCATTAGCAATCCTTTTCCATTTGTATCGACATTGGATACGAGATCTTAATCCATTCATTTTCTCACTCACAACTGTCCAGTTTATATTTTTCAATTGATTTTCTGTATCAACAACTTGTGTGTTTGTTAATTGTGTCATAATTTCAGTGACTATTTTAATCAATTGATCCTCTTCTTCTTGTGACCATGCATTTTTTGTTCTTTTAGGACCACATTTGACATAATTTCTCCATCGATCACGACAATCTTCAGACATTCTTCCCAAGATCTCACCAATTAGTTTCCAGTTGTTATTATGTTGTAACGCCAATTCATCTAATTTCTTATCCTCTTCTGGAGTCCAAATAGCCCTCACATCAAAAACATGGAATTTTCTTCGGATATGTTTGTAAACTGAAGATCTTGTTCTATAAGGGAATGCCTGATATATTCTTTTCCAAAAGTGATCATTTTTCCTTTCGGCTGACCAAACTCTTGCACAAAGTTCATCTCGTGTCATACCATTAAGATAACAGTATCCTCCAAAATAATAAGCCACCAACTCTTCCTCTTTTGGCGAAAATGGACGAGGTTTGTTTCTCTCTTCAGGGGTTACATTTTCTTCAAACCATTCAGTGGTTTTAGTGCTAACTTCATGAACTAAAGCATCAACATTTGTGAGTGCAGAATAATCCAATTCAGGAAGCTCGAGTGGTTTTTTTGGTTCACTTTTTTTACGAGTTCCTTTAGGAGCTCTAGTTCGTCTACCACGTTTAGCTGTTGCTTCAGGCAATGGTTCAGTAACAGGCTCTATAGATTGAACTTCTTCCTCTTCATTATCATCATTATCATTATCATCATCGTCATATTCATCTTCTTCTCCTTCTCCTGCTGATCCCGAATCTGGGTGTTCTTCAGCGATTTCTAAAGCATCTTTAAGTTGTTCAACATCCTGAGCTACCAATTCCAACACTGAATCTTGAACGTCGACTTTATCTTCTTCATCTTGATCATGATGTTTCTTCTTGTCTTTCTTTTTCTTCTTCTTTTTCTTTTTATCCGATTTATCTGACTTTTTCTTCTTTTTAGGGACGGGTTCTTCTTCTTGTTGTTCCTCAACAACAGAACTAGCATTCATAAATTTATCATCTAAAAATCCAGTCCATTGAGCAAACTCATAATCGTCATCGACATCATCTTCACCAGAATGTTTTCTCTTCTTTTTATTGCCAACAACATCTGTATCAAAAGTACCATTAACAATTTTCATAACAGCAGCTTCAACTGCATCATTTAATTGATCATTAGGTGTTGTTTCATCATCCGATCCATCAACTTGATGTGTCAAATCCTGTAACTTATTGTTCTCCATCATTTGCAACAACTTATTCCTAGTCTTATTTACCCGACTTGAATATCAAATGATACCATCTCTAACAATGACACGGTAAACAGGGACGAAAAAAAAAAAAGATTCTTAACTGTGGCCGCCATCTCTTCTCGCAAACCCAAAAAAAAAAAAATCAATATAAAGTCGTGTGCGTTTATCAAAGATGTGATCTATGCCAGGGACTTAACTAAAGAAATAGTAAGTCATTTTTAAAGTACTTTCAGGATATCCCGTTGTTATTTTGTCGTATTAGAGAGAGTTTGTAATATGACAATTCTTTCCGTCGGGCTGTGAATTTATTGGAGTAATAAAACGAAAATCCTTGGGAATTTCATATTTCATTTTAACGTCAACTATACTTTACAAGAAACCTCACTTCCATCATTACCAACTCATTATCTGTCTTGTCAATTACCCCATACTAATCTTTTACTTCAATCCAAGCTTGTGAAAAGAAAGGAAGGTTTCAAAACCGTTGAAAGAATATAATTATCCCCCTCATTATGTGTTTGACACGACTTGCTACCATTCTAAGGGAACAAAAAAAATACCACGGAAGGTTTTCTACATGTAGTTAACATCGGTCAGTATTGTGAAGCTTAAGTTTCTTTTTTTTTTAAGAAACTCCGTTGGGAATAACTCCATACAAAGGCGATGTCATGATCGCATATAAGTTCGGAGTTTCTTTATACTTAGTATCTAAATAGTCACTACATAGTTTCAACCTTCAGAATTCAATCCGAGGTATTGACCCCAGATGAAGGAATAACGTTTGACTATTGAACACTCAACACTCAAACAAGCTTAGTGGTCTGCTTTTTTTTTAAATATTTTCAATAATATTCTATTTATTCTGTTAAACCATAAAAAAATGGTGTGATTTACCTATTATAACCTTTGATATCAATTTTCCATTTCCCTCTATTTAATCAATAAAGAATTCACATGAAACACATGGCCTCGGTTACAACTCAAGAACAACGAAGAAGAAAAAAAAAAAGATTAATTTTGCTCGGTCGAATTAGAGCGGACATGGTGGGAGGGGCAAACCGTTCAACAAAGAATTTGTGTATATGCAAGTACAGGAGCAAGCCTCCACCACCGAAATAGGCAATTAAGATCATCACTATGTGGGACTTTAGCTTCTGTGCCCTTGAGAAGAGTTTTTTTTTTTTCTTTCTTTTGTTGGTTTGTCACATGCCAAAGACGAATCGTAACATCTTTTGTGATTTATTTGGGAGAATGTTTTTTTGAAGGAGGAAAATTTCACAGATACATGATGAAAATCATGCTACATGATATACTTTCATTTGTTTCCCCCACACATTATCAGATTATATAAAGATCATGAAATAATCTTCAAGTGTTAGTTATTTTTTCATTCAGATTAGATTTTTGAATTTTATATACTTTGTTTTTTATATATAAGTATTCACTTTCATTTTATTACATCCCATACAATAATCAAAATGCCTACCGAACTTCAAAAAGAAAGAGAAACTATCAAATTCAACCCAAAGGAATTAAACTATTTCTTGGAAGGTTCTCAAGAAAGATCCGAAATTATCAGTAATATGGTTGAACAAATGGAAAAAGATCCAATTTTAAGAGTTGATGCTTCTTACTATGATTTAACCAAAGATCAACAAAGAGAAGTTACTGCTAAGAAAATCAATAGAATTTCAAGATATTTTGAAAATGAATTCCCAGATCAACAAGCTCAAAGATTATCCATTCTTGGTGTTTTTGATCCACAAGTTTTCACTAGAATTGGTGTTAATCTTGGTTTATTTGTTTCCTGTGTCCGTGGTAATGGTACCAACTCTCAATTTTTCTATTGGACTATCAACAAAGGTATCGATAAATTAAGAGGTATTTACGGTTGTTTTGGTATGACTGAATTGGCTCATGGTTCTAATGTCCAAGGTATCGAAACTACTGCCACTTTTGATGAAGATACAGATGAATTTGTTATCAACACCCCACACATTGGGGCTACAAAATGGTGGATTGGTGGTGCTGCTCATTCAGCCACCCACTGTTCCGTGTATGCTAGGTTAAAGGTTAAAGGAAAAGATTACGGTGTTAAGACTTTTGTTGTTCCATTGAGAGACTCTAACCATGATCTTGAACCAGGTATTTCTGTTGGTGATATTGGTGCCAAGATGGGTAGAGATGGTATTGATAACGGTTGGATTCAATTCTCCAATGTTAGAATCCCAAGATATTTTATGTTGCAAAAATATTGTAAAGTTTCCCGTGAAGGTGAAGTCACTATGCCACCATCTGAACAATTGTCTTATTCTGCATTGATTACTGGTAGAGTTACCATGATGATGGATTCATACAGAATGACTAGTAGATTTATTACCATTGCTTTAAGATATGCAATTCACAGAAGACAATTCAAGCTGAAGGACTCTGCAACTGAGGAAACTAAATTGATTGATTATCCATTGCATCAAAAGAGATTATTCCCATACTTGGCTGCTGCTTACTTGTTCTCTCAAGGTGCCTTATACTTGGAACAAACCATGAACAAAACTAATGATAAATTAGATGAAGCTGTTGCCGGTGGTGACAAAGCTGAAATCGATGCTGCCATTGTTGAGTCCAAGAAATTGTTTGTTGCTTCTGGTTGTTTGAAATCCACTTGTACCTGGATGACTGCCGAAGCCATTGATGAAGCTCGTCAATCTTGTGGTGGTCACGGTTACTCAGCATATAATGGTTTTGGTAAAGCCTACTCTGATTGGGTTGTCCAATGTACTTGGGAAGGTGACAACAATATTTTAGCCATGAATGTTGCTAAATCAATGGTTAGAGACTTGTTGCAACAACCAGAACAAAAAGGTTTGGTTCTCTCCAGTGTTGAAGATTTGAATGATCCAGCTAAATTGGTTAAAGCATTTGATCATGCTCTTTCTGGTTTGGCCAGAGACATTGGTGCTGTTGCTGATGAAAAAGGTTTCGATATCACTGGTCCAAGTTTAGTTTTGGTTTCAAAATTGAATGCTCACAGATTCTTGATTGATGGTTTCTTTAAACGTATAACCCCCGAATGGTCTGACATCTTGAAACCATTGGGATACTTGTATGCTGATTGGATCTTGACCAACTTTGGTGCCACTTTCTTATCATATGGTATTATTTCTCCAGAAGTTTCCAGAAAGATTTCTTCCGAACACTTCCCAAGTATGTGTGCTAAAGTTAGACCAAATGTTGTTGGTTTGACCGATGGTTTCAACTTGACTGACATGATGGTCAATGCTGCTATTGGTAGATATGATGGTAATGTCTACGACAATTACTTTGAAACTGTCAAGTCATTGAACCCACCAGAAAATACAAAGGCACCATATTCTAAAGCATTGGAAGACATGTTGAACCGTCCAGACCTTGAAGTTAGACAACGTGGTGAAAAATCAGACGAAACTGCTGAAATCTTGTCCAGTTAATGATTTATATATAAAAACAAAATTAAACCAGGTTTTGATAATCTGGTTGGTCTTCTTATAATTTTTTGATTCTTTTATTTAGATATTTTGTTAGGTATTTTTTTTTATTATTTCTATTTAAGTAATGACATTTCATTGATTGATGATTTTGGCTTTAATTTGTAAAATGTGTTCATTCTAATCCAAAACTATACAAAACTTTCTACTCTAGATGTTTCCTTATTTTTGAATCCACTGTAGTTTCCTTAATTTCCATACTTCAGTGATGTTGTTCTTGCATAAAAAAAATTATACACCGTGCGAAATCTATGGTAAAGCATAACCAACACATAGAACATCTATTCCCCCCTTTGAGATAGTAAACTGTAATTATATTTGATATAAATGTTAGGACTATTGCATTCTTTTTTGAAAAATCATTCCCTTGGAAGAAAATCACATCATCAAAATCATCGATTGACGAAACCTTTAATTGGCCAAGAATGATGCAAAAATTAATTATTTTCTTGTTTATTTGTTTCAAACTTATCACTTGTTATATTACTCCACCTTCAGAACCATTTATCTTAGCTGCTTATGACCCTGAACATAATCATGAGCATGATCATATTTTGCATGCCAATGTCGAAAAAGCTAAGTATGACGGTACAAAAGTGTTTCTTTGTGATCGATTTGATGACAGTGAAACTTTTCTTGAAGGTAGAGTATTGGCTAATTCTTCCTATAAAATTGATAACTTAAAAGGGATGTATATTCGAGTTGATCGTTTTACTCATCGGTTGAAGCTTTGTCCAAATGGTGTTTCATCATTTGATTTTTCAATTAAAAAAGGATTGGTTTATTATCAAGGTGATGATACTTGGACTGCTTGTTATGATGCTGATGAAGATGCTTCATTTATTTATCATGGAACTAAAAATGACAACAAACGGTTTTGCTCTGATGATAATTCAAAACCCATTGTTTTAAAGGCTGTTGGTAAATATGACAGCGGTGGAGCTATTCCTAATTACCCACTGCATAATCATATCCAATGGTGAACTTGTTGTGGTTTTGCAACCCTGACACGAACTTTATTGGGCGTGTATGATGGTTAAGAATAAATAGGTGAGAAAGAATAATAATGGACAATTTTTTTGTTCTTTTTTTTTTTTGCTATACTCCTTATCAACCTCAGATTGATTCGTTTTTTAACACCTTATCTATTTTTGTTATTATTTAATGAGTAATTACTTTACACAATATTTGCCTAATATAAACCTACTAAATAATGGTCACAATGAGACTCAGAGTGTAACAGAGTCAACCAACTCTGAGCAAGTATCTATTTCACCAGTAGCAATAAAATATCTAACTATATTCAACCCAAGTTTGGTATCACCGAAAGAAGACTCAAATGAAGAATTATACAAACAAATATTGACTTTCCTACAGCGAAAAGATGACGAAGAGATATCAAAACTTGATCAATTAAAATTAGTAGGGTTAATGCGAGGAGTTTATTCCCTTGGCGATAGTTTCAATAATTCAGAAAATAACCCCACGATTGTTAAATCTTCTCAAGCTTCTACAATAATGATTGGGTTAGAAAAGGATTATTTTATGATTTGTAATGTGGAGAATATAACATTAGATACAGTTGACGTTGTCAATGAACAAATAATAAAATTGATACGACAAATGCATGATTATTTCCAATTGTTTCATAAATCATTTTCAAATGTGTATGGGCATGAGAAATTAGAAGGATTACAGAAGTTATTGGACAATTACTGGGGGAACTTCTTGACCCAGTATAATTTACAGGAATTGAAACTACCGAAATTATCAAATACTTGGTTAAATACTATGAATTATAAAGGGTTTTTGGGATTGTCTAGGTTTACACAGTATAAGAAATCATCAATTTCTATCAACACACAAACCCATGAAGAAATAGAATCACTAATTGGTGAACAACAATGTATAAAAGGGGTTCTTGTGAATTACTTCAATAGGAAATTTCCAAAACGACATGGTTTGATATATCTAAACTCTGGATGTGTATCACAAGATGGTTTAATCAGCATTTACAATTGGTTAGAGTATAATGAATATCATGGCACTTTAGATAATCTCAAGAAGCTCGAAGAATTACAGTATCACATTTCTAGTAATTTACCAGACGTCTCCATTGATGATAGTAATAGCTATAGTTTTGATATTAGTCTGGGATTAAAAGTATTGAATCCTGTTAATTTGACAAATACTTTGGTGATATCGCCTTTGAATTATACTGTGTCTAGTGTTATTGAAGGTGCAAATGCATCAAAAAATTGGATGAATATGTCTCAGATTTTCAAGAATATGACATTGGGTGTGAATGAACCAGAACAGGCTGCTAATGTGACAGATGAACCACATGAAGATAACGAGGAAGAAGAGGAAGACGAGCAAGAAAATTCTGGTGAGTTCATAGTGGGATTACAACCAGATGGTACTATTCTGAAAAAGACAGTTTACTTAACGTCAAATGAAGGGGATTTCCAAGAGTACCGGTTAATTATTCTCAAGAAGGATGATTTCTATATCACTTTTATTGTTGACTCAAATGAAACACAAGTTGATGTTCCTACATTTTACACGGAAATACAAACAGATATATTTATTCCAGTTGTTGAACAATTTGAGACACTGATGCTTAATGGGAGTGTCTTACAATCAAGCATCACTTCCCTTAAAACATTATATTTACCTAACGAGATAGACCAAGAGTTTTTCTATATCATCTATGATCCAAAACAACAAAACATTCAAAGTTCATTGCCTTATTTACCATATGTTGGAGAACTAGAAGTGGATAATTTAGTCAAGTATCAAATCATGGCTATCTATTACCTTCATGATCAATTGAGTAAGATTTTTAACTTCCTGTTTTTCAATAATCAATTAAATGAATTTTTCCATAAATTCACAAGTAATAAGTTAAATGATTGGATGTTTTATTATTTCAGATATCGTGAAAGATATATCATTGTGATTAAAAATCGAAGTAAACATGTTACAAATAATAGCAATCCAAATACATTGCCACCGGTGGTTGAGAAATCAATATTGAATAAAATCTCAGAAGGTGTTCTGGATTATGCTACACTTGGATTTTTAGAAAATCTTGGCGATGATGTCAAATACTGGTTAGGTACACAACAAGAACCAAATCAATAAATAGGAGTTGTTAATTCATATGTTTTTGTATGTACTTTAATACACTTGGAACGTCTTTAGCAATTGCTCCAGGGACACTTAATTTAGTTATCCATTTAGGTATATTTCCACCAGCATCTGAAGTAGTTGCCATTATCCATTCAATTCCATCTTTTTCATTTTCATTACTCCATGAAAGTCTCTCAATTGAATGATATTTACCTATCACATACTCTTTATTAGATTCTCCTTGAATTGGAATACTTAAAATATAAGCACAATTATCAAATTTATAAACTTGTTGGAATTCATAAAATTTCCGTTTACTTAAAATCCCACCAAAATTATAATCTGCTATTAGTTTATAACTCCATCCATCATGATATTCTTGTATATCATCCACTTTGATCCTTGTAATCTCCTTAATATAATTGGATTCATGATCTGAATGAGTTAATCCTTGAGTTGGTTGACCAATAATACACTCTAACAACCTATGTTTCAACTCTCCAGGAATAATAGATTTTCTACAACACCAAAACTCATTGTTACGTATTGTTGAATATAATGATGTTGTTATTGATGGATCGGTTGTGTGACATTCTTTGATATGTTTCCATGATGATATTGATTCAATAACTGATTTGGATTCATTTAGTAGTGTTGTTCTATCCATAATGTGTGTTTATATAAAGATGATAGAGAGTTGTAAGTTATTCTGGAAGGTTTAGATTATTGGCTTTGAGTTTTTTGAATTTGGAGATTTTGCTAAATCCGGAGGCTTTTGTGTTTTGCACGACAATCACAACAAGAACCAAGAAGTATCAACTACACATGTCAGATTTGCTGTAATAAAAAAAAAATCACACCTTCTATGTATTAATAATAATAAATCAATCCTATACAATAAGAAAAATAATATAAAATAAAATCAAATCAAAGTCATTAATAGTAATAAAAACCAGTATTACATTTTAACGAAAACACCATCATCATGACTCATAGTCAAATGAATACATTTTGGTGGAGGGTATTCAACATCTGGGGAAGAAGAAACAGTTTCAAACATTTGTACCAATCTGGTAATAACATAAGAAGCTTCAGTTAAAGCAAATTGTTGGCCTAAACAAATTCTTGGACCACCATTAAATGGAACATAAGCCCAACCTAACTTTTTAGTTGATGGTTCAAACCATCTTTCTGGTCTGAAATCATCAGCATCTTTACCATAATATTCTTCTAAACGATGAGTTTTGTAAACAATATAAGCAACAGTGGAACCCTTTGGAATAAAAATTGGATCAGTACCATTTGGACCACCACCTCTTGGTAATGTGGTATCTCTAGTGGCTGTTCTGGAATTGACTGGAACAGAAGGATACATACGCAAAGTTTCATTAAGAATAGCTTTCAAGTATTCACATCTCTTCAAAGATTCAAAAGTAATTTCTTCAACACGAGATTCTTCACCAACACCAAAGTTAACTTCAATTTCTTCTCTTAATTTAGACCAAATTTCTGGATGTCTAGCTAATTCAAACATTGCAAATGATAATAAACCAGCAGTGGTATCTCTACCGGCAACCATAATGTTCAATAATTGATCTTGTAAAACTTTTGGATCTCTGGTTTGTTTAACCAATTCATACAAGAAAACATAACCAGATTTGGACTTTTCTTCAATTTCTTCCGGAGTGAAATTCAAAGCTTTATTGACAAAATATTTAGCCAAGTAATGAACTTTAGCATTACAGTCTCTAAATTCCTTAGGGTTAGTTAAAAAGTAGAAAGTTTGGGAGTATGTTCTGGTAGCCAAATAATGTTGAGAAGTGTTAAAAGCAGTTGCAAAATTATCTCTACCTGGAATTTCATTTGGAGTAGGAATACCTAATTTTTCATCATACAAAGAGTGAACAGATTCACCAAACAAGAATTCAGTAGCAGTATCAACAGTAAATCTGAAAAACAATTCTTGAATATCAAAAGTTTTACCTTTATTCAATTTAATTTGTTTGGCCAAGATTTGAATATGTGGTTCCAAAGCTTTAACATGACCAATTTGATCTCTAGCAAATTGTGGTCTCAACATAGCTCTACTATGTTTCCAACCTTCACCATCCAAAGTAAAAATACCATCACCTAATAATGGATAGAAATGAGCATGTCTGGTACCTAAGGAGAAATCAGTAAATTGAGTAGCCAAAACAGCTTTAATATTTTCTGGATCAACAGTCAAGACGATTTTCAAAGCACCAATAATAGACATGTAAAAAGTATGGTTTGGATAGTCGTCGAATGTTTTATCGGCAAAATCTGCCAATCTACCATTACCTTTAACTTTAATAATTTCAATTAATGGACTAATACCTGTCCAACCGGCTCCTTTGAAATATGGAGGATCTCTGCATTTCAACTTCTTAGCCTTGACGTAATTTTTAATATTAGATGAAATTAAGAAAACCAAAGCTGCTAAAGTGATAACAGTATACCACTTTGTCAAGTACGGAAGTGCAGAATCAATAATTTCTTGTGTGGCCATAGTTATATGATGTGATATGAATAAATGAATGGAATGAATGGAATAAATAATTTAGTAAGTACGGAACTGTGTCAAAGTAAAACTAATTAAGTAATCAAAAAAAGAAGTTGTAGAAAACTTATCGTACAAGTAAAAGATATAAGAAACTAAAAATAAAAAAAGGGAAAACTTTGGGGAAAGGGAAATGACATTGTGTTTATATAGTTGTTATTTGTAATTAGGTTTTAAGAGTTTGATTTTGGGGTTCGTTTTTGCAGTACCAACAAAATTAGAAAAAGAAGAAGAAGAAGCAAAAACAAAAGGGCAAACTAGTAAAGTCCGATTTATGCATAAGACTTTACTTTAACCTATTCTGCATGCGGAGAAATCAACTTTTATTATGGGCATTTTATGTCTTCTGCATTTTTTACAGGTTTATGCCATGTAATACTTCCTAATTAGGAATACGTTAATTGTCACAAAGAAAATTGGTGTTTTAATTTTTTGGTGATAGAAGGGTTCGTGTACTAATGATCAATTATTCATTTTCTCTTCAACACCAAATGAAAACCATAACGATACGAATGGTATTACAAAAGATAGCTAGTTATTGTAATAGATGTGCTTTACAATAGCTATCCACAAAGAAAGTGAATGTGATAACTTGTCAAACAAGTTCAGCTTAACTTGTGTAACAATAGCTAACAATGTAGGTTTCGACTTTTCATGTGGGTTTATTTTTTTTTAACGTAGCAGATTCACTACAGCCATATGATTTATTCACTACAGACGACCTCTTCTGATGATATCATCCAACATTCTATTGGCTCAAAAATGAAAAAATGAAAAAAATGTAAAAAAAAAAAAATTGTACAACTTTCCTGTGATTTCCCAATTTAGAAACAAGTAAAAGGAATGTAGCATTTAGTGCAACATGCGAAAAAAAATATAACTGCAAACGGACATAAAAAAATGGTTTTGACCCAAGAGGACTTCATTCACATCTGACTCTCCAATGCACAGACTATCGTTTTTATTCCCTATTAAAGAAGTCATTTTGGAAGTAGACATGCTAAGGTTTATTTTGCAGCTATGTAATCGACTCACATATTAAGTGTCAAACATTTGTTTTGACATTCAGTTGTGGTTTATTAGCCATGATCGTTTCAACTCTATAGCGCTTTTTCTATCACATACTTCTCCGATAATTCTATAGAGTAACCTTTTTAGGCTTTAAACAAAGATTAATTTTTTACAAGTTACGAAGGAGATGATTTGCTCTTCATTATTAAAAGTTTTCCCCTGTGAAAAAAAAAAATATATATAACCCATAGAACTCTTTCTATCCATCTTGTGCATATGAAAATGTGCCCCACTTTATTGTTTTCCCTTGAAACTCCGGTTCTGTTGATCCCCAAAAATTAGCACCTATTAAACACTTGTCACGTGTGGTTTGGAGCCCTTCTGGAAAATAAATTTGAATAACTTCCCGTTCTCCACTTTCACCCAACATAAATAGATCATTATTGATTCACGATAGCTCATCAGTTGTTCTATTCTTCCCTTCCCATTTGACCTATCACTTTTGTAATATAAAAGTAAATACCTCTCAAACTACTATTGATTGTTTAGAACATTCGTTTCATGTGAGATTCTAACTTTTTCTACAAACAATAGGAATTGTGATAAACCCAACGAACGACTTGAAATTGACATCAAAGTCTCTGTTAATAGTTGTAATGTAACTCCGAACTCATGAAAAACACTACAATCCTTCTCCGCTTTTTTCTTTCTTTCTTTCTTGAATGGTTTCTCTTTAACTCATGTTGCATTAAAATAGTTGTGAAATTCTTAATTTACTTTTGCTATTAATAAACTTCACAACCTTAGTTAATTCTCCCTTTCCCCTTGAAATTATTCTATGTTTAGGTGTAGGGTTTTGCTAGTGATGATGATGATCTCATTATCCAGGGAAATAATTTCCACCTTGAAATTCAGTCTATTGATTCAAATCTGGATTCTAAGATTAGCGATTAAAGTACTCCCCTCCGGGGACTCTCTGTTTCAGTTTCTTTTTTGTAGGAATAGTTGACGGATTTGTAAATCCTTTATCGTAACTTGTATAATTTATTTGGAAATTGTTGCGAAATTACAATTAAAATAAAGTGGGAGATCAAACTGTTCATTGATCTTTTAAATCCGATTCCCCACGTTAGTATATTTGCTATCATTCATTTTTTTGTATTTAAATTGTAAAGTTCTTTAGATTTTTCCAACCAATGGTGTATGTTTTGATTATATTTTTAATTTCTAGTGAAAGACTAATGTGACAGAAGCTAATATGTAGTCACAATTAGAAACACATTTTTCTGAAATTTGCTTCTGTGATTATAAAAATAACAATAATGACATTGGATGGTCTCATCAACTTTAATCTGGAGAGTTATCCTTTTTTTGCATTTGTTTCTCTCAATAAATGGGTTCTACTTAAACCCTAATTGCAAAATGACAAAATTGTCAAGTTCCTGCACGCGACATTTGCTGATGTCGTGGGTTATTAGATTATTTGGCCAAAAGTCGCGATCCTGCTCTTCTCGTAAGAAAAATTTTCCTTTCTTCAAACAAACGGAAGAAAAAAATTTCTTTCCTAAACTCATCTCTTCTTGAAAGTTTTTCTTTCTGCTTTCTTTTTTTTTTTTTCACAATTTAAATCAAAGATCAACTTAATAATTATAATACACAATGGGTACTCAAAAGAAGGAAAAACAAAGAAGAGTAAGAGAAAATGATACAAGAGATGGTAATCTTCGAGTGAAGGGTGAGAATTTCTATAGAGATGCTAAGAAAGTTAAACATCTTAATATGTATAAACAAGGAAGAGCTATTCGTAATAAAAAAGGGGAAATTATAAAAGCTGCAGATTTGCAAAGTACAGATATACCCAATGCTCGTATTGATCCTAATAGAAAATGGTTTGGTAATACCAGAGTCATTGCGCAAGACGCATTGACACATTTCAGAGAGGCTATGGGTGAAAAAACTAATGATAGTTATCAAGTTTTATTGAAAAGAAATAAATTACCAATGTCATTATTAGATGAAAAAGATACCACAGAATCACCAACTGCTAAAATCATAGAAACTGAAAGTTATTCAAATACTTTTGGTCCAAAACAACAACGTAAGAAACCAAGAGTTGCTGCTTCAAGTTTAGAAGAATTGATGACTTCTGCTGAAACTGATTCTACTAAATATCAAGAAAAACAAGAATTAAATTCTGTTCTTGGATTAATGGGTGGTTCATTTTTGGATAAAGATGATTTCACTCAAGAAGCTAAAGAAGCTATTTTCCATAAAGGTCAATCCAAACGTATTTGGAATGAATTATATAAAGTCATTGATTCTTCAGATGTTGTTATTCATGTATTGGATGCAAGAGATCCTTTAGGTACAAGGTGTGAAAGTGTGGAAAAATATATTAAAGATGAATGTCCTCATAAACATTTGATTTATGTTTTAAACAAATGTGATTTAGTTCCAACTTGGGTAGCGGTATGTCATAACCTTTTTTTTTTAGTTTTACTAACTATTGTGCAAGACTAGGAGTTTTCCTTTTTCATTGGAGTATTCAACAAATAATGTATTGTGAAGAATCTATGTGGTCCCAAAGCATTTAGTCAGGGTGGTAATGCTGAAGAGTTCATTTTTGGTGAACTCTTTGTCTATCTACATTATTGCCTGTTACGTCTTTGGGAGATCAATACAATTCGAAACCCGTGAACCCATTCAATTTATTTTGATTGGATCTTATACCGTTTTGGTATTGAGATGTAGTTCACAACCCCCCCTGTTGATAGTTTTTATCGACAACCCTTTTTTAGAATTGTTACGGAATCTTTTTTTGAGTAGAAATTTATCCTTTTGTTTGTTTTATACATTCATATCAATGGTTTATTTCATAGTATAGAGGCCGACATTTTTCAACACAAATTTCCACATTTTTTTCATCCTTGCATTATTTGTGAAACAACTCCACAAGAGACTCTTTCTTGCAATATTAATATTGTTGATTGTTTTTTCTTTTTACTAACATTATTATTATGACATTAGGCTGCATGGGTTAAACATTTATCTAAATCATACCCAACATTAGCATTCCATGCTTCTATTACAAATTCATTTGGTAAAGGTTCATTAATTCAACTTTTACGTCAATTTTCTACTTTACATTCTGATAGAAAACAAATTTCTGTCGGATTTATTGGATATCCAAATACTGGTAAATCCAGTATAATTAATACCTTGCGTAGAAAGAAGGTTTGTCAAGTTGCCCCAATTCCTGGAGAAACTAAAGTTTGGCAATATATCACATTAATGAAACGTATATTTTTAATTGATTGTCCTGGTATTGTTCCACCACTGGCTAAAGATTCTGAATCTGATATTTTATTCCGTGGTGTTGTTAGAGTTGAACATGTTTCTAATCCTGAACAATTTATACCTGATATGTTGAAAAAATGTGAACGTAAACATTTAGAAAGAACTTATGAAATTAAAGGATGGAGTAAATTTGAAGAAAATGAAGAATTGTTAGAACAAGCAAGTACGGAATTCATTGAATTAATTGCTAGAAAACAAGGTAGATTAATTAAAGGTGGTGAACCTGATGAAGTTGGTGTTGCTAAACAAATATTGAATGATTTCAATCGTGGTAAAATTCCATGGTTTGTTCCTCCTCCAAAGGATGAAGAAGATGAAGAAGATAAAAAGAAGAAATCTGGTGAAGATAAAAAAGCTGAATATAAGAGAAAGAGAAAACAAAGAGAACAACAACAAGAAGAAGATGTCGATGATGAAGAGGAGGGTACTACTAGTAGTAGTAATAAAAGGGCTAAAATAGAGGAAACTAAATAGAAATATTTTAAAAGGATAATATATTTATTACAAGTTTACGTATAATAATTATAAACATTTTATTTCTTATTGTTGTATTACACTCTACCACCAAAATGTACCATTCCACCCTTGTTTATACTTGCAACTGGAGTTGAAGGGGTTGAAATACCATTCATTCTAATAGCTGCTGCAGTAGTAGCAGTGAAAGAATCATCATTATTGACAGATGTGGATGTATTAGTTGTTGCATTCGATGTACTTCCATTGGCATTAAAACTTCCTAATCCCCAAATTATCCCCTTAAATCTATTTAATACGGCTATATTTGAACGTCTTAATAATTCTTTAAAACATTCCATTGACAAATATGCATGCAAAGTAGATGATAATTGTTGAGAATGGAAAGATGCATTTGTATTAGAAGCAGTTGATGAAGAATTGGTGAAATGTTGACGAATAGCTGGAGAAATTGGTAACAAATGCAATTCTTCAGCTAAATATTCAATTGATGGTTTATTGTTACTATTACTTTTATCATCTGGGGTATTTGTACCATTGGTTAGACCAGAGTTTTTATTCAAAATTTGATTACCAATATATTTCAAATCATAATAGTTTGGGAAATATTTACCACACCACCAATAGAAATCAGGTTCATCAACTGGTAAATCACGATTCAGTAATAAACTTACAAAGAAACCCAAGTCATATCCAGCATGGAAAGAAATCCAGTTTATATTATCATCTAAAATCAAACCACTCTCAATCATTAATTCAGAAAAATCGAAATGTGGAATACCTTGAGTTGAATGTAATTGGAAATTGATTTGAGAACTTTGTGATAATAAAGATAAATGTTCTTCATTGTACATTTCTTTAGACAAATCATACAAGAAATTGAATTGCCATATAATAGAAGAACTTATAACATCATTTTTAGTAATTTTAACAACACATAATGATAATTGAATCAAGTTTAGTAAATCCGAGTTTGTTCTTAAAGTTTGAAAATGATAATCAGATGATGATTTAAAAGTACCCACGGGCCTAGCTACAATCCCAGGAATTTCTTGATGAATAGAAATATAAATCTTGGAAGTTTTGTCATTTATAAATGTCCTTAATGATTGAAACTCATGTTCTAAATTATGAGCCCAAACTTCTTTAATAATAGGAATTGACTGTGGTGCAACTGGTTGTACTTGTTGTTGTTGTTGCTGCTGTTGTTGAGCTTGTTGGATTTGCTGAGCTTGTAATTGTTGGAACTGTGCTTGTTGCAACTGTTGCTGTTGTCGTTGTCGTTGTTGCTGCTGTTGCTGTTGTTGTTGTTGAAGCTGTTGTAATTGTAATTGCTGTAATACTGGATTTGAGGATAAACTGCCTGGGGTTGATGTGGTATTTGAATTTGCACTTCCTCCATTCAAAATTGCCAATAATGGGTTAGCTGAAGTAGGTGTGGTTATTTGTGGTTGCAGTTGCAGGGTCTGTTGTTGTAATAACTGTTGTCTTTGTAATTGCTGTAATTGTAATTGACTTAATTGAGGTGACTGGCCCGACTGGGTTTGGCCAGCCTGTGGTTGTTGCTGTTGAACTGATTGTTGTTGGCCTTGCAGTTGTTGTTGTTGCTGTTGCAAATACTGAAGATGGGGGTTAAGGTTCATCATTTTATCTTAGTCAAGGATTATTTCAAGTTAGGTAATAATAAATAACAACAAGTCACCCAACTGATTCTTTGATTTCGTTGAAGCAATTTTTTTTTTCTTCTTGTTTTTTTTTTTTCTTACTGCGAGTTTTTTTTTTTTGGTTTTCGATGGAAGAGGATTTTCTTTTTTTTTTCTGTTGGTTGTGGTTTGTTGAACCTGGTTAATTTTTACACACACACACACTCAATATACACTACAAACCTTTACAAAATATGGGAGGTTTTATTACAGTCATAGTAAATGTATGGTATTGATTAATTGCATACTTACAATTGTTCCCTGTAGTTGGTTATGTCACCACCACTGGAGTCTTGTAAATAATTGTGGTCACCAACTTTTCTTGGTTTGATCAAGTATTGTACCAAGAAAGCAACACCCAATACCAAAGCAACTACGGCAATGATGATGTAAATAACTCCAAGACTCATATTTCTTCCCCCAAAAATAGTATTTGTCGTGATCACCAAACTCTTGGTACCACCAAAGATTTCCACAGGGTAATTCATCTCAATACTGATATGGTATGTACCTTCTGTCATTACTTCAGTTTTGTTTTGACCATACAATTTGTAAAATGTAGGTAGAGCAGCAGTTCTCATCCAATTCTGCAAGTGTTCCCAGGTATGTAAATCTGGCATATTGTCTTCAGTATATCCATCAGGGAACATGGCATCCCAGTTTGGTGGTGGAACAACTTCATCTGGCTTATACGATGTTTTCTTAAATTTATGACTACGATCCAGGGGCCATGAGATACCTTCATCACTGAAAAGATAGGTTTCATTGTTCTGACCAGTTCTTGTATTCAATAACACTGCATCAGATATAGTATCATTGAAATAACTATTGGCAATCAACCCGCATGGATAAATCAATTTCTTTTCACCATTGTATTCACGATGTTTCAAAGGTTTACAATTATCAGTGGTATCATCACTTGATAAAGCTTGTCCTCTCAATTGTCCCAAATCATAACTTTCGACATATTTACGATGGTTTTGATAAAAATTTGTCAATTTATAGTACAAGAAAATAGGTGGTTTCCAATCCCCAGCAACATCAAATTGAATAACACAAGTATTATCATTTTCTAATTTCCATTTGAATCCAGGGTTCAGACTTTGATGGTATCCAGTGTATTTCTTTGGGATACTAGTGAAATCATCTGTTGACGCTTCTTCAGCGCACCTGGAGTAATCGACATTGAGTTCTTTGACGTTATATGTTGTGAAAATTATAGCTATACCTAAGGGGGTAAATATTATTGCCAATAGAATTAACAAGGGTATGACCGATTTAGGAGTTAATATGGGTTGCCATGCTTTTAATCTTTGTTGTCTAAATGCTGTATTTGGTGGTTTTCTTGATTTATGAATTGCACTCTGTGGATCATTGTTTAAAATATCATCATCGTCATCATCATCTTCAGATGACCTTCTTTTACGTAAAAAGTTCATGAATTGGTTGTGGAAGTTATACTTTGAATATCAACAAGGCACAGCACCAATAAAAAAAAAATTAAAAATGAACACTCAAACAATAAGAAGAAAAATTTAGGCAAAAAAAAAAAAAGAATCTCAGCATCAACTTTGAAAAGGAAAACACGTGAATGTCGGCACGACATTATTGAGACATAAATCTCTGCAACCAAAGTACCGCCCTAATGGCCATTGGAAGAATAGATTGTGACTATTTAAAATTGTATATCAATCAATGTTGGTAGATTTTTGACAGGATTGTCCATAGAAAAAACCCCACCCATAGTTGAATATGCTAATATCAAACAGGAATAAAGATCTACTCTTTTGAAACGCGTTGCTGAAGCAAACATTGTTTTTTCTTTTTTGTTTTTCCTGCATTCTCCCTCTTGATTCTTATCTCCTATCTTTATGTGGGAATGACTCATCAACTCAAGAGACGAGCTATAGTTTAAGTTTAAATCCCGTCTTGTTGTTATCAGTTTACTCCCTTCCCCGATACATTATCAACAAACCCTTTTTAACAACAAGTGCGAGTAATAATATCTGGGGATGTGTACACGACCAATTCAATTTTTGCTTTTCTTTTTTTTTTTTTTTCTTTTCTTCTTTTGCTTGATGAGAATTTTTTTTTTCTCTATTCTCTGTTTTTCACAGTATCTCTTTTACAATCAGGTTTAAAGATTCCACTAATTCCCTCTTCAAGTATATGATAAAGACATTACTCAGAAGAATGTCAACTAATACCATACCATCAACTACTAACGGTAGCACCACTTCTTGGACTGCTGCAAAAGTTAGATCTACTTTCTTAGACTACTTTAAACAAAACAAACACACTTATGTCCCATCTTCATCAGTTGTCCCACATAATGACCCAACTTTGTTGTTTGCCAATGCTGGTATGAACCAATATAAACCTATTTTCTTAGGTACTGTTGATCCAGCTAGTGATTTTGCAACTTTGAAAAGAGCTGCCAATTCTCAAAAATGTATCAGAGCTGGTGGTAAACACAATGATTTAGAAGATGTTGGTAGAGATTCTTATCATCATACATTCTTCGAAATGCTTGGTAACTGGTCTTTCGGTGATTATTTCAAAAAAGAAGCTATTGATTTCTCTTGGGAATTATTGACTAAAGTTTACGGTTTGCCAGAAGATAGATTATACGTTACCTATTTTGGTGGTGATGAAAAACAAGGTCTTGAACCAGATTTAGAAGCCAAAGAATTCTGGTTGAAAGTTGGTGTTCCAGAAGATCACATTTTGCCAGGTTCTGTTAAAGATAATTTCTGGGAAATGGGTGACCAAGGTCCTTGTGGTCCATGTAGTGAAATCCATTTCGATAGAATTGGTGGTAGAAATGCTTCTGATTTAGTCAATATGGATGATCCAAATGTCATTGAAGTCTGGAATGTCGTTTTCATTCAATTCAACCGTGAGGCTGATGGTAACTTGCGTTCATTGCCAAACAAACATATTGATACCGGTATGGGTTTTGAAAGATTGGTTTCTATTTTACAAGACAAATCATCCAACTATGATACTGATGTTTTCTTACCTATTTTCGACAAAATCAGAGAAATCACCGGTGTCAGACCATATACCGGTAAATTCGGTTCTGAAGATAAAGACGGTATTGATACTGCTTATAGAGTCATTGCTGATCACGTCAGAACTTTAACATTTGCTATCTGTGATGGTGGTGTTCCAAACAATGAAGGTAGAGGTTATGTTTTGAGAAGAATCTTGAGAAGAGGTTCTCGTTATGTCCGTAAATACATGAACTACCCAATTGGTGGTTTCTTCCAACAATTAGTTGATGTTGTTATTGAACAAAACAAAGAAATCTTCCCAGAAATTGCCTCTGGTGCTCAAGATTTGAAAGAAATCTTGAACGAAGAAGAATTGTCCTTTGCCAAAACCTTGGACCGTGGTGAAAAATTATTCGAACAATATGCTATCATTGCTTCAAAAACCCCAGAACAAACTTTGTCCGGTAAAGATGTTTGGAGATTATATGATACCTATGGTTTCCCAGTTGATTTGACCAGATTGATGGCTGAAGAAGCTGGTTTGAAGATTGATGAACCAGGTTTCGAACGTGCTAAAGAAGAATCTAGAGAAGCTTCTAAAGGTAATGGTACTAAAGATGGTAAGACCTTGGTCAAATTAGATGTCCATGCTCTTTCTGAATTAGACAAAAACGATGCTATTCCAAAGACAAATGATGAATTCAAATATGGTACCGAAAATGTCAAAGCTACTGTTGTTGGTATCTATGATGGTTCTAAATTTGTTGACTCTATTGAAGACTCAAGCGTTCAATGTGGTATCTTGTTGGACAAGACTCCATTCTATGCCGAACAAGGTGGTCAAGAATACGATACTGGTAAAATTGTTATTGATGGTAAATCTGAATTCAATGTTTCCAACGTTCAAGTTTACGCTGGTTATGTCTTGCACACTGGTAACATCCTCGAAGGTAAATTAAGTGTAGGTGATGAAATCATTGCCACTTATGATGAATTGAGAAGATGGCCAATCAGAAACAACCATACTGGTACTCATATTTTGAACTTTGCCTTGAGAGAAGTCCTTGGTGATGGTGTTGACCAAAAGGGTTCTTTGGTTGCTCCAGAAAAATTGAGATTTGATTTCAGTCACAAACAAGCTCTTTCACCAAAAGAATTGGAAAAAGTTGAAGCTATTTCTAACAAATACATTAAAAACAACGACAAAGTTTTCTACAAAGATGTTGCTTTAGCTCAAGCTAAAGAAATTACTGGGTTTGAGAGCTGTTTTTGGTGAAACTTACCCAGATCCAGTTAGAGTTGTTTCTATTGGTGTTCCAGTTGATGAATTATTGGCTAACCCATCTAATGAAAAATGGAATGAAGTTTCTGTTGAATTCTGTGGTGGTACCCATGTTGCCAAGACTGGTGATATTAAAGATTTGGTCATTATTGAAGAATCTGGTATTGCTAAAGGTATCAGAAGAATTGTTGCTGTTACTGGTCACGATGCTCATGCTGTTCAAAAAATTGCCAATGAATTTGAACAAGAAATTGAACATGCTTCTGGTTTACCATTTGGCCCAGTTAAAGAAGCTAAAACTAAAGAATTGGGTGTTGCTTTAAAGAAATTATCCATTTCTGTTTTGGACAAACAAAAATTGACTGAAAAATTCAATAAATTGGATAAATCAATCAAGGATAACTTGAAAGCTAAACAAAAGGAAGAAAGTAAGAAAACTTTGGAAGTTGTTAACAAATGGTTAAATGACAAAGAAGATTCTTCTGAATTTTTAGTTGCTCATATTCCTATTTCTGCTAATGCCAAAGCTATCACTGAAGCTTTCAACTTGATCAAGAAACAAGACAAGACCAAATCTATTTATTTGTTGACTGGTGAAACTGACAAAGTTGCCCATGGTTGTTATATTAGTGACGAAGCCATTGCTAAAGGTGTTGATGCTAATGTCTTGGCCAAGGCTGTTTCTGAAAATGTTGGTGGTAAAGCTGGTGGTAAAGGTAACACTGTTCAAGGTATGGGTGACAAACCAGAAGGTATCACTGGTGCTATTGAACAAGTTACTAAATTGTTCAAAGAAAAATTGTAGATTATTACATAACGAGTTACAGATTAGATAAATAATGTATCATTGCAGAATATACACACAGAGTAGTTAATTAATAATAATTGAATATTTTAACAACTTTGTAGATAGGTGGGGGCAGAAATTAATCTTTATATACAAATATAACTATTTACAAATGATATATCATCCTTTATTCTTCTTTAACAGGACTTTCTTCAATACCAGCAACGTCTTCTTCTTCTTCTTTATCTTGTTTCTCTTCAATTTGTTTGGTGGCATTTTTTTCTAATTTTTCAATAGCAGCTAAACGGTTATTCAAACCAGTTTCAGCAGATTTACTTAAAATACCCAACATCAAACTAACAGATCTAACAGAATCATCATTACATGGAATTGGATAAGTTAATAATGAAGGTTCCATATCAGTATCACATAAACCAATAGTTGGAATACAAGCAGAAATACATTCTTTAATACAATTTCTATTTTCAACTGGATTCAACAATACTACTAAATCAGGTTTAATGATTTTTTCAGCATGTTTAATTTCATATTGTTTTTCTTTCATATCAATATCAACTTTAGTTTTAACTTGGGAATATTGTTTAGTAATTTCAGTATAATTAGTAATTGTACCTGGAATCCAACGTTTATTAACATAATAACCATGAGATCTTTCACTAGCTTTAATTAAAGCTTCATGAATTGATGAATTGTTTTTATAAGTACCAACATATAAAACAATACCACCTTTTTCAACAACCCCTTCAATAACTTTACAAGCCAAAGTCAATTTTTCCAAAGTTTTATTTAAATCAATAATATGAACTTTATCATAAATACCATAAATGAAAGGTTGCATACTTGCTCTAAATGAAGAAGTAGCATGACCTAAATGACAACCAGCAGCCATTAATTTAGCAATTGTGGTATCATTGTATTTAATTGGATTATTAACATCTCTTTGTGGACGATAAACATCAGTTACTCTTGATCCTAACTTACCGTTTAATCTAGTATGATGTAATTGTCTAAGGTATAATTCTTGAGAAGAATATGGTTTATAATCAGGAGTTGGTTTCAAGTTTGGATATTGAGAAGTATATTGAGATGAAATAGTAGATGATGCTTTACCAGTAGAAGATGAATCGCCAGATGATGTATTTTTATTGGATTCAGAATCTTCTTTAGCCCATGGACGATTAATAGTTAAATGTTCAGGTAAGATAATATTATTATTCAAGAATTCTCTTAATTCTTCATCTAATTGTTTAACTTTATCTTGAGGTAATTTAGATAAATCTTGATTTAATTTATTCAAACGTTCATTGATCAAAGTAGATGGAGTTTTATTTAAAGTTGAAATTAATAGTTGACTTTCTTCAGTTAATTCTCTTATTCTTTTAGTTCTCAAAATAGCTTCTTCTTCTCTTGCCAAAGCATCAGCAATGGCTTTTTCACGTAATTCTTTTTGAGATAATGTATGTGCTAAAGTTTCTGCATCTTGTGCTTGTTGATGTTGTTGTTGTTGTTGTTGTTGGGTTGGTTTTTCAGTGGAATATGTTCTTGAAAGATTCATAAAGATCCTTCTACTGGATCTTGAAGTAGATCTTATCATTGGTGATAGTTGTTGGTTACTAGAGAGTTGATATTCCTGGGTCAATAAAAAAAATTTTCCATTTTTTTTTTCACCCAAACAGAAACCTCGTAGTGTGAATGAATAAAAAAAAAATGTACAAGATCACACGACCTGAAATATCGATATTTTCTTTGGAAGGTTATCAACCAATGCTTTATTACTATAATCAAGAGTTAACTTTCCCAGAGTTGGTGACAGAACTACTATCTCTTGATAATAACAATACGTGCTATATACTAGTAGCAGATCCAGAAATATATTCACAATACATCAAACTCAAGTTATCACCACGAAATATAGTCAATCTTCAGAAGTTTAAATTGATCTTAATTGAATCATGGTCAGAAATTGCTGAGTTTATAACGTCAATAGAAGAACGTTGTACGGTTGTTCTATATGGTATCATTAAATGGTTTGTTGAAATGGGTCATAATGAGGTGAGCCATTTTCTTAAGCCCCATGAATTTTGTGCATGGGAGGTTAACAAGTTGTTTCATAAGATGTTTATCAAACACACAGAGAGTAATGTCAGTATTATCGTCAGTGACGGCATTGGAGAAGAGGAGAATAACTGCCCGTTGATTTGGAATATTAATCTACCCAATATTCGAACACGATTAACCGAAACAAATCAAGAATCGAAAATCAGTTTACGTGTAATATTTATTAAATGGTTTAAAGTAGTCACTCAAATCAATGATATAGAATGTAAATGATGTAAATTGTACAGTTATAAAAGATAATAATAGTGTCATCTTCTTATAAGAATTATTTAGTAGCATCTGCTTCTTCTTGTTCTTCACCATCTTCTTCATCGCCACCAGAAGCAGCATTAGCACCTTGTAAATCACCAACTTGACCCAATTGAGCAGCCAATGCACTAAGATCAGCACCTTCGGCACCGCCTAATCCACCTAATCCTCCGGCAGCACCACCTAATCCACCCAAGGCACCTAAACCACCAGCACCAGCACCTCCCATACTACTCAACATTTGAGAGAAATCTAAACCACCTGGACCACCAGCTGGCATACCATCATTTTCGTCTTCGGCAACTTCATCTTGTTCATCTTCATCTACCCATTTATCAAAATCAGTTTTGATATAATGATACTTTAATTTTTCTTTGGTTAATCTTGGCCAATATTCTTCAGCTTTTTCCTTTTTACGTAAAACAATAAATATATGAGATCCATTTTCAGTATTTATTTTAGATAAATCAGGATCGACTTCTTTGAAAAAATCAATCTTTAATTGATAATCAATTTTAGAATCATTTGATTTAGCACTTAGGGTTAAAAAATCTGGTTTCAAATCTAATTTTAAATCAATTGGATCTAATAGTTCAATTGTTAAATAAATAATATTCTTAGAAGCATCGTCTTCAGATGAACGTTGAGCCCATAAGACAGTTGGAGTTTGAGTAGTAGTTGACATAATTATACAATGGAATTGAATCGAATTGACTTAACTTGACTTGAAAGAAATGAAAAACTGTTGTCCAAGGTTGTCAATTTTTTTTTTAATTTGTTATTTTGCTTTCGTTCGCCCGCTGGAATTAGAGAAAAATGGCACGGACAATGGAACAAAGCAAAGGAAATTTCTCAATTGGGGATTGCCACGCGGTAATCTTCGGGGACCATCACCCAGCAATTTCCGCCACTAAATAAAGCCAAGAAGCATATTTGCTTCTCGAACATTCGACTGGCAAGAAGATGGCCATTGGTCTACGTCATATAAGTACATGAATATTAACAGATACAATAATGATATGAGTATTCCTCATATGATACATTCTCTATATTCTCTATGTATATCTCCTCCCGTAGAAAAGACTAATTTTCATTCAAGCTTCCACAAGAAGCTCTTCATCTTGGAAAAAAAATAAAAAGAATAAAAAGAAAATCTTAATCCCCCACTTTCTTATATGAGTCCCACGAGTTTCTAATGATTACAATATCAGTCCAAGAATTCAAAGAGTATTATCAACAAAATGGGAAACACCCATCCATTGTCAACTCTCCTAATTTTGATACTTCCAAAATATCCGAATCCTTGAAAACCAGTGAAAATGAACCACAACAAGGCATAAATATCAATGATCTAGAAATTGATGTGGAAAATATCCAATCTATTTTACCACAAATGAATGAGGAACAATACCTGGAGTATAATCAACAAAAAAGAATCCATCATGAAAATTTCTTAAGGGAACTCAACGAAAAAGGTTTGACTTTGAAAAACCAACCAGTAACTCCAAATCAACAACCAACAAAAAAACCAATGGATTATTAAATGAAATAATTATTATCAGTATTAAGATCTAATCTTCCATCTAAATATTCACCAGACCCTGAACCAACATTAAAACTGAGATATGTTTTCAAATCTTGAGGCCCAATCACATCTAAATAATTACCATGGAAACTATCTTGAAGTCTATTTAATAACTCATTAGAATAATACCAATAAATCTGTTTATCTTCTATATTGGTCTTCACCCTTGGATTGAAACTATAGTCTTGTTGGTTAACTGTTTGATGACTCAAAATCTTCTTATACTCCCATTGTGAAGAATAAATCTGCAAGTCATGGTCGCTCACGGTTACTTTATTTTCTCGTGATTGATCAACTATGGTTGATTTGGAATCATTGGTTTTACCCCATTGATTATTACCAATTGTTTTAGAATTGTTTGGTGACTTGGGAGATTGTACATCTTCATTGTGTTCGTCTCCTAAATGTCTATACTTTTTGCGTCTAGATTCAAATGGACTGTAATCAAACAGTTTATCTCCATTTTCGTCAATAGAAGGAAAATATCTCGAGTTTGAATTCATATTAAATTGAAACAACTCCTTAAAGGATTGATATTTTCTAGGAATATAACATTCATTATACCATTTATCATTACAATCCGGGTATGCGTCCAACCTAGCATCATTCTTGTAGTCACTCTGTTCAAATAAGTATCTACTATCACGTAAGTAGTTTTCATTATACCAATGTGTATAACTCTTTCTAGCGGACCTTAATTCGCCCACAGCAGTATCATTGTGTAATGCAAAATCATTATGAAGTTCCCACAATTTGGGAGTATCCGGAGAATAGATATAATTACCGAGAAACAAATTGATTGCATCTTGTCGATTCTGATCCATGAAAGAATTGGAATATATACGTTTGATACTGTTTAACATATCTCTAGTATGTGAAGACCATTGGTTGATACGTCTATAAGAATCCATGGTATTCACCAAATTAGATCCACCATACTGAATAGCAATCGTATCACCATGATCATGAAATATTTCTGTAACAACATTGATCAAATCAGAATCGTAATCAAGATTTTGAGTTTCTGTGGTGATTTTTAAACTTCTCAATTGTTGAGTTAATGCTTCTTTGCAGATAATAAACTGAGCTGCATTGGTTCTATCCAAACAATCAATACAATTTGTTCTAATAATCCCCTTCTGTAGTTTTGTAGATGCTAAATTAGTACCATTATGGAAAAATCCAATTTGACTTACTGTAGTAGATGCAATCTTCAGTAGAGGTCCAATCACATCAAGATTCTTTTTCGAGTTTTTAGACATGTCAAAACTAAAGTACTGCAATTTTTTATCCTTAGGCAAAAACTGATCAAGATATTTAATACAATCCATAAAGTATTGGTTCAATTTCAGCTCTCTTGGAGTTTTCTCCTTTTGTTTAATTAAATTAAGAATAATTATTGGCAGTCCATATCTATGGAATAAATCATTAAAATGCAATGCTGAACTTTGATAATATGGATCATTCAAGTTTATCTGAATTGGCGGTTTTGGTAGTTTGTTCATATCTTGGGTCCAGTATAATGGGATTGATCCTCTATGTTGAACAAAACTTGTATATCTAGGACTATTATAAAATCCGTGTTTTGGATCATGGAAAGAAGTAATCAACATATCACTAACAATTTGTTCAGTTTCAATTTCATTGGCAACATTACCTTTATCGTTGACTCCTCTTTTCAAGAATCTAGCACCTGCAAAATGATGTGATCTTCGTGCTATAATAGTGATATAAAATTTTCTACCATAAATGGAAATATTAGCTTGGTCTATAAACCCATGAACAATCGGCTGGAACCATTCATAAGCTGCCACCTCCGGATTCTGCAAAATCGGCAGTAACAATAGATTATTCCACACAAATCTTTCATTATGATCAAAGCTATTGAATAAATCATTGTCATTCACTGAATTAATCCCAAATTGGAAATCTGTTGCTTTCTTTTTATTTCGAATGAAATTTGTCTGCAAAGTGTTGGTAATATCATAACTATAACTGAAATAAAATGTTTTACTAAGGTCCATGTACTTAAAGATCGATAACAATCTTTCTTCATCACTTCCCTTTTCAGGACGTTTATAATTACTTCCTAATGGGATTAATTTAGTTTCATCGATATGGTAAATGAAATGCCCTCCTAATATGGCAACCTGAGAACATTTTGTAATTAAACACAAATAATATCCTTGTGTAAATCTAATCAAGCCCAACATACCATAACCTTGAGCAATCTTATGTATACCTCCTTCTATTGATTCATCTAATCCATTTAACAAAGCAATCATATCCTTTCTAGTATAAAAATAGTTTCTATCCTCAATTATTGATAACTCATTGGGATTAATTTCATCTTTACTTATTTCCATGATTCTAAACAAACTTTCTTTTGAATTACTTCCCACAATGTACATAGTTGAAGTAGAATTATATATAGTGAATCGTTGTAAAATGATACGCTTGTTATTGAATTCTTGTGAACCTTCATTCTGCTGGCTATCTTCTCCCTCACCTCCTTCATATTCATCTTCATTCTCTTGATTTGTTTCCCTTATTTGATGTAATTGTTCTCTTGGGAATTCATCCTGTTGTTGCTGTTGTTGTTGTATTGATGAGGACGGTACTCCATTAGATTGTCGTAATAAGTTGTTGTTCTTATCTTCCTTTATCGTCAGTTTGATTTTATTCTGAACATGTTGATTTAAATCTGAAAGCGATTGAAGAGCACTTTGATCACTACTCGAGTAACCAGATCTTAATTTTGGTTCATTCATATATGATTAATTTGACATGCACTTGAGATCAAATCATGGGGAAGAGCGGATTTTATATTTTCTAATTTTGGTTTTTTTTTTTTTGGTTGTTGTCGTTTCTTTTGATTCAGAAAAGCAACCAAAATCAGATCAAATGAAAATATTACTCTATCTTGAAGATTGTTCAGTATCTAGTTGATATAAGAGTGATGGTTGTAATGAGTTAGGAATCATAATTGTGAACTCTCGTATACCTGAATGCCTGTTGATAATACATCCTTTGAACAACATCGACTGATCTTCTGGTATTGCCAGTTGCGAATATTTACTACAAAAAATTTCAACAAGATTTGACCGAAAAGTTAACCAGATTAAAACAGTTTTAGTAATTACACCAACAAGAATGCTGATATTTGAATGCTTTATGTTCCCAATATCTATATCTATTTAGATCATATTTTCACGCTGTATTCAAAATGGAGCAACCAACATGTCTTTCGCAAGGCAGCCAACTATTATTAACCAGTGGGCGACACTGTAACTGACCTTTGTGGTTGAGATAAAGTAACTCTCTTTCACAAACGACACCATATTATACTCGCACTAAAAGGCAGATGGTTCATAATTGCAAGTATTATCTACTTCGTGATTACACCGTAGCAGAGACATCTTTTATTCACTATCAATAATAACGACTTTATTTATCTATTCTAACATTTATATCAATCTATACACTCAACTAATCCGAATAGACCAACACTAAAGTTGACTAAGGATGGGAATTTTCCACTTGAGTCCTTCATTATCATATCGACAACGTCTTGGTTTTTCATTTTCTTGATCATCGTTCTTAGTATCTTTCCAATCAATAGTATAATCACCAAATCTATTAATGAATTGTCGTTGTTGATATATAGTAGTAAACTTGAAGTATCTTTTCTTGTAATTATTCAAATAGAAAAATCTTCCGTAGTTCAAGATCTTCCTATTATCATATAATATGTAATCTTGTAATGAACTGTTTGAGGAAGTGGATGATGTAGAAACAGAGGTACTCATGGCACTGGACGACAGTCCATTATTCCCATATTCCAATAAAAACTGTTTGTCGTATTTGTCTATGATGGAGAATGGATCTCCATTGCCATACATTTCTCTCCAACATTGAATGCTCAAATCATCTGAATATCCTCCATTCTGAACAAAATTTAATGCCTTGTATAAGTTTTTGAGTAGAATATTAATGAAATATTTATAATCATTTTCATTAACCAGATAATATAACAAATCATACTCGTTGAACAACATAGATGGTTGACTAATATCAATGTAGTACACTCTAAACCCACTCTTTAAATACAAGCCAATTTCTTCCATTACTACTTCAACTCTACGTAGTTTATTATGATGATTCCCTTGTTGAAGTTGGTCAGCAAGATGCTTTTCATTGGCGGAGAAAGGCTGTGGGATTTCAAAATTTCCAAGTTTCAAACAAACAAATTGGTTCTTGGGTAAAATTTCATTGATATTTGTTGGTGGATAGAATGTTTGTGTATTAGTAACTGTCTCACCCTTTTCATTGACATATTGATACTTGATTTCAAATTTAGTTGTGCCTAAACCTTGCCCATTCTTGATTGCCAATGCAATATTCAAATTGTAATTACCAGGAGCCAACCAACATATCTTCTTGAAGCTTAATAAATAAGTTCTGTTTATTTCAACATAATGATTAAATATATAATTAGAAGGTTCATCAATCTTGTAATCACAATACTCAGCATAAAGACGCTTATTCTTCAAAATTGAGTAAATATATTTCCATGAATCTTTAATATATTGACAATTTAACGGATTCACACCTATTGGGTAGCCTGATTCATTAATTATAACAGGTACATCATCCAATTTCAAACGTTTGGCAATTATTAGTCGTGCCTCTTTTCGGAAAACGTCCAATGATTTGATGTATGGTTTTAACCATGGTAAGATCTTGATGATAACGTTGATTGTATCTTCACCAAACACATTTATGATTTTATGATAATACAAGTCTTGATACAAAATATAGAAATGACTATTGACGAATTTTAAATTGGAATTTGGGACCATAAACAATAGTTTAATTTGAATTTCTAATGGCAATTTATCCAACATTGTTTCTAATCAATTTTTTTTTCATTCAGGGTTTTGCCTTTGGGGGTGGATTATTCAATAGGATGGATGGTTCGATGAGAGTGAATAAAACTGATGATTGTCTTTAAAGTACGTTGGTGGAAGACAGAACCAAAAGTAATGATAATAAAAAATTTGCAGATCAATGGATGATTTAAGATGTATGAATGTGTTTCTATCTCCTTGGAAGTATAAGTTTGTGTGTGGGAAGTATCCGTCGGTGGGTTTAATAAATCAGTGGAAGCAAAGACAATAATCGCTGCGCGGGGTTTTTGTATATTAGAAAAATTGGATTATTGCTGATCTGATAACAAACGTATATGATACTAGCAATAATGTAACCTCTACCAACTATTGGTGAACAAATTTTATGTTGAATATACTTAATATACAACAGGTTCCTCTTTCATCAAAACAAGAGTCGAATCGTCTCACGAATTAGAATAAAATACATCTCCTGCTATTATGTAAGTATGATGTAATAACAAAAAAAAATATAAAAACTCTGGCTGCTGTAAGCACACGACTTTCGGTGGAAAGGAATTATCAAACGTTTCTTTAATCATAAGCAGATAGTATACGCCAAATTACATAATCAAACCCTACACACAAATTCATACTAAACAAATACCATATTCCAAAAGTCAACTATTACTTTCTTCTTGCAATGGATTTGAATACAAGACTTTGTTTAAAGTAAAATTGCACCCATAACTCAATAAGCCATAATGGTAAAATCATACTAGCCCAATGAAGCATATTAGATCTAGCTCCATGATAAAGACGGAACCCAGGGTTCCATTTTTTTTCAATATCTTGACATACTTCTTGGGCATATTTCTCCGGAGTTATGTTTACTGTTCTACTCATTTTAGTAGACTTATTCAATGACTCCTTAAATCCATCAACGTCATATAATGACCCACTGGTTTCTGGTTCATTATTATCATCAAACAATGGAGTGTCGACTCCACCAGTTATAACACTATGTACACGGACACCAAAGGGTGCCATTTCTCCGTGTAACGTCAACGCATAAGCATCTAATGCAGCTTTTGTGGCAGAATATACACCAATCCAACTTAATGGAACTTGAACTGCAGATGAACTAGTGAACAATATAGTTCCTTGGGCTTTAATGACCAATGGTGCTAGTAATCTTGTTAAATTCATTTGTCCAATAGTATTTATTTGGAAAATCTTGTTTAACTCCGAGTCTTCAATTTCAATGACTGGACCAGTAACTGATACTCCTGCATTGTTATATAATACTTCTAACTGTCCACCAGTTATTTCTTCAACTTGTTTATAAACACGATTGATATCTTCTGGGTTGGATAAGTCCAAAGGAAGTGAGACTACATTATGATCTCTTTCCAAAACTTCTTGTTCGGGAATATCTGATTGTGGAGAGCAAGCAATTACTTTGAAATCATGTTTCGATAATTCAACAGTAAGTGCACGGCCAATACCAGATGAAGCACCTGTTACTAAAGCGAATTTTGTCATATTAATTGGAAAATGAGGTTTATGGAATAGAACAAAAAGATAAACTAATATGAAACTAGGGGTTATTTTACAAGTCAAGGGATATTAATTCTGGGGTAATTGAGAGTTTGTGCTGTTTTGCAATCCATGCAACTTGAAGTAGGAAGAAAAGATAACAAAAAAGATATACATACAATTGTTGACTAAGGAAAGTTCATACATGAACATACTTCATATAACATAAAGCATGTGCTTATTGTATCACTTATTTACTGATATCGCTGATATACCACCGAGTATAATAAGGATTCTGGAGGTGTACACCCGAATGCTAAAGATAAGCAAAACGCGCAACTACTGCGAAATTTCAATTTATTACTCATCGAAATAAAGATATAAATTATGCCCTTCCCTCGCTTGTTTCCTTTCCCCAGGTTTCTATATAATTTTTTTTAGTTTTGTTATTTGATAACATTTCCATTATATATTAATCAACTACTAAGATGTCCCCTACTGAAAGCATAGAAATGACAACTGTCACTGTCCGGCACCAAGTTAATGCCGAGCCGGAACCGGCATCCTCAGATTCGATAGAGTCCATTTCTCCAATCGCTACTATGAATCAATTATATGGAGAAGACAACCCAGATGACTACCCAGATGGAGGGTTTAAAGCCTATTCGGTAATTTTAGGATCTTTCTTAGGGTTGATTGTAAATTTAGGATTGATCAATTCTATTGGTGCAATTCAAGCTTATGTATCAACCCATCAATTACTGAATCTTCCAGAAACTTCAATTTCTTGGATTTTTTCCATTTATTTATCTTTAGCTTATGCTGGAGGATTGATTACCGGACCAATATTTGATAAACGAGGACCATTAGAAATATTAATTGTTGCTACTGGTTTTATTTTCCTTGGATTAATGGGTGCTGCACTGAGTCTGAAAATTTGGCAGTTTATTTTAAGTTTCATAAGTTTGGGTATTGGAAATGGATTAGGAATGACTCCATTGATTGGAGTTATTAGTCATTGGTTTTGTAAAAAAAGAGGAAATTGCACAGGATTAGCAACCAGTGGTGGATCTGTTGGTGGGTTGATTTTCCCTTTAATGTTGAGACATTCTTATACTACATATGGATATACTTGGGCTATTAGAATTTTAGCATTCACATGTTTAGGATGTATGGTTTGTGCAATCTTTTTAGTTAAGGAAAGATTTAGAAAAGATAAACAAGATGAACAAGAAAATGAAGATAGTGATGAAATTCAAGTTAAGAAATCAAAATTCCTGTTTAGTTTATTCATCAGCAAAATCCGATCAATGACTGTAAGTGATTTCAAGTATATTTATGTTATTCTTGGTGCATTCTTTGCCGAGTTGTCATTGGTTTTGTTGGTTACATATTTTGCATCATATGCTATTGCCCACGGAGTTTCAGAATCCACTTCATATTTATTGTTAACAGTATGGAATGCTACTGGTATATTGGGACGTTGGATCCCTGGTTTTACATCTGACATATACGGCAGATTCAATATTAACATTCTCATGTTGATCTCCTATTGTCTTTGTATATTTGTATTGTTGTATCCATTTGGATCAAGTTTAAAAGTTTTATATGCTTTCGCTGGTGTTGGCGGTTATTGCTCTGGTTCAATTTTAGGGTTATTACCTGCTTGTTTATCTCAAATCACCCCTGTTAATGAAATTGGTACTAAATATGGTATTTTAAATGCAATCTTGTCATTGGCTAATTTGTTTGGTATTCCTATTGCTGCCGCAATTATCAAAAATGGAACACCAAGAGAATATGATCATTTTGTAATACTAGTCGGATGTTTGGCTGTTGCTGGTACATTGTTCTGGTATTTCAGTAGAGTAGCAATTGTCGGGTTCAAGATGAATATTAAGGTATAGGTTAATGTACGAATAGGCTTATGTTTTATTCAATGGAGATCATGTGTGTATTGTTGGAAAAGGTTGCACTTATTACAAATGTCAAGATATACAAAACTGGTATATATTACAACAGTCTAGCAACCAACAAAACACCATTCTAAGCCCAGACTTGTAATTGGTCATAGAAATCAACTCTTTTATGGTCCAAATTACTGAGATTATGGCTCGTGAAATAACGAACTTCATCAACCATTGTTGGGTTTCCACAAGTAACAAAGGCGATTGAACCCTGAGATTCACGAATTTCATCAACAATCAAATCTTCAATTGATGGCCTTCCTTCATTAAACTGAATATGAGCCAATCTCAACTTGATGGATTCTTTGTCGTCGTCTTCACATTCCTTGTTGTCTAATTTTTTATCAACGTCACTACTAGTAGACACCTCTGAACGTGTAACATAAATGGTAGTCTGTATGCTAGTATCTTTCAACTGTTTAAGTTCATCATAGAACCAAATCAACGAGGAGTACTCTTTAACAATCCAAATCAATTTAATTATCTTCTTGGAGTTCGGCAGTACTTTTCTTGCCATGTATGTAGCTTCAGAATAAAGACCAGGGATACCATTTCCACCTGCAATATACACAGTCGTATCGGCTCCTCTAGCTGGTGTTGGATGGCCATATGGACCTTCAACGGCAACAGTAATAGAAGCAGTCCGACCTGGCTGTTTAGCCAAATATTTACACAACCCATGTGTCATACCTCCTTTGACTTTACAGAAAAGAATAATATTCTTACCATCTTGTGAATCAACAATTGTAAACGGATGTGATTGCCAGAAACAGGAAACACGGAAGAAAGAAATAAATATATAACCACCAGGAATAGAATACCAGTACCGTGGTTTAGAGATAACAACTTTAATAGTGTCGTTAGTCATCAAGGTAACTTTGGCTCTGGGGAATCCAAACCACAACAACCTAACAATTCTAATCAATCTATCAAAACACCAAGGTGCAATACTAGCATAACAGAACCAAACGTAACCAAGATCATCAACATGAATCCATGTACCAACAATATAAATGGCAACCATAACTATGTGAATGAACAAAAACATTTCATAGCAATTCCGTCTAAAGTAAAGTATTGTTTGAATCATTATCAATCCACTTGCAACTGTAGCAATAATTCCCCAGTAAAAATATGGTTCAGCTGCCCATTGACTATAATAATCACGATCCTCAATGGTGAATGCAACCGAGTGAAGAACAACTAATACAAACATTACTCTAGATATATGACGATGATAAGTCATAAACTGATTATAGGACATACCAGTTATCCATTGCATAAAGTTGTTTCTACCACCAAAAAGGAAAACCAATGGCATCATAACAATTGCAACTATCCCTGTACGATCGGCAACAACTCGAATTAGAAACTCATATTTGCTTTCAAATACCTCCAGCCCTTCAACATAGTGAATTTTAATACAATGAACTACAATAACATAAGCATAGAATCCAAGAATTACTAACGATTCGTATCTTGATGGTATCAAACAATCAAAGTATTTCAATAACGGCCACTGCTGTGCCTTTCTTTTTCTAAATGTTGCTGGCATGGAAACATATTCTCTCCACCAGGTTATGGGAGCAAATGTTAATCGATTAACCAACATAGGGAATAAAAATTTTGTCCAATTTACAACGCCTTCAATTATCATTACCAATAACCAATAACCCAAAGCACCTGCCCCGTAATAAAACGAATTATCAAAGTTGCCTAAATATTGATCATATGCACCTTTAGTCAATAGAATCATGGTTGTGTTAAGTTTAAGTGGGACATCAATGGGGACACTGAAATTAAAATTCGGTATATCACTTAATTCAACAGCATGTTCAAGGTAGTATTGGTAAGATTCATCAAACCAGTTCTTAGAAAGAGTCGTACCTCCATCAATGAAACAACTATCTTCGGCAGCTTTAATTACTTTAGTTGAATTTCTATTATGATAAGCCATACAACCAGCTAATGTTGCTAACCCATTCTGATTGGAACAAATACATGAATAGACACCCATTTTACTACAAAATTTAGCAGTAGTAAATGTCTGAAAAATACACGCCCAATATACTGTTGATTCTCCATAGATTTTGAATTTCATATTATGAGCAACTGAAAATGTTGCAAAAAAAGCAATGATAATAAAATGACTCAAACAAACCATTATATTTCTTTGAGTATTGTCAAGGGGTGGAGATAGGAAGAGAGAGAAGATTAGAAAGGGGGAATTCAAGTTAATACTTGTGGGAAAATGGTGATTTTATATACTTACAATATTAATCAAGATATAACCAGAGTTTTCAAATACCTCTAAAACTCAAATTCATGGTATAAACACCACATGCTAGAACAGTTTATTATTTACAGAAAATTTTCGGAATTTGGGAACTCAGAATGCCCCAGTAGAACCAATAACATGATTGCAAATGTGATTGCAAAATGAAATCGAGATTATAAGTTGCGCTCATGGTTATGAGTTCCCACATTTTGTCTGATATTATCTTAAACATATTTTACTAATAACAACAAAATCCCCCAACTACAAATTCATTAATTCACTTCCCGTTAAACAAACGATGTCAATTGGTTCCCGACAAAATTGCAAATTAGTTTGGGTTTAATTGCAAATTAAACTCTTGGCAAAGTAAAATTAAACTTGTTTTTAGTTAACCATATGGCAAAAACAATAAATAAAAGGAACCCCCAAAAAAACATTCTAGCCAATGGAAGGCATCCTGGTGGTTAGTTTCTTGTGTTTCTGCTAGGTTCATTTAACGCATTTACGGGATCAACGAAAAGTACGATTTTGATTCAATGCCACGGGAATAAGTCTACACTGCACTTCAGAGAAGTTACAGTTGAAAGAAACAGCAGAATCTGTATATTTCAATTTAGAATTAATAATACCTATAAAAGGACTAATGATGCACGTTCTTTTGTATTCGAAATCATGACGCAGCACATTTATAGGATGTAACCAAGGTACACTCGTAAAAACCGCAAAGCCTTTAGTTGAGATACCCTACCCCGGCTGGTAGTAGTAGATGTCTCGAACATACTGATAGTCAAAATATTAAGAGCAAAACAGTAAGAAATTACTGAGGTTTTTGACATATGTCTCAGATCAGACAATTTTCCATCATTACTATTATTATTATTATATCTTGACATAAATCCGCAGCCACGCCAAAAAAAAGTTCAAATTAAATTTCCGCGTAATGATTTGACATGGTGTTTATAGATAATAACCCGACCATTCCTTGTTTTCAAATTTTATTTTTAATTGTTCACTTTTTCTTTCCTTTCTTCCTTCCTTCCTTCCTTCAAACTGTTATCTTTATAAATCATTATCATAATCATGACATTTAAACCAAATCCATCATATATCAAAAGCAAAGAAGACGCTGAGATCTTTATTTCCACCTTTGATAACTTCTTATTAGATTGTGACGGAGTTATCTGGTTATCAGAAACATTGATTCCTGGAGTAGGTGATTTTCTTAATTATTTAGAAGAGAATAAGAAGAACTATGCCTTTGTCACTAATAATTCATCTAAATCAAGAGAATCCTATTTAAAGAAATTCCATGAATTAGGATTAAACATTCGACAAGAACAAATATACACCACGGGTTATTCGGCTGTTTTGGAGTTACAACGTTTAGGTATTAATCCAGGTAGTAAAGTTTGGGTATTAGGAGATGAAGGTATTGAAGAAGAATTAAGAATTGAAGGGTATTTCCCAATTGGTGGTAGTGATCCTGCTTTAAATGATGAATTTTATCCTAAACATCCATTGTTAACTGTTGATCCCGAAGTCAGAGCCGTAGTTGCTGGTTCAACAACTGCTTTCAATTTCCTTAGATGTGCTACTACGTTACAATATTTGATGCATGATAACAAGAGTTTACCATTTATTGGAACCAATGGGGATCGTAACTATCCAGGATCATATGGTTTAACATTACCTGCTGGTGGAGCATTAGTTGAACATCTATCCTTCTGTTCAGAAAGAAAATATACAAATGTTGGCAAACCTGATACTGTATTAGCAGAGACTATTTTACAAAATACTGGGTTTGATAGAATGACAACAGTTATGATTGGCGATACATTAACTTCAGATATTAAATTTGGTAACGATTCAAAGCTAGGCGGCGGGAATGGAACCATGTTGGTTTTATCTGGTGTTACTAGTTTTGACGATTTAAAGTCATTATTGGAAAGACCACATCATTTAGAAGAACACGAAGAAGCATTGGTTCCTAGATTTTTTGTTGATTCATTAACTAGATTGATTCAACTTTTGGTTGAATAGGGATTAGACTGGAGTATATATATATATATAGGTAGTTTGTTTCTTTTGGATTATAAATATATAGAGTTAGATACTATTTGTTGTTGCTCTCTATTATTGTCAAATTCTACTTACGCTATCATACACATTCTTACCTCTTGTTCTTTTGTTTGATTTCAACATCTTTAGTAGCATGTAATTTAATGATATTTGGATAATCTGGTCTGTTGCCCATGTACCCCAAAGACCAATCATAACTGACCGCATAAGCAAAAATAGTACCATTCTTGTTGAATGCAGTTGCAGATACAGTACCCGGCAATTCTGGGAAACTTTTCAATCTTTGTTTAGCATCTTTATCCCAGAAACAGAATGTACCATCAGATCCAGCTGTACTGAATGTACCATATATTGGATGGAATGAAATAGCATTGACTGAGAAAGCTTGTGATTCATTAGAACTTGAACTGGTAGTTCTTAATCCACCAGTTGAAGTGGAACTACCACCACCTTGTTTTCTATGACATTTGAATGAGAAACCAAATTTCTTTTGTTCATTTTCTGTGATGTATTGTATAGCACATCTACCTTCAATTGAACCAATAGCAAAACCATTTGCCTGTGGATAACATGAAACAACTCTGGTTTGCCATTTCAAAGGAGATTGCGAACTCTTGAAGATTTGTTGGGGGTTATTTAAATCAATTATACTAATATGACGATCTGCACATCCAACAACTAATAGTTTCTGTGAACTATCCATGGAGTAGACTCTTTCTGGTAAATTGATTGTGGAAACTGGCTGAGGTGATCTCATGTCCCAATATTTTAATGTTTTATCCCAGGATCCGGAGGCAACAACTTGTGTATTAGTAGGTCCACATTCAACATATCTAACTGATTTCACAGCAGAATCATGTTGACCAATTTGTTGTGCTTGTTGGGTTGCTAAATCGAATATTTTCACTTGGTTGTCTGCCCCACCAGAGATGATTTTTGTACCATCCAAAGACCAACGTGATGAGAAAACTGGAGCATTATGTTCATACATGGCTCTACCCATGTTGTTACCTGTATTTGAATCCACTTCATAAATTCTGACTTTTTTATCCCAACTTGCGACGGCTAATAAATCTTGTTGTGGTGAGAATGAAAGATCTTCAATTGAGTCTTCAGGAGGGTTGTTTATCGTTATATCATTCAATAGTTCTTGACCTGTAACTGCACTTGATGCTGAAGTAGTAGAAGTAGTTGCCGCACTTCCTAAGAATGACATGATTGGTAAATTGGGTGTATATAATTTATGACCTTGATGGAGGGAATACTTCTTGATATTGTTTTGAATTTTTTTTTTTTTTTTTTGTTCGCAGAATTTTTCTTCTTCGAATTTTTTTTTTTTCTGTTTGGATTTCCCAGCTGAGCTTTTGGAACAAAAACTTTGTTCGTCCACCACCACGGGTCGATGATGATGATAATCTTTTCTCTCTCTCTCTCTCTCCACCCACTCATCATTATCTAACTAAAAGATTAAGCCACACCACTTGTATCCACCAACAGACTCAAACATATATAGAAAAGCAATGGATGCGTTTGGTTCCCAGAATAGTACGAGAGAGTCATATGCTCTTGACTATACAATTGATGAAATACCAGTGTTGTCGTATAGAGGGAGCAGTCAATTAGAGACTTACCACAATGAAACAACTGATCTTACTTCTACAACTTATGAAGAAAACACATTCATAGATTGGCCCAAGGAATCCATAAAAATATCAAGAAACCACTCATTCTACCTAGCTAATAAATGGATAGTGGTAACACTTGCAGCAATTGTCTTGGGTTACATTGCAGCATTTATTGACTTTATCCAAGTAACTTTGAATGATTTAAAGAAAGGAATTTGTCTAAGCAAAGAAGATTCTTGGAGTTTGTTAAATCCTTATCTGTCTTGTCCTCTGGATGACTGGTATGATTGGGATAATTTTTTATTCAAAACAGATAATTTTATTACTAATATGTTTGTGAACTATCCTATTTATTGTATATTTGCCGTGGGGTTCTCATTAACTGCAGCATATTTGACATACAATAGAGTTTATTTGATTAGACAATCCGGTATCCCTGAAATCAAGTTAATCATTGCTGGATTTAACCTAAATATTAAAGAATATCTCAGTGCAACAACATTATACTACAAAATCATAGCATTGATATTTGTAGTTAGTTCTGGGTTGTGGTTAGGTAAAGAAGGTCCGTTAGTTCACGTATCGTGTTGTATCTTTAACATCATTTATGATCTTGCCACTAGTAAGGACAACAGTCGAAATGAAGCCATTCGAAGAGAATTGATTAGTGCTGCTACTGCCACAGGTATTTCTGTTGCATTTGACTCTCCAATTGGTGGAGTATTGTTTGTTTTGGAAAGTATGCCGAGTTTTTTCATGCCTACAAGGATTATGTGGAATTCGTTTGTTTCTGCTACCATAGCAGTTATTGCTGTCAGTGGGTTTAAAGTTTTCACTGATGGAAAGAATTTCAACGAAAAGGATTTGTTCCAAGTTAGTTTTGGTAATTTTAGTTGGTTGTTTATGGAGATTATTCCGTTTATATTGTTGGGAGTTTTAGGTGGATTATATGGTCATTATTTTATCAAGTTGAATTCAAAATTTTCCAGCATCCAATTTAGAAAGAATGTTAGAAACTATTTGAGTAATTTATTCAAAGTCGATGCAAAATATGGACCTATTTTGGAAATCTTAATTGTTGCATTTATCACAACTATATTAAATTTCCCATTAGAAATTTCCAAACTTCCTTTGACTGCATATTTGAATTTGTTGTTCAAAGACTGTCCAAAAGATGCTACGCCGTCATTAAACTCAACCAATTTCATGTGTTCTTCATCAAATGATTTCACTTTAGTTAAATTGTTGTATATTGTAACAGAAGGATTCTTATTAACTTCTTATACATTTGGTGTTGACTTGCCCGGAGGTATTTTAATGCCAAGTTTGGTTTTGGGTGCTACTACAGGTAGATTTGTGGGTATTTTATCACAGATTCTCCAACTGAAATTCAACTGGGAAAGTTTAGCAACATGTACTGAACAATCATGTGTTGTTTCCCCAAGTTCCTATGCAGTTATCGGAGCTGCTTCTTTCATGACAGGTATAACTAAATTAACCATGTGTGTTGTTGTTATCATGTTTGAAATGACCGGTGCAGTTACATATGTCTTACCCATTATGTGTGGTGTTATGACTTCCAAATTTGTCAATGATTGGTTATGTCCTAATAATATATATGATACTTGGTTACAGAATAATTTTAACCAGAAAGATGATGATTACGATTTGCAACAATCTCAGAATTTGGTTAATCATGGAAAAGGTACTGGGTTGATATCATTCCTGAATTCTACAAGTACTATCAAGACTAAGTTACCTGACATTTCTGTCAAATCATTGATGGTGCCATTAAATCAAGTCAAGTGTCTTTGTTTAATCCCAGAAAATGGTGATTACACATTGCTGAATTTAACTAGTTTTATCAACGATGACTGTCATGAGGGGTACCCGATGATTATAAACTACTCAAACCCTGTATATCTCGGATATGTTCCAAAATTGCACCTTCTATCGAAATTATCCAATTTAGATGATTCAACTACTCCAATTTCATTCCAAGTTGAAAATCTTCCTACATCTGCATTATCCATCCAACTACACTATGAGCGTAAATTGAATGATTTTATTCATTTAGATATAATCCCAACACGATCTCCATTTAAATTCAATGAGGATACACCAGGATTATTGATTATTGAAGCATTTGAAAAACTTAACTTGAACAAGCTTGTGATTTTCAAAGACGATGGAATTATGTGTGGGTTCATTGATCGATTTATCTTGACAAACTTGGTCAATGATAAATTCGAAGGGTTGGTTAATGAGTTTAACGATTTTGAAGCAATTAATGAATATGATCTAGAGACAGGTTTACTGAATGAGATGTTGAGCACGGGTGATTTGAGAATTAATAGAAAATCAATTGAATTGATTACATAGATAGTTTTATTTTCTGTAATACACATCTACTCATTTATTTATAAACTCACTACACAAATATTGGTTAAAATTTAACCACATACAAAAAATTCAAACATCAAACTACAAAGTGACTTGTTATAGTTAAGTACCAACAGAAACTTAAGCTTTTTATTCATCATCCTCTTCACCAGCACTAGAATAAACATCACCTGTATCTTCAATATATGGATTTTCAACTTCCTTTACACTTTGATCTTCTTCACCAAGACGTCTGAGGATTTCTTCTCTGATTTTATCATCTTGATGGTTTAACAATTTCCAAGCGGCTCTTCTAATTTCAAATGCTCCACCCATTTGCATGACTTTACTTTGAACTGTACTTTCATCATCATCTGGATTGATTTTTAATTTACCTTCAGCTAATTGAGACTTGGTTTTTCTCTTTGGTTTTTCTCTTTGCATGACAAATTCAGTAGGAGCACGCTTCTTTTTCTTTGGTTTTGCAGCTGCTTCATCTTGTTTAGATTTTTTATTTTTTGATCCTTTAGGTTGATTAAATTTAGTTTCTTCTTTCCAATTTTGTAATTCATCCATATCACCTTCCAATAAAATTGAAATAATAGAACGTCTAGATCTTTTAAGTGCAAATCTTTTAAATTTCTTCATAAAAGCTTCATACCAAACACGACCAACAGCAAATTCTGGATTTCTTTTACGGCCAAGACGACAAGCAAGTGCTATAACTTCATGTTTAGTAATACCCCAACCATTATCAATTCTTAAATCAATAAATTCAGCAATACAATCTTCTTCTTCTGCATATAAATTTTCAGTTTCTAAAATTTTGTTCATATCCATTGATGGATGAAAATAGCAATACAGTCGTTGCAGTTTTATTTCGCGCTAGTTTGAGCATAATTTTCAGATCAGTGAGTCAAAATTATTCGCACTATTTGCAAAGAAAAGTTCATATTAAGGCGGTCAATATTTTTGATACTAGTGCGCAAAAAATGTTCATATTACATGACCTCTATTTGTTCATACTGAAAATGTATGATATATGGTATGAACAAAAAAGGGCAGCTAGTTTGAAAGTATTATTTCCGCTGGTGTGAACATTTTGACTCCATTTACTATGAACAATTAATCTCCCTTACTATAAATTAAATTGTCGCACTAGTATTAATAATTTCTTTGAACTTGGTACGAACTGAAAGTAGAAACACTGTATCTATTTTTACGTAAATCCCCAGTTTTATAAGCATGATTAGCTGTGAATCTCTTCATTGAACTGGCAAATCTAGTGGACTCATTACCAGCAGGAACTATAGCAGTAGTCATGGTATATTTATCTTGACGTTTGACTTATTTTGACCAAAAGAAAGAATCTATTTGTTTATGGTTTTTTTGGTTCAAAATTTTTTGTTTTGATTCAATATTTATATAAACACGCCCGCAAAAAAAAAATTGTTAATGAAGACGCGAAATTTTTATTTTGAACCGGGGGAACGACCCTGGCTGTGTGTAGGATATTGGGTTTGTGGACACGACTTTCTTGATTTTGTTGATGCCGCGACGCCATGAAATCAAAACAAAGCAATATAACCACCAAGGGGGAGTGTAATAGAAGTAATTAGTACTTAGAGGGAAGAGGTCTACATAGTTAAAAATGGCCAAGAGTATATTAAAGGATAATCACACACAACCAATTGAGGGTAGTTCTCAGTTTGTTCAATTACGATCTCAATCACAAACGCAGAGTATAACCCAAACAAATAGAAGAGTATCATTTGCAAGAGAAGTAACGTTGCATAAGATTGATTATATTCAGAATCCAAATAATAAACGACGTAAGACTATTGCTGGCGATGAAATACAGTCTAGTCAAGAAAGACGTCTATCACTCGGTGAGATATCCAAGGGATCATTTCTGGATACAGATGGTGGTAGTAATAGTGAAGATGAAGGAGGAACAAGAATGATCAGTGATAGCTCTGAAGAAGAGGAAGAAGAAGCAGAACATAGAAACATTGAAGCTGTTGGAGATATTGTTGATGATAGTGATGATGAAGGAGTTAATCATGTACAAGAAGATGTGGAATCAGAAGATGATAAAACTATGGATTTAACTGATACCTTGAAAGAAGCTAGAGAGACCATGAGAAGAATGGAAAAGGATCAAGATGATGAGCAAACTATGGAACTAACTGGAACTATTCCTAGACAAGCAGCCGCTAGTACAGAGAAGGTAGGAGTTGGTTTTCAAATTTTTGATGTACCCGCTGGAACTGATCAAGTTATTGATGAAGGTGATTCAGATGATAGTATCAAGTTCATCAAACAATCAATATTAGCGGAACCAGCCAATTGGGTTTCTGATCCGGTACTTAAATCTGAACCAGTTGCAGAGAAGAATGTTCCTGATAGTCAAGATGGCGACAATGAAGATGATACTCAACCAATGGAGTTGACACAGACATTACCTAAAACGGTGAGTAATACCATTGAAAAACCAGTACTAAAAGATATAACTGAAGAAGAACATAGTCATTCTGATTCAGAAATTGATGAGATGGCTGATGAATTAGAAAATGACATGCGAGATATTGAAAATGATGGAAATCCAGACATAGAAGAGTCAGGAGATAAAGTTGCTATTGAAGAAGGAGATGGTCTTGAAAGTCAACTGTTTCATCATAATGATCTTTCCGAGCATATGGACTTGACATTGGTGGATGTGAAGAAAATAAATCTTGATGAACCGACCAATTATACTGATGACAATGAGATTTCTATGGCTATGGATTTGACTATTATTCAACCAAGGAGGGAGTTGTTACGAGAATCCGCTACTGGTACAGCTCTTACTACTGTCAAGGAATCAAATGAAGAAAGTATGTCTAAAGTTGATAATGTTGAAAGTATATCCAATCAAGAAGAACATGACTCGTCACTGGATGCAGATGAAGAAGGTTCAATGGAATTAACACAATCTGTTCCGAATTATGTTCAAAAATCACAAACAGAGGATCATGAAGAAGAAGAAGAAGGTGATCATGAAGATGATGATGATGAAATGCAATTGACGACAGCATTTCCAAAGAAAGTTGATGTACCAGTTGAAAATATACCAGAGAATAGCCAGCCAATGGATTTAACACAAACCACACCAAAAACAGTTACTGAAGCTGATTTTGAGACTAATGATGAAGGGCAAGAGGAGGAAGAAGAAGAACCAATGGAATTAACTCAAGCAATTCCAAAGCAAGTTAACGAATCTGTGGCTCTACAGCAGCCAACAGCGGCTGAAACTGGTAGTTTTGAACAAGCTAGTGGTGTTGACAAAAAGGTACAAGAAGATGAAAAAGAAGGTGCTACTAATATCCTAGAGCAAAAGGAAGATGATCAGGAAATACCGATGGATCTTACTCAACCATTACATATAAGGATTGTACCACCAAGTGAAAACCCAAATTCTATGAAACAAGTAAGTCAAACTGATGAAGAAGAGTCAACGATGGAACTTACCACTTCTAGAGTTCAAATTGACAAGGAACATCCTGTAGATGAGGTTATGTCATCACAGAATGAACAATTTGTCAAATCAGACAATTCCATTGAACCATCACAAGCTATGGATATTTCTCAAAACTCAATCACAGAAGATACATCTCATATTGAACAAGTAGTCACAACTACCATACCACTCGCAGAAATCACCCAGGATGAAGATGATCAAATACAAGAAGAAGGAGATTATTATGAGGATGAAGAAGATGCCAATTATGTACCAGTTACTTTATCCGACTTTTTCAATGATATTGGAGTGCAATTTTATGACGATTTAGAATTGGATATTACTAGTATTACTCGATCAAGTATGACTGGAACAACAGAAGTACCTACTATGGAGGACTATATTAAATCTCGACCACAATTAGGATTATTAGAATTATATGAATTTTGTTGTCAAGAGTTGAACAAGAATATCATTAATGGTCGAGAAATTTATGGAGATTTCGAGAAAAACATCGAAATCAATAACCCTGCATTGTTTAAGAAATATTACAAATTGGATGAAAAGGATAAGTTGTTGACTAATATTAAACTTCAGTTGATACGTGATTACGCTAGATTACAAAGTAAAAAAACTTGGTATAGTTGGAGAAGTCAATTAATTGAAAGTTTGATTAGTCAATTAGATGTTGATATTGAAAACATGGAATCAGACAAGAAAAGGCTAACATCAGCCATTGAACAAGTCAATGAAATGTATGATATGGCTAGACAGAACTTGATTCAATTACAAAAGAAATTCAATGAATTGATAAGTTCACCAACCGAAGGAGATAGTGTACCTGTGGCCGAATTGAGGAAATTAAAGGATGAAGTATCTCGAGCCAAACAAGATATTCTTAACTTCAATATTGATAGAACTGAAAAAGAAGAAGAATTGAGTGACGTCAAGGGATCATGGAATACCAGTATTGATCTGAAATCAGAACTACAATCAAATTTACAAGAATTACAAACTTTTCAAGAAGTAGATAATCAAGAATTGAGAAACATATTTGAAAAATATAAAACTATTCAAGAATTATCTGAATTAACTCATGATGGTTCTAAAATTACATTTATGTTTGATAAATCATTATTGGTTGAATTTGATTTTGCTTATAATAATATTAATTATACCATAGAAGCCAATAATTTCAAAAATCAAATATTAATGCAATCAGCTGTAAATTTCCCAATAAATCCAAATGATAAAATAACTGACCAATTTAAGAAATTTTCACAATTTTGGTCATGTTTGAAAAAAATTGATTTTGATTTATATTATGCAAATTTGAAATATCCAATTGAAATATCAATTACTGATGATTCAATTGAATTGGTTATTAATTATTATAATTTCACTGATGGTTATGAATTACAATTATTAGGGAATTTAAAAATCAATGATCTTTTAACTTATCAACAATCAATTAAGTTTCAAGGGAAATCAAAACGAAAGAATATTCATGAAAATTTCAGAAATCAACTAATAAAAGATCTTGATATTTTCCCAACATTACATTCTTTACAATTAGTTCAATAAAATTATATACATTTTTTATATTTAATAATTTTATTTTCTAAATTCTTTATTTATTTAGTTAATATTACCCTATTATTGTACGTAAAATCTCTAATGAGTTGCACCCAAGAAGATAGTTGCACTTAAACATACAATCATGACTAAAACACCCCAAATTGCTAAAACCAATCCACCATATTTACAAAACTTCTCTAAAGTATCCAAAGAAGTGGCACCATTTATTGGTTTGATTAATAAATAACCAAATAAACCTGGTAATATGAATGAAATTGAAGTTGAACCAGTAGATCCAACAAATGCCAACACATGAGCTAATGATTTAACACTGATGGCAACAAGATAAGAAGCAATTACAATAACAGTAGTTATAATATAAAATTTTTTAGTAGTTAATGGAACAATAATCGGATCATGACCATCTGTATCTTGAGCACCTTCCATTGGAGTAGTTGAAATAAATGATTCATCTTGAACACTTGAAGTTTCTCCAATGCTTTGTAAACTTTCAATATCTGAACTTAAACTTGTATAACCTTGACGACTAACTTCAACAGATCTCATTTTTGAATCTTGAACACCATGGGTTAAGAAATGAAGAACATGATTAATTGATCCTCTACATGGATGACATTGTAATGGGAATGATAAACTAACCATAATAACAATACATAATCTTCCGATTAATGAAGAAATGGAATTCTTAGGATACATGGTGATAATGTTGGCATTGACGGAATTTCCAAATGTTAAGTAACCAAAAATACCAACTACCAAGTATGATATACAAGCAGTAGTGATTGAATTACGAATGATTAAATTGGATTGTCTAGTTTGTGATCCATCTTTATCACTTGGTTTAAGTTCATTAATAATGGCAAACATATTTTGATGACAAGTATAAGCAAAGACAAAAATTGGAAATGAACTTAAAGTAGATTTAATTGAAATTGGACCAATATAATCAATAACTTTATCTTCAACTGGTACATCTTTAACGAAAAAATGAACAATAACTAAGCAAATCAAATAAACCACTGAAAATAATGCTAAAATACTGGTATATTTCAAAGAATCCAATTTTTTCAAATATGACAATGGTGTAACAATGACAACCATAAATATAGTAATCCAAAAATTTCTAGCCATGAAAATCAGATCAGGTTTAACATTAATACTTTCCATAATCTTTGGCATTAAATCTCCAATAACAACAAGATAACTTACTCCAACACCAAAACATTTAATGGATATAGCACTATCAAATAAAATACTTAAATTAGGATATGTCAATTGTGCCAAACTAAAATATGATACTGCTCCTCTTTGATCAGTATATTTGGCTACTTTATTTTGTAAATATAATCCCATTGATGAAGTCAATGATGACCAAACAATTAATATGCATCCTAATAATAAACCATTAGATTTCAATCCATATGGCATAGCAAGGATCCCTGCTCCTATAATTGTGTTTAATAAATTAATAGTACCTGATTTAATTGTAGCTCTACCCATGATTTCAAATTCTTGTATAACTGGCTATGTAGTAGATAAATACTAATAAAAGTAAATTCTGTTTTTTTTTTGTTTTGGTAAATTTCAAAGATTGCAAACGATAGGATAATTTTGTAATATGAATAGGTTTAAACAGGTTGTGAAATATCTGTTGGTTCCATATAAAGTTAATCTGGTTTTTAACAATTCAGGTTGATTCAATTATCTTTGACTGTGTTTGATGATCAACAAACTCAATTTCAATTTCGGTGTGATTTATTGAAAGCAACAAAAAAAAAAAAAAAATTAAAATCCGAGGTCGTGTGAATGACACAACAAAAATTTCGTGCCTTACACAAACTAGTATCAAAGAGATCAATATCAACAATTTATCAAATACCTACAACGATTCAATCGAATTAACAACAATAATACTAATAATAATAATAATAATAATAATAATAATAATAATAATAACAGTAAGTAAATTATATATATAAAAACCAGAGAAGAAAAGAAAAAAAAAAAAAGAACTGTGTATCAAAAAATTTTGTTATTAATTTTGGGATGAATATATTTCTCTCTCCACAAATCAGTCACTTCAATTTTTATTAACAAAGACTATTCATCATCAAAAAAACGACATCATCTTGTTTGTTTGTTTGTTTGCTTGCTTGCTTCAATTTAGTGTATTTAGACAATTATCCTGTTTAAAATACTAACCAACCAAGGAGGAAAGCAATGAGTACTAAAACTAAAGCAACTGGCAAGGAAACACCATTAACTTCATCACTGCTAGAAACCAAGTTAGAAACACTATTTCTAGAAGCAGCCTTTTCATTTTGATCCAATTTAGTAGACAAAGTTTGGACTTGTCTAGCCAAAGCTTCCAATTCACGTTGAACTTCTGGGGATGGTTGGGAAGCAGCTTGAGCAGCACCAGCACCAGCACCATAGCCAGCACCTTGGTAACCACTTTGTTGATATTGTTGTTGTTGAGGTGGTTGTTGTTGTTGTTGGTAACCACCTTGTTGGAATTGTTGTTGTGGTGGTTGCTGTTGTTGTTGTTGTTGAGGATAACCATTAATTGAAGAAGTATCAAAAGATCTGTTAGCACCTTGGTTAAATGAGCTATCGCCATTGTGTTGTTGGTTGTATCCAACAGCAGCGGCTCCAGCAGCGGCAGCACCTACAGCAGCACCGCCAACACCAGCACCAACATTAGAATGGCTTTGTTGTTGAGGAATTGATTGTTGAGATGGTTGTTGGTTGTATTGAGGTTGTTGTTGAACAGGAGATTGCTGCACTGGAGCTTGTTGTTGTTGAACGGAAGCTTGGCTAACATTAGCATTGTTGGTATCTGGCTTATCTGGACCAATAACGTAGTTAACTCTCAATTTCTTGGAAACCATTTGTGATTTGTTTTGAGCTTCTAATTGAGACCAAGAATCACCGACTTTAGCTGGATCAATGACATTTGGAGCTGGCAAAGAAACTAACAAGAATTTATCTTTACACTTGTAGTCTGCTGGTAATGGTTGTGAAAAACCTTGCAAAATAATAGAAATTTGGACGGAATCACCAGGTTGGACAATACTAGCATTTGGTCTAACACAATATAATTTTGGAGCTGTGGTCTTGACTTTGAAAGCCAAAGGTGTGTTTGTTGGGTTAGATAAAGTCAAATATTCAGTGGTTTGTTTGGTAAAAGAACCTAGAATGAATGTTAGTATTTACTTGTACTTCAAAAAAAAAGAAGAAGAATGCCATACCGTGAGGCACTGTTGCAATATTTAAGAAAAAAAAAAATTATCAAACTAGTCATAACTCGGTTACATAGGGTAAACCAATACTTGAATAATAACCACTTGATAATACCATGTCCAATCTCTTACTCTTTAGTTCATTAGTTAAACATTGTTGATCGATGTGTAAAAAAAATTTGAAGTACATTATTAATTGGGAGATCAAGATTCTACCCCCTTTTAACTACTTTTTTTTCTCTCTAATATTGCTTTGATTCCAATCACGTTCAGTTTAGTGAATCAATTGGAGATAGTGACGAATAATACATACCAGTGAACTCTAAAACGCTTGGTGAAACTTCCATTGTCTATAATCTGTAATTGACTTGCAAATCAAACGGGATTGTTGATGTTATGATGATAAAAGAAAGAAGAAAAAAATTATATGATGTAAATTTTTGATATGAAATTTTTCTGTTGTCTTTTTTTTTCTCTGTCTTCGTTTGGTTTTGTTGATTGAAGAGGAAGGGGAAAAAAATGCTGTGCGTGTGAAAAATGCGTGAGCTTGTTTGTTTGGTTGTCTGTCTCGTTGCTGCCACTGGATTTCAGTTGGAAGTATAGTCAAACTTAGTGTTGTTACAATGAATGGATTTGTTGTAAGATCAAGTATTACGGTGGAGAAGTGCAATAGGTTGATCGAAAGTGAATGCTGTGAATGATATACCTTTTGGTTAAACTATAAGAACAAAGTTATAACAATAGTTTCTAATAGGATAGGAATTGATAACCAACAAAAAAGTATTTCCTCCCAATGAAAAATAACTTCATGTCGAGGGGTATTTATAGTATGAACTACGATATTAGAGAGTTTAAATTGATTAGAAGTATAATAGCACGATCCTATAACTCAATGTGGTAATTTTTTTTTTCAGTGGTGGTGGTGTATGAGTATTTGTTTTAGTATAAAATTGACACATGAAATTTTTATGAAACTTATTGTTGGATTATCCACATTGACTACTACTCCACTTTGCTTGACATTGCTATAGATACAGAAAGATCTACACGCAAATTTACACATGAGGATAAAAAGTAATCCCATATGTTGGGCAATCCAATCATCGTAATTATCGCTAACAACCACCACTACGACCAACTCTCGGGAATGAGGACCATTGAAATTATTCGCCTGTCTATTCGAACGAGAGAAATTCTCTTTTATTACAACGAGGCAAAGTAATCATGATAATACGAGTAATTAAATGACTATCCCGAAATAGTCATTGATAATTCGTTCAACTGTAAGAAAGATAACTTTAGATTTATGGTTATATAGTAAATCCTCTTCTTCTTCTTCGTTGCTGTTGTCAATCACATGACCTCGGTACTATCAGGCAGCCAACCCTAAAACTGAAAAATTACTTAATTGAGAAATCCAGGGAAAAAAAAAAGGGGAGTACTTGCAACAATAAGAGAAATCGCACAAAGTACACGACATCTTGACATATTATTTGAATATCAAATCTTAATTAAGGCTATCAGCCAAAAACGACTTCACACAAATTTCATATCACTACTGCAAGACACGGAATTTAGAATAGATCTTATTGCAAAAAAAGACTATCACAGACAGACACACAACTATAAAATCTACACATGCACAACTAATAGTCATCACCTTTTGTAACAACTTCTTTTTTATGTGGATGCAACAAAATAGTGTGTTCATATTGAGCAGTATAACTTCCTCTCTTGTCAACAATTGGTGGATATTCTTCAACAATTCCATGTCTAACCAATTGATTCAATGCAAACAAATATTTTTCTTCACCAGCTCTTTCCAAATATCTACGACACCATGGTAAAGTACCGAAATTATCTTTAATGTTTTGTAACAATTGCTTTGATCTTTCTGATGGAGCTTTCAAATGTTCAACACCAGTGTTCATGGCATAATGTGAGCATTCACCTTCTGGCAAAACATAACCATTACCAGTAGAACCAAAAGTTTCGATAGCAAAAGTTTCACCTTCTTCCATTTTAGTCATATCACCGTTGGCAACAATAGGAACAGTTTTACCGGAATGAATAACATAATCACCAATATTATGACCATTCAAATTTTTAATACATTTAATTGGTAAAATCTTACCATTTTCTTCCATTTCATAAGATTCCATAACTTCTTGAATAGCTTCACCAATATCGTTTAATCTAACATCAATACCGGCTTCTTTAATACCAGTATAAGTGGCTTCTCTAACAGCTTCCATAATTTTATCATATTTACCTTCTTCATTAAAAGTCATGGTAAATGCAGAATCACAAATACGTCCATTAACATGGACACCAATATCAACCTTCATAATGTCATCTTTATTTAATACTAATTTATCACCAGTATTTGGAGTATAATGAGCAGCAACATGATTTAATGATAAACCAGTTGGAAAACCAATACCTGCTTTTAAAGTATGATCAGCAGCAGCATAATTTCGAACAGAATCTTCAATTAAATCAGCAATTTCAATCATTGACATACCTGGTTTAATACTACTTTGTGCTTTATGACGAACTCTTCTATGAATTTCAGCACCTTTTCTAAAATCTTCCCATTTATTATTTTCTTGTCTATCTAAATAACGTTTCTCTTCTGATGTAGTACGATATGAATTGATTTCTAATGGGTATTCCATCCATTGACCTTCTGGGAAAACACCATCTGGATAAGATGAATCAATAGAAACTATCTTTTTCTTTTTCTTTTTATTATTCTTCTTTTTCTTCTTTTTCTTATCACCTGTTGATGATAATTGTGTAGTAGAAGATTCATCTACTTCATCATCTTCATTATCTGATTCTTGTTTGCCATTGTTTGGAATTGTAGTTGATGATTCGGTTGAGTCGATTTTCAAATCATTGATTTGTCCCTCAACTGTCTTTGTGTCTACTGATGCAGTCATGGTAATATTGTTGTCTTCTTGTTGAATCTAAAATCAATTGAAAGATCTAACGGGATATTATAGAAAAGTTCTATTTTTTTTTTTTTGATTTTTTTTTTTCATTGTGGTTCTTTTAAAATCAAAATTTCTTTTTTGGCAGATGATGATGAGTTGCACGACATGCACACGACAATGTCGCAAAGGGTTCAAGATATAAAAGTTGATAGTTGATAATACTTGTTGACTAGTAGGTTATTGGGTCTGGTAAATGGAAGGTATAAAAATGATAAGTAGTATGTGATTATAATGATGTGTTGGAAGCCCTCCGTTAGTTTCTAGAATCTTCTGTTCTCCACTCATATCCACCACTCTTTAATCACCAGGTGTAAATTCATTCAATAGTATTTACCAATCCTTACTTGTATCCCTTGCCTGCTTTATATACTTTCTAAGTCTGACCAGGCTCACGTGATAATACAATAACTGTTAACAGATCTTGAACTTGTAGTAAGCTTTAAAAAAATGGGAAACTATAAATTTCACAGTAACTTTTTTTTGCAGCCGTTTTAGGGAAATTGGAAGATCTTTAAAGAAAGAATTATTAACAGATAATCCTTCGAAGTCATTTTCTAAAAATAAAATACACCATCCATTCTCCTCCTCCCCCCTATATATTCTTCTTCTGGAAAGCCATTACTATCATCTAATGTGTCATTATTGTTATTAACCAGCACCACTAAACGAGTAATGTTTTTGATAAAGAAACTAAAGAATAAATCCCAAAAATCATCAACGGATCAATCATTGTCTCCATTTATTGAATATATTCTTGAAACAGATATTAATGAAATTCGGTTTAAAAATGTATTAATTACTAAATTTTTATTTCGATTTCCAAATGAAATTATACTTGAATTATTATCATTTGTACCTGATTTTTATTTAGTACTTTTCTTTCTGATTAATATTTCAAAAATTCGATTTTTAGAAGATGAATTATTTATACCTGGTACAAGAATTATTTATATTGATTGGTTTCCAAACAATTTAGATGAAACTAGATTAAATTTTAAAATTTTTGAAGAATTGATTATTTCAAAAAAGATTAATATTAGATTTTTAGAAATTTTTCAATTTAGTTGTATTGAATTAAATAAAGATGATTGGCAAATTCCATTATTTTTATTTCCATTTATTGTTCGGTATAAAAATCAAAATAAAACTAAAGCTGATATTGATGATTGGAATAGAATTCCAAAATTGAATGATTTACAGGAGGATTTCTTATTAAATCAATATTCAATAATAATTAAAGAATATAAACGTAAAATTCATGATTTTAATAAATGTCAAGATGATGCTCAACAAGATTTTTTTAAAAGAATTAAAAATACAAATTTTCAATTTACTATTAAAAGTATGGAACAAAATTCATGTTTTAAAAATTATCAATTTTCAAGATTACATTTGAAAACTTATTATTTATATCGAGGTTCAAGAAGTTTAAATAATTTATTTAATTTTAAAAAATTGACTAAATTGACTATAGATTTTTTATATCCTGGTTATCGTATACCAAATTGGAAAAAAATTGTTTCAAAATTGGTTGCTTTGAAATATTTCACATTAAATATAGGTAAACTTCATTCAGATGACATTCAATTGATTTTACAAATAAAAACATTGGTTGAATTTAATTTTAAAACTTATTTTAATTGGAGAGTTGAATATTGGAAAAAGATTGTTGATACTCATCGAGCAAAGTTGGGTAAAGATTGTCCAAAAATCTCCATGAAGTTTGTCAATCCTCCTTAATAGTATAATGAGTGATTACATATATATATATATATAAGATTAAACTAATAATTTACGTGGATATATATTGTCAATTGTTGACCACAAATAAATTGGGTGCAAATTATACCACTACCACCACCACCACCACCACCACCGAACTGTGGCGAGTATTAGACGCGAGACGCGTATAAAATTCAATCACTTCCGTCGTCGTCAAGTAAGCCCTAGCACGAACTCATCCGCGTGACATCGTGGTTCATAATTTTTTTGCTGTGTCAATGAATCACGATGCGAGCAAAGAATTAAAAAAAAAATAACAACCAACGACAATAAATAGGAAACAACAGCTACAACAACCCATTACTCATCATTCACCAGTGTTAATTCCAGTTTGATAGATTGATCTACCCCCCCTCCCTAGATTTATTGTTACTGACATGTCAAAGAAATCATACAAGATAGCATTTGTTCATCCAGATTTAGGAATTGGAGGTGCAGAAAGATTAGTTGTTGATGCAGCTGTTGGATTACAAGATTTAGATAATGATATCATTATTTATACATCACATTGTGATTTAACTCATTGTTTTGAAGAAGTTAGTTCAGGTCAATTAAAAGTATCCGTTCATGGAGATTTCTTACCAACTAATGTATTTAAGAAATTTCATATTTTATTTGCCATATTTAGACAATTTTATTTAGTTTTAACATTGATTATATCTGGTAAAATTAAAGAATATGATTTTTTCATAGTTGATCAATTATCTTTCTGTGTTCCATTATTAAGTTTATTTAGTTCTCCACAATGTCGAGTTTTGTTTTATTGTCATTTTCCTGATCAATTATTAACTAAAAGATCAAGTTTTATTAAAAGTTTATATCGTGTACCATTTGATTTCATTGAAGAATGGACAACTGGATGGAGTGATCAAATTGTTGTTAATTCAAATTTTACTAAACAAATATTTCATGATACTTTTAAAAGATTGAATAATATTAATCCTGGTGTAATTTATCCATGTGTTGATACCGAAATTATTAACGATGAATCAAGTGATGAAGAAGTTTTGAAATTTTTTAAAGATTCTCGATATTTCTTATCAATTAATAGATTTGAAAGAGCTAAAAATATTGAATTGGCTATTCAAGCATTTGCAAAACTGAAGAAATTAATACCTGGTAAACCAAGATTAGTTATTGCTGGTGGATATGATGCAAGAGTTTTAGAAAATGTTGAATATTTAAAAGAATTGTGTTCATTATGTGATAATTTAAAATTAACAAACTTCACCATTAGAGGTAAATTAATTGTAATGCCACCTTCTACTGACGTATTATTTTTACCTTCAATTAAAAGTTCATTGAAAACTTCATTATTGAAAAATGCCGAATTGTTATTGTATACTCCAGGAAGAGAACATTTTGGTATTGTTCCAGTTGAAAGTATGTTGTATAAAACTCCGGTATTGGCAATCAATTTTGGAGGTCCTTTGGAAACTGTTGTTAATTATGATGGTGAAAATATAACTAAAGCTACAGGATTCACCTCTCCTGGAGATTATGAAAAATGGGCTAAGATTATGATTAAATATTATAATGATACTGATAAATCTATCAAACAGAAACTTGGTGAAAATGGATATAATAGAGTATTGAATAATTTTTCAAGAGATGAAACCAGTAAAGAATTTTACAAAAATTTACAAGAATCAGCATCAACTAAACTGACAAGTATTAAAATACCTGAATTATCTAAATTCATTCCATTTTTAGTCATTACATTCTCCTATATAATTTATAGATTATTTTTTAGTTTAAAGTAAAATATCATTTGAATACATTTTTAATTGCTTGCCATAAATGTAATTTTGTATCAATATCTTTATTTACATGGATTTCACGTGGTGATATACTTGAAGAATCACCATTTCCCAATAAATTCAAAAATCCTCCTGTTCTTTTCTTATCTTGATATTCCATTAGTACATGATTTGATTTCTTTAATGTTTTATTCTTTTCAAACCATTTATTTATTGTAGTTGGGAAATTTTCCAACATTCTTTCATAACCTTGTTTAATTTCTTTATCAATTGATAATTTAAATTTATGACTTGATATTGAAGGACATTGTAAATTATAATTTCTAATTTCTTGATTTATTAATTCAATTTTAGTTTCAATATATTTTAAATCTGATTCATTTAATAAATTATTAAGATTTGTTTTCAATGCAAATTTATGAATTTTTTTTATCAAATTCATTTTCAATATTATCAATTATTTTTGAATTTTGAATAATATTTGATAATTCAGAATTATAAATCATCCAATTAAACCAAATTTCATTAATTTTAAATTTAAATTCTTCAATATTTCGATCTAATGATAATTGATTTTCAATCCAAATTGGTTTAACATTTTGATTTTTTAAAATTTGATTCATAAAATAATTTGAATCATTACAATTTTTTAAATGTTCTTTATTTAATGGTTTACCTCGAATTTTATTCATTTCTTTATCTTTAAATTTCCCAGTTTTTTGATTTATAACTGAATTAATTTTATTACTTGCTAAATTTTCAACAAAATCAATTGAATGTAAATTATTATTCATTAACATTGATGGTCCTAATAATCTTTCTTTATACATTTCTCTAAATCCATCATCATCATCTTGATTATCTTTCTTGTTAATTTTATAATCAAGAGAAATATCTCTTGCTATGGCTAATTTTTCATTATTTGAAGGTTTCTTACGTTTGATATTTATAGGTATTGGTTTTTCTTTAGGTTTGGAATCTATAATCATTCTTAAATTTGAATCGTAATTTGATTCTTTTCCAATCCATGGATCTGAATTATATATATCTTTGGCATGTTTATTATAATTTAAAATCTTTTCATTTTTAATATATGATTTTGCTTGATTTATATTTAATTGTTCATAATTATTGGAATATTTTGAAAGGATTTGATTAATTGAATTGTCAACTTGTTTAATATTCGATATTGATGAAGATGTAGTTATTTTTTCTTCAAGAATTTGTTTCATTCTATCAACTATTGCTGATTGAATTTCCTCTGGATTTGACGTTCCTGTTGATGATGATGATGATGATGGTGATGGTGACGAGGTAGGTTTCTCTTCTTCTTTCTTTGATGTAGCATTTTTGGATAACGTTCAAAAACTTAATGAAGTTGAGTTGATAAGTCGTGGTTTATTAATAGTTCCCCTTAGCATTAATGATTATACTAAGAATATTGTGGTTGATTGAAGAGATTTGTATTTTTCAATGATGATTTGATATCGCGGGGCAACTTGAAAATCATTACTCCTATTGGTTAGAACACGACTTGTTAGGAATGCAAAAATCTCATGGAAACTTGACTATGTTGCTAGTCAGGTGGATATGAAAATAAGGAATAATGATTCACTATTAACTTTGTTGCAATTTTAATGGTTTCCCTTATTCTCTTGTAGGAAACATTACCCGTATGTCAAGTGAGACAAAAAGTCTTCATTTGTTCAAAATAATTTCCAACTTATTCTTTCATGGATTCTAAGACTTAAATAGCATCAAAATAATATTATTACCCTATTTGCATGTTTCTGGATAAATTGTTGAATCCTGGGTAATGTTACTATCAGTTGAATTTTTGGCATTGAAAGTTACATTTATTAAAGAAAAAGTGCAAAACTTTAACAAAATATATTTCTGTGAATAATTCACAACAACTCAAATGAATAATACGATTTCAAAAAAAGAATCCCTTTTCCATTTTAAATACAGAATAGAACTTCCCTTAGAATAGTAGAAGTCCAGTTTTATTCTAATAATTCCCACCAGTGCTACCAATTGGTTTATGTATACAACTGTTGCACTTTTCTAAATTTTACAAACAGTATAACTTAATTGAGATGGCAGACAAGTATACTTTGAATTACTAACTGAAGGGCGGTGATTTTATTGGAGTTTAAAATTGATTGCAAAAAAAAAAAAAACAAACCAGAATAGAGTATTGATTATTTTGTGATTTGATTGGTTGAGAAAAACTAAAAGAGTAAGAAAGAATGGTTTGTATTCCTTGCGCCCAATGACCTCGTGGTAGTTGTCGCGTGGTGGTGGTAGTGGTGGTGGTCGTCATTTTTTGCTTCATGTCTCGTGTGGGAATTTTCTTATTTTTTCATGCCAGCCCAGCCTAGCCCAGCCCAAGGAGGAGAACCTAAAATATAATAACAATTAAAAAAAAAAAAAATAAAAAATCAATTGTAAAACATAGAATCAAGGTTTATGATTTATTCACCTTTTAGACAACAGCATAAGCTAAAAGAGAGAAAGAAGCAGTGGTAACAATAGAATATAATGAAATATCCAAAACGTGAGATTAATAGTGAACCATTTAAAAATCAGTTAGATATTATTGAAAGAATAACAATTGAAATTAAACATCAATCAAATAATCCAATATTTAAAACTAATCAAAGATTCACCAATAATCAAAACTATAATAGATACCACCACCACCACAATAATAATAACAACAACAATAAGAACAAAAAGTATGGTGGTTCAAATTATCAGTATAATAATTATGGAAATTTTCAACCTGCTTTAAACGTAGAGACAACAACAACAAGTACAACTACAAGGTTAGATTTTAATAATGAGAATTTACAATATAAATTAGTTGATAAATTATTTGATCCTTTTAAACCGGTTGAATTAGATTATGGATCAATGAATACTAATATATGGAGAAGTAATAACGATACTACTAATAATAATGGATCGAATGGTAATTGTATTTATTAGGAATTATCAAATTGGGGGAGAAGGGGGACACTATTTAGGATGAAAGTGGTGGTTTATTTATAAGGTTGATTTTTATAACATTGTATTTTTCAATTTTTCTTTCTTTTTGTATTAGAGAATGTGGTTATTTTTTATTTTGATTTGATTTGAATAGAGTATTCGTTAATTATTATTATTATTTCTGGTTAATAAGAGTATTATCATAGTTATTTATTTAATTGTATAGATTGGTTTTTTTATTTGTTTAATTATTAGAATTGACATTAATTTATTGGTGAATGATGATTTCGTTGTAGTTTTCAGATCGTCGTGGTTGGGACGGCGCCGGGAGGGGGGGGGGGGGGGGGAGAGAGAACAGTGACGAAAACGGGGATAAATAAACGTGATCTCGTTGTAGGCTACGACGATACCAAGGAAAGGCAAAAACCTAAATAAAGTCAGAAGACATTTATTATGAATAACAAAAAAGGTTTAGTGGGTGATTTTACAAGGATGGTATTATATCATGGTTTAATGAAAACCATCTTTATATACTCGTTTATGTGTGTATACGTATATGTCAAAGCTTATATAGGACAAGTGGTAGCCGCACCAATGATGAAAGTTGGAGAAAATGCAGAAAACTGAAATAAATATAGCCCTAACAGAAGTGTACATATTTATAAAATGAGGGTATCTATCAGGCGATAAATCCCCCATTTGACACAGTTTAATACTACAGTTTCATTAGGGGGTTTTAATAATAAATTCAATAAAGTATATTATCTATTTTGCTCCCCACATTTGCTTTCTTTCTTTCTTACCTTTCACTCGCTTCCCCCTTAATTAGCAATCTAAAATGCATAGAAAGAGAGGGTGAGGATTGGTGATGTATACCATTTATGATAAACATAACTTTACTCTAAATTTCTGTCAAGTATTAAGACATTGAAAGCAATTTATGACATAAGAGAATGACTACATGTATCATACAAGTACAAATTCACCATCAGATGATTTCTGCTACATGTTCAACCACAACAACAACAAAAATTTAGTCTCTTCCTACTCCAAGACCATGATGCTTACTGTAAAGTAAAGAATGTGTTTCAATAAGAATAAGATTAAGACGTGACAGAAAGGATTAGCGTGATCTTTAAAGTTTTATTTATTCGACGAATTATGTAAAACGTAGAAAGGGATTTAGCTCAGACTTTTTTTTTCTTTTAGTATGTATTCCAATATCTGTATGTCTGTACATATTCCTTTCTTCTTATCTTCATCATCGACATCTTTTTCCTCCACTTGTTTTTAATCGTAAATTCCATCTTTCTTTTATTTAATTGGTTATATGTACATATCTAATCTTAAGACAGGACAAGATCGGTAATAATTGAACCTTTTCTTTATTTTTGTTTTAGGATTTAAAAGTTTAAAACAAAAAAAAACGGATACAAGAGATCTTCTGATTGATATAATAAGAAATAACAAAAATAAGGGTAAATCTTTCTGGATATTGTACATAATAAAGAATATGACATAAATATCCTAACGTGTACTTTGATCTGTATAGATTATATTACCCCCTCCCAGATTCAATTCAAATGTCAATTCTTTGTATCCCATTGGACATTGAAATAGTGTTGTTGATACCAATAATAAACCTATCAACAACAGAAGTATTATCTACGTGTTTACACTAGCTCCTCCTTCCCGCCCCCTCTTTAATCTTCTTTGTTTGTGTTATCTATTAGGGGGGGGATTTCATAATTAGATCCACAGTGTGTAATAACCAGCACTCACCTAAATTCAAAATAATACGGTGCACCCTTTTTTCTTTTTAGAAAAAAAAAAAAATTTAATCTCTGTCTTTTCTCTCCCTAATTGTTCATCTTGTCATCTTTTCTTCAATTTCCCCTTTGTTTGGTTTTTAATTACTCTTGTGTGTGTTTATATCTACTATTAAGTAGTCCAGTATCTCTGATCACATGACCTGTCGTTTAATTACTATCAACTCTTGATGTATTGACCTTACAAGACAAGATTATTTTGAAAAAAAAAAAAAAAAGAAAATTGTCTGATACTGCATACAGTGTATTTTAAGATTTATGCACGACCGACAATTTATCTACATTTCTAAATTTTTTTTTTTCTTTTTTCCTTAATTTCCCACGCCTCTCCTCTCCTCTACTCCCCTCCTTCTCCTGTCCTTCTCCATTAATTCATAATTTTATTTTATTTACATTGCCAGGAATTGACAATAGTTTTTATAGTAAAACGTTACATCAATGAATTGTAGTCAACCTTACGAGATGAGCAAAAGAAGTACATAAGGATAAGGTCTTTTTATTGCTGAGAAAAGTGTCTGACTATTGTGCATGTGGACACGACACCAAAAAGTTTCTTTTTTTTTTTTTTGGGCGAGATCTTTTTATTTCTTACCATCAACAAAGACAGTGACAGTAACATATTCAATCAAGCAGACAAGCAGACAAACAGACAAACTGTAGGCCAAAAAAAAAAAAAAAAACAAAAAAAAAAGTGAACCATTTTTTCTTCTCTCTCTCTTTCATTCATTCTCACTCTCACTGTGAAAAATATAATTATTTATTTATTTATTTATTTATTTATTTGTTTACTTACTCAAGTTTCATTTATCTTTTATCTTTTATTTCTATTACATCTCTTACCTGTCTCTGTACAATTAGATATTTCTCACAAGAAGTGGTATTTAGAACATTATAGAAACAGAAACAGGAACAGAAACAAAAGAAGAAGAAGAAGAAGAAGAAGTATAAGGGAACTACAATGAATCACAAACCTTTGGTGTCTGAAAATGAAGGTCCAACTTCGGCTGGTAATTCAACTCCAGCAACAACAACAGCTATCAATACAGCAGCAGCAGCATCAACATCAGCATCAACTACTCAATCAACAGCAACAAAACAAATTTTAAATTCATTGATTTTGGATTTCTTACAAAAACAACAGTTGGTTGAAACTGCTAAAGTATTCACCAGAGAAATCCCCAATCTATCAAATGTACCTCCTACAATGGATTGTCCTCAAGGATTTTTATTTGAATGGTGGCTGATTTTTTTCGATTTATTCAAAGTTAAATACGGTGATTCTTCAAATATGAATAAATCAAATCTTCCCTATTATGAATACTATAAATTACAACAAATGCAGAAACAACAACAACTTCAAATGCATCCTCAGCCCCTTCATCTCCAACAACAACAACAACTTCAACAACATCAACCTCAATCACAGCAACAACAGCATCCACCTTCTGCTCAACAACAGGGTCCTCATCCACCCAATCAACAACAACAACCACAACCACAACCAGTTCCACAACAACAGATTACTCCCCAACATCAACAAGGACCACATGTTCAACAACTAGTCCCTCCACAACAAGGACCACCTCAGCAGCAACAACAACAACAACAACAACCAGGACATTTAAGTCAACAAAATACTCCACAACCACCTGGTTCAGCGAATAGTGCCAATTTCCCAATGAATATGCAACAAAATCATCCCCAACAACAAATGTTTCCTATGAATCAACAACAATTCCAACAAATGCCAAATGGTGGTCAACATCAACCAACTATGGAGCAACAACAAAGAATGGCAATGATGATGAAACAACAAGCTTTAGCAGCACAAAGACAGCACCAAATGCCAATGAATGGCATGGACCAACAACAACAAGCTGCTCACCAACAACAAATGATGAATGCTGCAGCCGCAGCAGCAGCGGGAGGCGGGGCTGCCACTGGTGCTGGTGCTGGTGGTCCAGCAAATTTAAACTTGCAACAACAAATGTTTTTGCAACAGCAACAACAAGCTGGACAACCAAAAAATTTCCAACAACAAGCTCAAAATCAAATGAACAATTTACGTCAACAAGCAGCAATGGCAGCACAACAACAAGCTCAAGCTCAACAAGTTCATTTACAATCCAATTTGGCATCTGTTGCTGGAAATGATTCTTCGAAGAATAATTCTCCTGTTGGAAGTGGAAATAGATCCAATCAGCAACCAACCCCACAATTAGGTTCAGCCCCACCACCAGGTCCCCAACAGCAAGGACCACAAGGACAAGGACAACAAAATTTCCCACAGTCTATGAATGGTTTACCAAATCAAGGTATGACTCCACCAATGAATAAATTAAATGGACCTCAAAAGAAAAATACTCCTGGACCAAATAATAGTAATAATAATAATAACAGTAGTAGTGGTATGACTACTGGTAGAAACAATAATGATTTACAAGATTATCAAAATCAATTAATGTTGTTGGAAAAACAAAATAAAAAGAGATTAGAAATTGCAAGAAGTACCGGGAATTCTGATCCAAACTTGATGAATGCCTCCGGAATGCTACTCCCAGGTCAAAATCAACAAGGTCAATCCCAGTCACAATCACAATCACAGTCTCATTCTCAACAACATACTCCAAATCAACAGCCGACACCTGCAACTTTCCACCCACCTGCTCCTGGTCAATTTAATCAAAAGCCATCCCCAGCTCCATCTAATCATTCTCCTGCATTAACCAATAAACCATCCCCAGCAATGGGCCATAAGAAACCAAAGAAGGAAACTGCCAAAAAGGGTAGAAAAGCAAGTGCAACTGGTCAAGCGACACCATCTACATCACAACCTACAAGTGCTGGCACTGAGCAAAATATTCAACAACATGTTCAACCACCTCCCGAACAAACACATCCTTCATCTCAACAAGATCAACGTACAGCATCTAATACTCCAAGTCTAGCCAAGAAAGAATTTCAGCCTTTAACTCCAAGATCTGAACCAATTACTGAAACAACTAAAAAGAAACGTAAAGGTAGTAAAATTAGTGAAACTTCACCAAAGAAACAAAATAAACCTGTTCCAAATGCAAATACCAATGGTAATAGTAAATTAGATAGTGTTATTAAAGAAGAGACTGAAATTACATTGAAAAAGGATGAATCCGATTTAGAGTTAAATCCACCACCTGCACCTACACAAACTGCTATGTCTGGAGCATTTAATGATGCTACTGATCAAATATTTGATGTTAATTTATTAGATAGTGGACATAATCAAAATGGTAATCATAGTTCAAATAATAGTCATAATGGTGGCACAGGAAGTACCTCTGGAGGAGGACCAAATGGAGGAGGAACAGGAGGAGTCTTTGGTGATTCTAATCAAGGATTTGATGATATTAATTTTAATATTGATGATATTTGGAATGGCACAGGTGCTGGCGATGTTGATGGATCATTAAACGATAGTTTTAATGCTATTAATTGGAATGTTGATGCCATTGAAGGCGGTGATTAACCTCTTTTATTTTATTAAATAAAGAATCTTTCGAACTAAACTAAAATCAAAACCAAATCCAAAAAAAATTAAAATAAAAAAAAAAGAAAACTGTACATTTTTATTTGTTATTCCTTATTAGTTTCTGTTTGTGTGTGTTTGTGTGTGTGTGTTTTTATTTACTATTCTTCTTCTTTTTATTATTCGTATACTTTGTAATATTCTTCGTTATTATACTTTTTGTTTTGTTTTATTTTAGTTTATTGTCTTTTATATATATTCAAAGATCTTCTGTATAATGATTATATAACTCTTTTTAATTTCTGTCGATAATTGTGTATTATATATATATATATAATAATAATAATAATATATGTTATTATATGTTTGTTCATCTATTCATCTTTCTTTGTTGGTTCAACTACTGGTTGAGTCTTTGGGAACCAATTGTTGAAATTCCACCAAGTTGAAGCAACGATCAATGATAAAATTGCAATTAATACACTTGAACTTAATGGGGTAGAAGGGAAAACATTCCAACACCATTCATGTAATATCCATAATGGGATACTTATAAATATTGGGAAATTAAAAAACAATAATCCTGGAATTGACCAAAGATACCAACTTAAAAATTGATAATGTAAAGATCTTGAAAATAAAACACCAATTAAATTAGTTATACTTAAAATTATAAAAATCAATTGTGGACCAATTATAGTATCATTTAATAAGTTATTATTCGAAGATCCAGTTGATTTAAAACTAAATATATCTTTAAGTAATTGTATCAATGATTTACCAATAATTTTGGAATTTAAAAATCTTGTAAAGATGAAAATTAAAAGAATTGAAATATGTAAAACAAGTAAAATTGATGAAAATTCATTTGATAAAAAGATTGATTCAGGTATAAATTTCCAATTAACTGTCCATTCATATAAAAATTTTCTTTTAAAATTAAAAGCTTGATTAATATAATTCCAACGAATAATCAGGGCAATTTCATCATTATAATATAAAGGTAATAAGAAATTCCAACCCATAATTAATTGAATTAATGGAATAATTAATAATGTAATTATAAATTTAATTAAATTTTCATCTAATAAAAAATAAACAATTATAATAAAACCTGGCAAATATAATAAAGCATTCATTTTAATTGATATTGAAATACTGTATAAATCAGCAGATAATAAACATAACATGAATGTAATTAATTTATTTGATTTATTAAATGAACTTGCTTGTTGTAATAATATAATCATACCTAATATTGAACAAGTTGTCCAACAATCATTAAATAATCTTAAAACATAAATTGATATTAATCTTTTACTCAATATAAATAAATAAATAACCCAAGGTTGTAAATTAATTATATTCGAATAAATAACACATGTAAAAGCAATTGAAATAGTAAACAAATATGAAAATATCAATTGTACTTCTTTAATATTCCCATCAGTTAATGATTTTATAATTTGATAAATTTGTACAAATCCTCCAGGATAAACAATTGGTCCAGAATCTCCATAAATTTCATCATACATTAATTCTCCTTTATTAATTAATTCAATTTGTTGCATATATGTTTTAAAATCAATTTCAGTATATGGAATTTTATTAATTACAATCTTAGTTAATATTGATGCAATACAAATTATAATTGGATAAGTAATTATTGTACATTGTGGATTAATAACAAGTGCAATTGATCCATTATAAATATCAAGTAAAACATTCTTTAACGTGAATTCCGGTTTCTCTTCTTTCTTAATATCCTTCTCCGGTACTTTGTTGACTACTTCCGACATTTGGTTAATTAATGTGTTGTCATACAATCGTTGATGGTGATGACGATAATGATGCAGGTGATGATGATAATGTTTTGTTTGTTTGAAACAAAAAAAAAAAATTATCGCGGTCGTGTAATTTTTTCACTAGATGTCACGTGCCACATATTTTTGGCACTTGCGCACGAGCTTATCTTGGTGGTAAGAGACACGACCCTTTTTTTTTTTGCAACAATTTGTTGATTCTGTTATTCGTCAAATGTGGGAAGGACATATAATTAGGTCTTATTCGAGTACAAAAGCTTTATATATATCCTGTTTGAAAAGTTATCGATAAACGACCATAGAGATTCATGTTTGAAAACTAAGCAATATGCAAAATTTGAAAATGTTGAATCTTTCATTAAGTTTATTGATAAAAATTAATTTGTTAAACCAAAAGAAATTCAAGTTAAAAGTATAGATAATTTGGTCAAATTATATGAATCTCATGAAGAGTTATTCAAAAACTGTAACATTACAATAATACCTACAAAAGAAGAATTAAAGAATCAAGATTTTCAAAAATTGGCAAATATTCCGTATCATTTCGCTGAATTTGCAAATGTGAAACAATTTGATAACTTTCTGGTATTTGATAATTTTACTAAATTTGAATACTTTTCAGGAGGAATAGAATGGATGCATAGAATTGACAAAGTTTCTGTTGATTTATATTTTATTGACAAAAATTTTATCCAACAACCATTTTTCCTTAATTTGACAAGATTGAAATTAGGTAGCTTGGTACCAGGAGATGCAAAGTATATTCCAAGAAATTTAAAACAATTGACTTTTGGTATCTTCAGGGTTGAAGAAATAAAACCATATTTAGACTTGCCCAACTCTACTCTTGAGTCGCTATCCATTATTATTTGGTTTATTTTCAGCGGTGAGGTGGTTGATTGTGATTTGGCATATTTGACAAATTTACGAGAATTGACTTTTGTTGGTCCTTGTCGTGACTGGGGATCATACTATTCACAATACTATAAATTACCATCAAATTTGGTTACTTTAGTAGTCAGAGAAGATCTATTGTATCCTACAGAGGATGACATTGCTGTCTGCCCCGACTTAACTACTATTAACTGTCCTGGGTAGAAATTAAATGACCTTGATAAAGATGGCGAATCTTTTCGATTCTCCAATAAAGTTAAGAGTTTACAACTTTCAAATATGTATGTAATGAAGAAACATCTAAAGAAATACCACAACAAAACAGAAGAAAAAGTTGGTAGAATACCAATAGAAGATATTTTTCCAGAATCATTACGATCATTAAAACTAGTTGATGAGATCTCATTATATGATTTTGGAATAGACATTGATCCTTGTGATTTTATACTTGATTTACAGAATTTCAAATATCTTGAGAGTTTTGAATTTTGGAGAGGTTATTATCAGACTAAGAATTTGCCAATTAGTTTAACAAGACTTCGTCTCGTGGAGATTACAGTAATAGATTTCAATGAATTGAAATATTTAACGAATTTGGTCACTCTTGAACTTTATGAATATTCAGACCTACCAAATCTTGAAATAAAATCACCAAATCTTAGGTATATCGATTTTTCAGATAGCAAGATAGGTAAATTAACTCCCGAAAGATTAAAATTACCATTAAATGTTTTAGAAATCAAAATGTGTAATTGTGAAATTGATTCAATTGATGATTGTTTTGAATTTCCACCAGATTTACAGGTATTGTTTTTAGATGGTAATAATTTACATCAAGTACCATCGAATTTACCATCAAGTTTGAAAATATTGGGTCTCAAATATAATAGATTTGAATTACGTTCAATAATGCCTAGTTTTCCTAACTCATTGAAATTCTTAAATATTGAAGAAACCGGTATAACTAGATGCAAGTTTGGTACAGAATATGATAAATTAGAACCAATTTTAACTGATTATTAACCAACACTAAAACATAGGAAGAGATGTTACTCTGAAAAGTTAAATGTCTCATTTATCTATGTTTCATTATATCAATGGAGTTTCATTTTTTTTTACACTTTTTTTTAAAATCAACTTTTTATCTAATGTCTGATTAACTATTATTATTACATGTATTCTTGGTTTGATTAATAAGACTACTCTCCAGAATAATTCAGTAGATTTCATAACATCCAAAATAAAATCATAATTTGGTTCACGTGATAGTGATTCTATCTTGACTTCAAATAATATTTTAAATTGTTTATGCTAGGTGATTCATACCATTATATTGTTAGCATGAATTAAAATGAATACGTTAGAATGAATGTATTTCTCTACAATTATTGCAAATAAGTTTATTCATTAAAATTAAATATAAACCTAACAATAGTACACACGGCATGGATAGATGAAGTATAATTCACGTGCGGTAGGATCACATGACTTTAATGTTTAATATGATTATTCTTCTTTCTTAAAGATCTTAAAACATCACGTTTACGACGTTTACATTCTCTTGAAATCTCACCTCTCATACTCCAGAACCATTTCTCATATTTCGATTCTTCTTCTCCTTCATCTTCTTCACCTTTATCTTTAATATCTTGATCTTCACCAGGTAATTTAATTTTATCATTACCTAATTTACTTAATTGAGATTGAGTCGATAAGAAAGGAGAATCAAAATGACACCAAAATAATCCAAATTTTTGTTTCTTTTCAAGAATAATTTCATCTTGTTTTTGTTTTTGAATTTTTTGAAATAATTCTTCTTGTTTAATTGAATCAATTTGTTTATTCTCATCTAAATCTTCATCATCTTCATCCAATCCAAGTTTAAATGATCCTGATGTTGTTTCTGTAGTAGTGGTGGCAGTAGTTGCTGTCGTGGTGGTAGGATTGAATAATGAACGCAATGTTTCTGTATCATTAACAACTGGTTTTTCTGAACTTCCAAATGTTGGAATGAATTCTTCTTCTTCTGAAGAATCTTGTTGATCATGTTCTTCATCATATTTATCTTTAATTGCTTCAGTAGTAAATTTTTCAGTAAATTCATCCATTTCAATATCATTACCTTCATCATCTTCATCATAATATTGTTCTTTCATTGGTTTTTCAGTTTTTGTAAAATTATGAATAATTTGATTTGCTGATTCAATATCAATTTTTTCAACTGATCTATCCTCTTCTTCTTCTTCTTCTTCTTCATCATCATCATCGGTGATTTTACCTTCGATTTCAAAATCATAATGTTTAGCTTTCTTTCTACCTTTTGAATCAACTTCTATTTCATCATCTTCATTAATAGTATCTATTTCAACAGGTTTATCAAAATCAAAATTACTAAACATTGAAGCTAAAATAGATTTATTCTTATCAGTTTCTTTAAATCCATCAATTTCAACAAGCTTTTCAACATCTTCTTGTTCTTCTTTTTCTTCATGATCTTCTACATGAATATCATTACCGTAATTTCTTGCTTGAGTTCCATTAATACCACAACGTTCAATAACATGATCATCACCAGATCTCCATTCTCCATTAACATAATTCCAAGTTAAATCTCTAACAGTTTTATTTTTTTCAATACCCCATAATTTAGTTTTAAAACATTTAAAAGTTTTCAATTCTCCATTAATTAAAATTCTTAAAGTTTGTTGTTTTAAAGCTAATCCCAGTCTTGGACTTTTTCTTAAAGTACCTCTAATTACCATCCCTTTACCTGATCTTAATTTAAATTGATTATGTAATTTCTTAGGATTTGTTAATGCACCATAAGATTTATTTCCATCTAATCTTTTTGCAGGTGGTTGATTTTTAGTATTTCCTGATATATTTTTAAAAGTATGTTCAGAAACTGAATAAGTTGATGGATTCATTGATGATATAACAATGCTTGAAGTGATATTATTAGTAGGATAATTAGTTTTATATTCTTTGATTTTTTCTAATCTTGATTTAACAATTTTATCACGACGTAATTGTTCTTCTTGTTTTTTAGTACTTCCTTTTGATTCAGATGATTTATTAAATCTTTCAAGATATGAAGGTTTAGCAATATTAATTGATAACTTCATACCCATGAATAATACTCCATTAAGTGATTTCTTCAATTTTTCTAAATTTGAATCATTTATAGATATTGTGATATATGCAAAATAATGTAATTGTAATGGTTTGGTATGAAATTCTAATGATTTAATTATTTCACCAAATTTTTCAATTCTTGAAGTTAATGATTCAGGTGATTCTTTAAGTTTAGGTGATATATTACCTATATGCAATCTTATCTCTTTAACATCCGTCATAGTATGTCTGTTGTTATTGTTGCTGATAGTATTTCTTGTTTAGATAGTTCTGGTGAAATTTTTCAGATTAATAAATGAAAAAAAAAAAAAAAATAAATAAAAAAATTCCTGATATTTGAGATGAGGGTTGGTTGATTGTTTCTCTTTGAGTGCGAGAGATAAAACAAACACAACTAACCAACCAACTAACGAACCAAATCACGTTTTCTTTCTACTACGACACATCATGAATGGATCAAGATCAATAGATCATGTGATCAACAGCCAATGGTTTGAATTATATGAATCATATTCTAAAGAAAACAATCTAACAATAGATGAATCAATCAAACCACCACAATCGTCATCATTATCATCATTATCAAATAATCAACTGCAATCATCACCAGAGATCAATGTTGGAGTTGAAATTCCTCACTTACAAACAACTCATTGATAATCAACCAAATTCTGAACAACTTACTGCAGAACTCAAGAGTCTACTACTAAAATACTACTGGTCTGGATTTGATCTTGGATATGAAACTGATAAACGTTAAGATACTTTATATATATATATATACTAAAAGTGTATGAACAATTATATAAAATAATCAATGTACTTTGATAAGAACAACAAGAACATAAACAAAAATCTAAGAGACAAGATAAGACTAAGTAGCTTTCCAAAGATCATTCAAACCCATGATAGAAGTGATAGTACCAGCAACACCAATATCACCTTCAGTGAAATGTAAAATATTCAAAGAATTCAAAGCAATAAAAGTATCCAATAAATCCCAAATTAATTTTCTTTTAGCTTGATATAATTTATTTTTAATAGCAATACTATCGACTTCTTTTTCATTATCACCTTCTTGGTATTCATAATCTTTCAAAGAATAAATAATTCTTAAAGAATTTAATAATCCAGCAATTAAACCAACCAACCAAAATCTTGAAGCATATTTAGGTAAATTTGGGAATTTTTTAGCATTGATAATACCTAATAATTTGAAAAATATAACCCCATCAATAGTTAAATATCCAGCATAAGCTAAATTTCTAATTATAGTTGTTAATTGTAAGAAAGGATCCATTAATTTATTATCATAAGTTTTAGAAGCAACTTGTAAATGATTTATAGGTTTTAAAAATCTCATTGCTTTTCTAATAAATGTGAAATTTGCTTTTAAATTAGCAAATAATTCAATTGTTTCTTTAGAATAACCTTTCTTGAATGAATAAAATCCAAGGAATCTTGATAAATAAGTCAACAATCTAAATACTTTTTCTCTTTTTGGAGTGGTATCCAAGAATTTAACCAACTTGGAAACTGTTGGATGATAAACCAATGAATCAACAACCATGATAAACAGACAATTAATAACTCTATAATAAATAATAATAATAATAACAACAACGACAAATAAACACTCGCTTACTCTTGAACACAGAAAGAAGAAGATCAGAAAGAAGAAGTAATAAGTGAAAAATGAAGTTTTGATTTTGATTGATTTAAAAAAAATTTTCTCGTTGGTTGGTTGGTTGAGTTGAGTTGAGTTGAATTGCTTGTGATAAAATGGATAAATGGAAGTTTAAACATTTTTTTTTTTATTTGATTGTGTGGGGGAAAAATTCTCACGGAGTACACGCCCTCTGACACCCAATTTCTAATGGCCGAGGTGTGTGTGTGTGTATTTAGCGGAACCATCTATCCGTCCATGTCAATAATTTCCAATAACAATATAAAACTTCTAGTTTTAATTATCACATAGATCGTGACATAACCACAACATGGTTAGTACTACCTGTGAGAGGAGAAACTATTTGGTTATTAGGTTATTATTCTGTATTTCTTTACTACCAGGGTCTTGTTGGACTTAAATACGTCAACAGATGTCAAATATTTAAACGACGCATTACATTATATTGGTATTTAACTGTGATGATATCTCGACATTAACCTATACGAACAGTTAATAGTCACGTGGTATTACACAGGACATCACAACATCAGCTGCCACCTGTCAGTAAATTTGGGGATTTATTCGTGTCTCGACCAAAATCAAATTGACATAATAACCAGATGATTAACGGTACTGCTTATGTTCAAACTACAGTCATTGAACTTCTATCTATATGATACTACTTCACTTCTATATATCTACCAATTTCCCATTTTGAATCGCTTTACCAATCAGTAATAACAATTCATAAGCATCTTTAAATTCATCTTTCTGTTCTTGATTTAAATTATCCCATTGTGATTGAATTTCTCTTTCTTTATGATTTTCTGACAATTTATAATATTTAAAATATTCAAATACATCATCATTCGTAAGTATTTGTTCTTCTGGATCTTGTTTATAAAATTCTAGTGGTACTCCTCTACCAACTACTTTAGTTAATTTTTTTGCAGCTTCTTGTTTATCTTTTAATGAAACAATTTCTCCATACAACATATCTTTCCCCCTACGTAATAATTCTTTATATTCATTGGTAATTTCTTGTTTTTGTTGTTCTGTCATATCTATCCATTCTTGAAATATTTGTTGGGTATTTTTAATAGTTCTAAACCTTAATCCAAAATAATAATTGAAAACAATATCAGGATCAACATCATCAACTATTATTCCTTTTTGAGTATTCTGATCAAGAATAGCTGGCAGTACTGTAACTCTTCTAAATAACAGAGGATTATGTTTACTTTTAGCAATTCCTTGTCCAAATACTTCATAAATAGTATAATTTTCATTAGATTGATAAAGTTTCTCTTCAATATTAACAACTTTACCATTTAATAAATCTTTACCTTCAATTATTAATTGTTCATATTCTTTCATAATTTTATTTCTTTCTTCTTGTTCCATTAAATAATCCCATTCTTTATAAATTTTATCAACTTTATCAATTCCTAATTCTTGAATTTTTTTTCCAACATAATATTGTCTTGCAAAATTATATCCAATTGGTAACGCTGGTATATAATTACCAACCATTTGATTGCGTACAACTTGTAAAGGAGCCATTTCTTCACGTTTATGCATGAATCCTATAAAATCTCCCCACCTTGGTATATATTTAATATACGGTAGTTCATATTCTCTAAATAATCTTGCATCAATATCTTTTAATTCACCATTTAATAGAATTTTCCCATTTTTTAAACAATTATAATATTTATCTTGATATAATTTTTGTTCGTCTTTTGACATTGAATTCCATTTCTCAATTAATTTAATATATCGTTGATGTAAATATAAATTTGATTCAAAATTCAGATTTAAATTCTTCCAAATAAAATAATTGGCTCCATCATTAATATTTATTCCATCAATTTGAACTTCACCAGTTGTTAAATTATGTTTTATAATCATTGTTTCGAACATACTTGTTTTACTTTGTAAAACTCCTTGAGGTGATCTTCTTTTTTGAATTTCAAATTCTTCATCAAGTTTAACTAATTTATAATCAATAATTCTATATCCTTGTAATTCCAAATCAGCATATTCAAATAACCATTTTTCTTTTTCTTCATCAGATAATTTCTTCCAAATTTTAGATAATTCATCATATTGTTTAAATTTATTTATTCCTTTATTCATATTTTCAGTATTTTTATAACAATAATAATATAGTGTTGATTGTAATGTAGGTAATCTAAAAGTTTTGCTCTTTTTATCTCCATAAAATCCAAGATGTATATTCTTCCAATATTCAAGTAATGATGAAGATTTAATAAGTCTAACAGTTTTATTAAATTCTTGTTTAAATTCAATTGTTTTATTTTTATTTAAATCAATTATGATATTTTCAATAACATTTCTTATTGATAATTGTTCAATTTTAGATTTTCTTATCCATTTCTTTTTAGCATCTTGAAATTTATTCTCTTCAGGTGCTGATATGGGATAATCTGCTATCTTGAAATATTTATAATATTTTCTAACTTGTTCATCAGTTAATGTAAATGTTTCCTTTACTATGGGATTGTTGTTGTTGTAGTTGTTTGATGTTGATGTTGATGACGGGGTTAACGTGCTGGTGGATTTATTTCGACAGCATACTTGGAAAACTCTTCGTAGTAGCATTTGCTATCCTTCGTCTAATGTGTCAGATATTCCAAGGTTAGAAACCATTTATATCTAGTTCCTCTGGTTGATTTTTTTTTTTCAATGTTTACCTTACAGATCGTTCATCGCGTTTTTGGAAATCTGTCACGTGATCATATCTTCAAGTGTTATTATTATTCGTATTTAATCTTTTATATATATATATATATATAGTATAATATTAATTGAAAAGAATATATACATCTACTTAACTAACTAACTAACTAATTAATTAATTAATTTAAATCTTTATACAAAGATATATAATATTCTTTCCTGACTTTTTTTTCAAAATAATTTCTCTTTTAAAATAGCATTGTTTTAGGCTATTAACATGTTCATCTCGTTTTTCAAAGTACATATAGTTTCATTTACTCATAATCTATTTAGCAACTGGTTTGTTCACATTCTTTTTGGCTCCATTGACTTTTTTATTTTCAAATTTTTCTTTATTTTTAGCTCCTGTTTTACCTTGACCGCCAAATTTTTTATAACTTCCATTGTTTCCAGATGTACCATGGTAACTATTACCAGTCTTGGATTCTCTTGGTTCCAAAGAAATGGAGATCCCATTAAGAGTGGTTTCTTTAGCTTCTAATGCTCTACGTTGAGCATCTTGGTTGACAAAATCAGCTAAACAAATGTTTTCATTGACTTTGAAATATTTCAATTCTCCAAATTTCTTGGACAAATGATCTTTCAATTCTTGTTCGTCTAGATGACGAATACCCCTGATATAAATTGGATACCAATCATCTTTTTTGTAATGTTTACCATTTGATTGAGCACTAGTGGTTGAAGCACTACTGGCACTTGAAACTGGTTTCTTGGCGGCAGTTGGAGCTTTAGTGATTGGTGGTGAAGAAATTGGTTTGGTACCTTGTTTCACTGGAACAGCTTGTTGAGCAAGAGCAGCCCAACTCATTGGTTGTGATGGGGATGGTTTGGCTGATTCTTTTTTCAATTCTTCATTGACTTGCTCTTTCACTTCTTCTGGTTTGGATTCTTCAACTGGAGCTTCTACTTTAGATTCCTCTTTAACTTCTTCCTCTTGTTCTTCTTTCTTTGGTTCAAAAACATCAGGTTTTTCTTCTTTAACTGGTTCAGGTTTGGAAACTGGTTTTTCTTCAGGTTTCTTAGCTTCAGGAACAGGAGCAACTGGTTCCTTTTTAGCTTCAGCTTTAGATCCATTTGCAACAGGGTTACTAACAGTAGTCGCAGTAGCAACAGGTGGAGTTTCTTTTTGAACAGGTTTGACGTTGTTAGAAACAGGTTCTGCTTCTTTTTCCTTGACAGGTTCTTGTTCAGGAGTAGCAACTGGTGCAGCAACTTTCTTGGTGACAGGTTCAGCTTTGATTTCTTTTTCTTGAACTTGTTCATTTTTTTCTTTGTATCCATTAATGATAACAAATCTCAAAATATCATTGGCTACTTCATAATTGGTTTCATGTTTACCTGGAACCAAAACAAAAGTTTGAGTGAATTGTTTATAAGGTTGATCGTTGGTACTCCATTCACCAAAGACAACAATTATGATATTTTGATTTAAAGAAAGTTGGAAACAAGCACTAGTAATGACAATTCTGTTGTTTTTGCTACCTGACAAATATTTGGCATAAGTTTCCTTGATGGCATCCATACCTCTAGCTTTATAAGCAATAGGAACTTTTCCATTAAATTCATTCAAAGAAGATAAAGAATCGGTTTCTGGGAATGCATCATGACTAATACAAGCTTGGGGATGGTAGATCTTATGGATTTCATCCAATTTAGAAAGAAAGAAATCGTAATAAGATTTAATGAAAAACCAACCAATTTCAGAAACTCTTTCTTCTGTCAATTGTGGCTTGGTAGTAGAAGTGGTGGTTGCCGATGAAGTTGGAGTTGGAGTGGCAGTCGGAGTGGCAGTCGGAGTACTTGTTTGAGCTTGCTGTCCACCAGTAACCGGTTGCGGTTGTGGTTGTTGAGGTTGGGTGTTGACTGATGGGGAAGAAACAGTATTAGTGGTGGCCATATTGAAATCTATTATATCTTAATGAAATATATGAATTAAAGAAACAAGAATTTTGAATACGAATAATAACAATAATGAATAAAAATAAAACTCCTAGTAATTATATACTGTAGTCCAATATGATATTGAAAAAATAAAAATTAAATGAAGTGCAAATAAAAACGGATTGAGAAAAATATACAAGGAATATTGAATGAATACAAAAAAAAGGGTAATGGCAAATATTAAAAAAAGAAAAGGCACGAATCTGATAGATCCAAAGTATCCACTGAAATTAACAACAAGGGGATAAGAAGTAAGTCAAGTGTAGTTGGTAGATCTATTCCTGATAACCTTTTGGTTTGATTAAATGGATTTGAATTTTTTTTTTTTTTTTTTTTTTTGGTGATCTCTCTCACTCTCTTCTGGCTGTCTGGCTGTCTGGCTGTCTCCCTTTTGCGTTTACAACCAAAGAATGAAAAATTTTCTTTGGGCTTTTTTTTTTTTTTTTTTCTTCTGTGAGACAAAAACAGAGGAGAGGGATCAACTGACAGTGAGACAACAACCTCTTTTGGATGCAGGAAACTCTCACATTACCAACCTCACATATCCGGTTTTACCACCACCGACAACAGATGATGATTGATGGATCATGTTGAATGGTACAACATCAGATAGTTGGCCTTATCATGATAATAATAGCAATCATTTATGATTGATTCTTCATGACTTGATTGGAGTGATCAAAAAAAATAAAGGAAGTGGGCTCATAAAAGTGTAAGAATCCTTGTATTATTCATCAGGTATTGCAACCACATTTCCGTCATGAAATAAATCGCCCTCCAAAAAACATGGTTAGGTTGCTCTGTATGAGAAAGAGATTACATAATGACAGTGACCAGTAATTTAAGGGTTTATGAACACTATCACCTTTCTACAATTGATCATCTTAAGATGACCCTTTTTCTTTTCTATTAAACCAGTGGTTGTAATCAACTTTCCATATTTATTCAACAGAGAATGTATACACTATAAATGCAAATGATATTTATATATATATATATAAGGTTATATTGAGTGAAGAATAAAATACAGATAATAGTAACAACTAGTCAATTGAAAACGGGAACCAACCCGTCAACATGATCATTTATTGACATTCTCGTAATAACTCTTCTAAGATCTTGTTTTCTAAATCACTTTTATTGCCAACACCTTTAAAACTTTTAACACCCATTCTTCTTAAAACTTCAATAGTTTTATCTCTTGGGAATCCCATATTTTCAAATTGAGTAACAATTTCATCATCAATACCATATAAGGCTGAATCACTTAATTTAGTATTACCATCAGCACTACCATCATTAGCATAAATTTTAGTCCAATAAGCAGCAGTTTCTTCAAATCCTGGTTTATTACTTAAATAATGTTTAGCAACTTCAGCATCTTGTGGATCATTAGGTTCAGGTGATTGTAATAAACTTTGTAAAGAAATCAAACTTGATTTCAAAGTTAAGATTGGAGTCCAAGCATCTTTTAAAATATCTAAACAAATAGCTCCAGTAACTGAAGAAATATTTGGATGATAAATTTTAGTAATAAATTTCATTTGTGGTGGTTTAAAAGGATATTCTTGTGGAATATCTATAGCAACTTGAAAAAGTCCTCCTTCATATGGTGTACCTGGAGGTCCTTTAAAAACACCAGTTAAATGTGTTAAATCATTTTCATTATTTAAACTCAATGAAACTCCTGATTGAGTGTCTTGACGACATTCTTCTAATTCTTTGGCAATTCTCTTGACACGGGACATCCTTGTGTTATTCTAATTATTGGCAAATAGTAGATCTGGTTGATTGAATAAATTGTTGAAATAAATCACAAATTATTTTGAATTTTTCCTTGTTTGTAATTTCTGAGAAAATTATCCGTCTACTTTAATGTTACTTCTTACTTACTTACTTACTTACTCACTCACTCACAGCCATTAATTTATTCTTCACTGTAACAACAACAAAAAAAAAAAAACCTAAATTGACACTTTTGCACGACAAATATTTTGTGCATCAGTACACGCACCTAACCAATCTATATTGTCGTAACTCGGAAATTGAAAGTTTTACTTATGTCACAAGAGATTGCCCTTCCCTTCAGTAATTCTACAACGGATTTACTAATATACATACATCATTTTAATATACATTAATTAACTCTAGTACATATTCATTCTCATTAAAAATTTACTTATATATAACAGTGTAATATCGTATCATCTCAAGGAGTCGATCCTTTGACATTAACACTTAAAACATTAAAAATATTCTTGATCTCTTCAATTGAATCTTGCACAAATGGAAGATCAAAAAATCCGTAATCAGCATTCTTCACCAATTCCGTAAACAATATTGTCAACCCCCATGGATGTGGTTTATTACTAATTCTTCTTTCTAATAACACTCTGGTTATGATCTCTTGTACCACCAATTTATTAGCCGGAGTGTTCCAAATGTTATTGTTACTGAAAAAATGTAATATAATACCAATAAACCAATGAGTATGACTGTTTGGATATCTCAATTGATTGGCAATGGCATTGATCAAATGGTACTTGAACTCGGAATTACCATGATTCATCAAATCAACCAACAATGAAACTTGGGATGATTTGGTATTAAAGCCACGGTTATTTGGTAATCTATCAGCAACACTTGAAATGCCAACATGCAATACCAAAGCATTGATCAATTTGATATTGAAATTAATAGTTTCTTCATATCCTAAATCATTAACTTCTTTTGGTTGGTTCAACTTTAACCCATTATAAATAGTTCTCATTAAACCCGGAGCCGGAATTCTTAAAAAGTTTTCGACTGGTTTCTTCAAACCAATTTTACCTAAATCTTCGACTGGTTTATAATACACAACAGGCGGCTCATTAATCTCTGGTAATCTTTCAACTTTCAAACCTTGAGTAAAAGGATCTGGAACGTTAACTTCCTTTGGAGTTGCAGACAAAACAATATTTCTCAATTGAATATATCCTCTTGGAATTGCAGTTATCAATTGGTAATGACATTCAACTAAAAACTCTGGATAATCATGTAATAACCCAATGAATATTCTGCAGATGGATTTGTAAACAACAGCTGTGGCCTCTGGACTTGGTGGTTCTGTCTTTGATTGGCCCTGAAAGTCAGAATCTTGTTCCTGTTGTTGTTCTTGTTTTTGCTGCTGTAAAAGTTGTTGCTGTTGTTTACTACCGTAAATTTCTTGGAACTTCAAAGCAGAACTTAATAATTTCGTCAATACAGCATATCCTTCCTTATCTGGCATTTCCAAAAGTTTAGGCAAAAACATACGATGAGCAATCAATGAAACCCAGGCAAAAGTAAAACCAGGCAAAACAATTGGTTGTAATGCATTAAATAATTCACCGATGTATTTATAAAAATCGGAATCTAAAGCTGTAGTAGCTTCGTCATCCAACACAGAAGCATCTGCCCAAGTTGCCAATAATGACGAGGAAAATCTATAGTAAGCACGTTCATTCCAATTAGCCTTCGAGGTTTCATGATCATTAATCAAGTTCACGGTAATTATACCCAAAATCTTTTTCAAATAATCAATGGCTTGTTTGCTATCCTCAATCAACAAAACAATTCTAACAATCAACATGGCCAAAGTATCAACTGCCAAATAACATTCGTGTTGGGTTCTTGCTCTTAATTCATGTTCGGCAGCAAATGAAGTAACAGATATATCAATAGCAGCTTTAAAGAATGTCTTCAAATTCTCAGGATTCTTCAAAATTCCTGATTCAATCAAGCCTTTAACAAATTCAACTTGCAATTGATGAGTTGCTTCATCGCCATGAGTCAATAATCTTACCCACTCGGCAAAAACATAACCTAATTGAGCATACAATTGATTAGAAGCAGGTGCTGCAGAATTCAAAACATTAAACAATTTATCAACTGCCATTTTGGCTTCTTTATGTTCTTCATCCTGTTCATTTCCTTTATAATTACTCAATGCATTTAAGGTGTTAGCAAACTCTGATCTCAAAGCAATAGGACGCATATCCTGTGCACTGAAAACATTCTCCAATAATGATGCAGCAAACTTGACAAGGACAGGACTGTTTGTTTCCTTTATTAATCTGCCAATAGAAGCATCTAATTTAATTGGTTGGATCAATTGAACCTTCAATAAAGAAAATATAACTGGCATATTAAATTTACGTTGATCAGAAGAGTGAACTAACCACCAAGTGACATCCTTAGCCGTAGATGGTGAGTATTCACACAACTTGTCTAAAATTACAACATAAATCTCGTTACTCATTGGATTCTCGTGAGTTTGAGTAAATAAACAATTAACAGCATATTGAGCAGCCTTCAATAACAATTCAGGAAATTTAATTGCATTACTTTGAGCAATAAGTAATGCTTGTGTCAAAGCAGCTGTGATTGGATGATTTGGTGGTAAGTCGGACAACTTAGTTTCAGTAACTTCAGCAAGTAATTGAATAGCCTTGTCACAATTAGAAGTAATTGCCGCAAACAATTGCTCGAACGAGATGACATCCTCTGGAATACCTTGTTGAAGATCTTGCTGTAATTGTGGCTGTTGAGGTTGTTGTTGTTGAGTCAACGGTAACTGCTGAGCTTGTGGGTGTTGAGGTTGTGCTTGTGGTTGGGTAGGAATAGAACCAGGTGGAGCTGGAGCCGGAATACCATCGTCAACTCTAGTTTCACCAAAATGATCATAAATTCTCAATTGTTGTCCACTCAACCCATTAACTGCCAAACCTAACGGATCTGGTAATCTCAAGGAATATTCAGTTGCACCTTCTTCTATGAATGGTTCATTTGGATGAATTGCATTATGTTGTTCACGCAAGAAAACATACTTTTGCATCTTCTCATCAATGATTTCTGAAATATTTTCAGCGGCAATTCTATCAACAATGTCAACACATAATCCAACATTAGCTTGAATAGCATTGTTCAATTCTATAATTGGAATCTCATTTGGATTGTTACCCAATAATTGCAACATGGTAGCTTCAATAGTTTCGGCTAACAACTTTCTTCCACTGCACAAGACCATAGAATGTGACAATTGTAAAGCCAACTTTTGATAACTCTTACGTAATTTGTTCACATCACGTTCGGTAGCAAAATCCTTTCTGATTAAAGCTTCAGTAGTGGTGACAACAGTTTCTGAAAGTCTATTTAAAATTGGAACAGCACATTCTCTAACAGCTCTTGATAATGACGCTTGGAAAGCTCTTCTTAAATTAGCATTTTGAATGAAAATAGAGTTTCCAACTAATGTACTGAAACTGGTGTCCAATGTAGGTTCTGCTGATTGTTGAGGTTGTTGGATTTGTTGTTGTGGAAGTTGTTGTTGCTGCTGTTGCAAGAGCATTTGCTGCTGTGGCTGTTGTTGTTGCTGTTGCAATAGAGATTGTAATTGAGGTTGGGTGACACCTGGAAATTGTTTGGATTCGAGTGTTTGTTGTGGTTGTTGAGGGAATGGAGCTTGGATTGAATTAATTGGTTGAGCAGCTTCTAAGGATAACTTAGCAATTTCATTAGCCAAACTGACAGATTGATCATTGATACCAAACATGGTAGCCAATGCAGTTGGATCTGGATTATGGGTTCTAATCAATGTACTTTGATCAATATCTTTGACCTTCATATTAAATGAATTCAACAAAACTTCAATTTCAAATTTCAATTGCAATTTCAAGTCTGCACAATCATACAATTCAGCCAAAACCTTCATGACACCCAAAACCCATGGGTTTGGTGGTTTGAAGACCTTGGAATACTGAGCTTGGTCTAAAATCTTACAAACAAATGGAATGATTAAAGGCAAGGATTTAAAATCATAAGCTTCAACTAATAAAAATTTCAATGCAATATAATCACGTCTCAATGGTTTGTCATTAGCTAATGTGATTCTACCCAACCAAGCACCCAAATTTTTCAATTGATTTCTTTCATTTCTGGAATCCTTGAAATTCCGGATAATATGATCGACTTCTCTCAAGGAGATATTCATCACGTATTCAAAGAAAATTGGGTTATTCAATGACTTGACTAATTTCGCATATAATTCATGGTTGTTTGGTTCTGCTTTGGCTCTATCAGAAACCAAATAATTGGAAAACCATGCAAAGTAACTCTCAGTTAAAACCTCTTGAATTTCAGACAATCTCAAGTTATCACCAGTCATATTATTAACACTAAACAACAATTTGTCCCTGATAGCTTCTTGTGGTTCCTCTTGAGGAGCATAACCAATGGTTCTATCAACATAGTTAATAGATTGATATTTCGGTCCCACATCTGGTGTTGAGGTCTGGGTAGGAGCAGCTCCTCCTGTAGGGCAAGGAATACCATTCGCCGCATCTTTAACAATTTGGTACATCTTCGCATGAGCTGACAATGAACGGCACTCCAATAAATGTTTACAATAAATTGGATACTCGTGCAATCTGGACTTGAAATTGTACAATGATTGTACTGCAAACTTGAAAAGATGTGAATCTTGGGGTTGATTACAAGATTCCCAAATGAAATTCAAGGCAACTGTCAAGGTAGTACCTTGAATCAAATCCTTTTCCAAAAGTGCACCAAATAACAAAGAAGTTGATGCCAATGCTGACAATGGATATTCGGCAAAGAATTTATACTCGTCCAATAATGAATGAATCATACAAGCAAAAACATCTTGACTATGTGGATCATCACTAGATTTCATTTGTGTCAACATATCCACGATTTCTTTTATTTCAAGATCCTTGTTGTACATCTTGGAGTAATAGGATTTCATTTCCACTTCAACATTAGGGGTGAAAAATGGAGACTTCTCTTCATTGGCCAAGATTGCTTCGTCGTGACCATTACCGAAATTAATCAATCTTGGATAAGTAGTCAACAACAATAATTGAAGATTCTTCAACTTTTTAGCATCAATGACACCATTACTTGATTTGATCTTTTCAAGCAAGTAGTAAACCACTGGCACCTTCAACACTCTATGAGGAGGTAAAACTTGTTGTGGTTGAAGTTGCTGTGCTTGTTGTACTTGTTGACCACGTTCATAGTCCTTTTGGACACGTTCATCCAATGCATCAGCCAACGCTTGGTAAACAGATGGCTTGAGTTGTGGATCATTGAGTTTAGCTTCAATAACAGATTTAAATTCGTAGCCGAAAAGGCTTGATTCTATCAAAAGTTTAACGGCCAATTTCAAGTCGCTTGCCCAGAAAACATCCAATACATCTTGAGTAATTCCAACAGTAGAAGCTAAGGATAAAACCTTATCAGCAGCATCTACGGTTTTTCTGCTCTTGTAATAGTCACATAACTTGGTAGAAGCTAAACCAGATTCCATGAGTAAACGAATAACCTTTGGTAAAGCAGGACTAGCACTGTCAACCAATAAATAAAATAAAGTATCAATTAAATCGTTAATAAATTGAGTCTTGTCAAGAACAGTCAATGCCGCAGCCAAGATATACTCTGGGAAAACACGATAGTCGTGTTCAAAAAGTTGGTTCAAAAATGGGTTTAATTTTCTATCTTGTTCACTCAATTGCTGGTGTTGTTGTTGTTGTTGGATCTTGGTAATTACTTGAAGCTCTAATTTACCCACATTGATGAACTTCAAAATATTTCTTCTAGTTTGTGGGATATTCTTATCTTCATCAAAACAGTATGCTAAATGATTCAGCAATGAAATATCATAACCACCTTGGGAGGCGTCCAGTGAATGCAATATGTACAATAAGGTCTTGTTAAACCACCATTCATAATTCAAAAATATATCAATTGGTTCTTGCTTGAAATCTAAGGATGATAAAAATTGAGTGACACTGATAACTGAAGGTTGTATGTCTCTTTGTGATGAGTCAAATAAATATTGATGTACATAATTAAATACTTCATACCAATTTACGTTAAATTTCCCTGAGCTTTCAATAGCTTTGAAACATGCTTGTAATTGTGCACCTTTGGCGTTGGCTTCTGGTAATGTATTGACAAATGTCAATCCTTGTGACAATCCTTGTGAGCCAGGAATCAATATTTCTGCCAATATTAAAGCTATACCTTGGTCTATTTCATTTGGTTTGATTTCCAACAAGCTTGGTAATAATTTTTCTGGCAACAAATTTTCTGGACCGATTTCTATTAATAATTCTTTGAACGACATTTTTAAGATATTTTGATAAAATTTATTAATTGGTTGGATGGTTAATTTGAATGCTTGTAATGAACTTAAAGTCAATAATTTATGGATGAATGGGAAAAATGGAGTATTTAAGATATAATCCAAAAGTAATGACCAATTGTAATTAGTTGGGAATTCTCTAGTTCTTAATAATTTAAGTAAATTGAATGAGTTTTCCTTAAGATATGAATGGACTTGGTCGTTAGATGATTTATCAACAAATCTAACTAATAATATAAATGATAAAATGGATTCACAATTGAATCTTTTGACAAATGCGATAGTATCGATACGTTTACTTTCAAATAAGTTAGCTAAATGGATAAATAACAATTCCAAATAATTTAAGTCTTTAGCAGTACACTCTAACTCTTTGGCAAATAATTGTTCAATAGGGGTTAAATACTCTGTGTTGGAAAAGTTGGTGAATCTAAGTAAATTGACAAGCTTTTCGTAATAGTTGTTGATTACAATAGGGTTGTTGATTTGTTTAGCTAATATAAATCTAATCTGTTTAAAGTTTGATTCCAAGTTTTCTTTATCAACAGTGGTAACTAAGATAGATAATTGATTGATGATAGCTTTTGTTAATTCTGGGTCCTCTATTTGATAGGATGGCTCTTTCTTTTGCGCTTGTTGTGGGATTTGCTTGCCCTTTGGGCTGTTTTTTGGTGATGTAGAAGACACGATAATAATAAAATTTAAATTATTAAATAAATTAAAGATTCACAATTGATTTCGTGATTCGTCAAAGTGATGTCTCTCTTATAAGTGATGTATGAATTAATTTGAAACACACTTGTATATCCGTTGAATTGTATAATAGATAAAAACAAATTCGACAAATCGGAGTTCTTTCAGTTGGTGTTCTTTTTTTTATTATTTGCAATATTCTCAATAGGTATATAAGATCTAATCAGTAGTCAAATATACAAATATGCCGAGGTTCTTTTTCTCTTCTATTAATTGATTAATTAAATATGGCTTCAAGAAAGTTGTATTAGAGAATGGGTTATTGATTTAAAAAAGAAGAGAAATTTTCCTTGAGTGGCCAAAACAAATGTGTGAGAGTCAAAGAGAGAGAGAGAGAAAAAAAAATTTTCCTTGTGTTGATTCAGCAGGTAGTGCAGCTTGGCCCAATAAGACAAACAGCCAAACAAAGGTGGTTTTTCAGTTTTGCAACTGGCAACTATCAACTATCAACATTAAATATCATCATCAAAGAAGAGAAGCAGATACCCAGGTACTATTTAACCAGTAAGCGATTGGTACAATGTTCATATATGTGTGTGAATGCAGGCGGTAGTACTTTGATCCAACGATCAATCTTGTTAGGACACAAATGATGGTAGTTCCCACCACAGTTACACATAATTGTGCTCAGCCATTCAGCAATTTGACAATGCAACTACTAGTTCAAGGTCTTATGTTCTAAGTATGGCATATTCGCCTATGAAACAGTCATCTCAGGTTTTCTTTACCATTTTTGTCGTTGCCTACCATTTGACAACCAACACGCTTCCATGTTCTGAATTATAGGACGGAGAAAAAAAAATAGTAGCATCGAGATCCATCTCTCTTCTCTTGTGTCAATCACTAGCCTTACCAAACTCATCCCCATCATGGTCTATTATTTTACAGCTAAAGTATCACAAGGAGGAAATGAATATTCTGATTTTGCATTAGATGAGGATACTACAGAAGCAACTATCTATATGGGTAGGGATAAAATTGAAAATGATCCATTAATTAAACATTCACATCCAAAAAACATTTGGTTTCATGTTGATAAATTATCATCAGCTCATATTTATTTACAATTAACTAAAGAACAAATTAAATCATTCAAATCTTTTGAAAAATTCCTGATTGAAGAAGATTTATTAACACAAATGGCACAACTAACTAAGGCAAATTCCATAAAGGGAAATAAACTTAATAACGTGACGATTATCTATACTCCGGTAGAGAATTTACATACTGATGGTTCAATGGATATAGGAACTGTTACATTTAAAAACCCAAAATTGGTCAAGAGAGTTAATGTTGCAAAAAAGGAAAATGCTATAATAAATAAATTGAATAAAACTAAACGTGAAATCCCAACAGATGAGTTTATAACTGGTCAAGAACAATTGATTCGAGAAATTGCAATGGAAAGAAAACAAGAAGAAAAAGAAGCTAAAGATTTGGCTAAACAATATGAAACTCAGAAAAAGAATAAATCTGATCCATATGCTGATTTGTTTGCGGCTGATAATCAATCTCAAACTCAAAGTAATATAAATTATGTAGAGGATGATTTTTGGTGATTTCTACAATTAATATTAAATCATTATTTCGTATGCAAACTAGAGATAACTTTAAACATTTTCTCTTTTTTATTTTTAAATTGTGTATTTGAAAATACCATGATTGAATATGTATCAAATATAAAAAAAACTAAAGGGGGGACGGGGAGTGTTGATTAATAAACCCGTTAACTAAACAAAAACATTTGAACAAAGGATAAATGACAAGCTAAACAATATGGAAAGAAACATCTTTCAGTGAATGTATGTTTGTTACTTTGACAATTGAAATTAAGCATCCAAGTTAACTGGGAATTTACCAGCAGCTCTTTGATCATCCCATTTTTCAACCCAATCTAATGGACATAATGAAGTGAAAGTTTTGAAGAAAATTTTACATGGTTCAAATTCTTCACCTTTGACATTAACACATTTGTGGTAATCAACATAAGCTTGAGCACAATGTTTAGATTGGTTTTGGTTTGGGAATCTTGGGTCGAATTGAGGAGTATCGAATTTAAAAGTAGCTGGATCGACTGGCATTATGAATAGTTTGTGTAGATGGTTTTTCCTTATAGATAAAAGATAGGTAAAAGGAAAAACTTTCAATTTCTCAGTGGTAACTTTTTATTCTCTTTTTTTTTTCATCTTACGATTTTACATTTGGAGGTGAGAAATTATTGTTGTCTGGAATCTCATTGGTTGGTGTCACAACAAATGTGTGCGCCAATCAATAAATCAGAAACAACAACAACATATGAACTGCTACAATTTCAAATAGGTACATCCTGAACTAATTGCATTTCTCTTATCAAATATTCTATTAATTGTTGGTTAATCTATATAATAATGATTTACATCTTATGATGTTTTCTGTTTGGTCCAGCTCATCATGTCGATGCCTTCAAGAATGTCCTTCTTAGTTAAAAGAATATACATTGAAGGTAACGTAAACACTTTGGGACCGTTGATCTCTTCTAAAACTTTCTTTTCCAGTGACACTTCATCTTGAGTCTTGCTATCAACATCTGGTTTATTCTTATGGTTTGGATTTGTTGTACTTTCGATTTTTAAAAGTGTATTGTATTGAAATAATTGTTGTTCTTTCTGTTTGACAATTTCTGTAATGGCTATTAGTTTAGCAGCACCATTGGATACACCACCTAGAAGTACTATTTCATTATCTCCAATAAATTTCAAAATTGCTTCTACTTTATTTTTGATGGAATCATTTTTTGTTATTTTAAACACTCTCACTGATTCATCTTGAGATAATTTAGCTTTTAAATCACGTTCTACTGTTGCTAGTTGTGAGACGAACTTGGAATTAACTGATGGTTCAGACATCGTGATGATCAATAGATGGGTGAGTTCCGTTTAAGATGAGCTTGAGTGGTTTGACATGTTTTGCCGTGCATTTGATAAATCAAACGACAGAAAGCGAAAAATTAAAATCCGACCGAGAATGGTAATTTTCTTCGGTCGATAATTCGCTCTAGATTATCACCAAACAGATAATAAAACAAAATGTATACATTAATTGATTAATAAAAGAAGGTGATATGTATATATGTATATATCTAATTATATGTCTAGATAATGGGGCTTAATTATGAAAACTAGATAAACCAAAAAAAAAAATTAAAGGGGGGGGGGGGAAGATATTTCAAAATTATTAAAAAAAAAACTAAATTCTTCTAAAGTACAGTTATGATTGTAAGACCAAGCAGAAATTAAACAAAGTATTTAAAAGTAAAGTATCAGCCGTTGTTGTTGTTGTCCTTGTTGTTGTTGTTCTTACTTGGCAACTTTCATTTTTGCCATTTTTAATCACCACGTTTATGTACTTGAAAACTAGCTGGAGAATTTGATGACTGACTACTATCATCTTTAGCTAAACTATTTCTCAAGCTACTACGAAAACTTGATTTTGAACTATTTGAACGACTTATGGTTCCAATAATTATTGTTGTTGAATCAACTTCACCAAATCTATTATTAGTACCTAAATCTAAATCCCCATAAAATTGAGCCAATTCTAATACTTGAGTTTGAAATTCTTTTAATTTGTTAGGACAACGAGAATTCCTAACAGTTAAATTTCTATATGGTGATTGATTTAATCTTCTTCTTTTTCTACTTGTCATTGATGACACTGTAGTTCCAATAGTTGTAGTTGTTGATGATGGTAATGTTGTTGGAGAACCTGCAGCATTTGTAGGTAAAACTAAATGTCTACCATTAATTGTACTACCAACCATAGAAGCATTTTCAATTGCTTGAATGTCATGATTTTTAATAATGGGAGTAACAAACCCATTCAGGTGTAATAAATATTCATTTCCTTCGTTATCAAGTAATTTTGTTAATCCATTTAATGATAATGACAGTGGAGTTGTTGATGCAACTTCGGGCAGAATTTCACTTTCATTATTATTATTATTATTGTTATTGCTTTGACCATAAGCATCAGGACCAAATGTTAAAACTTCTCTACCTTTAATTAATTCCTTCAATTCTTTAACTTGAGCAACACTTTCAGTATCTGAACTAGAATTGTTTGGATCTTCATTAGTAATTGTAGTTATTGATGCACGAGTAGTAGTGGTGGTAGTACTTGTAGTAGCATTAGTTGTAGTAGTTGTTAAAGTAGTCAGAGTTGTTGTTTCAATGTCATTATTTGTTTCAGATATAGCATTGTCTGTAGTAGCAATATTGTTATTACTATTTGCCACTGCTGTTGTTGTTGCTGTTGTTGCCGCTGATGCTGTTGCTGTTGCTACGGCAGTTGAAGTAGTGGTGGTATTTGCAGCAGGGATGGTAGTAGTTATGGTGTTGGTGGTTGTGGTAGGGATGTTAGGTGTGATTCCAATTGTGGTTAGAATATATAATGGCAAAGTTTGATTGAAAATAACATTTCGAGGTAAACTAAATTGAAATAACCTAACACAAATTGTATCTAATATTGAATTTATTATTATGCTTTTCCTTTGTTGTTGAATGGAAATGAAAATACTCTGTATAAACAATAATGCAAGTCTAATATATTCTTGAATGGACATATTCTTGCCTATAATGAGGGGTGATGATTCTTACCTCTTTATTTCTTCTAGTGGGAGTAATGACTGATAATGATGTTGATGGTAGGATAATGATGATTTGAATCCAACGTATCTGATATTTTTCAATTTTTTTAAAAAAAGCCTAAAGGAGCTTTTAATTGATTTATTTAATAATTAAATCAAAAAAAAGAAAGGTAGATGGGTAAGTAATAAAAATGAAATAGCAAACCGAACAAACTAAATAAGGTGATGATGATAGTATAAAAATGAGTGATTTTTCCAAGTTTATAAGGGTCCGACCACGTTAAACAAAAAAAAAAAATTGAAAGCCAAAAAGAAAACAGTTCTGTTCAACATCAGAAAGAAGGGTAAAGAAGAAAATCAATTAGAAAAGACCCATTATTCATCCCTGTTCTAATTTCAATGCAGGGTTTTCATTAAATCATAACAAAATAATCAATTAGTGAATGCAAAAAAAAAAAAAAACGCCCACATGAATATAACCATTGATTTTCAAAAGGACACAAAATTGTATTTGATTTTTCATAAAAGAAAGTTTAGTTAAATTGAAAAATTCTACAAATTAATGGTTTACTTAAATTGTTATTCTTTTCAATCTAGACCTTTCATATGAGATGCTGTTTCCTTAAATTTTATAATTTTGCGAACATCAAAAGATTACTTTTTTTTTGCAGTCAAATTCATACAAAAATCCAACAAAATTATTAAACCAATAGAAAGATATAATCAAGGTTGGTATTTATGTAAGGGTAATTAGAAACACTATAGGTTATATCTATCAAGATATAAGGGATTGTTATTGTGATTGAATGACATCAAATTGCCACTTTGTAAGACGTCTGACTGTTGGCAAATAAATTCCCCCGTTGCAACATTTGTATACCTCCTATATACTTAGTATGTATTCAATTACTCCTTATAACTGTCTATGGACAACTGAACTAACCAATTGCTCGAGGTTAGCATTTCAACCAATCATGGTTTACAAAGATGACTCTCAGTCAATGACTCTAATTTTTACCCCACGGAAAAAAACATGAAAGCCGCGCTAAACCCCAAAACGGTAAAACTATCCCACACAGCCAAAAACTTCCGTTGCTCCATGAAGTGGACAAATAATCTCTCCGGCTACTAAAAAGTTCAACAATGTGATTTTCCAAAATTTTTTGCTTTCTATTTCTTCTTCTTCTTCTTCTTCTTCTTCTTCTTCTTCTTCTTCTTGGTTTCTACTTTCCCACTTTAATCAAGAGTTATATGTTTAGATTATTACCTGCAAGAGTTAATAATTTAATATTTAAAAACCAATCAAGAATCTCTACCAATATAATTACCCAATCAAGAATGTCTTTCCATTATAAACAACCAGAACATAAATTGACTTTAATTCCAGGTCCAATTGAATTTTCTGATGATGTTTTAGCTTCAATGGCTACTCCTTCACAAGCTCATACATCACCAGAATTTGTATCTACTTTTCAACAAGTTTTACAAAATTTAAGAAAATTGTTTAAATCCACTGATTCTAATACTCAAGGTTATGTTTTAAGTGGATCTGGTACTTTAGGTTGGGATGTTGCTGCTAGTAATTTATTAAATCCTGGTGAAAAAGTTTTAGTTTTAAGTACTGGATTCTTTTCTGATTCTTTTGCAGATTGTTTAAGAGTTTATGATGCTGATGTTGATGTTATTACTGCTGAAGTTGGTGATGTTGTACCATTGGATAAAATTGAAGAACAATTGAAGAAGGAAAAATATCAAGTTATTACAATTACTCATGTTGATACTTCTACTTCTGTTGTTAGTGATGTTGAAGCAATTAGTAAAATTGTCAAGAAAGTTTCTCCAGAAACTTTGATTGTTGTTGATGGTGTTTGTTCAATCGGTGTTGAAGATTTGGAATTTGATAAATGGGGTATTGATTTTGTTTTAACCGCTTCTCAAAAAGCTCTTGGTGTTCCAGCTGGTTTATCTGTTTTATATGCCAGTGAAAGAGCATTAGCCAAAGCTTTGAACAAGACTAAAGATACTACATTTTTTGCCTCTTTGAAAAGATGGACTCCAATCATGAAAGCTTATGAAAGTGGAAATGGTGCTTATTTCGCCACACCAGCAGTTCAAACCATCACAGCTTTGAAAACATCTTTGGAAGAAATTTTAAGTCAATCAATTGATGAAAGATTTGCTAAACATGCCCAAGTTTCTGATAAATTTAAGAGTGATGTTGAAAGTCTCGGATTAAAGATTGTTCCAGCTAATAAACAAGTTGCTGCTCATGGTTTAACTGCAGTTTATTTCCCAGAAAACATCAATGGTCCTGATTTATTGAAAAAATTATCTGAAAAAGGATTTGTTGTTGCTGGTGGTATTCACAAGAAATTAGTTGGTAAATATTTCAGAGTTGGACATATGGGTTATTCAGTTTATGCTGGTCACATTGACAAATTAACCAAGGCCTTGGAAGAATCTTTGAATGAACTTAAGTAAAGAGTTTTTTTAGATTATGAGAGTAAATCAAATAAATAAACACCGTTATGAATTTCCCAAACAAGTAATATTTCCTAATAAACGGGGTTTGGTAATACAGTCCCATGAGTGATTTATGCTGTTAGGTTTCTCCCCACACAATTATGAGTTGTCCGCTTTTATAAATTTATACTTCTACTTCTACTTCTACATCTTCTTGATAAATATGAGTTGTTTTTGCTAATTCCGTGTTGTGATCGTGGTGAACTAACAGATTTCGATTTCGATTTCGATTTCGATTCCGAATTCCGAGATTCGATTGGCTCAGATTGACAAACGCGCGGGAGCCACGTCGATTGCGTAATGCCACACTTTTTCTTCGTCTTGTTGTTGTGTCTACCAAAGCGAAAGAAAGTATGAGAGAAAAAAATATAAATAGCGGGTAGTAGAAGTCAAAGAGATCTTGTTACAAAACAACGTCATAACCACTATAGTTCCAACTTCAAACGGCCATAACCACCTTTAACCACTAAAGAAGAGATACTTTACATTATCTTTTGTTATTATATATTCTAGTCAATTCCTTTATTTGCATACCTAGACTTTAATTTTCTTTTTTTTGAGGTGATGTTTCGAAGTATTAAACTAATACAACCATTTCGTACACTTCGTACATCCACAACTAAATTTACTACTACATCATCGTCATCATGGCTTATACCTAATACTATCAGAAGATCAATACTACAACAATCACAACAACGGATAACATTTTCTAGATTTTTCACACAGACAAAACATGTTTCCCAACAAATTGTCAAGCCAAAAGTACAACAATCTATATTTGGTAGAAAAATTAGTACTTCTGAATCATTTATGATAAAATCATTATTAAAAACAATATGGCCTAAAGATAATTTTAATTTTAAAATTCGTGTTATTATAGCATTATCATTATTAATTGCATCTAAATTATTAAATGTTCAAGTTCCATTTTATTTTAAAGAAATTATTGATGCCATGAATATAAATTGGTCTGAGGATGTAGGTACAGTAAGTGCAGTTATTGGTAGTTTAATATTAGCTTATGGTGGTGCAAGATTTGGAGCAGTATTATTTGGAGAATTAAGAAATGCCATATTTGCAAGTGTTGCCCAACTGGCAATTAGAAGAGTAGCATATAATACATTTGTTAAATTATTAAATATGGATTTAAATTTCCATTTATCTAGACAAACTGGTGGATTAACTAGAGCAATTGATAGAGGTACTAAGGGGATTAGTTATGTTTTAAGTGCCATGGTATTTCATATAATTCCAATTACTTTTGAAATTACTGTTGTTTGTGGTATTTTAACTTATAATTATGGTGCTACTTTTGCTGCTATGACATTTGCAACCATGTTGGCCTATTCGATTTTCACTATTAGAACAACTGCTTGGAGAACTAAATTTAGACGTCAAGCAAATAGTGCTGATAATAAAGCAGCAAGTGTTGCATTAGATTCTTTAATTAATTATGAAAGTGTTAAAATTTTCAATAATGAAGCTTATCAAGCTAATAAATATGATCAATCATTAACTAAATATCAACAAGCTAGTGTTAAAGTTGCAACTTCATTGGCATTTTTAAATTCTGGACAAAATTTCATTTTCACGTCAGCATTAACAGCAATGATGTATATGGGATGTCAAGGTGTTGCCAATGGTAGTTTAACAGTTGGTGATTTAGTTTTAATTAATCAATTGGTATTCCAATTAAGTGTACCTTTGAATTTCTTGGGTTCAGTTTATCGTGAATTAAAACAATCTTTAATTGATATGGAGAATTTATTCCAACTACAAAGTGAACCTATAAGAATTAAAGAAATTGAAGGTGCTCCTCAATTGGTTTTAAATGAAACATTACCAGGGGAAATTAAATTTGAAAATGTTACATTTGGATATCATCCAGATCGTCCAATTTTGAAAAATGCTACATTTACTATTCCAGCAGGAAAAAAAGTTGCCATTGTTGGACCTTCAGGTAGTGGTAAATCAACAATTTTGAGATTAGTGTTTAGATTTTATGATATTGATTCTGGTAGAATATTAATTGATGGACAAGATATAACTAAAGTTTCATTGGAATCATTAAGAAAGAAAATCGGGGTTGTTCCACAAGAAACTCCATTATTTAATGATACTATATTGGAAAATATAAGATATGGTAGATTAGATGCCAGTGATGAAGAAATTAATAAAGTTATAAATTCAGTTCAATTAGATAAACTTATTAAAGATTTACCAGATGGTGTACAAACCATTGTTGGAGAAAGAGGTATGATGATTTCTGGTGGTGAAAAACAAAGATTAGCTATGGCAAGATTATTATTAAAGAAAGCACCAATTACATTTTTTGATGAAGCCACATCTGCATTAGATACTCATACAGAACAAGCATTATTGAAAACAATTCGAGGAATATTTAGACGTGATCATAGTACAAATGTTAGTATTGCTCATAGATTACGAACCATTGCTGATGCCGATAAGATTATTGTCTTGAATAAAGGTGTAGTTCAAGAAGAAGGGACACATGGTGAATTATTGAGTCAATCCGAAAGTTTGTATGCTCAATTATGGAATATTCAAGAGAATATGGATGTTGAGAAAGAATTAAGATTAGAAGAAGAACAAAGAGTTAAAGCAGAACAGGAGAAGGAAAACCAAATATTTAAACAAGAAAACAAATAGACTCTGGTATGTATTAATCCATACTGATATCAATGTTACAGCTGTATATATATATATATAAATTTGAGGGTTTTGAATTGATTAATTGATTGATTGATCATGGCTTATTCAATTTTTTCTTTGTTGTTGTTGCTGATCAAAGCCCGTATATCCGATATTTTGGTCGCGGGATGGCGAAGTATAAATTATCGTTTCTCCCTCGATCTCCTAAACAATTTAATTTTCTCCAACTTTTATTATTTCTTGTTCTTCTTTGAATATAATCAACCAAAATTCAATTCAATTCAATTTAATTCAATTTAATTATTCTTTCAATTTAACTTAAGAAAATGTGTAAACCAGCTACTTGTGATATTTGTGGAGGTGCTACTTGGTTCGGATGTGGAAAACATGTTCCAACAGCTATGTCTAATTCTCCAAAAGATCAATGGTGTACATGTGAATCAGCAAGTGGTGCTGAATTAAACGGATTCCCACCTAAAGTTGGTGATGCTAAAGCTAAATAAGTCCCTGACCAAACAAAGCAACCCCTTTTTCCTTGTTGTTTCATTCATTCCTTCATTCAGGGGGACATAATAATGACTTGGTATTGTTCATTACGGCGGGTATGAGTTTGAATAAATATAGCTTATTTTTTTTTTTTTTGTTTCAATTGTTTATATATTGAAAAATTTCATTCAATGCATAAGATCTTAATCATCGTAATGGAATTGATGTAGTAAGCTCTGATATATATATATATATACAGTGGAGTAAGTATGAAACATATTAATTAGGTTTTTTTTTTTTTCATCCTTATATTCAACCTTGTTATTCTTATTTATTTTGATGTATGAATTACTATTATGATGTAATGAATTGTTCAAAGTTGCCTGTTTCGGAAGTTAAATATAGATAATGTAACTCCGACGCATGCATTAATTAATTATTCAATAACCAAAGCCTTCCCTCCTTCATCCATCACCTTCTGACAAACAAACAAACAAAAAAAAAAAGGTTTTAGTAAGCAACGAGGGTTATATTACAGTGTGAAGTGGGACGATATCGATGTTGATGAAAAGTAAAAGTTGCCATGACAGGTAAAGGTTAATGAGTTGCAACCTCAATGTATTACTTTTCAATTTAAAGTAAGTAAGAAAGAGGAGATGGTATGTTGAGAAGACTGAAATGGGTTAAACAAAATAATTGAAAAAGGGCAGAAACGGTATAGGGATATCAATTGATCAAATATCACTACCACTATATCCTATATTGCATGATAAGTGTGTAAACATAGTGAATTTTTCAAAACAATAAACTAAACCTAAATATTCCCCCCAACTCGTGATTATTTAGTGTATTTCATCATTACGATTTCAAACAATTGCTAGGGTTGTTTCACAAGATCTTCTCATTAGATCATATATGTGTATGTCTATGTCTGTGTGGGAATGTCTACAAATTCATAGTTCGTATGTGTCTAAGAGATAATATCAATGTCATCGATAGACAAGAGACAATCGACCAGCTATTATTTCATACACACATCTTATAAACAATAAACACCAAAAATGATGATTCTAAAAGAACAAACAACAACAAAAAATTGATCCCTTGGGTTTGAAGAAACACAATCCAATGCAACTGTTACATCAAAAATGTGAAACCAACACTATTTTTATTTTTTGGTCGGTTTTAATTTTAGACCAACGGTCAAATAACCGACGGAAAATATTGAAATAAACGGTTTATCAACAATCGCCCCCTTTTTTATTTATTTAGTTATTTATTTATTCTGGATATACTGTAGTAGAAAAATAGGGGTTGGTTATACTGTACATATTGTAGTCACATTTCGGTTAAGTTGTATAATTTTAAAACATCGTGAACCCATCAACAGTTTATTGTTTTTTTGAATCGATGGAAATACTTTGATTTCTCCGGTAATTTATTATCTCTTAGACATAAACAACATACTACTCAAACTTGTTCAAAATGTGTATGCATATGTATAGCTGTATACATAAACGATCTTTCCTAATTCGGTAATTCGGTGTGTCGAATTAGAATTTATTGCGTAGATATTGTTAAGCAAGTCTAGAAACTGAAAAATAGACCCAAATGATACAAATCACACACAGACTCTCTCTCTCTCTCCCTCCTTCTCTCCGTATATCTCTTTCGGAATGGGAATGACATGGGGATTTACATTGTTTAAATTTGGTTAAGGGAGCCCATAAAGTATAAAAACTTATTTTATACACTTGACTATAATAGAGTAGAGTAGAGCATGAGAATAAACTATACACATCACACATTTTTAAGAAACCAACGATCCCATATGAAAATCTTAAACAACAATAAGGAAATTAGAAAGACGATGATGGGGAGGGGCCCCCTATTGTTCTTGTTCTTACTAAAAAAAACATGAAAATGTACAAAGTCCTACTATTACATATAATAGTTGATACTGATGATGTGTGTGTGTATTAATCTTCTTCTTGTTGCTCTTCTATTGCTATTGTAAGAAACGGTAAACAGAATTAAATGACGGTGACTAATTTACTAGTAATGATATTCAAATACAACCAATGACAGAACAAGGATTACCGCTGATTCTTCTTCTTCTTCTTCTCCTTGTTGTTGTTGTTGTAGCTATTGTTGATTTACCAATGGGGAGGTTGGTTTCAAGAAAAGGCTATAAGCAATTCTTAATATTACCAGGTCGTGCACATGTGATACACACCCGCGGCCACTGTGCAGGATGTTGTATAACTTTGGGTTTTGTGTTATTTTTGTTATAAATTTGTGTTGTTTACGTTTTTTTATTATTGTGATTGTGTTTGTTTTGACTTTGTGTCATTTGGCAATGCACTCCTGTTCCCCCCTTAACAACAATTGCAATAAACACACAACAACAACAACAACAGGAACATCAACCTCATCATCGAGTTGAACTTTTTCAAGATATAAATATATAAAAATTCATTCCTACGCCCTGATTTTTTTTTTATTTATTTATTTTTAATAAAATAGAAAATTATTCATATTATCATAATTGTTATTTAGTTTTCATTATCATCGCTCGCTCATAACTACATCTTCTATCAGAGAAACAGAGAAATATACCCACACATATATATATCATCATCATCTTAATAGTAGTAGTAATAGTAATAATATGGCTTTAACTTTAGATAATACCACTTCAAATACCAATTCAAGTACAAGTTCAGGTAAGACGTCGAGAACATCAAGTATTTCTCGACATAATTCAATAAAGAATAAATTAAAATCATTACGAAAAGAATTAAAATTACATCAATCAAAACCATTACCTCCATTACCACCAACAAGAAGATTTAATTCAACTTCATCAACTCCAAATTCATTTTCTTCTTCAACTTTTTCAAGTCTAAATAATTTAGCTAGATCAAAATCAGTTTCACTACCTATAAATACTACCAAACAATTACAACAACAACAACAAGTACCAACAAGAGAATTTCATATTGATTTTGATTATAATTATACTTTTGATTTAAAATCTCCAACTATTGAAGAAAATCAAATGAATTTTCAAATTGATGATCAAACTATTTTACCTCCATTACCACCAACTGAATATGATTCAACAATAACTTCAATAAGTAGTCTGGAAATAAATAATTCTTCTTGTATAAATGCAGGTCATAATAATTCAGAAGATGATGAAGAAGAAGATGATGATGATTTTTTAATTAATGGTAATGAATTAATGGATGTTGATAAATTAGCTTGTTCAATTTTAAAACTGATTAATATTAATAATCGTGAAATTCAATGGAATATTTAATTATTCTAAAATTATGATAAAAAAAAAATGTTACGAAATTAATGAATTCCCCCTAACCAACCAACCAACAACAAACAAACAACAAACAAACTTCCATTTATAGTTCTTTGAGTTTTTATATTTATTGTATCTTTCTTTTTTAGTTTTGGTGTGAGTTTTCTTGTTTAAAAATAATGATATAGAGATTTTTTTTTATTAAAATTACTAATAACAGATATTCAAAATAAAAAAAAAACCTATCAACTTCATTACTCTTTAATCTACAATCTACAATCCCCCCTTATCTCCCTTCCCCTTCCCCTTCCCCCTGATAGATGGATATTTAATTATAGAGTAAATGAAATTGAATAGAAAGATTTTCATACAAAAAATAAAAAAGTTGATGAATTCAACTCCACCATTTCTTTTCACATTATAATTTTATAAATTTCAAAAAGATCTACATACGTCAAATTACAATAATTCTTTGTTAATCCGTTAATCATTCTAAATGTATAGTAGTTAAAATAGACTTATTCTTGTTGGTTAGTAGGTTTGAGTGGAAAATTTATTTTGTGTTATCATTTTATTTTTCGCATCTTTACGTCGAGAATGTTTCATCAAAGTAACCAAACAATCAACAAACAATCTACAACAAGAAGGAGAACAATCATTTCATCATGCTCCTACTTTTCGTTCTCTCTCCCCCCCCGTAAATCAATATTCGACTTTGTGATTTGCTCAGCTAAATATCATATTTGTTTCAATTGAAACTTTCTATTAAGTATTCTATATACATGATATACTAAAATTATTTTGAATATGGATGAATGACCTATGTATCTTTCATTATTGAGTAGGATTGATTTCATCTATACCATCATCATTATATCTCATCACACAATCCATCATAAAACGAAGCAATTTTGAAACATTCTTCACTTTCCAATTCCCAAGTATCAACTAAGTTTTTTAATCCATGTTCAGGTAATGTTTTACTTTTGATTTCAACAAATTCATCCATTTTAAATTTATTTTCTTTATTATTAGACATGATCTTAAGCATGATTTTAACAATATTCTTAACAGTAATACCAATTTGTTTTGACCAATCACTTCCTTTACGTAATGATCTCATAATCCAATTGTCATAATTCAATTTAAACCAATTGAAAACAACTTCATTATGTTTATTGGAATATGTAAATCCAATTAATCCCAATTCAATTAATTTAGAATCAATATTATTATTAATAAAATTTAAAGTCTTGTTAACCAATTCACGTTCACTAACAAATGATAAACTAGTTAAACTCATTGTTTGTAATTCTTGTTGACCAGCATTGGTTTGATTTAAAAGTGAAACATTGGAATTTTTAACCAACTCCAATACTCTCTTGTATTCTTTCATGGAACCTTTGGACATGGAAACATTCATCACTGATGGTAATAATTCTCTTGGAGTAAATTTCTTGTTGATACCTGAATTCATGAAATTTTGATAATACTTGTGACAAACAGTATATGCTTCTTTATTGGCAATGTTTAACTGTAAAATAGATGATCTAACTTTCCATTCTAATGAATTGTATCTAACTGGAATATCATAATCCCATTTTAATTGTTGAAATAATTTGTTGGAAAATTTATTAACCCATTGTTCAAATTTGGTGAAATCAGTGAAATGACGCAAGATATCAATAATTGGTTCTAAATAACCTAACGCACATTCCCAAATTGACCAATCCCATGAAATACTCAACAAATTATCATATAATTTAATAAAATTACATAAATCTCTTGAAGTAGAAACCGGTGATCCTAAAACGCTACCAAGATCAGAAATAATCATAATAATATCTGTTGTATCCATCAATGATAAATTATCAATTCTATCATATAATACTCTATAATAACCCTTGTGACCAGAATTAATGCAAACAAGTTTAGAAATATCCAATTCAAGTGAACGATCAGTCATGATTAAATTCAAGATTTTAATTTCACCCTTTTCATTTTCAGCTTTAACAAACAATGGAACATGATATGGAATATCTTCGATTTGAGCTTGTTCAACAGTTAAATTCAGGAAATAAGCATGTTGTTCAATTAAAATCTTTTCACCTTTGTGAGAAACTTGTAAAATAGGATATCCTTTACTTCTAACCCAAGAATAAACAAAACTTGGTAAATCAACAGAAACTTGTTCATTCAATTCTTGCCAAATATCAAAAACTTTAATAGCTTTACCTTGAAATTTGTCAATTATAATCTTGAAACTAGACAACATATCTTTACCTTCAGCTTCAAAAATTCCATCAATCATGTTTAATAAAATCATACCCTTTTCATACATTTCAGTATTGAAAATAGTTTCTGTGGTTGCATTCAATCCTGCATTGACTTTTTGCATATAATCATGAATACTTCCAATCTTGAAATCCCCGTCGAAAAAACAATCAATAGTTAAGAAATTATCATAATTAAAAGGTATACCAATAAATTTTCTTGCAGCCCAAGTAGCAAAAGATTCATTAAACCACAAGAAATTCCAATTATCAAATGATACCCAATTACCAATCCATTGATGTACCAATTCATGAACAATTAATTCAGTCAATTGAGATTTAAATTGTTTAGTAACTGCATTATCATCAATCAATAAATTTGGGGCAATAACATTTATCATTGACCAATTTTCCATAACTCCATCTTTTAAAAATGGAACTCCCATGAAATAAACATGATTCAATGGATAAGGACCAAAAATTTTTTCAATTTTAGGTAAATATTCTTCAATTATAGATAATGCAAGATTAGTTTTAGATAAATCTCCATTTGGTGCATAAACTCTAACAGAATCAGTAATATCATTAACTTTAATTTTTTTACTCAGTTGCCAATTGAAATCACCAATCAGAAATCCCATTATAGCTGAATGAATAGGTCTTTCATAAACAAAATTTGTGGTTTTATTTTCATTTTCTTCATGGAAAATAGAATCTTTTTCTTCACCATTACAACAAACTTGAAATCTTTTCAATGTAGTTAAATCTAATTTAATCATGGATTTATGAGTTAATTCATCAATAATTGGGAAAACTTGTTTAGCTCCATGTGGTTGAAAATGAGTAGTTAAAATATAGTTATCGGATTTCCCAGTATCATTATCTAAGAAATTAGTTTTAAACAAACCTTGAGTTACATCCTTGTATGTATTTATAGTTTTAATCTGACCCATATAATTGATTTTCAATGGTTGATCAATTGAAATGGATTCTTCACTGGTGAAACTAACTCTTTGTAATTCTTTTTCATATTCAACTTTCAACTTCTTATCTCCAATACTTGCAGTAATAATGACCAATTTATTTGCATGTAAAGTAAACTTAAACCCAGCTGTATCATCATCTCCTGATCTATAATCTTTATTTTCAATCAAGGTAATACTAGCACTACCATTGAAATTTGGTTTTTGATGATTAATGTTCAATTGATAATGATATTCACTTGGTATGTACTTATTTGACAAAGTCAATGGCTTGCTTGAATCTGTCATTTCTTCTACTTCTAAATTCTAAATTCTAAATTCTAACTTCTAACTTCTAATTTTTTTTTTGTTTTTTTTTGTTTTGTATTTTTTTGCAACACTTTCTTGATAATGGTTGTCAAAGTGAATCAGATATTGAATCTGAGGAGGATGAGGAGTCATATAACTAAAACGAAAAGAGAATAAAAAATTTTTCATTTTTTCACGACCGATAATTAACACCCACACGACCTATTCGGATGTTAATATCCACAAGCACGTGTGTACTCTCTCATCTTCTTGTTTTTCCTTTTTTCCAGAGTTGACTCGGTTCCCGGACTTTTTTGAATTTTTAGTGGTTTCTTTTTTTTCGTGCAATTTGTGGGGTTAAGATTAATTAAAGATGGTAGTCATAAAATAGATTAAATTCTTATTGGCGGTATAATTTGCTGGTTTGATATCCGAGGAAAATGTTATATATAACTATCCTATTGTTCTCATTAGCTCAGGTAATGAAAGTCCTGTTACTTCATAGTATAACCTCCTGTGAATAATAGGAGTCGAAACGTACAATCGGACCACGGAATTTCGTAGTGAAAAAAAAAAAAAAGAAAAATATTATCTCCATTGATGATTAGTCAGAACTACATTTAACACACACGGATTTTTTAATTATTTGAATGAGAGTTTCCGTTATCAAACTGCACAAGTCCGTGGGGTATATTGATCTGGAAGTAGACATAAATACGTTTACAATCAATGTGTTTTCATATTATTATCATTAATATTATGCCGACCCGAAACATCAGAGCAAGAATTATTTATTTAAATAGAAATAAAATAAAAATTTCTTTGTCACGGACTTTTTTTTTCTCTCTCTCTCTCTCTTTGTTTTCTTCTTGATATAAATTCCCCCGTCATCATCATCATCGTCGTCGTTCCTCTTGTCGTTTAAAAAGACAGGATTTTCTTTATCACTAATTCCCACCTATTGTTAGTACAGTTGTTGATCAACTTCACAAAGCACTTTATTATAAGAATCCGGTATTCTGCTGCTGCTGCTGCTGTGTATATTTACTTGTGTTCAGAACTTCCTTTTTTGTTGTATATAATCAAGTGAATTTCATTCGTCCCAACGAAAATTATTTTGTTGAGAAGCATACAAAGAAAATCATCACGTTGTACACGCCGTCAATAAAGATAAAAAGATAAACCGCGTGAGTAAAAACACACAGACACACACACAAGAGAGAGTGAGAAAAAAATATCAAAAAATTTTCAGTAATTCCCCCAATTGATAATTTCCATATTCGTTTTTTCTGTTTTTTATTAATAAAGGACTTTATCTTGTATTTTTAATTACTACTATTCCTTCCACAACAATCACATTCTTTTGAATTAACCAATGCTGCTGTCAGCAACTCCGCAGAATGAATACAAACCACGCAGTGCATCTTCCCGTCGTTCGTCAGGATCATATCCAAGATTTAAACTCACAACTATAGCCACCAATGAAGATATAGATTTACAATCCATAGATCCAGGTACAGTTAAAATAGATTGTTCTGGTGCCTATATTGCAAATGACGACCTATTAAGAAGCTCCCTAGAAGGCAATGATAGCACTTCAACCTCATCAAACACCACCACACCACCACTGTCAGGTGCGTCTTCAGATTTGGATGATGATTTAGAAAGTGATTCATCTAATACATCAGTTGAAGATCAAATTTCTTCACATCATGGAACCATTACCAAGAATAACATTACTTTACCACAGCACAATGACGAGATTATACATATTTCAGTGGATATTGGTGGAACTTTAACTAAATTGGTTTATTTTTCAAAATCTAATAAAATTACTGGTGGTGGTAAATTATATTTCCAAGATTTCCAAACTGAAAATTTCAAAGTTGAAGCCATGAAATTCATGATTAAACTTATTCAAAAATCAGTTGATAAGAATAATAATAATCCACCAATTACTTATATCATGGCTACTGGTGGAGGTGCACATAAATTTTACAATTTAATGACAAAAACATTCAAGAAATATAAACTACCTATGAAAATCATAGCGAAGGATGAAATGGCTTGTTTGATTAAAGGATTAGATTGGTTAATCACCAAGATTCCTCAAGAAATTTTCACATATGATTTAATTGAATCAACGACTAAATTTCAACCACTACAATCAGAAAAAGAAATATATCCATATTTGTTGGTTAATATAGGAAGTGGTGTTAGTATGATTAAAGTGACCAAACCTGGCCCTGATGGATTTGAGAGAATTGGGGGTAGTTCATTAGGAGGAGGTACATTATGGGGGTTATTATCATTACTTACAGATGCCAAAGATTATAATGAAATGTTGGAAATGGCACAAAATGGTGATAATGAGAATATTGATTTATTGGTTGGAGATATCTATGGTACAAATTATAATAAAATTGGATTAAAAGCCAATCATATTGCTTCTTCATTTGCTAAAGTATTTAAAAAACTAAGATTTAATAACAAGACAATGACACCAGCTGAAAAATTGGCACAATTTAGACAAGAAGACATTGCCAGATCATTGTTATTCTCCGTTTCTAATAATATTGGACAAATTGCTTATTTACATGCATTAAGATTTAATTTGAAAAGAATTTACTTTGGTGGTAGTTATATATCAGGACATATGCAAACTATTCATACGTTGAGTTATGCGGTAAATTTCTGGTCCAAAGGAGATATGGAGAGTTATTTCTTAAGACATGAAGGTTATTTAGGAAGTGTTGGTGCATTCATGATGGGTCCTGCTGTTGATGAAAGTTTAAACGGGGATGCTACTCAAGAAAGTGTGTCTAATTGATCTCCTATTGTCCTTTATATATATATATATATATAACATAACATAAATCATTCAATTCATATAGTCTATAACTTGATTATTTCTATTATATCATAATATACATCAATAATTTAATATGCACCAGTGTTAAATGGGGAGGTTTCTTTCATATTTTTGCAACTATTTTTTTGATTTGGTGGTCTATACTACTTTCCTCGGTTTGAAAGTGTTTCAACACTTGGTAGTGCTGGAACCCCCCCCCCCCAAAAGTAGAATTAACCGAAAGACAATTATAAATGATCAGACTTGTACACAATTATGATGAGTGGGTTAAACAATACACGTTTAATGAGATGATGTATTGGTAAGAGTTGAATATTAGTAAGCATTGATCAATCAATTCATGGTTATACGGAATAGAAAAATGAAGAAATAACTCATAATGAATATTTCTGTGAATAATGTAACGTAGTAGTAGTGAAAAAAAAAAAAAAACGATGTTGGTGGTTTTACAACGTGGAGGTAATTTATCACTACCCTGGCCGATTTTAAAAGATAAAAGATAAAAAAAAGAAAACGATCATTCGGATAAATTGTTACATTTGGATAGAAAAAGAAACTTGCAAAGAGATAGCTGGTTCAAATGGATCAATTGATATGTTTGAGTGTGTATGTGTGTGTGTGGATGGAATAACCTGCAAAGACTATCAGTTGACATATGTACGATAGATACACCACCACCATATAGTGCTGATGGTATTGTGAGATGAGTAATCTCAGTTGAAGCGAGGAATAAAAGAGAAAAAAATTTTTGTCATCTGCCAAACAACAACAACAAGAAGAAGAGTTCCACACGCACGCACCGAGGGGAACATCAACAGCAACAGAAAAAAAAAATTTTATATGTGAATGAGTGAGTGAGTGCCACTTATGAGTAACATCCCGATACACCGTTTTCTCTTTTTTGTTAATTTTTAATTTTTAATCTCAGAAATTAACACTAAAAAGATTACAAGATTTACTTGCCCATTAAGATATTTGTATAAATATATTTACATTTTCATCTACTATTCCCCTTTCTTTTTACTTCTTTTTTTTTTTTCTTTTCCTTTTTCTTATAATGAATGGTATTATAGATCCTGCAGTATCATATCAATATCAATATCAATATCAACAGGATCAACAAAAGCAATTACACCAACAACATCTACAACAACGTCTGAACCAGCACCAACAAACAGATAATAATCTATTACACACTCAACCTCAACAGTATAGAAGTATAAATCCAATCAACAATACACCCAATAGACAATCTCCGCTACATCCTTCATCTAAATTATATTCTCAACCACAACAAAGTTTCAATTCAGAGTGGTTAGACGATTCATTATCTCCAAATAATTCCCCTTCAAAACTAACAAGAATACTAGAAGCAGAATATAATAACTCTAACAAAATGTCTGCAACTATCACAACTACTCAACCATCTAAATATGAAACTCCTTCAAAACCTCATCATCATCATCATCAATTCACTTATATAACCCCGCTTTCACAACAGAAAAATGATGCTCATGAAGAGACTGCTTCAATTAATTCATCTTCATCACAACTGATAACACCTACAAAAATACCATCAATAAGTAATTGGACTATATTTTGGTCTATTCTAAACGATCTTGTCGGGAAAGATAAACTTGCCAAAGTGAGTCAATATACTTTGAGATTATTGGTATATCATGCAAATAAATCACAATCTTATTTATCAGATGAACATATAAATATTAAACTTATTAACACCAGATATAATGATAATGAAAAGAAATTGGAACTAATCAAGAATTTTTTAAAACATCCAAGTGATTTTATTAAAATTATAACCATTTTGGTATTGTCTTTATTTAGACAAAAAGCTGCCGGTATGATAACTGGTTTATCAATGTATCGTCAATTTTTAAGATTTGGTAAAACTCCATTTAGAATCAGAGATTTAATTGTTAAATTTAAACAAAATATCACTTTGAAAAATAATAAACTTGAAATTAATGAAGCTAATTTATTTAATAGAAAAACATTGGGTCAATTTTTTTCATTGTATTATGGTATTAATGATGAATCACTTTTATTATATAAATTAAATGTATTAACTGATCCAACTTATAAGAAATTCACCGGAAGACATGAAAGTTATGGTTGGTATTGTGAAACTTGGTTGGCTCTATATAATGCTTATGAAAATTTACAAAATTTGATTCAACAAGAAATGGATCTTAAAATACAAATACAAGTGAAAAATAAAGCTAAACAGATTTCAAAACAATTATTAGGTGGAGGTGGAAATATGATGAGTTATTCAAGTTCTAGTTCTACTAATAACACAGAAGATGCAAAATTATTAGACGAAATACAGTTTAAAAAGAATAATGCTTGGATTGATATCTATAAAAACTTATCTGATTTAGCATTCAACACTTATACTGTTTTCCAAATAAAATTACCATTTGACACATGGCAAATTTGGATGGGTATAAGTGCATCTGTATTGAGTACAATCAAGTTGTATAGAGAAACCAAGAGAACTATGATTGAAAAAGAAATGGCCAAATTAAAATCCGAATAGATCTAATAGAATGTGTATTGTATATGTTTGTGTAGTTCCACGAGAAAGAATTGTGTGTATTATATATATATATAATATTAGAGCGTAACCATTATTTTAATACATCATCTAAGGTTAAATCGTTTGGTAAAGATGTGGCTTCTTTCCAGAATTTAGATAAATGTCTAGCACCTGAATCACAAGCAATAACCACGATTTTTTGACCAGGACCATATTTCAAAGCTGTTTTAACAGCAGCTACACAATTAATAGCAGCTGAACTACCCCAAAATAATCCATCATTAACACAAATAAATTTAGCCATTTTCAAAGCTTGTTCATCTGTAACTCTAATAGCTTCATCAATATATGGTTCTGCTTGTTTAAAATTCCAAGTTAATCTATTCAATCCAATTCCTTCAACTAAAGTATCCACTTGATGTCTTCTTCTGGTACCTTCTTTTTCAACACTATCATACATTACACCAAAATTAACTCTATTAGCTAATCCAGATCCTTGAGGATCAGCAAGAATGATTTTAGTTTCTGGATTATTTTCTTTTAATCTTCTACCAACTCCAGCTATAGTACCACCAGTGCCACTACCATTTATAAATACATCAATTTTATCATTACCCATTTGTTCTAAAATTTCTGGTCCTGTAGTATCATAATGAATTCTCCAATTAAAATCATTTTCAAATTGATCTGCAAATATAGCTTTTCTATTATCATTAGGATCATTGTTAATTTTATTAGCTCCTCTTCTAGCAGCATTTGTATATTGATTTGGATCAACTATACTTGCTGGTTTAACAGGTTCAAGTTCAGCTCCTAATGCTTTTAATAAATTCAATTTTTCAGGTGATGTATCATCAGGTAAACAAATATGTGAAATATATCCTAATGCATTACATAAAACAGCAAATGAAATTCCTGTAGATCCACTTGTACCTTCAAAAATTATATTATTTTGATAAGGTGTCAATTTACCTTGTTTTTCAGATGCTTTAATAATTGCTAATGCAACTCTATCTTTAGCACTTCCTGCGGGATTAAGAAGTTCTAATTTACCATAAATTTTACAACCGGTTAATTTCAGTAATGATTTAATTTCTACAAGTGGAGTATTTCCAATAAGTGATTCAACTCCTCTGGTACGTGGTGATAATGAAGTAAGATGTTTTGAATGAATTCTAGATTGATAAAGATCATGAAGTTCTTTGAGAATTATTAGTATTGATACAACTGCTGCTGATGATTGCAAAGCAGATTTCCAATTAATAGCCATCGTTGTTGTTACTGATGATGCTGATGATGATGCTGATGATGCTGATAATGAAATTTTTTTTTTTTTTCCATTCAAATTATGATTGTCTTGATTAGTATTACGCGATGGTATGATACAAAATTAAAGATTGCAAAAATAGATCTACAAACTCGTGAAGCAAGTTAATTGATGGGGAAGTTCATCAACATTGGGATATTCTTTTGATTAGTCATATTTCACGTATATTAGTAAATGGCATCCTATCATTGGTGGAGATTCTGGTTGCACATACCTTTAACTTGGGAAAACAAAAATTACTCTTCATTTTTTTAACCACCATCTCCTCATGAGCAATGCCGACGACTAATACCATAAATGCAAAACTTACCATCCCATTTATAAACCTTCAACATTTTATTATACCGATTTCAACAATCATCAGTATACGTCACTTAAATCATTTGAATCTGTTTACAATACAACGTAGAATTGTTTCATTAGAAAGAAAAGTGCATGATATTTATTAGTAAAATTGGACGGAGAGTACTTAAGTCAAATACTGAGCTGTGTTTATTCATTTGTGATATCATCATCATGGCTTAATAGTAATTTTTATGTAAAATATGTGATCACTGAACTCAAATATGTAAGAAATTGATACTTTCCAAAATTGTTTGATTTTCCCCGCATATGGTAGCACTCGACATATAAAGTACAATAAAAAATACCTACACAAATACCCCCCAAAAAAACTCAACTATAAAAGGACAAAAAACAATTTTTAAAAAAATAACTTTTTTATACTACTTTCCTTTCTTTTCTTTCTTGTTTCATCAACAATTAATATCAATGACTTATATATGATATCATTTATATCAAGTAAGTGTCAATAGATGTGTTTTATTCATGGCTGCAAATACTAACTTAAATATAAGAAACCACAATCCATTATATCCATGACAAGTTTACAAAGAATCAGAAGTTGTTTGTTTCCCATATGTTGTTGTTGTATGCTCCCCCAGTAGTTGTTGCTTGTGTCACTTGGTTAAGTCATTGAGAAGAAAGTCAACAACTGATTGCTCCTTTAGTATGATGCACAAACATAAGAAGAACTTTCCAAATAAGATAGCAACTTGGGAACACGTGCTATCTTGAACCTTATAAGAGGGATCAACATATACAAAAAAAGGGGCGATGTTGATTAGCGAAAGTTCTTCAAAAGATAGTGACTGGTCATCACTATCTTTAAAAGCTACTCACCGGGATAGATTAGTTGAATATCCCGATGAGTAGTAGTGGTGGTTTATTGCAAACCACACTTGTAGAGGACCAGGTAGAGGACAGTCGACCAGTCCCCTTTCCTCCTGGTTCGGCCTCTATCTATTCCCCCTTGGGCCAGTAGGGGGATGCGATATGGCAACTCAAGAAGAGGGCCATAGTCGGGCTGGGTCGGCCCCACTTACACATACATGTGGGCCCAGTTCGTCCCTCTCCTTTAATTAGGAGAGGTGGTAAGTGGAGGGGAGGAGCCAACCCGTCATCATTTGGTTCTTCCCACCACTTCCACATTTGACATTGCGGACCCCCCCCCCGGCTGATACACATTGTTTGATAGAAGTGGAAGATAACAAGCATTACATTCTTTGCAATTGCAATATATTTGAAGTGCTACACATTGGTAACAATCATAATCACCTCTGTGATATTTTTTTGAATTGGGATTTTGACAAATATTGTTGTAGAAACTACTTGACTTTGATCACAAATCATTCCATAATCGATAAATCCTAACTCAATTTCTGAACTACTAATATATATAGTCCATTTTTTTTTTCAGATGTATTATAATGTAGTAGGTAAAACTGTTTGGTTGTAATATTGAATCAAGTCATATACAAACCACTTTCCAACCATTGATACGCTTCTTGTTTGCAACAGTCCAGATGCGCGTGTATCTACACGTGACTTTCCCGTTTAGGAAAGTGGCGCTAGGAAATAATGTGGTGGTAATCGTTTTCCTTTCCTCCTTTACTGATAAGAGATACAATAAATATCCAGTGAAAATTCTACAATTACAATTTTGAAACCTTTTTTGTCAAAACCACACATAATGTACTCTATATTATTGATTATCATATTGTCTCTTGTAGCTGGATACTATACATTCTACAGGAAACAGAAACACTATGGAGTAATCCAAAACATTAAACCAGTTCCACCAACTTTCACTTGGGAAAGTCAACCACCATTGCCAATTAGACCATTTGTTAACAAACGAGATTTTAATCCAAGTATGGGTGTGAAAAACATTGGTAAAACTCCTGAAGATTGGTTATTAATTGAAGATACTTATTTATCCAATATTAAATTACGTAAGAAATCTTTACAATTACAACCTGAAATCATGTCATATGTTTATAATAATGAAATATCAAAACAATCATTAGGAGAATTTTATAATTTTATGGTTGAATTTTTAATTCAACGATATCCAATGTATTTCAAAACAAACATTTTTTCAAATTTAGTTACAAATATCATTACAAATGATGAACCATTTCCGAAAACTTCAAAATCTTTAACTTCTGATGAGATTATGAATATAATTGCTAGAAATATTGAAGAAGATTTTTTAATTTTAATAAAAGATAATCCTGAGGACAAATCTGAAGAATATATACTTAGATCATCACTTAATAGTTTCCCTGCTGGATTTGATCCATCAGTTAATTTCAATCAACCAGTTTCATTTATTCATAAGCCAGTACCACAATATAAATCAAGGTTACAATTCACTATGGGGAAATTTTTCAATAATATGAAGGAAAAAGATATGTGGGTACGTCATAATTGGTCTATTCAAACTCATGGGAATTTATTTAATGTTGGTTCAAATCATGGTCGAGAAGGTGATGAATTAATTCCATTAAAATATGAAGAAATTGATTTTGAAAATGGATGCTTTTTAAGATGTGAAAGACAAGTATTTATAAGATTACCAAAAACTAAACTGATTGTCATGACTATTAGAACATATTTAACACCAATTGATAAAATCAAACAAGAAGGTAATGCTAAGGAATTAATTAGAGGAATTGACTCCTTACCAGAAGATCTTGCATTTTATAAAAAAAGAGGAGTGTGGGGCCAAGCCGTGAAAGAATATTTAAATAATGAAGATTGATCAAGGATTGGTGGAAATAAACCCAAATCATTTGCAGCCGAGAAAAAGATTCCCTTGTTAAAACTCCGGCACGTGACCGCTTTTTTGTTTTGTTTTGTTCTGTTGTGAGTTCGGCGCCGAAACCCCAACTTTCAATTGGCCAATCAAATGCGAGTGAAATAATTTTACGTAATTATGTGCAGTCTATTGGTGAGTAATTAGGGGAAGTCGTGTCTTTGGTGATCATTCCTTTTTTTTTTTTTCTTTGCTCTTTTTTTTTCTTCCCAAGTGTTGTAGTGTTGAGTTCCCATATCCGGAATTTTCCCACATTCACATAAAAAGTCTACTTTATTCTCTTGGTTTCTATAGCAAAGACAGAAAAAAAAAAATTATATCAATTACTTATTACTTTTCTTTTACTCATCTTTAATTATTTATTTATCTATTCACCTCCCTTTTTTTTTAACTTATTTATTTATTTATATACCAATACAAGTTACAATGATGATATCAAGAAGACAAAGCATACAAGTTTCAAGAAGATTCCTTTCGAATCAATCAACCAAGAATAAAAGATTTATACAAACAATTCCAATCACAACAAGATCAACCACTAATCCTTTCTTAACTAAATTACATCAAGATGAAGTGACTGGTGGTTCTCCAAAATGGGCTAAACATTCTTTAAGTATTCCTAAACCAGCTGAATCCACTACTAGTGCTGCTGCTAGTCAGCAACCTTTAAGAAGATCAAGAACATCTCGTTTTGCTTCAAAATCACAATCGACTATCCCACAACCATCTAAATTCTCATTTCCATCACCTGCATCCAATAATGTTATTGAAATAACATCAACTCCAGAAATACAAAAAGCTTCAAGTAGCATAACATCGAAAGAATCTCAATCATCAGTGCTGGCACAAGAAAAATCAACCCCGGCTGCCGCTGCCCCGGCACCAAAAAAGAAGAGAGTGTTGCGTCCAAGAAAAGCATTAATTACATTATCTCCAACAGCAGTGGAGCATTTAAGAGCATTATTAAACCAACCAGAACCAAAACTAATCCGTATTGGTGTCAGAAATAGAGGTTGTTCTGGTTTAACTTATAATTTGGAATATGTTGATAAACCAGGTAAATTTGATGAATTGGTTGAACAAGATGGTGTTAAAGTATTGATTGATTCAAAAGCATTATTTTCAATTGTTGGTTCAGAAATGGATTGGTTGGATGATAAATTGAGTTCGAAATTCATCTTTAAAAATCCAAACTCAAAAGGTACTTGTGGATGTGGTGAATCCTTTATGGTTTAATGGAAACTAATATATAGAGTTTTTAGTTAATAGTTAATAGCCTATTTTAAAAGACAAACAAAAAACTATAATGCATAATATTTATATTTGGGTTTTTATTTTTTTTTTATATATATCATATGTATTTATAACGACTATAACTTACTGTATTTTTCTACATTCGAAATAAGTAGCATCTATAGCATCAGGTAATGAACAGAAATATTCTTTCTTTTGCATGATTTTAAATAATTCAATTGAATTTATCTTTAATTTCAAGCATGTTTTCCCACCATCAGCATTACTTGTACAAATAATACTATCTTTAGAATCTTTTTCACCCATCAAATAACAAAACATATTAGAAATAGGATAACTTTCAACAAAAATTATCAATTGATTTTTGAGTATCTTTAATATTTGTATTATTTGATAATTCTTGAATTTTAACTTCTTTATTATCTTCAGTTTGTGAAGATAATTGATTTAAAGTAGTAGCAATATCTGAATTTTTTGGTAAATTCATTGATTCATGTGAACGTTGTTCAATTTGTTGTGGAGGTAATGGAGTATTAGATGTCTTGGGGGTATTTGAACCACCACCGAATGAAAACCAACCCATAATGGAAATATATATGTTTATAGAAGATATAAGTGAAAAAACTATAGAACAATTTGATAATTGGTGAATGTTTTTCTTAAGAATGTTCGTTTTTTTTTGTTGTTTGCTTTAAAGTTTGCCATTTCATCTTGAATGAATAAAACTAAAATCCGGAGTAAGGAAATTGAAAAGAATACGCATTTTACTTACTTACTCATATACACGACTTTTTTTTGTCATTATATCTATAGACAAAGTTTCAAACTTTCATTTAATCTCATCAAAGTAATTAAATATTGTTTATAACCCATGTATTCTAATGGGTATTTGATTTGTTTCTTAGTAGGACCTTTTTCCCAATCAACTGAATCCAATTGTTTGTTTAATTCAATAAACCATTTTAATTTATAATCATATTTGATTTCTGATGGGAATTCATTATCTAATCTTAAAATTGTACTAATAATTTTTGTTTCTTCATTGTCTATACTTGTTTTCTCTAAATCTTCAATAGTATAAATTGGATCATCTGATTGTGGATTATCTTTAGCAACAGTATGATTAAATACAAATACTAATGTATTCTTTAATCTTTCTTCAAGTTCTTCTTCAGTTAAAGGTGGTAAGTTTAATATCACTTCTCTTTTAGTATTATATGAAATATTCTTAAAATTTCTCTTTAAAAGTGCAACATAATCTTGATAATTAAGGTCAGGTGTGTTATATGGGATATCTTTGGTAGTGTATAAAGTTGGATTACATTCAAATCTTCGTAATTTATAGAATCGTTTATAATATGCAAGTAATTTATTTTTAAAAGTAGGTAGTTCTTCAATTTGTTTAAATGTAGTTGGTAAATTTATTACAGGTTTGGTTAGTATCAACCCTTTTGTATTTGGTCTAAATTTGAATTTTGGTTGAAACATGATTGATGATGTGATGATGATATTAGTGATTTGTGAAAATTTTCTTACCTCGCTAAAAAAAAAAAAAAAAAAAATGTACTCCGCGATATCTTGGGTTGCCAATTTGTTTTGGCGTCTTCTTTTTTGTCTTTTACAACCATGGCATGAAATGTCAATTGCGATTAGAGTTGATAAAAATTACTACAAACTAACCTATGATTATAAAACCGACAATCAACAATTGTCAAGTATTACAATCCCTTACCCTGAATTGTCAATTCATTTTGACATAATAATAAACAACACTCAACTAAAGTCCTCCACATATGGTGCACAATTTCTAACTCAATTATCTAAAAGATTTGCTAACTTTTGGAATAATTTAGAATATGATACTGCGCTTAACATTTCAGATGATTCAAATCATACTTTTGATTTAAACCTCAAATGTCAAGTTTTTTCCAATTATGCAGCATCTAATCATCTAAGAGCAATAAATTTGTCATTAACAATTATAACAGATCAACAATACATATCACTAGAAGAAATTCTTGTAAGGTTCAATTATTTGTTGGATTCTTGGTATCTTCATTCTGAGATTAATCTACCATTGGTGTTTTCTTGCATAGGACGTAAATTCGTTAAGATTAATGCATTCTGGTATAGAAAATGTCGGCAAGATATCCTTGGTAATGACTCATTTGAAATTGAAAAGCTATTACCTTCACTTGTTTCAAAAATCATGCAAGAACTAGTTGTAGTTCAATTGTTGCAACAGAAAGGAAAATTGCCTTCAATTGATGACGTTCATCGAAATTATCATAATATAGTTAAGGCATTTTCTATCCGTTTAATCGATTACTAATCCAACATTGTTCCACGGATCATTCCTCTCCTATTTCATAATTGCTATTCAATGGTCTGCTGACGGAATATTGTACTATAAAGAAAAGTAACCCCCACGGAGTGAACCCCCAAATAATTTAAAACGTAAGCCACAAGGCAACTCAATATTTTTTTTTCACAGTTCGGAAAAATTAACAGATCACAAAATGTTGTCCACAATGGAAATTTGCCCATATAAAAAGAGCGGAGAAAATTCAGGATTAATTAATTTTTTTTTTTTTGAACTTGCTTTCTAAACTTTATTCATTAACTAATCAATTCTACTATAATCATCATGTCACAATCAACTAAATTAGCTGTCGTTGGTACTGGTATCTTTGCCACTGATACTCATCTTCCAACTATTCAAAAGATCTCAGATTTGAAACCATATGCAGCTTACAACAGAACCAAACTGAAGGCTGAAGATTTCGCTAAAAAAGCAGAAATCAACGTTGTTTATGATTCTTTGGAAGAAGCTTTCAAAGATGAAAATGTTGATTTTGTTGATGCTTTATTGCCAGTTCAATTCAATCTTGATGCTGTTAAATTGGCTGTTGAAAATAATAAGCCAATTTGTTTTGAAAAGCCAATTGCTGCTAACTTGACACAAGCTAAAGAAATTGTTAAATTAAGTGAATCATCCGATTTACCAATCATGGTTTTAGAAAATTGGACTTATTTGAAAGCAATTGATGTTTTAAAGAAAGAAGTATTACCAAAAATTGGTGAAATTACTGCATTTACTTACAATGCTACCGGTCCATTCAATGATACCAACAAATATTTGGCTACTGGTTGGAGACTTAAACCAGAACATATTGGTGGTTTTTTAAGTGATGGTGGTGTACATCAATTGGCCTTGTTGACTGAAGTTTTGGGTGAAGTTGAATCATTAAGTGGTTTAACTAGACAATTACAAGAACAAAGTGGAACTGATGATGTTTTGTTTTCTACTTTGAAATTGAAATCTGGTGTCATTGGTACTTTCACTTATGGTTCTGCATTTGGAGCTACTGATAAATCTACTTATTTCAAGATCTTTGGTAAGAATGGTAGTGTCACTTATGATTGGTCTCCAGCTTTGAAAACACCAACCATCACTTATGAAACTGGTGAAACTGCAGGTAAAGCTTCTTCTAAAACTGTCATTGAAGTTGCTGAGGTTGATACTATTGAAGAAGAATTTAAAAACTTTAGAGATGCTGTTGTTAAGAAGGATAAGAGTATAGTTAGAGTACCTCCTAGAACTGCCTTCCATCATTTGGCTATTGTTGCTGCCGCTTTGGAATCTTCAAAGAATGGTGGTTCTAACGTTAAAGTAGAAAACCCATAGATGTAAAAGTCTTACAAAAAAAAAAAAAAATAATATACACACACATATGAATGATCTATAATTCGTCGACAATTCTTTCTGATACCGTAGATGTAACTGATTCGATAATTGACTCTCCAGAACTAAGTGCATCCACAACCGATTCTATCAAGCTCGTTGTATCTGCAATTTCATCAAGAACAGACGATGTAGCAGCAACAATCGTAGACATTAGTATCTCAGTAGTTGATAACTCTTCAGTAACTTTTCCAACACTTCCGCTTCCACCAAATAACCATCCAAATATGTTGAATATTTTAAAAAAAGACCATAGTAAGATTTTTATTGGTCTTCTCAAAATCCTTCTGTAAACAACCCAACAACAACAAAGAATGAAAAACCCCATACTTAAATAAATTCTTTGACGATCAGCTTTATCTTGTTTTTCAATAAATTTAACAATTTGTTTGGATTTATTTAATAAATCATTAAATTGTAAGAAATTTTCATTTAATTTATATAAATCTTTAGTTTGTTGATCAAGATTTTCAATATTTAATTCACTTTGTAAAATACTAGCCGATAATAATTGTCTTGAAGTTTGTAAAGATTTAGTTATTTGTTTATTTTGTTGAACTATTTGTTGATTAATTGATAATTCTGATTCTTTTTGAATTTTTTGTGATCTATTAGCAAATAATTGATCTCTTGCTGAAGTTGTGTCATTTGTAGAATCATCTTCTTTTGGTTTATTATCAAGATTGAAATGTTTAATTCTATACTCATGTAATTTATCTTGTTTTTGTTCATTTATGTAAACTTGTAAATTACGCAATTTTTGCTTTAATGATTGATATTTCAATTCATAGGTTTTTAAACGATTTGATTTATCTTTTGATTTCAAAATACGAAGATAATCCTTATAATCAATCAACAATTGATCAATTTCTAGTGTTATATTATTATATGATGTTTGGAAACTTGCTTCGTCTTCAAGATCAGGCAATTGACTTAAAGAACTGAGCAAATCATAAATCTTAACTTGTAATTGATCTAGTTTGGTATAATATGTAATCGACATTTATGGTACTGACGTGTTTATTCTGGAGTGATCTATTTTTCTTCTATTTTTTTTTTCTCTAACAAATCAATCAACTATTTTTTTTGCTTCTTCTTCTTCTTCTTGATCTTTATTCACTACCTCTTCTTTTTTTTCTTTTTCAGGTTCACTTTCTGATCATCACGATTTCAGGTACAAAGAAATGACCTCCATGAATAATGAAAAAACAAGTACGGATTCTGTTAATGGTGATGTCAAACTGTCAAAATCATCATCTAAGCCTTATAAAAAGGCAATGGATCCAAAATTGTTAACTCCCGAGTATATAGCGGAGCAAAGACGATTACGAGAATTACGTAAAGCTAAGGAAAGGAAACAAAAAGAAGCATTGGGTTTACTTCCACCTCCAGAAAAAGATGACAAATTTGTTAAAAGACCTATGTTGGATGTGGCTAAACCACAACCAGAACTTCCTACTATCAAAATTATGAGTTATAATGTATTAGCACAAACATTAATTAGAAGAGAAATTTATCCAACAAATGGGAAAATCTTGAAATGGTCAGTAAGATCCCAAATTTTATTAGATGAGTTGAAACATTATAACGCAGATATTCTTTGTTTACAAGAAGTTGATAAAGTACAATATACTTCATTTTGGTCCAGTCAATTTGAGAAATTGGGTTATGGATCTAAATTTTATCGTTATAATACTAAAAATCATGGATGTGTGATTGTTTTCAGACAACTGTTGTTTGATTGCAAAAACCAATCATTTATCAAACTTGATCAAGATTTGAATCAAACAGACGATGAAAAGAAATTACCAGATGCACGAATTGCTACTAATAATATTGGATTCATGGTTTACTTGGAATTTCAACCAAAATTTGTTAAACAATATCCTGTCCTAGAAAATGCCAATGGGATTATTATTGGTACTACCCATTTATTCTGGCATCCATTTGGTACTTATGAACGTACCAGACAAATGTATATCCTAATGTATAAATTTAAAGAGTTCCAACATGTCTTGAATATCATCTTGGGTAATCATAAGAAATTCTATTCTTTCTTTACAGGTGATTTTAATTCTGAACCTTTTGATTCTCCATACCGTGCTATTACTACTAAACCTATTAAATTTGCTGGTCGTTCTAAGAATGTGTTGGGTTGTTCATTAAGCTATACGTTTTCTAAAGACAGAAGTTTAGATGACGGAGATGACGAAGAGAATGAATCGGAATTAGAACGTGAAAGAGATAATAATCCTGATGATCCAGAACCAGATAGTTTTGATCCAACTCCAGAACAAGATCGTATTATGACTGAATTAGAAGAGGCACACAATGATTTAGATATAAGAGCCATTTCACTTTATTCAGTTGGTTACAAACAAGTACATGAAGAAAATGCCAATAACGTAGGTCATAGAAATGAACCTGCTTTCTCTAACTGGGTTGATAAATGGAATGGGATGTTAGATTATATATTTGTTTTGGTTCCATGGAATAAGACCCAAGATTATTCAGAAAGAATCGATACACCAGACGAATTGGCACAACAATACAATATCAAGCTTTTAAAGTTGCTTAGATTGCCTACTCCAAAAGAGATGGGTCCACCACCATCGGGTCAACCTCGTATGCATCAATATCCATCAGATCACCTTTGTATAATGGCAGAAATACAGCTTCTATAAAGAAAAAAAAAAATCAAAAAACGTACAATCCATATACATGTTTATATATATATATAATAATAATAATAATAATAACATCACATATGCCAAACTATAATCATTTTAGCATAGTTTCGACTAAATCTTCTAAAGGACCGTAATCTTTCTTACTAATCAAATGAAATTCGTTGGCAAATAATACATAATGTTTCAAACTGGTATTCAAATGACTTTGTAAACCCAATTCACTAATTTCATGGAAATGATGACAATAAATATGAGCATAAATTCTGAATAATCTTTTAAATATAGTTTTCACCAATGTAGGAAATTGATGTGGGAATGGGGCACCAATCTTTGATGGGAAAATATTATCATTGTCAAAGAAATTTTGCACCCAATTCATTAAATTTTCAATATATTCACAAGCAGGTAATGAAACTGGTCTTTTAGGAGATTGAACAATACCATCTTGATTAACAGGTGATGATTCTTGCCATAAATATTCATACTCTTCAGTGGCAATCATTCTTGGACATGTAACAGGAGAACAAAATTCTGTAATGGCACCATAAAGCATATTTATGTGATTATAGAAATCTACAACATGTATAGCTAACCATTCGTTAATATCTTCATCTCGTGGTAATTTCACAGCTTGTATCAAGGCATTATCGGATCCTAAAGTTTGTTCTGCATAGTTTCTGATATCTTTATGAGTAGAAACTGGTTGACCATTGCTTGGTCCAAAGTTAATGGTCTGGTAAGGGTTTTGCTGTTCTTGTGGTTGTAAGTTTGGTTGTTGTTGGTGTTGTTGTTGGTTAAAGTCTATGGAATCTCGTGGTAATACTGAATTATGAATAGGTTTCGGACTAGATATTGGTGATGATTGTTTTAATTTGAACCCTCTGGTTGATCTTAAAGAATGGGTATTGAAGTTCTGGAAAAGTGCCATTTGAAAATATGAATACTATGAACAATATGGAAAAGATAAAAGTAAAAGTAAAAGTAAAAAAAAAAAAAGAAGATAGTGGTGGTGATATCTTAAAGTCTTTTGTTTTGAATTTTATATTCTAGGATCTTTTGTTTTTTTGAAATGAAATGAAATGATTTCTCTTACAAATGGTGTAGATCAGAAATCTCATTTTTTATTTGTGATTTGTTTTGTTATTATACCAAAAGAGGAATTTCATGGATATCGTACACGACTCGTGATTTGTTCAATAATACACGACCACTTTTTCGCTGCTCGTACACGTACACAGGTCATCTGACTTGCGTGTAAAACAGAAGAAAAAATAATTAACAACAACAACAACAACAACAACAGATTGCAGAAAGGAGAGAGGAAAAATAAAAAAAAAACTAACAACAAATAAGTCATACTCCTTAGTTCAACACATTTATACTGACACTAATTAAGCTCTAGTAATCAATTAACCCAAAAGAAAATGGAAGTTAACCCAATTCAACTCCATGCACCCAAAGAAGTGGAAACACCTGATGTTACTGTCTCGGAATCTTTAGCCGAAGAAAACCAGAACGAGTTAGCACCTGAAGTTGACCAACAAGAGAACCATAGCAACAATGCAAAAGACGTGGAGGAAGAAGAAGATGAAGAAGAGTATAATCCTGGAGAAGATGGTAACGAAGAAAGTAACCAAGTAACCCCAGAACCAAAACCTGAATCAGAATTAGAATCAGAATTAGAAAAGCCAAAGGTGACATTTAATGATGAACCAGAACATGTTGAGCTAAATAAAGTTGAGGTTGAACCAGAATTATTTGCCGACAACTCAGAAGCAGCAACTGTTGAACCGTCCAAAGAAGCTGATGATTATGACCCGGAAAGTGCCTTCTCCGAAACCGAAGCTGCTAATGACTCTAAAGCTGAATTATCAACAGAAGAAAATTATAACAAAGACAATGATAATGATAATGATGATGGCTATGATCCTGAGCCACAAATAAATGAACAAGTCGATGAAAAAGAAGAAGACAAACCAGTAACAAGTTCTACTTTACCTAAAGCTCCATTATTTGCTGGATTGCCTCCAAAACCTCCTGTTAGTGCAACAGTCAAGCCATCTACTTCTGTTATAACTGAAGATAGTGATGTCAAACAGCTTTTAAAAGATGCCCTTGAAGCTTATGAAAATAGCTCTATGAGTAGAGACCCTGAATTTTTATCCTTGGAAGCTAATGAACAGGTTGATAGAATTCGAGAATTTTTAATCTCCCAAGGAATTGATCTTTTATCTGGCACAAATCCTATAAATTTTGAACAAGTCTATTCTTATAATAAGCCATTTAAGAATTTAAAAGACCCCATTCCATTAGTCCCAGTTGGTGAACATTGTCGTAGACCAAATATCACAGCACCAATGAATGAAGAAGAAGAAAAAGAGTATGCTGAATTTATTGAAAGGGAAAACTACTATTTAAATTTACAAAATTGGGATGAATTCCCAGATAAGCTGAGATTGTTTATTGGTAACTTACCTGCCAACACTATTTCAAAACAAGATTTATTCAGAATTTTCTCTCAATATGGTGAAGTTATTCAAATTGCCATTAAAGCTGGTTATGGTTTTACTCAATTCAGATCATCTGAATCCTGTTTGGATTGTATTCAAGGAGAAACTAATGTTCCTTTACACAACAAAATTTTGAGATTGGATGCTTCTAAACCACAAAAGTCAAGACGTCCAGGTCATCCTGAAATCAACAACCCAAACATGAGTTCTCGTGGTAGAGAAAGAGGTGCTGAAGAAGCTGAAGAGCCAGTTCGCAAGAAGAGAAAAGGTTCTTTTGATTGTCAAGTTTATATCACTGGGAAGTCATCAGTTTTCTTTATTAGAAAAGTTAAGAAGGCATTTGCTGGTGCTCAAATTTCAATTGATATTGAAGATGTTACCCAAAAAAATATCAATGATGTTTTAAGTGAAGCTGCATATTCTGGAGTATTGGCAGCATGTGTTATTAAAGAATTGAAAGTTGATGTTCAGACCTATGAAGAAGCTGCAGATGGTGGTATTAAATTCGATGAGTATGCCGATGTTGAGCCTGAAGAAGCTGCCGGGATTGTTTCTAAGGCCAAATTGAAAAAATATGGTAACAATATGCCACCATACATTCCTCAGGATACCAGTTATAATGATCGTTCCACTGAATCTCGTGGCTATAGTGATAGAGGTGGAAGAGGTGGTGGTCGTGGTGGTGCTAGAGGTCGTGGTGGTTACAAAGGACGTGGTGGTGGAAGAAGTGGTCATGGTCACGGCCATGGGCATGGGCATGGACATGGAAATGGTGGCCATTGGAACGAACGTGGTGGAGGTGGTCGCAACGGTGGCTACAGAGGTAGTGACTATAGCGGATATGGTGGAAACAATAGTTATGGTTCATGGAATCATTCACCACAACAACAACCATATGGTTTGATGAGTAATCCTCCACCTCAGCAACAACAACCATATGGTCAATCATACTATGGACAACCTCCACCACCACAGCAACAACAACAACAACCGTATGGATCTCCTCCGCAACAATCTTCATTCCAGTGGAATTCATCTCCTCAACAAGCATTACAACAACAATTAAGAAATCCAGGAGATGTAGAACGTATGTTGCAAACATTAAATCCTGACCAGGTTCGTGGTATGATTAACATGTTGCAACAACAACAGCAACAACAAGGTTCTAGTGGTGCAGGATCTTATGGTCAACCAAATAATTATGGTGGATATAACAATAATAACAATTATGGTTCAAATCGACAACAACCTCCACCACCTCAACAACAACAGCCACAACCATATGGTGGATCTACAAGTACAAATCAGGTTCAATCTCTTCTTGCACAATTACAACAAGGCACTGGCAGTAATGCTAACAATAATCCTTACGGTCAGCCACCTCAAAATGGTTCAGGTGGTAGTTTTTATGACCAATTATCAAGAAGAGCTAATAGATAGATTTGAAATTATCGTTTGATTTTTATCTATATTATCAGCGTTTTCGTTTTATTTTCTTGTTTGTGTGTATTGTATATATTCATTTCTGTGATGTCTAACTTCTCTTGTGATGATTCCTAATGTAAGAATTCTCTTTGTATACAATTACAAATAATAAATAGCTTTCACTCTTGTAAACCTAATCAACGGTATCTTCAATACCGATAGATGGATTTTCATCTTCATCCTCTGAAATCTCTTCTATTTTAGCTTCCTGTTGACCTTCTTCGTTATATTCCTTTTTTAATTCTTCAAAATCATTCTCGTTATCCAAATATCCACTTAATCCAATAACTCCACATTCTTGAATAATATCTAAAACTTGTTCAGCATCTTCAAACTTTAATTTAGCAAATTCTTTATTAACTTCATCAATAGATTCAGTTTCTATAGCTTTTTGAAATTCAACTGGAACTTTGGTGGTAAATAATTCATACTCAGGAGTACCTTCTTTAGGCATATTCACCAGTAATTGAGTTTTGTCATCCAATGAACGTAATTGAAGAACAGCTTCTTGTTCTCCATCATCATCATCATCACCACCTCCAAGTTGTCTTTCTTGCTTGATGATCTCACATCTGTTTTTAATATGAGCATATGTTCTATCAACATCTTCCCAAAACACTTGGTGAGCAGGGGTAGATTCATCAGATATTTTTGAAAAGAACAACTTGATAGCATTAATGACTTTATCCTTTGGAGCATGTGGGTTATTTCCAGTAAGATTAGCAATGTACTGTAATAACAAAGCCTGGTGAACAACTTGTTTGGCAGTTTCTGTTCTATTGTCAAGTTGCAAATCAAATGCTGACATCATAAGAGCATCCTTCTGTTGTTCTGTACAAATTGTATAATGCTTGATTAAAAACTCTGCAGATTTAGTGTAATCAGTAGCTGGTATCTTACTGAACTCATCAGTAGCTGGGGATATCACCAATTCATCCAATATTTCTTTATCTGTTTTTTCTTCCATTGGTTTGTTGATGGTAGTGGTAGATGGTTGGTTGATAGTTTCAGTGGTGGTAACAGTAGTCTTTTGAGTGGTTGGTTTTGAAGAAGATGATGATGATGATGGTTGTGGCTTTTGTTCTTCCTCCTCTGCTGGTTTATCTTTGTTCAAGAAAGATCTGTCAAATCCAGTATGTAAATCATCACTGACAATTAATTGTGCCTTTTGATATAATAAATCATCTAATTTGATAGTTTGTTTTGATAAAACGTCATCGATTTTATTTCTGTGTTCTTTCAAATACTCAACCAATTTATCTCCATCATCTTTACTATCTGGATGATCTTCTTTAACTTGAATAAACAAATCTTCAATCATTTCATTATAACAAGGAGTATTTTCAATTTCTTCCTTATCAAAAGTTAAATCTTGTAATCCTTTTCTTAAACTTTTATCTTTGATTAATTTCTCATAATCGAATTTTTCATTAGCATCAAATTCATTATTCAAAGTAGACATAACTTTGTCATCATCCAATAATTCTTTAGGAGTTAAGCTCTTCATCAAATAATCAACTCTTTCATTGAGTTTAGCATACATGGTTAATTGAATCAAAATACTTTTAATTTCAATGTTTCTTTGGTGTCTCTTTTCATGAATATCACGTTGCTTCCATTTAATAAAAGATTGTTTATCAACATTTGGATGGACTTCAATATCTGAATCATCAGATATTTCAATATGGTCCCATTTAGAATAATCAATTGGCATTATTTATCTTGTGGCGATTGATCTTGGTGGTAAAAGTCAAAGAAAAGTTACTGGTTGGCAAAGACGAAAAAAATAAAAAAAATAATCACGTAGACAAACAACAAAAAAAAAAGGAAGATCACAGTTTGTCGTCGGAGATTGTTTTAATGTCGCAATCGGATTTCTAGATTATTCGATGTCGCAAAAGGGTACTAAATAATGTTGCAAATTTTTCCGATTTATATTAATTAATACGAATATGGAATCTTATATTCAATAAGGTGACCTATTTATAAATAACCAGATAAATCCATATTTACATTTAAGCTTCACCATTTGGTCTCAAACCAGTGAAAAAGTTCAAAGCATAACCAGTAGTTTCGAAAGTGATCTTAGTTCCTTTTGGAAAGTATAAAACATCACCTGGTTTTGGGTAAACAGTGGTGCCAGTTTCATCAGTAATTTTGAATTCACCTTCAACTTCAAGAACAATTTTCATTTCATCATAAGTATAAGTGTATACTAATGGTTCACCTGCTTCTTGTCTGTAAAAACCACAAGAAATTTGTTTATCTTTTGGAGCATCACTAGTGAAAACATCTTCCAAGAATGAATTGTTACCTGGACTTGGAATTTGAGCTGGTTTGATAGCTTGAGCACCTGGTTTGTAAGATAATGGCATTTTGATATTTAATAAAGAATAGATAGATTTGTAGGTATGTAATTAATCAGTAAAACAATTGATATTTTGCTTGATGAATAGAATTAAAAAAAAAAAACATTCATTTGGAGGAATATTCATCTGATATTTATACTTTCTTAAATCATAGTTTATTGGGTATTTTCCCGCTAGGACTAAGGAAGAGACTTATCCTCCACTTTTCGATTCTTTATAAATTTCGCAGTTGCGCCGGACTTTGTTTCCAAATTGGGAATTTATTTCCCGCCTGCTGCACTCTGCGAATCTCGACCGTTAGAACACACTCTACAGTATCTTTAATAAAGCATTGTTACAGATAGCAATATACACACATTTGTAGAGCTCTTATCTGTTTAAGGAAAGATTGTCCCCTTAATACACACACTGAGTAAAAAAAAAAAAGTTCGTATCTTATATGTTGCTAACCATCTACTAATTGCAAACAGCTATCTATACAAACATCAACATTCCCTCTATTAATAAAAATGATATCCTTTAAAATATTTGTATCCAATGTTGGGAATATCTCTTTTAACGTATCATAAGCCTGTTTCATTTGTTCAGAATCAATTTCTTCCTCTCTAGGAGGTAATGGCTGGTATTGTGCAGAACCGTCATTTTCTTGAACTGGTGGAGGGTTTGGAGGTGGTTGAAATTCTTCTGGTTCAGAATCTTGTGGTTGAGGCAGTGGTGATAAAAAGTTTGTAATAGACTTGGTAACCATTTCTGCGCTTGAAAGCAATACACTTGATGGAAATAAGTCATTGGATGGTGATAATGCTTGGTGCTGTTGCTTTGTAGGAGAGTGTGAGAATGTTTGAGCAGTTGGTGTTGTTGGAATAGGTTGCTGCAATTTAAGTTGTCGATCCCTTTGCTTCTTCTGAGCCTCCCATGCTTCCATATGTGCGTCAAATTCTTCTGGAGAGATAGTCAAATCTTCTGCAGTTAAATTCTCGATAAAGCTGATAGCACCTTGAATTGATGAAAGATAATAGCTTGTTTCGCCGTGAGATAACCATTCATCACCTCTGAAATTTTCAATATAGTGAATATTGCTAACCAAATTTTCTGTTTTGGCCTTGAAAATAACCAAAATCAAAATTGGGATAAAAGCATCGGCATTTGTTTCTTGCCTACGCAACTTCAAATAACTAAATATTATCTTACAGGAATTAAGAATGCAGATGATTTTATCTCTAGGAGCTCTATAGTTATTAATCTTGTTCAACTCCGTTATGGCATAATCCAAAAATGATTGGTTATTCTTAACAATAGTGTTGGCCAAATCATTCATATCGATATCCAAATGCGATCCATTGATCCAAGAGAATTTTTCCAACTGCAAACTGAATAATTCATCCTTTTCCAAGTCACGTGTGTACACTTCAGGAATATAAGGCAAATTTTGTTTAACAACTTCTGGTGGGAAACACAAATCGTGCAAACGATTCATAATCAATTTTTCTAACCCTTCTCGAGAATTTTCTAAATCAATTTGATCCATCGATGCAAATGGTTCATACAAAGCAAACTTTTCATTCATGAAATTCTTGAAATCCTTAATAATTTTCATTCTTTGGTCAGCTGTAAATGTATGACCCAGTTTAATGAATGAACTTAAGAACGACCGTATATATCTGACAATTGGATCAGCTGATTTCTTACGCAATTGAGATAAAAAGTTTTGGAAATCAAATGGTTTATGTGATTGTTTGTTTTGTTCTTCAGAATCATTAATTTGAAATCTATGTTTGTGTGGTTTGTTTGCTACTGGTTGTTCTTGTTCATTAGTCGATCTTTCTTGTGGTGGTTCCGGTACTGGAGTTGTTACTTTTACTTCGAATTCTTCAACTGGAAGGTTTTCTTCACCTTTACCTTCAATATCTGATATATCACCCTGAATGACATTTCTTGGGGAGGCGTGTTTGTCAATGTTGTCTTGAACGGTAGATTCAACTGGTTTTTCCGTGATGATTTCTATTGGTTTTTGTTTTTCTAATGTCTCTTTGGAGAATGTATCTCCCAAATCGATTAAATTATCATTAAACTGTGTGGTAGAAGACTTTGCTTGGGCCTCTGGTTTCTCTTCTTCCTCAGGTGGAATGTACGGCTGTATGGTCATTAATGCAGCGATGGATGCCGTGCCATTATTCTTTTCAATTGTTTCCTTTGGTGACGATTGTTCATGGTTTGTGTCTTTATCTAATCGCAAACTTCCTTTTTCCAAATGCACACTTTCTGTGGTGATGATAACCTCTTCTTTACTGCTATGTTGTTTTTCTTCCTTTTCAATGTCTTCTTCCAGGTTCATCTTTTCCAATTTATGTTCATGATCAGTATCATCATCTACATCAACATGCTTCTCACTCGATAATTCTCCAGCTTGCTCATTTTCCTCTTGTTTCCTAGTCTGATCTTTGTCATCTTTGTTGATATCAAACTTATCAAACAATCCAATCAAATCAGTTTTAGACGAGTTTGACGAATTCTTTGCTGTTGTATTACTACTTGTATGATCACTATTATTAATTGTTAAAATTGCCGGAACAGCCGAACTAGCTGTCAATTTTGGTGATGATGTAAGTGCTTGATGTGTTGTTGAAGATGTTAATTGAGATTGTGATTGTGGTTGGGGTGCGAGGGGTGGGCTGGCTGTTGGATTATTAAGTGTATCTCGATTGGATTTCATTAATATACTTTGTAAATAAGGTGGTGATTTGACAGAAGATGAAGTGGTTGATCCATCCAATGAAGAGGGTGATTCACTGTGGCCAATAGAAATTGAATCACTGATAGTATTTGTATTGCTGGTTGAAGTGGTTGGGGTAGCCTTGGAGATATTAAAATTCAAATGATGATTGAACGACATGATGATATTGGTGATTGTGGTCAATTAAATGCAAGCAGTATATGAATTGCTCTCCTTTTATTTCTATCTCTGATCTGTGGTGTTTGTTGTTCAATGATTCGGAAGTAAAGTGTTCGTATAAAAAACTGTCCTTGTTCTTTCCCGTGACAAAAAGGAATTGATTCTTTTTTTTTTTTTTGATTTTTTTTGAAAGAGAGGGCAAAGTGAGTATTCAGTATTCAAATAATTTTGTCTTTTTGTCATTGCCACAGTAATTGCTACACCTACTTTATTGTCAGTGCAACATTGATTTCAAATTGCAACTATTATAATTTTGATCATATGAAGATATATGTATATATATATAATATCATTCTAAATATCTCTATTATTTGTACTATTGACAGATGTAGATCCTTCAATAGAAAGATCATTACTTGTTTCTGTTTCACTAATACGAACACCGTTATCTTTAGTTGGTTTGTTACTATTATTATGATCATCTTCGTAATCGTCTTCGTCATCGTCTTCAATTATAAAATTATCTGCATCAAAATCAGCTGAATTCAATTCAATTTCATTATGACTTCCCATTTCTAAATCATCTTCAAAATTGCCAAATACTAAAGTATCATCAGCGGCAAGTCCTCTACTATGATAACTAGCTAATTTCTGTTGCATCTTTGCATAAATCAAATAAGCAGCTAATGAAGCAGCAGTAGCTGTGATTATAATACTTATAATGTCTACGATTCTAGTAGATCCCGTGGATTTATCATCACCGATTTCTTTTAATTTGCTACCCACAAATAAATGAATAAGTAATTTAGGAGATGTGATAAAAGTAGCCAAAAAATATGTTGACAAAGGTAATTCAGGAATGGCTGCTAATGCTCCATTTGATAAAGAATAAGGTAATGGACATAATCTAATTAAAATCAATAATAATAATGAATTATCATCACGTAAAATTTCAGCAAACGCTCTAAATGTTTCATTATGATTCATCAATTTTTGAGCCTGCTTTTGTAACACATAACGGAAAATTAAAAATGAACAAGTACATCCCAGAATTGAAGCACATGCTAATAATGGCCAACCATTAGGGAATCCATATATCATACCTGTGAGCAATGATAAACCAGTAAATCCAATCAAGGGAGGGAATCCCACCATAAACACCAAAATGAATATAATCAATGATCCAAACTTCAAATCATGCCATTGATCAGACAAGTATATGAGAAATTTGATAATATACACATGGAAAATAAGGAACAATGTACCAATTATACCAAGAATCACTAATAGTATGGCAAGAAGAATTCTCTTACCAATTGATTGCTGAAAATACCATTCTTTTGCTTGTTGAGCAATGATTGCCCCCAGGGCTATCTTGGCAGATAAGATACCTCTTAAAGTGTTTGGTGACGATGGTGAAACTGTACGGTATCTATAACCATTATTATCTGAGGAAGGAAGTTGGGGCATTTATCGTGTTTTATGAGGTCAATGTTATCATGTAAAAATTTTACTTGACAGATAAATACTGTAGGGTGCAGAACGTTTTATATTTATTCTTTTTTTTTTTGTATTTCGGTGTTCTTTCAAATATCAAAGCGGAAAAACAAAAGAAAGTTTATGAAATGCGTGTACCTTTGGTAGGAGTAAGTCACGAGGTTTATCCAATGGTTATTGCATTCTTCTGGTGAATAAAACATGAATAATAGATATATTATTCATGTTAACGTCCTTATTGACTTAGTATGATGTGTGGTATTTCAAGACAATGGCTTGAATGTCGGGCATGATGAATATTTTTGCAAGCTCCGCATTAACCGACCTAAACTTGAACAAATGTAGTTAAATGATAATATAAATAGTTAAAATATAATTTACTTTGCCTATTCTATGGATCTAGGGCATCGAAGAAGTACTAAATTAAGATTACAGTACGTCAATTAAACCCCACTTCGCATTCAACTTCATTTGCAGCCCGCAAGCATCATCCAACTATTCAGGTTCTGTATTGGACTTTAGGAATAGGAAGAAGCGTGAAACAAAAAATAATGTTCTCTGTTGAAAGAAGTCAATTGTAGCCCTGAGTTACAAAAAAGAAAACGACCAGGGTGAGGATTGAACTCACGATCTTGAGATTAACAGTCTCACGCCTTAACCAGCTTGGCCACCCAGCCGTAACCACTGAGCTATTTCAACTCTTTGGTTGGAAGTCTAAGCCGACTGTTGAATGTGACTCTGTTGTTGACAACGTTTAGACTATAATTTTCTTCGATTCTTTGTATGGTTATTAGAACGTATACTCTTGGACTAAAAACAAATACAACTTTAGCACCAATAACACCTGTATGTGCGCCCACTTCAGATACAATTTATCTCTTGGTTTGACTTTCCTTTTCTCGTGTTTTAATCAATAGAATCGACGTAGGAGAATTTTATCAGTAATGTATGAACTTAGACTGGTTTAAAACTCGGATATAAAACAGTACATCGATCTCCACAAAATAGAACAACGTAAACAAACATAATGCAACGCCAAAAGAAAGGGATGCAAAAAAAAATGCAATAACTAATATTACGTTTATTGTGAAGGAGAAAGGGCTAGACTTTTAAGAATCGGTTGGTACTGTTTGCATTCTGCATGTCCTGATTCTTGAATTTTCCGATATTTTCTTCATATTAATGATCAATTGATGAAGGATTCGATTTATAATACAATCAGGGAAAGGCTCAAGGAACCACAAGAATGATTTAGTGCGATATTTTCCTTTCATGTTTAGATCACTGCGTGTTCGAATTATTCTTTTGTTCCTTTGTGATGAAACAATTCATTGCTGATTGTTCTTATTTATTAAGGGGTTGTATTTCCACGTAAAATCAAATTCTAGCTTGTCTTGAGACAAAAACAATAATCAATTCATATACAATGCTTTATTATGACTGTATTGAAACTTCCTTATTCTGAAAATGTTGATTGCAAACTGAGCCGAATACTTTTTGTAGAAGGGAGCTGACCCCCCCCCCCCCCCTGCAAAATATGTAATTGTGCTCGAATCTTTGTTTGTGCTATAAAAAGAAATCGGTTGGTTTATTGTATGTACTGCATGCTCGTTTGAATGGTGGATATTCCATAAGGCGGACAAAGAGAAGACTTTTGTTTTGCATCGGGTCCCATACTTCATGCAATTCGTACTAAACACATTTACAAAAAGTTTGACAAGTTAGGAAAGAAAAGAAATAGAATAATGAAAGGGATTTACGTTCACATAGCCAATCCAAGAATCCACGATAAGGATATAGATAAATAAAGAAGTGCAAGATTGACCAGGGTGTGATAAATTCAATCTATCGTCTATTTACAATGTGATTTATCCGTTGGTATCATTAATAATAATCTATTTTTTTTATTTTTGCAGATGTTGGTGATGATCCACGTGAATCCAACCTGAAAATTTCAACGCGAAAAAAAAAAAATTAAACTAAATTCACTGTTTGTTTTTGTTCTTGTTCATAATGATGATGAAAAATAAACGCACAGTTGCCATGCGTTAGGTTTACATGGCTTTTTCAGAAAGTTTCTGGATGCACAGTATAGTAGGGGAATTCACAAAATATCCTTTCAGCATTAATTTTCTTTTTGGTGTATTTGTTTACAATTGATTTTTTTTTTTTTTTGTTTTTTTTGTTTTTTTTGTTTTTGTTTTTGATTTTGTGGATTGCTATCGACAAAAAGTTTGGATCTGGAGGAAAACTTCAAACCGTTGATTCGTCTCTACAATAACGACCATGTATAATTAAAATTTTGTATAGAATAATGTCTACGTAATAAAAGTGGTATATACTAAATAATAAGAATGAAGAAACAAATAAAATAAAAAAAAACCTCTTCCCAAGAATATTAAACAAGTATCGTAAAAAACGTTAAAATAATATTAATAATAATAATAATAATCTATCTATCTATAAGGGGTTATCAATTATTAACCACTTTCAAGGAACCTGGATTTCTTGCAATCATATCAGGTAAGGAGCCATTACTTAATTTTCTTCTACCATATTCAGGATTAGGAGAGTCAACATTTAAATAATTTGGACTCATTGGATCATTACCATTAGTATTGGCATCATAAAAGGCAAATTCATCTTGATTGTTATGTAGTTGTGACCCAAATGAGTGATTACCGTCACCACTGGTTCCACTAGAACTATTATATTTATGATACCCTGATAGACTTCCTGCTCCTGCTCCAACTGCAAGAGCGTCACTGCCTCTACCTGATGGTTGTCTTGGAGTTTGTTGTTGTGAAGTATCAAAATTGTTATAACCACCTGCAAGTAAGAATGGGTTTGAATCAAGAATAGGAATACCTCCTCCACCTGTAGTTTGAGTCATATCTGCTTTTGGACCAGATAAAGTAAATTGATCATCAAAATCATCTTGATCTTGTTTACGTCTTCTATACCAACAAAACAAAAATATCAATCCGGCAATTGCGGCAACACCACATACGGAACCAACAACAGCACCAGCAATTGTGCCTCCAGAAACGGAACTTTTATGTTGTGGTTCGGCGGTTGCTGAAGCGGAAGCTGACAGAGTCGCATCAGCATTAGAAATTGATGATGTACTTGAAGTCGATGATGCCAGTGAAGTTGTTGATGGTGTTGCAATGACAGTCTTATAAATTACACTTGGTGTACCTGAAATAACTGTTGATGATATTATGGTTGTTGTCGATGGAGGTGCTTTAGATACAGATGTTGTGGATGAAGAAGATGAAGATGAAGATGAACTTGTTGACGAAGATGTAGTTTCAGATGTTGCTTCCTCCATTGTTGTTGTTTCTTTTATAGTTGTGGTTTCCGGTTCATCAGTGGTTTCAGGACTATCATCCTCTGTTGATGTTGGTGAATCAGTCGACGATGATGATGATGTTGTTGTTGTTGACGACGAGGATGAACTGGACGATGAACTGGACGATGAACTGGATTTAGAAGTGGAACTGGAACTACTAGATGATGATGATGAACTGGATGAACTTGAATCTTCTTTTGAATCAACATCTGCATTAACATAAACGGTGTATGAATTATCCCCACCACACATTTCTAGTGGATACCCATCACATTTTGAATTACAACTACTAGATTTTGACGTAGGGTCAACGTCACCACAGTAACAGTCACTACCTCCTTTTAATGCAGCAATTCTATAGCCTTTACATTGAGTCTGGCAATAACCACTACTTTGATAGGTATAAGATCCTTTTGATTCAGCAACATTAATTGATGAATAACAACCAAGACTTGACCATGTGTCTGCTGATACCAACGGCATTAACAAGACACTTAGTAGTAGAAAAAGAAACGACTTGGACATTTCGCTTGTTGCAATATGATGAAAAAGAAAAGGCTAGGTATTAAAGGGACCAAAAGGAAAAGCAAATGATAGATAATTAATTATTATGAAGGAAATATTATATGTGTAAATGGTTGATACGATGGTGGAAATTTTTTTATTTTGTAAGGTAAATTGGAAACACTATAGGTAGTGAGTTATTTCTTGTCGACGACAATGATTATGTTGACTTTTTACTTCTTCCTCTAATCTTCTTGAAGGAGGAGACGGATGAAGAGGGTTGAAGAAAAAGAAAATGGGAATCAATTGTTGATAAACAAACAAAGGAAGAACAAATTAACAAAAAAACAAAATTATTTAGGAAGAGAAATTAAAATTTTCTATTCAACTTGTATTTTGGTTTTGGTTTAAAAAAAAAAATTGTTGTTACTTGAAATTGCAATTAAATTACACAAAGTTGGAAACAAGGAACAAAAATAAAATATGGAAGAAGAGAAAGAAAAAAAAAGAAATTACATGTTCGAATTGATTGATGCACGACAATAATCACAATCATACCACAGAATACAGAATACAGAACACAGAAAAACTCAGGTGAAACTTCCTTTAGTACAAGCAGACACGCTGACACAATTGTTGGTGTCATTCATTGAGAATGAATCACGAGTCAGATCAGTATTAACCACCAAACTATGGCCACTGTTTAAGTTATAATATCTTAAATAAACTAACAATAGGTAACTTTCAGGTTATCTTTACAGAAGAACAAGTAGTGGACATTAAAAAAAATTATAAACAAGCGTTGCTATTTTTAGTATTTTTTATTCTTCTCCAACCCCAATCGAAAAGAAAGAAAAAAATAAATTATTAATTATAAAAGGCAAGCAATGGAAGATTATCAGGAAAGAAGAATGAAAAATAAAAAATTATTTACTGAATAGTTACCGCCTTGTAATACAAGAATCATTCGCAACCGGGGGGTCCCTCTAATGAAAATAATAATTTGTATGTATTCGTTCACCTCATGTTCTATTTAGCCAATAAGACATGACAGACACAATTAACCATTCCTTATTCAAACAATACTACTCATAGTCCCATACACACGAAAGCATTCGTCTGGAAGTAAAGTTACCTCATCATCATCTTGAATATTAGTCTTTAACCTGTTTACAAAATTAAAAAGACAATCCAACAAGCGTTGTATAATGGGTTTAAAACTGGAATTTGCATATTCAGGTTATTCTCTTTTTAAAGTATGACACTTCATTGACAAAGTTAAACAAAAGCCTGTTTTGATCTGATTTTCATTGGATCAACACTTATCCAAATGAAATTTTACTGGAGTATGGTCTAGAAGAGATCTAGACCAGTTGGTTCTACTGTAAGCTGTTCATCTCTCCTCTCCTGTCCTCTCCACCCCCTGTATAAGTTTTTACGGATTTTGTGGATCACGATGAAACTTTTTTTTTACACAAATCCCAAAAAGAGTTTTTTTCCATCCGCTTTTGTGAATTTCAAATCTTTTGATGACTCGGTTTTGTGTTATTATCTGTACCTAGGACAGGACACGCCCTCGTGTACACACACACACCCATAGAGTTTCAATTATTATTTTTTTTTAGCGTGCCTTTTTTTTAAGTATTGCGTTTCCGTCGACCGGACGTACTAATCGGTTTTTCCGGTACCAAAATCGCGTTACAGTACTACCATGTAAAACAAATACTTGTCCAATACATACCATTTACAATTGAATATCTCACAAGAGTTTTAAGACGTTCTTCTGACATATTGGTAACATAGTCTTCATAATTACAATTACATGGAACAGATTTAAGCTTTTAGTCACAACTTGATTTTCAATAAGAAAAAAAACGGTCTTTACGAATTAAAGGAAGAAAATTATACTGATTAATTCTTTTTTTTTTCGTACATTTTCTTGAATAAAAAATTAGGAACTTACAATGAACTACATCAGAATTATGAACTCAGTTATTTCTTCAAACGATTGACCCCATAGTCCAATTAAGGTAATTAATAAATATTCGAGTAGCTAACCCTGATTGTCCACAAGGCTTGTATCAGATAGTCACAAAGTACTAATGAAAGAAAATTGAATATATTTAGTCTATGTCAGTCCAGCCTACACCCTCCCCCCTTTTGATATTGAAAGGGGTGAGAAGTAAGTTTATACTACATCTCATCGATCAATGCAATGCAACCAACTTAAAACTATTCAAGGTTTATTAATTAAGGTTGTTAAAGCATACTGAAGGTTACAACGGAAAGTATATTCTGACATTTATCACGTGAGAAAAAAAAAGCACTCGAAATGGAGTTAGCCGCTAAAAATATTTTCAGCCTCTATCATAAAGCTTTCAAAACCATGAATCTAGACCTTCTTAGTGATTCTGTTTGTCACTCAACCAAGGCTTTAGTGTTGAATGTAGAGGAGCTACAGGTGGTTTCAGAATCTATGATTTCATCATCTCTTAAAAAGAAAAAAATGAATACAACCATGCAAGTCGTGCAAATTTGTTTATTATTCAGAATGAGATCTAACGTCATAGGGCTCGAAAGCGCACTAAATAATAATTTTTGCAACAAGAATCTGTGATGAAATAGGAAACTCCTACAAGGAGACGTATTTTATATTGATGGTGGCGATACTAGACGTTCTTGTAGTTTATTGAAAAACCAACCAACGGGCAAGATCCACAATATAGCAGCCACAAATGAACCTCAACATGGCTTTGGTTTGTTACGAACTATAACGGTTAGTTGCTAACTACTTTCTTTGACTCCGGTATCTACTATTGTTCTACACCAGGGCGTTGAATTTAAAATCTCCTTTTAGAACCACACGGGACTCAATTATTACTTAATCTTTGTTGTTATTGCCTCCTAAACGACAAAGACACACAAACCTGCATATAGAGTAACATCTTCTTGAGTGCGTGTATGTTACAAATTTTGCACAGGGTACACACACACACACTCACCAAGTCAATGGGCAAGGAAAAACAAAAAGTTGAAAATAGAAAAATTTTTCTAAATGTTTTCATTTCTTCTTTTTCTTTTCTTTGTCAATTATAGAATGTAAAAGATGTATATAACCTTATTGGAGGTACTCTTTTTTTATAGAGTATCAATGATGAAGGAGATCTTTTCATCTTTAGGATTCTTAAAACAATCAGAATAGCCTTTTTCGCTAACCACGATCATTTTTTTAATTATATTTCCGTAGATCGTTGTTTGATAGTAGTTGGGCTTACATTTAATATTAGTATTGTAAAAAAAAAATGAAGTTAATGTAGAATATCACTAATCATGTAGATCCAAACCATGGATCTTTGCATGTCTCTTATAATCGATAATCTGATATTTTGCTTCGTTTCTCTATGGTTCTCAGAAACGCCAAAACGAACAGAGAGAGAGAGAGAGGGAAAGTAGACAAAAAAACAGGCAGCCAAAAAGCCCTGATTTCTTTACAACACATCAATTTTGCTTGCCACCTGTTAACACATACCAAACCAATGACATCCATTTCCACGATACAAACAGTACTTAATCAAGCAAGCAGTGACTTACATTCATTAGATATTCCAACATTAATTGATCTACCTACTTATATACCCAAATCATCTCCTTATATCACCCATTTAAAACTTGTTCAAATTCAAAATGCATTAAGTCGATTGGATCAAGATTTGAATAAATTCCAAAGGAATAAACTATATAATAATTTACGTACTCAATTGAACAATGTTTATATTTCTGAATTAGATGAAAAATTATATATTGTTTCAAAATTAATTGAGAAATATGATAAAGCAAATTCACCAGAATCTGAATCAAATGAAATCAATGAAAAAGAAGTTGAAGATGAAGTCGTTGTTGTTAAAGAAGAAGATTTATCATCATTAAGAAGAAGATTATTATCATCAAGTAGTTCTAAATTAGATGAAAAAGATACTACCAAACTTAATGAATATCACGAATCACTTCAAGATGATATTTTAAATGAATTGAATGAATTAACAGCAAACTTAAAATCAAGTGCAATTACATTAAGCTCAAAAATATTAGGTGAAGATTTAAATATATTAAATGAAACTAATGAAAATATTATTAAAAATTCACAATTGTTTAAAGTGATTGATGAAAATTTAAATCATTATTTATTGAATAAAACTGGTGGGAAAATATCTATTTGGTTCTTGTTGAAATGTGCCGTGGGTTTATTGATTGGATTTATTATCATGTTGATCTTTATAACCATAGTTCCAAGGATAAGATAATATAAAACTACAGACATTATGGATTCTCTTTTTTTATACATTTTTTTAAGAAAACGATAAGAAAATAATAATAATAATAATATATATATACAAAAAAATGAAGTATAAGATTATGCTGAAAAAATTCTTTTAATAAAAACAAAGGATAAAAGAAAGGAAAATAAAGAAAAAGGAAATAATTAATTATGAATATGAAGTAATTGTGGAAAATAAAAGATTTTTTTTTATGCTTTTTAATTAGGATGATAGTATTTTTTTTTATTTTTTGAAGTTTTATAATTTATAATTTTTTTTTTTGTATTTTGAACTTTTCTTTTCTTTATTGGAATCAGGATCAAATATGGGAATGGTTAATTGATCTATTCAAATGGGGAGCTTTCTCTGAATTCAGATCCATCTTCAATGATACCCAATGCACCACCACCTAAAGGTAAACCTTGGTTTTGGAATTGTCGTGGTAAATTACCACATCTATCTTTACCGAAATTAATTTTTAAACTCTTGTAATCTTCAAATGATTTAATACCATCAATTGCTTTGATAGCATTAGCAATATTGACAAAATTAATAAATGCACAATTCTTTTCTTCCAAATAATTAATTTGTTCAATATCACCAAATTTGGAGAAATCTTCCCTTAATTTCATTGGGTTGTAGTATTCAAAGTCAGTAATGTTACCAATGTAAATGTTTCTTGAAGCACCATTAGAAACAGCCAAAGATAATGCATTTGATAAAGGACCAGAATGTTTACCCCAACCAACCTTGATTCTTCTATTATGAATGGTTAAACCATGTAATTGACACATGGCGAAAAATTGTGCAGCAGCAATCGGATCAATAAAAGTAATGAAACAAACGTGTCTTTCTTTCAAGAATCTGATACTTTGTAATAAACCACCTCTAACAACATTACAGATTTCTTCAACAGATGAATCTTGATGCAAATTACCCAAATAAACGGTTCTATTACCCAAATTATTGGCACCTCCAGCTTGAGTAGCAATTTGTGCAGCAGCAGCAGATTGTTGAACCAAAGCACTAGAAATAAACTCTCTATCAGCAGCAGTGACAATATGTTCCATACCTGGAGCTAAACCTAAATATTGGGCAGCATTATGTTGTTGAGTCTTGGTGATAAAAGCACATCTATCCTTACCGTAGAAAACTTTTTTGTTGTCGTATTTTTCAAATTTACTAGACAAGTTGTTAACACAATTAACAGCACTAGCAATACTCAAGAAATGAACAAATGCAATGGACTTATCAGGTATTATCTTGATGGAATCAATTAAACCGAAATTAGATAAATCTTCTCTTAATTCTTCTTCGTTGATATTAGCACCCAAGTTACCCAAATAAACGTTTCTGGTGGCCCCATCACGTTGAATGGCTTCTAAAACTGATGGTAAGATTGGATTATCTTTACCCCATCCAACTCTAATGTTATGGCCTCTAATACATAATTTTTTTAAAACACAATCAGAATGGAATAATAATGCAGAATTGGTATCAATAAAAGAAATGAATGCACAGTTTTTATTAGGAATGATTTTAACATCTTCTAAAATCCCCAGTCTAACATAATCTAATAATTCATTAGGTAAAATATCACCAGGTAAGTTCCCAAGATATACTGTTCTAGAATTACCTCCAGCTCCATTAGTACCGTTAACATTGGCCATGGTCATTCCACCATTATCTTGCAGAAAATCAACTAATTGTTGTTGTGGTGGAATCACTTGTTGCATTTGTTGAGGTGGTGGTGGTGGCATTTGTTGAATACCCATACCTAATTGATCTGGGTGTGGTTGTTGATGAACATGAGGTGGAAGGAATTCATCAGTTGATGGATGATAAAATTGACCAGTTCCAATACTTGGAGCATCAATTATACCATTTCCCATTGGACCTGGACCTGGGGTTGGACCACCATCACTACCATTACTATTACTTCCCCCTATTATGGTTGGTGTTGAACCACCAGCTCCATTGAATTGGGTGTAATCCATAGCCGATGATGAGGGTGGCTGTTGATGGTGAATCATAGGTGGTTCTTGTTGGTATGGCTGTTGTTGATAAGGATAAAATGACATGATCAAAATATTAGATATCAAATTAAGAACAAAATATTAAAAAAAACGCCTGAAATGATAATTAAACAAGAAAAGAATATAAAAATGAATATGGAAAAAAAAAATAACAATGAAAAAGGGGGGATTAAATTATCGAATCAAATAAAATGGGAAAAAAATGAAAGAAATAAAACTTGCAAAAACACCTTATTGAAAAGAAGAAATGTAAAGTACTAATAAAAAAAAAAGAACTAGAAGAATTCGTGATATTAACTAAGAAGAGGAAGAAGGAGAAGAGTTTCTCTTCATTTTTTTTTTTTGATCTCTTTGAAAAATTTTTGGAATTCTTTTGTGCGAAGATTTTAACTAAGAAGAAGAGAACAGAGAGAGAGAGAGGGAAAAAAGAAAAATTTTCTCTACGTAAAAATTTAAAAAAAACGAGCCTGATGTGGTCACGTGAGAGATGGGCAAAATCTGTGGTTTGTTAGCTTTGACTTCCGAGACAGAGTAACCGGCAAGAAATGAGGGAGAAAGAATGAAAAAAAAAAAACGGATAAAAATCATGGGCCGAAAGTATAGGTCGGATGTACTTTGTTCACCTCGATCTTGGAACAGAATAAAAGGGGTGGGGCCCTGGCCCTGGCCCTGGCCCGGAAATTAAAGTTCTTGATTTGGGTTTGGAGCCTACTTCCCTCAAATAAGTTACACCTAATTTATTTAGAGTTTACTATTTTCATTTCTTTTTCTTTTTTTAAAAAAAACAACGTTTGAATGGGAGGGATTAGTAAATAAGGTTTAGATAGAAGGCGAAGAAATTTTTATTGGTCACATGATCAATGATTCTTGTGACGAAGTCTACAGGCTGTTAATAAAGATGGAGGCGGAAAAATGTGTATTCAAGCCAAGTATGCATTTTACATGAAAGACCACATGTACAAAGTGGTGAATCAAAGCACACAATTGCACAAACTCAATTGACAGTTCCACCGTGTCAATTACTCACTCAGAGTCATCACTATAATCAGTTTCTAAACCTTTATCCACTTGGTCTTCTTTGATTGGTTCAACTTTGTTACCAGACTCATCTTCACTATCACTATAATCCGTTTCATCGGCATCATTCTTCAGCGCACCAGCTGGGACAACAGAATCTATCTGGAAGGTATCAGCGAGACTATCTTTTATTTCATTAGATTCTTCAGAACTATCTTTGAGTTCAACTGATCTAGTAGGCTCCGGTTTGTCATAATTTCCAGGTGAGTCTACCTTTGGCTCTTCTTCATCTGCATCAGTGTCATCACTGTAGTCTGTCTCTTCCTCTCGCGTACCTTCTCCCGCTTCAACACCCTCAAGGTCGCTGCCACTATATTCGGTATCCTCTTTGGCACTATCTTCTGGGGAGACCAATTTTTGGGATTTGTTCGATTTCGCTAACGAATCTTCAATAAACGAGCCCAGACTAGATATCGAGAGCCCGCTCTCTTTATCATTATACAAATCACTTTTCAATACAGGAGATTCCGCAACGCCTGGCTCCTGCTTTAAATGAACACGATTTTGGTCATCACTCTTTTCATTGTCGTAATAAGATTTCCCGTTAGAAGGCGACCCTTCTGTCGTTCCAGCTTCAACTTTTAACTTCAAGTCATCTTCACTTGTACTTTCTTCCACCACAACATTCTTTGTTTTCTTTTTCTTTCTAGAAAGTAGACTTCCTTTAGATCTCTTTCTTTTATTACCACTGAGAAATGATGAGCCACTGATATCATCAGATATAGCATCTTTGTCAATTTCATTAAATTTCCCTTCTCGCTCTAAAAATGTGGCATTCAACCCCACAAGTTTTTTATCTTTTGATTGATCATCCCCATAAAGTAATTCATAAATTTTGTCCTTTTTGGTGTTCAAAGCTTGATAGAATTTTTCTTCTAAATCTTTAATTATCTTTTGATAATCTAATTTAATCGACTTATTGGACAACACCAACAGATCAGTCTCTAACTTTAACGCGTCAAGATCACGCGTTTGACTAGTCAATTGGTGCACTAGTTGCTCATTCTGCAGATGATATAAATCTATCCAATTAAACAAATCTCCTTCTTCAGCTAAATGTGGATGATCCTCAAACTCAATCAGTGGTAACTGAAATGTGCCCACAGTTATGGCCAATTTTGCATCTGTTTTGATCGATATGGTAATCGGGTTGGTGTTTGGATCAGAATCTTCCAATAATTCATTCTTATCATCATAATCAGATTTATGTGCAACTAGCTTTGCTGTTATCTTTAGTTTCTTATGGTATCCTTCTGCCTCTTTACTTTCGATTAAACTTTCTAAATCCAATGGAAACAAATTCCCAAGTAACTTGAATAAATTGACATCACTTTCAACATTTAAATTGGGAACATTCTTTCTGAACAATCGTCGTGTATTATCTGACGTCAATGTTTTATGAAAGTATCCATCTGAGTAAATAGCAGTCAAAGAGATATTTATAAAATTTGGATTGTTGCTTGGTTCGTGATCTGCTCGCGATATATGGATCCAAAGATTGGTGGCTTTTATTGTTTGTGATGTATCCTCATCCTCTATTATTAATGGCACTTTGAGAATTGTACCCAGAAGTACAGTATCTTCTGTCTCATCATCTAAACTGTTGCTATTCATTATGCCACAATTGTGCTTGCTTTGGTGCTATGATAGTTGGGAAATATGTGGAATGAAATATTATTTCCCACAACAGAAAAATTATGAAAATTCAGCCCTGAAAAGTTATAGTGGAAAAAAAAAAAAAAATAAAAAAACGAATAAATAAAAGGGCTGCATACATAGTGAATATCCTATTTTATCTTTCTTAGATATTATACTACTAACAATGTCATCATTTGATATTGGTAAGATTGTTTCGTCATTACTGTCGACAAAAATTAAAGAGAGAAATGATGCGTTAAACTCATTAGAAACCGTTACCCTATCCAAGTTTAGATTAAATCTGAAACAATTTCGGCTACTATCCCTGGCAGTATTGAAATTGATAGAGCACGAATCTCGAATTTATATGAACAACAAATCAACTACAGTCGATTCAAGATTAAGTCAAGCCTCATACTATTTACGATTACTTACAGAAAAATCAATTGAAGATACAAGGGTCAACCTTAAACATAAAACCTATCTTGATTTGGTGCTAGGTATAAAAGATCAATACTATATTGGAGATGACGAGATTCTACCGCCATGTTCTATAGATTTTATTAAAACTATATCATCTATACTAAATTTGGAGTATGTCAAGGAACATTTAAATACGAAAGATTGGTGTCTAATTTTCAATTTTTTGGTAAAACTAATAAATACGATATTGGATAACTCAGACGCGTCAATTACCATTAGTGGGTCAAATGAAAAGTTATTAACTGATCTGTACACTGCATTACAGAATTTATTACAATGTGAGAATAATATGTCAGTGAATTACTTGCATATGTATGACAATGATAATTATTTTAAGTTGTTGAGAATTATTGACAGAACATCTGAATTGATTAAAAAGGAAAGCGTCATAGTTATTATTGTCTTTAGAATAATCAACAAGATGATTATCACTACATGTACGGAGAACTTTAAATTTGTGAATAAGTTGATCAAGATTGGAATTAGATTGATGGTGTTGTTCTAATATACCCATTTAGACAAATTACAAGACCAGTTTCTTGTATTTATTAATCTTCAGGGGACTCATGATTTTATGAACTTGCACTTATTACCCAAATTAATCGGTGATCAAGATATTCTAGGCGATAATGACGTGATAGATGAAGACGAATCCATTAAATCACAACTCGACGAAGATCAAGACGAAGTGTTCTTATACAATATTGGGGTGCTCATTCAACACATGTTTGGTAAAGTAATGACAGGAGCATTTGAATTAAAACCAGAAGATATTGGTATTACAGCAATTGATGTCTCAGAACAACACTGGTTTAAACTAAGATCCATGTATTTGTCCACACAAAACTACAAGTCATGGCTATTAATTCTTGGAACTGTTCGTTTAATGAAATCTTATTACGATTTGAAGCAAATCACTCAGAAACAATCAAATGATCCCCAGGCAAGCTTCTTGTTATTTTCAACTGGATCATCAGGAAAGAATAAAAGACAAAAATTGGGCACTATAGCTGATTCAATAAGTAATTCCAATAGTGCCCTTGAATTTTGTAATAAATTGATACATGCAAAAGACTCCCCTGATACCCAATTACTAGGATTAAAATTGTTGATATTCTACCTCGAATTATTCTCTTCTGTGGCACCAAACAAAGAACATAAAGAGCAACCAGAGGAAGTAATAGAAGATAGTGTTGACACCACAATGGGAGATAATACCACTTTTGATTTTATGGTTGCGAGTCTGGATGATATATCATTTGATAAGAATGTTGTTCTTAAGAATATATTAGCAACGTTTGATGATAATTCAATGAACTTCTGGAGTCTTCTATCTGCAAGATCCATAATCACTGATTCCATTTCCCAGATTGGCTCATCGAGAATAAAATCCTCTCATGCTAGTCAGTTATTGAAATTGTCATTACTCCTTCTCAAAGAAAACGAAAGTTTCATCAATTGCTTGTAATGTCATCTACAAATTGGTATTTGAACGAGACGAACAACTAAGCAAATTGATTGATGATTCTGTATTAATCCAGTTGGAAACTTTAATTGATTTGTCAGAGATAAACGGTCCTTCTAAAATAGCAGAAGAAAGTTTCCAGTTTTGGTTTGCCATGCACAAATTGGCAGTAGAAGTCAATTTGTCTAAAAAAAGTTTGCTAGCAAGAAGAATTCAGGATTGGATAATGGCAAAATGGGATTCCACTTTCAGACCAGATGTTGAATTTGTACATCTTGGTTCATCTTTTGCTGAATTCATTCATTGGATTTCTGGTAATTCCATAGGTTATACTCCCTCGAGAATAGGTGACTTTCAGTGTGATACCGATCTTATTGAGCCATATTATTTTTCTAAAAATTACCAATATTTAGAATCATTTTTATGTTTGAAGGACAACCAAGAAATTCGTACAGAAGCACCTATTGAAGTCAACAGTATCATTGCTAATGAAAAGATGGACTTGATTATCAGAAAAATAAATGCAACATTTAAAGTCTTTGATAATAACCAAGTCAGCAGTGCAAGTTTACTCAAATGGGTCGTGTTATTGCTGCATTTAGTGGTACAAGTAAAACCGTTAATGTACTTTGCCCATGAAGTAAATGCATTGGAGTATCAAATTTCTGCGGGTTTGGATTCATTCAATGATTCAACTTTGGATTATGATGAAATTATTACCACTATGCAAATATGCAATCAGTTTTTACCAAACGATAAGGAGATAAGGCGTCTATTTATACGCAGATTCTCACTGGATAAGCTTATTAATACTTTGAAATTTGATTACCTGGAGACTACTACACGAAACATCGCCAAGAGACCATATGCTGAGGATGGGTTTGGAAGAGAGTTTGCTGACGTGAGAGAAAGTTCTACTCCACCAAGTGGATCCACAACTGTGGGTGTTACATACACAAAGATTCAGTACAAGCTGGCTCCTTCCGTTGATGCATTAAAATTCATCCAATTAAACAGTGAGATCCAAGGCAAAAATGCGTCAGATATGTTGACCTCTATGGTCAGTTATGTTGAACTGTTGACCCCAGAGAAATTTCTACCAGCAGTTTTATTTATCATTGAAGAAGTTCTTGTGAATCATGAGAGTATTGGGTTTGAAGATATACCACTTCTCAAGTTGTTAAGGATAATCAATGACAAGTTGTTAACTACTCAAATTTATGATAGAAATGAAATCACGTTGATTGTTGTGGCAAAATTTTTATCGGTATTAGCTCCTGTTTGGATGTATTCTTCTGATTCTTCTATGTCAACTGACTTTTATGACTTGGCAACTTGGTTGTACGAATCGGGAATTAAGGACTATATTACTAGAGAAATTCCAATTGTGGAATTTTGCAAATTTTTGATGCAATTGTTGATTCATAGAGAAGAAAGGACCTTTTCAGCAAGTGATGTTCGTGCTGAATTGTTTCGTAAATTTTCGAGATCTACAAATAGTATGAAGAATAATTTATCATCCATGTTTGTTCAACTTGCTCATTCTATGTCCACAGCAGATCAGGGACATTTATACAAGAATATTTTTGAAGGTTTTACTAGCCCAAGTCAATCTGTTGAAAAAGGTGGTACATTTGCCAAATTTTTGACAACTTTATCCGAAGGATCATCCCATATTTTAAGGTTGGCATTGTTTAACTTACTTGAATGCTCAAAGTTCCCATTTTTTATTTCCTATTTGGAAAAATGTTTGAAAGATCTTTGCAAAATTATGAATCTCCCATCTTCAAGAAATCTTTTCAAGGCATTCCAATATGAAATTATTCGTACATGGAAGAAATTTGGATCAATTGAATCGTTCCCGTATATGTTATTTTTGTACAGTGACTTGAATTCGTTCTATCGTGACAATTATCGTGCTTTGGTTGCCATTACTTTATCCACAAAGACGGATGATATCGAATCCAATCATAACTTCATAAATCAGTTAGCTGTTTTACGACGTAGTGATGTTTCAACGTTGGTTTCCGAAAGTATATCATTAATAATCCCGTTGTCTTTCACCGCAGATGGGGTGAGGAATTCCATTTTTGAGGTCCTTGGAACCTACTTAGAGGATTCAATGAAGTCAGAGATGACTGATAAATTATCTTTGATTATCCTAGAGCTTATAAAGTTTATTGATATGTCCAATGAATCCACATTGCTTGGTAATTTCAAGGACAATGAGGTAGCCATGGCTTTGATAGACACAGCTAACACAAAGAATGTGGCCCATTTCGGAAATATAGTGATATCCTTTGATTCAGCTTCACAGTTGTTAAATAGATTGGTCCAAAAATTTGCTCGAGAGAATGATTATTGGTCACCAAAGCAGATATATTTTTTGATTAGAAGAATATCTATTTCTTTGAAATCAGTAACCACGTTGGATCAAAAATTGCTTCACTTAAGAAGACTTAAGTTGGTGCTCGTTTTAGGAGGCACTAAATCAATTGATATTGAAGTAACCCAATTACTAGTCACATTGTTGTGTCCTTTAATGATGGAGGTGGAATTAGTTCCAGATATAATGTTAATTCTACTGTTGTTCAAGGATCTATATCATCATGTCTACCCTCATGAAAGATCATTGTTGTTAATTATTCATATTATTAATTCCTTACTTTCAAGTAAGCTTAGGAATAGAAATGATTGGCTACTTGATTGTCTTGATGAATTCATTAACATGTGTAATAGAGATAGAGCCATTACACAGATAGTTCAATCTGGTATTGATATACTAAAGGGGAAAAGAGTATCAATCAGTTCTTCAGTGGTTGAATTGTGCTTAGAGGATAACGTCAGTGATGATATCTTTCCAGTTTGTTTAATTTCACAGATTTTTGAACATGTTGAAACAATGGATCATTTAGGAGGTAAGTTACCGGTGATAGAGAGATTACTTTCACTCGATGAGGATCAATTGCACGAATTTTCTGAAAAATTCAAATTATGGATTGCTAACTATTTGTCTGATTTTTATGTCAAAGGTGGTACCAGAGAAGATATCAAAGCTCTTACTATAAAAGAATATAACGATATCCCGGTTGATGATTTTGAAGATGAAGTGAAGTACTTTGACTACACGCTTGGGAAAATTATCAGTTATATAAAAAGTGACAATTATGAAGCAGCAGCTTGTGCAGAGTCCATTCTTGGGGTTTTAATCAGAAAATATAATGAGAATCGTCGTGATGTTTCCAAAGTATTGAATTTTGAAACCACTTATGAATCATATTCTCATAATATTCTTCCAATAGATTTCCATGCATGTATTATTTTGAATGACAAAGCCGACATCAGTTTTCTTGGTGATCGTTTGAGTGTAATTATTGAGGATTTTGAAAACCTTTTAAGGGATGACACTGATTTGTGGTGTACCAAACTATACTTGTCCATTCTACAAGAATTAGCTACATATACCAATATAGCACCACTTTTGAGTATTTTTATAATCACTGTCCCAGAGTTTGCCAAGTTTTCATTACCAACAATGGTTTGCAATTACTTGGTGATGAAAGGTAAAACTGCAGAGAACATGATAATTACGTTGTTGGATGAGTATTTAACAATTCCCAAGAAAAGTGAATCCTCAGTCAAGATATTTTTGCAAATTGTGATCCTAATCAGAGTGGGTGCTAAATACGCAAATAAGCAGGTTTTCACAAATGTCTTTGAAAACATCAATAAGTTAGAGTTTTATAGACTCGCGAGTGATCTGAAGCTATTTAAAACTGCTATTATGTTATTTGAAGATGCGGTGTCTGATGATCACTATGAGAAGGTCTTAGAGGATCATTATAGAACACTTCAAACAGCTTACCAATCCATTGATGACGATGACTTGATTTTTGGGTTACCAGAGAAGACAACTATGGATTATGCAATTTCTATGATTAATAGAGTGGGTAATCCGACCGAAAGATTGAGGTTTAGCAGTGCTAGGCTTGATACAAGTATGATGTTGAATCTGCAGCCCTCGTATGCCGGCGTTATTGGTTCTATGACTAATGCAGGATTACTTGGGGTGTCAAGAGCATTGAGCAAAAGTGCAAATATAGATGTCAATGAAGATGAGCAATACGAATGGAGTTGGAAATTGTCTAAATGGGATTTACCAGTTGCCAAGAATGCCCAAAAGGAAAATGAAGTCATTTATAAAACTTTGAAACAGCTTCATGATTATCCTTTGAATACAGATGAAATATGCAAGACTTCTTTGTTGAATATCATTGACCAAAAGAATTCCATCAACAATTCAAGTGTCAAAGAATTCAAGCTTGAAAGATTAAGTTGGTTGAAGACTATTTCTACGGTGGTTTCGATTTCGGAGATTGCGAAACTGACAAGTCAAGAATTCCCGATGATCATCAGTCAATTTTCCAAGGACACACAATGGTTTAAAGAAGTTGAGTTTGACATGTTTGAAAACCTATTGTTAGCAAGACAGGCAACATTCCAACTATTGAGTGAAAGCTCGAAACCTGGTTTGTCTCATGAAAGTATTTGGTTAGGTGCTTTGGGAGATTTGGTTCGTTATAACAATTTAGCACGAGTAAACAATGAAGAACAAAAAATGGTAACGTCGACAATGTTAATTGAAGAGATAGGTAAGAGATTTACAGAATCTCAAGCCGCATTAATCAAGAATATTTCCAACCTTTCTTGTTTTCAAACTGCTCAAACACTTTGGACGCAAGGAAATACAAGTGTTCCTGTGTTGTTATTGAAGGACTTGTATAAATTTGGAGGAGTTAGTATTCCGGCACAGAATTTGAATGTGGACAAGTGTTTGATTCGTGCAATGATGGTCAATTGGATGTCACAATCTCGTCAAGAAATTGCTTCTAGCATTATGGAGAAGTATGTCTTACCTACCGCCGAGTTATCTCTTGAACTGTCAGATCTTCAACAACAATCAGAGACATTTGAAATCCTTGCACGATTTTGTGAAGAACAATACAAATCCAAGCCAACAATAGAACAAATTAGCAAGTTGCAGAAACGTGTGTTCCTTAGTACTAATGAGATGAAGGAAATGCAAAGACAGTATAAGGATGGTATACCTGCAGAAGACAAACAACAGGTTCGTAAATATTTCCACAAATTGAAAGCTCAGAATATTTCTGAAACAAAGGATCTTGAGTCAATGAAAAGTTCACATGAATTAATGGCAGTTAAAGCAGTTGAATTTTATTTGAAAAGTATATCCATGGGTGATTTCCATGAAGAGAATTTGGATAAATTTTTTGCCTTGTGGTTAGAACAATCAGAGAACGAATCATTGCATAGGAGCTTACAGAAAGAATTGTTGGCGCTACCAAGCTATAAACTTATTTCCTGGTGTCCACAATTGGTATCTCGATTGACTACAGAAAAGACTGAATTCCAGAATACTTTGCGAAAATTAATTTTCAACTTGTGTATAGATCATCCTCATCATTCGTTGTATCTATTGATTGCTTTAAGGTTGCAGAACTCAAGTACCGTTGAACAGACCGAATTGATCAGGTCAAAATGTTTAGCTGCCGAAACATTATGGGAGACGTTGTTAATACAGGATAAAGAATATGTACACAGGACTTTAATCCCTATCAATGACTTTGTTTCTAAAAGTATTCAACTTGCAAGTACCAAAGCCAATAGAGCAAAAACAGTTGATTTATCTAGGTTTTCATGTGGTGACTATTGGTTGAATAATTTGCCTCATATACCACCGCCTACGAAAACTATTCAGGTGGATCCAACAAAAAGATATGATCGTGTGCCAGTGTTGTTACGTGCTGAGGGCAAAATTTCCATTGCTACTTCAGGTATAAGTATGCCAAAGATTGTTACATTTATGCTTTCTAATGGTTCTGAACATAAAATTCTATTCAAACTGGGATCTGATGATTAGAGACAGGATTCAATTATGGAGCAAGTGTTCTATAAAGTGAACAATATTTTTGCCAAAGATAGAGAATGTAACAAAAGAACATTGAAAATTAGAACGTATAATGTTGTTCCATTAGGACCAAATTCAGGTATAATTGAGTTTGTGCCACACTCTAAAGCCTTGATGGATGCTGTACATCCATATCATACCAAGTTGGATTCAATGCCAATAAAAACGGCAAGAGAAATTATGAGAAATTATCAATCGTCTGATACAAAACAAAGAGCATTTGAATATGAAAAGATCGAGAAACAAATCAAGCCTGTTTTAAGACTCTTTTTCCAACGAAATTTCCTTACAGCTGACTCTTGGTTTGAGAGTAGAATGAAGTATACACATGGAACTGCAACTAACTCTATTGTTGGACATATGTTAGGGTTAGGTGATAGACATTGTAATAACATTCTATTAGATACAAGAACTGGTGAACCTATCCATATTGATTTGGGAGTAGCATTTGATCAAGGTAAAAGATTACCTGTTCCCGAGACTGTTCCATTTAGATTGTCAAGAGATGTTGTTGATGGGTTTGGAGTAACTGGTGTTGAAGGGGTGTTTAAGAAAAGTTGTGAACATACATTTAGAGTATTGAGATCAAATAAGGAACATATAATTTCCATCTTGGATGTTTTGAAATGGGATCTGTTGTTTGAATGGACATTATCTCCAGTAAAGAAAAGAAAATTACAGAACGATGAAGGTGGTGCCGTTGGTAATGGTGATACGAATAATATTGCATCAAGTGAAAGTGAAAGTGAAGCTAGTAGAGCTATACGAACAGTAGTGGAGAAATTGATTGCCAATGAGTTAAGTACTGAAGCAGCAGTAAGAGAATTAATTCAAGAAGCAACAAGTTCACTGAATTTGGCATTAATCTACCAAGGTTGGAGTCCATTCTATTAGTTATGAGGATATTTTATAGAAGTATTAGAAACAATAATAGATATTACTTTATTAGGAGCTCACATAGGTTAGCAATGTGGAATTTGGTTAGTCATTTGATGTTAGAGCTGTGACCAGATCACCTGCTTTCTACTCTTAAATCTTACAAAACTATGCATATTACTCAATTCGATCTCCTTGATAAAAAAAAAAAGAGTAAGATATTTGGAACACTGTAAAGACAGGAAATTTTTTCACCAACGCGACAAAAATTCACTTTTTGTGTGCTTTTCCTGTCTTTAAAGAGCCTGAATTGTTACACAGACACTATTGTTACATTGGGTTACAAAAGAATATATACCAATGTAGCAAAAAAAAAGAAAACGACCAGGGTGAGGATTGAACTCACGATCTTGAGATTAACAGTCCCACGCCTTAACCAGCTTGGCCACCCAGCCGTAACCACTGAGCTATTACAACTCTTTGGTTGAAAGTCGAAGGCAGATATGGAAAGCGGTTCTGTGAGAGATAGAAATTTAGTAGCATTTATGGCTCAATGAAATATAATATTGTAGTTATACTTAGTTAATTTAGAGCCTGTGATTTATATATTTATTACTTTGACAACTTTCGAAGAGGACATGTCAGTACCTGTTGCGTTTTGTTTATTGTTCTCAAGTATTCTTGATGATTAGCAACCTGGAATCGGTACACGACCGTTGCAAAAAAAAAAAAAATGAAAACTTTATTGATTGTCACGTCCATATTTGGTAATCATTCAAGAAACAAGGGTTCAATATGATCTGTAACAAATATTCTAATATCAAAGTATATATAAGTATTATCAAAAATCTTGCAGCAAGTTAGTAAATTTGAGAAATATCTACACTATTTTGTTTTTGTTGTTTTTTTCTACTCGGTAAGTAATGGCTCCATCAAATCATTCAAAATCTAAAACCAAACCTCGTGAAAAGGATCACGAAATTGAGTACTATTTTTGTAAATGTGATTCATGTGAATATTGGAGAACGATTTCTGATAGCCAAAATAGAGATTTGTTTTTGGGAATTATTATTCCATTAATTTGGTTCAATAACTTTAGTAAAATAATCAAAGCTTTATTTTTCTTAAATGATAAACCAAAAGGAGAAACTAAATATCTTGACATTCGTGTTAGGAAATTTAAACCTGTTGTTGATGAATATAACAAGAAGCATTCTTATTTAGAGCATCATAGGAGTGATAGAAATTACATGTGGGAATGCTTAGGTCATATTTTACTTGCTATTGTTATCTATGATTTATTTTTATTTGGTTTTATTATGGCATTCAATAAGTCAAGCGCTATCATGATTCCAACCGATCAAGGGTTCATCTTATAGCGCTCCTATAGGGAAGATTGTATAGATGCAAATAAATTATTCTTGCAAGTCAAGAAGTCAGAATTAACAATTTTTTTTTTCGCTTTTTCTTCCTCATGTGACTCGTCTAATCTCGTACACCAAAGAAGTCAGAATCTAAATTTGAGCCTTTCACCCACATTTTCATGAAAAAACTATTAACTATTGTCCCATCGATTTTTCCACCATAATTTAAATACATAAGAATTCCCAATCCTTAATTCGTTTTCTTTTCCTTTTTCTTTTTTTTTTTTCTTCTTATTTTTATTTTTCAATATATCCAATTAACCAATCACAATCAATATGTTGAGACTTTCATCCAAGAGATTATATTCTACTGCTTCGAACTTAATCAAGACTCCATTATACGAAGCACACATCGAACTCGGTGGTAAGATGGTGCCGTACGCTGGGTTTGAAATGCCAGTTTTATATAAATCCCAATCTCACATTGATTCACATAATTGGGTCAGATCCAAAGTAGGTTTATTTGATGTTTCTCATATGTTGCAACACAAGATTACGGGTAAGAATGCTAGAAAATTGTTACAAAAGATCACTCCAATTGATTTGGACACTTTACCAGTCAACACTTTCAGTTTGTCTGTATTGTTAAATAACGAAGGTGGTGTAATTGATGATTGTATAATCACCAAACATGGAGAAGATGACTTCTACATGGTTACAAATGCAGGATGTCGTGACAAAGATATTAAGTTTATCAAATCTGAACTTGCAAACTTTGACGATGTTAACCATGATACTTTTGAAAGTACATTATTGGCTATTCAAGGTCCAAAATCACAAGAAATTTTACAAAAATTTACCAATGAAGATTTAAGCAAGATTTATTTTGGTCAAACTAAATACTTGAATCTTTCCCCAATTAGCGAATCAGTTCATTTAGCTAGATCTGGATATACTGGTGAAGATGGTTTTGAATTATCTATTCCATCCTCCAATCCACAAGAATCTAAGCAATCATTGGAATTTTTCAAATCTTTAATTAATGATTACCCTGATACTGTCAAAGCTATTGGATTAGCTGCTAGAGATTCATTGAGATTGGAAGCTGGTATGTGTTTATATGGTCACGAATTAACTGAAGAAATAACTCCAGTTGAAGCATCTTTGAGTTGGTTAATTCCAAAAACTCGTCGTGAATCAAATAATGAATTCAATGGTGCTAGTAAGATTTTGAGTCAATTGAAAGATAAATCTTCATTTACCCATAGAAGAATTGGTTTGACTTCAAAAGGTCCAGCTCCAAGAGAAGAGAGTAAAATATTCAATGAAGATGGAACCATTGAAATTGGTTACGTTACTTCCGGTTCTGCTAGTCCTACATTGGGTGGAAATGTTGCTCAAGCTTACATTGATAAGAAATACAAGATTGGTTCTAATATTAAGATTGAAATCAGAGGCAAATTAAGAGATGGTAAGATTGCAAAATTACCATTTGTTCCAAGTAACTTATATAAGCCATAGGAATAGGCACCAAACAAATAAAAATTTAGTTAACGTGAACTGAGATGTAATACATAAATAGTACCGCATAATTCATTAATGATTTCTAAACTTTGATAAGCTTAAAGATTTGTGATAGTAGTTTATTGGTAGCTTAGAAACAGTGAAACAAATATCAGTAATCGATATATTAATTTACAACAAGCAACAGGTCCTATAGTATAGTTGGTTAGTACACAAGGTTTTGATCCTTGCAACTTCGGTTCGAATCCGGATAGGACCTCTTCTTTTTATTTTTTTGATTTTTGCGATAACTCAAAATTTCCATAAAAAGAAAAACCTAAAATAGAACAGACAATGATTAGAGTTTAACAATCATCTGTAAACAAGTTCTTCTTATTATTTTATTTTTTTTTTTTCAATATTGATCACTACAGCATTATAGTAATATATCATGGCTAGATCCAACATGAAGACATTCTCTAATGAAACAACCATCAAGGGGTCATGTACTACTAATAAAATACAATGTGTTAATGACGTAACCAATGGATGAACCTTCCCTTCTGATGCCATCTCTCCCCTCCCCCCCTTTTAAAAAAAAATCACCTATGGGAGTTAATTGTGTTCAATTGAAAAGAAAAACTTTTTGGGTCAAAAGTGAAAAATTAATTGAGACAAATTTCGCCTGATTTGGATTATTTTGAACCGTGTCAGTGCATGAAAAGAAAGGGGAGAATGAATGATCGACGTAATAATTTAGACTGACAAAAAAAGAAAAGGAATGAAAGCCCTGTACCGTACTTTGAGATAACATAGAAAAGCATAATTAGAGAATGTTGTACCTTACAACCAATAGATTTTGTTGTACCTGGTGGAAGATGGGTTGGTCATAATCCTTGCTATGTATATTTCAAATTCCATTATTCCAATATTCATTCCAAGTTAACTGGTTTACGCGTATACATAGATTGTAGTTAATAATTTAAATAAAATTTAATCGCGTCAGATGGTACGCGCGCGCGCGAGGGGCGACGAGGAGGAGAGGAAGAGGGAAGGAGGGACGCGCTTGATGTTGTAGAATCTTTTGTTTGTCCATTTTTGTTTGTGCGATTTTCATTGTTTTTCTTGTCGACCTAGGAGATGGTGCAAAGGACGCAACACACGGCGAGAGAAGGTCATTTGCGGGCGGAAAATGATGACCCACAAAATCTAAAAATCATCAACGAGAACAAAAACAAAAACAAAAACAAAAAGTGAATGAAAGCAAATATGAAAATAAAAAATAACTCAAGCACATAAAGCATCGTTTTATTGTTTAGTTTTGCATATTTCATTAATTTATTCAAAGAAACGCCAATTTTTTTTAATTTATTTCACATTTACATTTTAGTTACAATATTTATTATTATACATTGACGGTTAAAACCTTACTAAATTTATTGGTATTACGTGAATTTTTTTTTTAAAAGGATCATTTGTAAGGCTTGGAGTGGAATTTCAGATAACATTCATATATAAACCTTTGATTTTCTTTCCTGGCTGTGCTAGACTTTTTGTTTTGTCTTTTGAATTACTTATCTGGTTTTCATTGAGGTCTTTCACTTTTGTCTATCCATTCGTTTATCTTATATTCCAATTCATAATGTCTTCCACTCATTCTTCTCCAACTAAAAGATCCATCTTATCTCCAAAACCTTCCAACATTTCAAATTCCTCACCTTTTGGCAAAAGATACACAAGGTTAACCCCTTCTCCTACTAAACATTCATATAAATCAACTACACCTTCTCCAAAGAAATCTACTTTAGGCTTTACTATTTGGGAAGACAAGGTTGATAAATCCAACTCAACTACTTCTGTTGTTGGTCAAACCACATCCAACAAATTAAACCACAATGACCAAGAAAATATCTTACAACCAAAGAAAGAAGAAATTGTTAGACACAATGGACGTAAGGTGTTGGGTAATTTAAGTATAAATGAATACAAAGGTTACATAACAGTTGCTGGCACCAGATCACAATTGACTGAATTATACCAGCCAATAAATTTTGACAACGAGTTCAAATCATTGCACAAACAACTGAATCTTCCAAGTTACTTAACACCAAGCAGAAGAAACAGAGATGAATATTTAGTAAAATCTGGAATTGACGAAATTGAAGAAGAATGTGTTTCTGAAGACGAAGAAGACGCCAATGATGACGACGAAGTCGAAGTATTGTTGATGAAAAAGAAACAACAGCGTCTGTCAACAAATCAAACACACATGATTAGAAAACACACCAGATCCATGTCACTTGGCAAGAATGAAGCCAAATTAAATTTAATTAGAAAGAATAAATTTTCCATCTTGTCTAATTAAAAAAAAATTCATTTATTCGTTCGTTTATAAAAGTGTATACCCCCCTCTTTTTTTTCATAGTTCAGTTCTTCATAGCATTTATTTAATAATACCCTTAGATTTTATATCAACTTTTTCTTTAAACGTCTTGAATCGAATACATAAATAGATAGAATAGTTATTAATGTTTTTTTTTCTGTATCAATTTCTATAAATTTGTAACTCTAATTTCTATAAATTTAGTTCTTGAAAGCTTTGTCCAATTCAGTGAAGACAAATCTGTATCTGACATCCCCTTCAAAACATCTCTTCAAAGATTTGGCAACATTTTCTTCACTGATTGGAACTTCTTCAATCCATGGTTTAATGTTGTGTTTAGCAGCCAAGTCCAACATTCTGATCATATCAGCTTTGGAACCTAATAAGGAACTACCGAAACTGGCACCATCTTTCAAGAAAGTGAACGGACTGACCAGGAATTCATCATTGATATTTGGCAAACCAACAGAAATGAATTTCTTGTTAACCTTCAAAACACTCAAATAATCAGACAAGTTAAATCCATCAACACCACTGGCACAGTTCAATATAAGATCGAATTTGTCTTCGTATCTACTGGTCCAGTCATTGTCTTCAGTAGTAGCAACAAATTCATGGGCACCAAGTTTAAAAGCTTCTTCCTTCTTGGCAGAAGTTCTTGAAAATGCAACAACCTTAGCATTTAAAGCATTGGCAATTTGAATAGCAATATGAGAAAGACCACCAATTGAGATGATACCAACAGTTTTACCAGTAGCATCTTCATTGTGTTCAACCAAGTGAGTGAATAATGGAGATGCAACAGTCAAACCGGCACACATAAGTGGACTGGCATATTCAAAAGGTAAATCATCTGGGATTTTAAAGACAAACATTTCATCAGCAATGGAATGAGAGGAGTAACCACCTTTGGTGACGTATCCATCAGCTTTAGGATCAACATCATTGTAAGTGGAGACTTGTTTTTTACAATATTGTTCAGTGTCATTGTGACATCTTGAACATTCACGACATGAGGATGAAGCAGCACCAATACCTGCTCTGTCACCAACTTTGAATTCAGTAACTTTGCTACCAACAGCAATAACAATACCACAAATTTCATGACCAACAACCAATTCATTAGTCTTGTAGTCAGTCCAATTACCTTGTAAAGTATGGATATCAGAATAACATAAACCACAGGTTTTGTTTTCTAAGACAACATCATAGTCATTGATCTTCTTTCTATCGAAAGAGATTAATTTTGGATTAGCCCAGTTTTCTTTTTTGTCAGAAGCAAAACCTTGGAATTTATCTGGAACAGTAGAATCAGCAACAGTCATTGTATAGTGTCAATTGAAATTAGATTAGTAATCAATTATGTTATAGTAACAAAAGAGAAAAAGACAATTGAAAAGGTAATCTTTTTTTCTTCTTTGAAATATGGAAGATCATCTTGCCTATTTATATAAACAGTTGAAATTGAATCGCAAAAAGATGCCAAAACATCAAAACCGAAAAAAAAAAAAAAAAAAATTTGCATTCAAAATATGCAGGAATTTATGTTTCCTATTGTTCGCACGATGACGTTTTTCTTTTACGCAACGGCAAATGAAGGCTGACAAAAAAAAAGAAAATAGAACAACCGTTTCTGCTCTTGGTACACGAACACTCCCTCCATCCCTCCCATGTGCTTGATTGCTCGTGACCGAAACATCAGTCATTGAAGGGTTAGTAGAGATGGGTGTATATCATCTTTTTTTCTTTCTTATTGGTTGTGCAAATAGACTTTATGATCAGTGATACTAATGGTATTACAAAGTGGTCTTCTAACCGTGATATTTTTCCTAATGCGGAAGTCAGGTCCGCTGGGTTATCTGCCATTATTATGAACACTTATCTTGCAAACACACTGTCAACCGTGGCTGTCGGCCCGGAGCAACTGTAAATGTGCTTGAACCGGGAAGATTGCTAAATGAAACAAGGCCCTAGAACAGTGGCGATGGGAGATTGTTTTACCGAAGTGATAAGAATGTTGTATAAAATTGGCCAGGATGATCACCATGAGAATTTGACGTGTAATCGTACCAGGCCAATTGGTGTTCTTGTATTGCTAATCGGAACTACTAATATAATGGTGGAATCAAGTTTACCAGATGTATAGTAGACGCGTCTGCTTGCAATGAATCGACATTTATTGACACTAGTCAATGTACCACTGTGTACCATCGCAGTAATACACAAGTACTGTTATCTTCAATTCCTTTAGACAATAATAAATCTACACACCTAATGGCCAAATCGTTATTGTATTTGTATTTGGGTAATCCATAGCTCATGGCTGTAAATTTTTGTGTGTGAACCAATCCCTCAGATCGCGTAGTAAGAACAAATAAAAAAAAGAAATGTAAAAAAAAAATTTCAAAGTATTCAAATATGTAAACAAATAACTAATGAGCAACGACAAGGTCAAAAAGGCTCAACTTACTGTTGATAGTTTCTTCAAGAATTCCAAATTCAATAGATTGAAAGATCAAGGAAGAGTTATACCTGCTCCGAAACCTTCAAAGTCAATTTTATCAAGTTCAAATGATGATGGTTTTGATGAACCAGAAGAGACATCATTTGACACGAGTACAGAAGTTATCAATTTAAGATCTTCTTTCTTAACCTCACAGACAACTACAACCACATCTACAAATACAAACTCAACACAATCGAAGCGAAAAGTTGAAGATATTTTAGACTTCCAACCTAAACGTTTAAAGAAACAATCTCCACCCCCACAAGTAGAAACCGATGAAAAAGTTGAGTTATCTCCAGAACAAGAAAAAGTCATTGATCTAGTGATTAACAAGAAGAAGAATGTATTTTTCACAGGTAGTGCTGGTACAGGTAAGTCTGTTTTATTGAAAGAATTGGCAAAGAAGTTAAAAGAAATCTACGGAGAAGCGTTTGGACTTACTGCTTCGACCGGGTTAGCTGCATGTAATATCGGAGGGATGACATTACATGGGTATTTATCAATTGGAATAGGAAATCAATCAGTTGAGGCTATGGCCAAAAAGATAATTAAAAACACGAGATCTGATTATAAATGGAATACTATGAAAGTATTGATTATTGATGAAGTCTCAATGATCGATGGCCTGTTACTAGACAAGATTAACATAATTGCAAGGATGGTAAGAAAAAACAACAAACCTTTTGGTGGAATTCAAGTTGTCTTTTGTGGGGATTTTTATCAATTACCACCTGTTGCAAAAGATGGAAAATATATGTTTGCATTTGAATCTAAAGCATGGAAGGAGTTGTCATTGTGCAACGTTGTCTTACTGCAAGTCTTCCGTCAAAAAGGAGATTCTCTATTAATCAAGATGTTGAATGAAATGAGATTGGGTAATGTGTCTGATGAGTGCTATGAATTGTTTAAAAGTTTACAGAGACCGTTAAAGTTACCCGAAGGAATTGCTGCTACAGAATTATTTGCTACTAGAAATGAAGTTGATGCTGCAAACAAAAGGAAACTTCAATCATTAGATGGTGAAACACGTACATTTGAAGCGGTGGATACTTACTCGATACCATCGTATGTCGCTGAACAATTATCCAACGGATTTATGGCTCCACAGAAGTTGGAATTGAAAATCGGAGCAAATGTGATGTGTATCAAAAATATGGAAACAGATATAGTCAATGGATCTATTGGGAAAGTGATTGATTTCATGAGTAAAGGAGATTACTTGACGCAATTAGCTGAAACAGACTTACCAATAAATACAAATACGAAAAAGTACCCATTGGTACAATTTATGGTTGAAGGTAGTACACCGAAACAAATCTTGGTCCAAGAGGAAGAATGGCTGATTGAAGATGGGAAGGGAAATCCATTGATAACAAGAGTGCAATTACCATTAATGGTACTGTATGCATTGACTATTCATAAATCACAAGGTCAGTCTATACCATATGTTGTTGTTGATTTTAGGAGGATTTTTGAATCTGGACATGCTTATGTTGCATTGTCAAGAGCTATTAATAGAGACGGACTTCAAATTGTTAGTTTCAATCCAAGAAAGATCATAGCGAATCCAAGAGTTTTAAAATTTTATAAGTCAATAGGAAACTAGCATAGTAAAATGGGTATTGTATGCATGAGGTATAGTAAAATACACAAAATTAACCTCCACAAGTAGATTAGATGACCATCATCAATAGAGTAGAATTTCGACAATTAACTTTTTCAAGAATCATAACGAATATTTATTAATTTTTTTTTTTTTTCATTTCATTTCTTTTCCTAGACAAGATAGGTACTATTCTTCACAGTGAAGCTTTCTTTAAACAACCCATCGTAATAATCAATTATACTCTTTGATGCTCCCGTGTACTTCAAATTAGTGAGTCTTCTTGTATGGAAACAACCATTATATGGAGGTACATCATCAAATCGTTTTTGTAACCAAGTCCAAGCGGCTGCAGCACCAGTAAAAGTTTCCAATATATGTCCAGTAGTTAAAGATTCTGCAAATTCAAACGATTCAATTCCCTCATCACACCATTTATCGAAAATTTTATGAGCATAGGAAATCGGAACAACTCCATCTTTTGTTCCATGATATACAAATATTGGAATTTTTGGAATTGCGTTATAAGAAATCAAATTATTTTTATCAAGAATTTCAAAAAAATCAGGATTATCAAGTAAATGCCATCCATTAGGAAACATTGCTTTCTTTTCATTATTTCTACCAAGAATAGTTCTTCCTCTAAAATAAGCTATAGCAGGAAGAAAACATTTTTGAACTCCACGATGAAAACTTGCATTTTTTTTAGGACTTATTTCTTGATTAAGCAATTGTCTAACCAATGGATATTCATTGGCTAATCCATTAAGTGCTACTGGAACAAGACCAGAAAGTGGAGTTCTATCAGAATATTCAGCAACAGCAGTTATATTAGTAACAAATCCTCCCAAGGCAGCACCTATTAAATTATTTGATAATTCAGGTGCATATTCAGGTTGCATTACAGCTGCCCAACTTGATGCTAAGGATCCTCCAGAATAACCCCACATTGCAACTTTAGCATCTGGATCAATAGAAGTTATAGACCCAGAATTCAATACAGCACGAATAGAATCCAATACTGCATGTGCTGCTTGTGCACCAACAGTAAATGCACCTCTTGGTCCTTCATAATCAGGACTAATTACAAAATATCCTTTATTTAAAGCAGGAATTATAAATTTCATTTCAAATTGGGTAGCAACATTTCCAAATGGTGGAATACCAACTTGATAATTATAACTGGTAGCGCATTTTAATGAAGTTGAATCTTCAAAAGTTTGATAAGATAAAATTTTTGAAGGATTTGAATTCATAGGTTCAAGAATTGTAGTAACTATAGCATTAGGTTCACCAAAAGAATCTTGAGATCTAACCAACAATTGCCAAGAGTTTTTTAAAGGAACATGAAAGAATAATAAATTACGAACAGCACGAGGAGTTGGACGGATTTTTAAAATAGTTCCTGGAGTAGCGTATTCAAAACCTGGAGATGGAGTATAAAACTCATCTCTACTTGGATCAGCAAGTGGTGCAGGAATATGAGCAGTTGATACAGTTTTCAACCATGTAATAATTGTAATGAATACAAGAAATCTCATTGTTTGTTTGTTTGTTTAATATGAGAAAATCTAGAAACCTTTTTCAAATCAAGACGATATACCGATCTCTATTTATTCCTTGTTCCAGGGATAAACAGCTTGAAATAATCTTGGCAACAATAGTACTTTCATTCGATCTGAACCATTCATTACTAGGAAGATATTGCAAATGAAATGCAACACATAGTGCATGGAATTGCATATTCACATGTTTGGTTTCGATTTCTGGGCAAGAGGTATGAAATAGAGAAACATTACCAGTACATTATCGAGGAACAATCTACATTTGAACTTCCTTAAGTGCAAACAAACAACAGGAAAAAAAAAAACATTATGTCATATTCATTAACAATTAGACTAGCTACTACATTACTTCTTTCCTTTCTTCTTCTTCTTTTTATTATTTGACAGGGATGAACTATGTGTACTGGTTTCAGTAAAGCCTTGTTGTCCTCCACTTGACTTTTTCTTATCCTTCTTAGTTGGCTTATAATAGGATCTTAATTTCATAGGCAACCATCTTTCTTCATCCAAAGTTAATTCTTTTTCATCCTTCAACACCTTGTTAGGACCAAATTTAGGATTCTTCTTTTTCTTGGTGATTTTGTTTTGTTTTTTAACAATTGCTTTGATTGGTTTGCTCTTTCTGGTTGGAATTAAAGTATCAATATCAACACCCACAATTTCATCAATGGATTTTTTACTTGTCAATTCATTCAAAGGTAATAAATCTCTGTTTGAATGAGTCAAGATTGAATTAATCAAGTGATCATTTGCATTCACTTCAAACAAGTATTCAAACAATTGTTTTGCATTTTCGTCACGACCTTGGTTTAATGCTTTGAATGCAACAACTTTGGCAAAGTTGTAGTAGTTTATATTTTTGAACAAATCTTGTGGAGTGTATAACAATTTCTCCAAGACTTTCACCAACAAGTCGGTTAATTTCTTACTAGAGTGAGTTTTTTCGTAAACACCAATTAAAGTACCAACCAAACCAGGGGAAACAACTGGTTGAGCCAATGATTCTTCTGTTAATTTTTCTAATATTGGCAAACTTTGATCAAATGAACCAGATTTAGAATTAACAAATGTTAATAATACAGTAGCCACAACTTTCAATTGTTCATCTGATGAAGTAGAAATGAATTTGACCAATTTTCTTCCCACAACGGTTAATTTTGAACTATCTTGCAAATCTTTGTAGTCAATATCAAGTTTGAGCATAAGTTTATAACTCAAAGGCAAGACGTCACCACAGAACTTTTTATTGAATTCATTGATAAGTTGATTGTTCAATTGTGATTGACTTAATGTACCAGTCAAAAACTTCAACATCATGCTGTTCTTCAAAATAGTTTCATATTGTAAAACAGTCAACTTTTGACTCAATTTATGTAAGCTTTGTTGGTAATTCAAGTCTCTTTCAATGGCATTGGCATTGTTCAAATCTTTATAGGAATACAAATTGTTTTTAACAATCAATTTTATCATAAGATCATTAATCTTTTCAACATCAACATTTTCCAAAATATCTAAACTTTTACTTTGATCATTAGTAAGCTGGTAAACATATGCAATAGTCAATTTGATTGGCAATAATTCCGACTCCAAATCAGAACCAGATAATTCTTGTTGACACAAGTTTGCAGCTTTTTCCAACAAATCCAATGCCTTGAATGTATTTTGTTTGGATAATTCAATCAATGCTTCATTGAATAATAAATCATAACTGTTTTCTTCAACCTTTTTAGAGAAATTCACTTTGCCTCCAGTTTGAAAATTTAATTGTGAAATAATTGCTCTCTCGTTGATCATTAAATCCAATTCATCATCATACTTGTTATTACTGATTAATTGCTGATGCAATTCCAAAGCTTTTTCATAGTCTCCTATCTTATAATATGATTGAGCCAAAACATGCTTCAATCCAATGGAAGCACCTTCTTGTAAATCTTCATTTGATTCATATAATTTGATCAATTCATCAATCTTGCCAATTTTGTAGTAAATATATGAAATTTCAAGAATCAAAGGACCAACTAACAGTTTGTTAAGTTTTTTAATAATTTGATCAGCCTTATGGTATTTATCCAAATTAATCAAGGCAACTAGACAGTTTTTAGCTGCTTTCAAATCGTTGAACTTCTTGACCTTGGATAAATATTCATAGGAAACGTTGAATATTTTGTCATGTTCAGATTGACTTAAATCAACAGATACGTTCAATTTCTTAAACGCATCAGCTATGGAATTACTCATGATAAGGAAATATTGTCTATGGTAAAGTTCCGTACTGTTTTAATGACTTGTGGCTAACCCTGACAATCAAAATTTTTCTTTTTTTTTTTTTTTTTTCTTTCACTGTTGTTGAAAGCGAGAACGAAAAAAACAAGTCGTGCACCGATGCTCAATCCGAGAGTCAGAATTTGGCTAAGATTTTGAAAATTTTTGGTAACCATCAATTTCAAGAGCCAATAACAAAGTACGAATAAGTAATATATAACCAACCAAAGACAATGTTGAGAGCTACTACAAGATCCACACATTTACCCATAAGACTTCTTACGACTTCTAATAGAGTGACTTTTCAACAAAAGAACTCCATATTGGATAAATACAAAGCTGATCAAGAAACCATTGAAGCACCATCAAAATTAGCTGCAGAATCACATTTACCTTTTATAAAACAAAACTTATACAAAAAGGAACCCCGTCAGCCGAAATCCAAAGCTCCATTCTTATCAGAATATGAAGACAAGAATGCTCAGTTATCTGGTTGGAAAGAAAAAGTTGGTCAATTTGTTATTTCTACCTTTGGTGTTGATATGGACAAATCAAGAAGTGGGCCAGTTGCTGGTGGTTTGTATTTTGCTGAATGTAAAAAACAAGCTTTAGTTTATCCTAATGAACAATTAAGTGATACTGCTAAATTTTATTATGAAACTTTAAACTTACCAAGATCATTCTCACAACAAGTACAAATTATCATTTTACATTATTGGATCTTGTCAGTTAGAATGAGAGCTATGCCTTTCAAATATGGTAGAGAATATCAAAAGAAATTGGTTGATCGTATTTTTAATGATTTAGAAACCAGAATGGCTACTGAATTGGGTATTAAATCAAACAGAACCATTGAAAACTATTTAAAGGATTATCATTCTCAAATGTTAGGAGGTGTTTTGAGTTATGATGAAGGTTTAATGACCGATGATATCACTTTGGCATCTGCTTTATGGAGAAATGTTTTCAATGCCAATGAAAATGTTGATATTAGACATGTCGAAGCCTTATTGGTTTATGTTAGATCTCAATTATATGTTTTAAACAAAATGACTGATAGAGCATTTGGATTTGGTAAATTCAAATTTGTTCCTCCTGATCAAGTTGTTCAACCAATATCAAAAGAACAAGAAGAGTTGATTAAACAAAAAACTAAAGAAGAATTTGCTGGTATGACATTACCTTCCCAACAAAGTGTTTTGTCAATGGATGAATAGGATCCTAATCTAGTTGGTTTTTTTTTTTTTAAAAAAAAAAGTTTCTTCTTTTTATTATATTTTTATTTTTCATGTACATATACTATAAATATAAGATATTTATCGATTGGCTATAAATTTACAATTTTGATGCTAAAGTGTTTTCATCCTGTGTCCAGTCATGTCCATGTGAACCTCTAATCATAACATGCATTATGGCATAATCTTGTCCTTCAACAGCACCATCAAATTTCAGACCCAAGATTATATCTTCAACAACATGGAAACCAAATCTGTTGTAAATTGGAATATTCACAGGTGAGCTACTTTCCAAGTAAGCAATATTATCTTCCTCTTTATCAATATAATTTTTAAACATATAATCAAATAATTTTCTTACATTACCTTTTCCTTGAGCTTTTTTATTACTTCCAACATAAACCAAGGTGTATATATTTTTATTTTTAAATCTTGAATCGTTATTAATTATCCTTTCACACAGATCATGTAATAATGGTAACATTCCATAAAATACCTTTTTCCTACCTTCTTCTCCATATAAATTCCATACTTTTCCATAACCTGCTTCCATAAGATTATTATATGAATCCAATCCATCCTGTTCTGATTGAGGATGTGACCAGATTGAAACAGTTTCAAATCCAGATTCAGTTTCACCTTGTCCAATTACAATTCCTTTAGCAATATGTTGTCTAAGATATGCTTCATAAAGGGTTAATTCACAAATTTTACGTTCTTTAGGATCTTTAATATGACATACAAGCATTTTAGCTAAGGAATCTTCAGCAAATGCTTCTAATAAAGTATAAGCTGCTTTCTTAACATCTTTATTTGTTAAATGACGTAATGTAGATAAATAAGGTGATGTCTTGGCCTCGGATTTTAATTTAAGAGACGAAGTATGTGTAGTAGTAGTAGCCATCTTATAACTATATCAAAATTGGAAATGAAGGATTGATTCAGACGATTGACGTTTCAACTTTCTGTTTGGCTTTTATTTTGGAGAGGAGAAATGGGAGAATTTATATATGCATAAATAAATGATGCTTGTGTTTCATGATCGCTATCAGTCCATATCCCAAAAAGAAACAGATTGCGAAAGTGGAATGAAAAGAAAAGCGCATCATTAAAATTGCCATAACCAGAGTTTCCGAATTGCGCATTCAAATTTCCCAAGTATCCCGATTCATCAATTGCCCTTTCTCCACTTCAGGATGTTAGAGTTAAAAAAGTCAAAAGATGATGATATAGTCTGTTAAAAGTACAAGCATTTATTACCATTTGGAAAGTATTGTATTCTCTTTTCAGGAATCCACGACTCATAAAGTGGGATTCTATTCCGCCAAGGGGCGCACCTTTCTCACCAATAAAAACCCTCTTACAGGTATACGACAGCGGATTGTAATGCTTCAGCGCATATCATGACTACTCGATTTGTCATTCCTGAAATTCGTTCTAATATTGTTGATCTTTAAATAAACAAAAACAATAACATTATGAACAAACATGTCACGTGATATAGCCATGGTACACGACTTCTGAAGTTTATCATACAATACAACCAAAGAAAAAAATTAAAGAATTATCAAATTCATCTCATAGAGGGAATGAGAACTACCACACATATAACTCTACAATAAACCATGTTTAGTACATTATTATCACGTCCGAAGAATTCAGAATACGATCCATCATATCATTTTATACTATCACGAAATATTCAATTCAATGTACGATCGACTTCTGATGCTTCAGTTTCCAAATATGATAAAACCATACCATTAAAGAAACGATATCCTGATTTGGTACATAATTTCCCAAAACCTGAACCTAATGAAGAACTAATAAATGAAACCAAGGAAATATTTGATAAATTATTGAATTCAACAGATGAACAAACCATGGAATCAGATACGAATTATATTAATTATTCTAATGAAGAAGGTGAAAAAATCATTCAAGTAAAGACATTTCAAGTTGATCCAATGTTACCTCCATCACATAAACTTCGTAAGAATCGACATGAAAGAATAGTTGATAAAGATTTAACTATTGTTAAAGATACAAATAATACTAGAATAACTAAAGAAGATAGACAATATTGGAATATACCTGCAGCTGTATCAAATTGGAAGAATTCTCAAGGTTTCACAATTGGTTTAGATAAAAGAATGATTGGAAGGGAGAAAATTGATGCTGATATGAATATTGAAAAATTTGGTGAATTATCAGAAGCTCTTAATGTTGCTGATAAACAAGCTAGAGAAGATATTAAACAAAGAAATGAATTACGTCAACAAGAACAATTAAATGAAAAGAGATTAAGAGATGAAAAAATTAAACTGTTTGCTAATCGTAATAATAATAAGCGAAGAAAATATTAAATAATACAATTAAAAAAAAAAAAATTATACAAATTGTTTTACTTATTTATTACTTAATCTATTGTCTATTTCTTTTTACCTTTATGTGATTTCAGTTTTGGTTTATCACCACCATCGTATAATGATTTGTCAAATAATTCTCTTGCACGCAGATTAACCCATTCACCAAGTCTAGTGACTTCACGTTCATCTTTCTTTTCAACCAAATCTTCTTCTAATTCTTCGATTATTCTTTGTAAATCGTCTTCTTCTCCATATTCTAATGCTTCTTCAACAGTAGTGACCTTTTGACGCTTTCTATTACCTGTTGAACGCTTAGGTCTCTTCCTTGAACCAGAAAGAATAACATCTTCATCTTCAGCAGCTTCCTTTTCTTGTTGTTCTGGTTCTGGATTTTTAAGCTTTTGAAGTTTTTCATTCAACTTGTTTATCTTTTCTTCAATTTCTAGTTCGGCTGGTGGAGTCAGGTTAATCCATAATGCTTTTCTACGAGCTTCCATACTTGAAACAATAGCTTCCTTGGCATTAGACAACTCTTTACGTAAAATGCTTTCTCTTTTACCCCATGGGTTTAACCACGAGATCAATTTAGTTATATCATCTGGATTGTCATAATATCTCCATGATGAGCCATTCATTATTGGATCAGGGAACTCTTCAATGGCTTTACGTTGTGAATTTGTAATCTTATCAACTGGTACCATCAACGATCCTTCATTATCTATAATTTTTTCATCATCTTTGTCAACAATCTCATTATCTTTAACTTTAAGAGAGAACTTTTCTTCCACCGCTGATTTGAGTTCTTTTGGAATCTTGGAGAAATTCATATTCTTGACTTTATTATTATTACTGCTTTCATCACTCAAGTTTTCACGATCAAATAGTTCTTCTTCGTTATTGAGACGAATTGTATCAACAACATCCATAAATGTATTGGCTTCTTCTAAATCAGACTTGAAATGAACAAAGACATCGTTATTTGTTGGTCCTTGTACCCATAACCTACCCATTAAGTAAGTTTCTCCAAGAACTTCATCTTCATCGTCTTCTTCATCTTCGTCATTGTCTCCCATTTCATCATCTTTCTTCTTTTCGTTTTCTTCATCATCATCTTCATCATCATCATTTGAACGGGAATGCAAGTTGGGTAAACCATTGTTTTCAAACCACCAATATCTATTATATAATCTATCTTTACCCAATAATTTCACACGTTGACAATCTAATTCAGACAACTTTTGTTCAATTTCACGTTTTACTTCCTTTAATTCAACCATTTTGCCCACGGCTTCTTTCTTGGCTTGCCATTGATTCAAAAATTCTGGGTCCGCATCAGCTATTGCCTTTATTGGTTCTGACATTTCAATAATATCCAAGTTCAATCCCTTTTTATTACCATGGGGTTGTGATTGAGGTTGTGGCTGTGGCTGTGGTTGATCTTGAGACTCTTCTTTTTGAGACTCTTGTTTTAGTTGTGAATCTTCTGAAGTAGTAGCAGTTTCACCACTAGCGGCCGCAGCCGCAGCATCAGCCGCAGCTTGTTTTTGTTGTTCCAATACTTCTGGGTGTAATGACAACACTGAATTTATATATAAATTAGCTTTGGTAATGGTTTCCGCAAGACCTTTTAATTCTTTCAAGTTATCTAATCTGTTTCTTCTTAATACAGTCAGACTCTCAAGGCATTCATCAATATTGTTTCTCACTATATTACTTGATGAAATTAAATTAATCAATATACTTAAAGCTTGAAATTTTAAGTCGATATCCAAATCTTCATAAAATTGGTTTCTAACAGAAATGGCGGTGCAAGGTTTATCCTTTGGAGCTAATTTATGATATATTTTCTCAATTATTGGTTTATAACTTGGAACATGTTCAACCAAGGACAAAATACCTAATAAGATACATTGCCAATTACCATCCTTAAAATTACGTTTACGTAATCTTTCATCCCATGAAGTTCCTCTGTGATTCATTACTTCATATGCATTATGAGTGACTTCAGGTTCATCTTTTTCTTCTTCTTCTTCGTCCTCTTCTTCATCATCATCTTTTTCCTCATTGTCATTATCATCATTGTCGTCTTCTTTCTTCTCTATATTTTTATCACTCTTCGACTCCTTTTTATCTTCTTCACTTTGCTCATCTTCCTTCTTGAGTTCTTTCTTACCATTTTCCTCTGATTCACTTTGTATTTCATCAATATCAAGTGGTTTCGCTTCGGATTCACTTTCTGATCCACGATTATCTTCGTCTTTCATTTGCTCATCTTCTTCTTCTTCCTCCTCCTCCTCCTCATCATCATCATCCTCGTCATCTTCCTCATCAGATTTAGGTTCTTCTGGAATATCAACATTAAGTCCATCAATATCATACTCATTTTTGGTATTTTTAGAATTTGTGCCATCTGCTGAAACAATTGCTCCCAAAACAGCACACCAAACTTCGTCTAATAATTCACATTGACCGTGTTCTTGAAATTGTTCTGAGTTCCATCCCATGGCATAGACAAAATCATCAAAGGTAAAAGTATCAATTTTTAAAACATTATGATAAATATTAATGAAAATCCAAGTTTGTAATGCTTCCAGAATACTTGATAAACCATATTTCAGTAATCTTTTAACTTCCTCAGGATCTTTCTTTAATTCCTCTGCAATCTGTTCATTCCAGTATTTTGCATTCTTTGGAACTGTAAATATTTTTGGAATTGGTTTAGAATTTTGTAAATCAAACTTCAATTGCAAGTCATCAACTATATTCTTTTTGGTTGGTTGGAATTGAGATAACCCAAATGATGGAGTGCCCTTGGCTTCTTCTTCTTCATATTCTTTTATAATTGCATCCGGAATATAATGTGTTGGGAACTTCTTTTTAAATGGAATGATATTGACAGGAGGTGTAGGAGGAGCAGAGATGTTTGGCAATATAGGTTGTGGTTGATCCTTCAGGGATTGCTCTTGTTGCTCTTGTTTTATTTGCTTATTATTTTGTTTATGTCTTCCTCTCTTTTGTGGTTGCTTTTGCTCCACATGTTGTTCTTGTTGTTGTTGGTCTGGCAGTTGTTGTTGTTGGATTTCAAGTTGTTGATTAAAAATTAATTCATGCTGATGCTGATGTTGATGTTGATGTTGAGGTGGCGCTGGTGCCAATGGTGTTAATACTCGTTCCTTTTTGGTAGTAGCTTTCTTCTGCTTGGCTTCTTCGGCTTTATTAGGATTCTTTGGCTGAGGTCCTCTTTTCTTCTTTGGTTGAATGAAAATTATATCCCCTGTCGGAGTTGTTTCCGCAAATTGTTTCAAATCATCTGGATATGTTGTTGGGATTCCATATTTCTTTGCATATTTACTTTTAACTACCCAGGGAGCACCAACTTTATAAGATCTGGACATAGTCATCTTGATGAATGTTTTAATCAACCATTTGGTGAAATGATTTCTATCTCTTGATATATTATGACCTGTAACAATGGCTTGTTGATTATCATTGGCTCTTACGACTAAATATTTTGTTGGCTGATCTTGACCATATTGAACTTTTTCTCTAATGGTGCCTCGTTGCTTAACACTTGGTTCTTTATTATCGATGCCTCGTAAATAAATATTTTCTCCTGGGAAATAATCATTCTTAAATATTTGATATACTTTATCAACTAATAAATCCAATCTTGAAATTCGATTAAATTGTAAAAAACGTAAAATATGTTCTCTTAATGCTTCAGGGAAATTTTTCTCAACTTCTTTAATTTCATCTTCTTCACTTTGCATCGCTTCAAAATATGTTAAACATGAATTTCCAGTGATCTCACAAACAAAGTTTCTTGTTTTCAAATAATCCATTCTTCTAATATAATCACTATACAGAAGAAACCATTCTTTAGTTTCAGGGATGAACCAAACTTGAGTATCCAAATCTTCTGGAAGATCCTGCGGAGGAACTATTTTGACTTGTTTACGTTTGTATAAAACCATCTTTCACAATCTGATTTCAAAAATGATACTAAACAAGACAATCTAATAATACAGTGTAAGGAAAGGATAATAACTGAACTAAATTGAGTTAATGTTTACTTTCAATAAGATAATATATAAAAAAAAAAACTTGAAATCTTGTAGAAAAAAAGAACGAAAATTTTTTCTGGTGATTTTTTTTTTCTGTATTTGTATTTGAAATTGAAATTGAAATTGAAATTGAGTTGAGTTTATTTTTTCTCTGCCTCTTCTGTTCTGTTCTGTTCTGTTGTTGGTTGTGTCTGTGCGAGTTTATGTTTGATTGTAAAAAAGTTGGAACTTAGTGCAGGGACGTGTGTGGCACAATAACCGGCCGAGAGATCAAAAATATAATACGCGACGCATACACGTGACTTCTTACGTAAGAATTGCAACAATTTGTGCAATTGAACTTATAAATATTAAATCAAATACCTATAAATACCATTTCTAATTTTTATATTCTAAAATATACCATACTTTTGTAAAGTTTGGAAAATCCATTGAGCAATTGGACTAACCTTCACTTTTCTAATTTTATTTTCATCAACTGGTGCAGAAAATTGTTGTTCATCAATGGTGACTCTTTTGCCAACCAACAGACTAAATTGAACAAAGACCCAATGCAAAAATCTTTGTTGCAAAGTTAAATCAATGCTTAATTCCCCATTTTCATCATAATAATCCTTACTTTCACGTTGGATCAATGGACGATGTTCACTGTCGGATTCATCTTCTTGTTCTTGAAGTTTCTTATATTTGGCCATCAATTCAGGATCATCAGAGATAACACCATACTCAACCAAATCAGCCAATTTACCAATTTTACTCAAATAGCTAAATTGAAGGAAATTGTTGATTGTCCAGGAATACAATTTAAGATTTTGTATACGAAGCAATGGAATAAACTTGGTTAAAAATTCATGTGACCATGTGGCTATATAAATGACAGAAACACCGGTTAACTTAATTTTGACTCTATCTTCAGGAACAGTTTCGTCCAAGTAGAAATTATAGTTGATATAATGAATTGAATCCCTCCAGTTCAAACTAATGTTGAAAATATCAAATTGGGTATAACCAGATTTCGATTCCAAACCAAACTTATCTTGAAAATAATCATTTTGGTTCAAATATTTCAAAAAATTTAAATCCCAGATACCAAATTGTATTTTATTATACCACCATGTGATGTCGTCGTGTACTGATAGTAAATCTTGAACGATGAATTTCGTAATTTTGACCGGATTAAATCTCTTGATATCTAATTCTAATTTATAATTCTGGCTTTGATCCTTATCAGTATATTCTTTAAACCATTTCAATAATTCTCTGAAAGTAATTAATGGGTAGTTTCCTTCAATGGTTTTCAAATTTTTTAATGTGGGGTTATATGGAGTCTCAAGAATGTTATAGTTAGTTTCATTACCTTCTGAGTCAACAAACACTCTTTTGGTAAATTGGTCATGACTTATAACAATGACTTCATCTTTGGATAACCATAGATCGGTTTCAATAACGGAACCTCCTGACTGGAAACATTTGTTGAATCCGATAAAAGTGTTCTCCGGATATTTTCCCTTGAACCCTCTGTGACCTACTATGACTGGAGATATTGTGGTGGATGACATTCTAATAAACTTCTGAAGAGACTTCAAAAATGACATAAAACAAACAAAAGGTTAAAAAAAAAGAAGAACACACACACAACTTGAAATGGGAGTAAGTGGATCAGCTGTGGGTTTTATTTATATAAAAATTAAAAATAAAAAAACGTGGGACTATTTCATTCATTCTATCATGTACTGCATTTTTTTTATTCAGTGGCATTTTCTGGTCTCCGCACACTACTAACTTAACACTAAAAAAAATAAAAAATGCCGCTTACACAGAGAGATGCAAAATGAAAAGAAAAAAGAAACGTGACAACTATCCGCAGTACCGGAAAGACACCATCTCACGTCAACAACAACAACAACAACAACCAAAAAAAGAAACTTTGCTCCTGTTTGTTTGTTAATGATGAAAGGGTAATATGGGATTTGAAAAGTATTGACTTTGTTAGAATGCATTATGATGAAAGTAAATAAAACGGATAAACTTTTGTCACAAATCTGGGACGGATTTTTTGTGGTCGGAACTTTTGCGGGAAATAACCTCAACTAGCAAAAAGTCCAAAATCTAGAATCATGTGCGGAGATATATCTGGTAATGATTATAATTTACTTCTCTTACTAGCTTCATCAACAACTAATTTTATCAACAGATGAGCTATGGATTCTTTCATTGGAATAATGATTCCTTCTGGATTGAAGGTTTCTTTTTCTTCCTCGGTAACCTCATCTGGGTATACTAATTTTCTCACAAACTCAATGTCAAACCATCTTGCGTCCTCTAACTCATTATCATGACCCAAATGGATGATTTCATTCTTGTTGTTGAATTTCACAACTCCCATACATCCAATCATTAAGTTTTGAGGGAATGGCCAAGGTTGAGTGTTGACTATTTGAATATCATCACATACAACACCTGTTTCTTCCCAGATTTCTCTTCTAGTGGCAACCTCAACACTTTCTGCAGGTTCCATGAACCCAGCAGTACAGGTATACATTCTAGCAATTGCATATCTTTTGTTCAATGATAAAAGAACCTTGGAACGATCTTCATTTGTTATTATAGATATCACAGCCATGTCCGTTCTTGGAAAAGATGCATTTGAAACTCTGGCACTTTTCACGGGACACTTGAATACCTCATTATCTTCTTCACTTTTTTCTTCACTGGTACAGAATAATTTACCACCTGCATGAATAGGTATTGACGGCAGACCACAACCAGGACAAAATTTGTTGGTATCGAGCCAACTAAAAAACATGGCACCTTGAGAGAATAAACTTGCCTCTCTTTCTTTAAAACCCAAATAATGCTTTCTAGAATGTGTGAAATATATACCATTGTCGATTGGTGAGTTATCAGACGATTGCAGGGAATTGATAGAATCATTAACAAATTTCACAATTTCTTTACGTAATGCTTTCAGTTTAGTAAGATCAACGGCATAATATGCAATACCTTGATATCTTCCTTGATGATCAAGATAAGTTTCTTCAGAAGTTTCTAAAAATTTCAAACTTTTCAAATTCAATCCAATAGATTCATCCAAGATCCCCATGAATAAAAACACAGGTTTGCCATCATCTCTTAATGATTTTTCATGATATTTATTATCATGATACCAAGTTTGTAAAGTAGATTTCCAACTAGGTAAATTTTCCATCATTCCTGATTCAATAACAGCTTTTGTACCAGTATAACCCAATCCACCATCAGGTTCTTGTTCAATACTTCCTTGATTAGATCCATTTTTCAAAATACACAACTTTCTATCAAAATTTTTATGAACTAAAGGTTGTTGTTCATTATAAAATATAAATCTTGTAGAAGGATGAAATAAACTCGAATGAATAAATTCGTTATCTTCACGTAAAAATGAAACCCTGTTCAAAACTTCATTTCCAAAATAGACATCTTTTGGTGTGTTCTTAAATGCTGCAGTCATAATACTTCTAAAGCTTGTAGCAATAACAGTTGATGATGATGATGATAGTTGATTTGTAGTTATTACTCTTATCATAAAACCAACTTCTTTTCAAAAAAAAAAAATATAAAAAGAATTCAAGTAAAAAAGGGGAAAATTTTTTCCTGTAATCGTTGCTGGTGGGTTTTAAGATTATCTGCAACTATCACAATGAAAAAAAGAATAAAATAAAATAAAAATTGGCGATTAGAAATCACGTGCAGATATCGAGAAATCTACAAATAGGAATTCGAGATTTCTGCTTATCTATGAAACGTTTATATGCAAGATCAGTTGAGATCAACAACAACAACAACAACAACAAAGAAAGAACGAAACAATAAATCAAGTGAGGGGTGGGGAGGGGGAGAGATAATGTGAATAGTAAATGTGGAGTGGAGCAACTGTAGTTTTATGGTTTGAAGGCTCGGCTTAGTTAATTCAGGGTAATTTTTACTTTTACTTTTACTTACTGCCAGTTACCAGCGGCTCCTTCGATTTTAATCAGAAATTTGCAATGGTTCAATGGCAAAAAAAAAATCGATACACCGAGGTTCATAACGACAATCATAGAGGTGATGGTTAATTCAACTAAACTCCGTTCAATTAAAAGAACAAGCAGAACAACAACAAGGAGGAGAAAGAATGTACCGAACTAAAACCAATATTCAAAAAGGAATAGTGAATATGTCCTATAAATATAAAGTGTAATGTAGCTGGCACTAATTGATTTTCCTGGGTCGTATAGTCTTACATACCATCGAAAGCAAAGGTAATGTAGATAAAGTTAAATCCCAGGACTACATAAACTACAATCATATAAGCACATTTTAAATTAAAAAAAAAAAAAAAAAATCATATGTATATTATTAACAATTCCTAATAATATTAGTTAGTAAATTAATTCAACTTTGTTTGGAATTGTTTGAGTTATGAAATAGGATCAGATAATTGATTAGTAGACTTCTCCCCATGGTTTAAATCGGAAGTCAAGCGTTCATTAAAATTAGTCTGTTTATTGTTTCATCATTAATTAATTAATAACTCAATCTATAATGAATTCATTAAAGAACATACTTATTTGAATTGAATTTGGTTTGTTGATCTAACAGAAGAAGAAGAAGAAGAAGAAAGTGAACAATTGTCAAATGAAAAGAAAATTTTTCTTGCTGTAGATTTTATACCGCGATGGCACTCACACACTGCCGCTCATGCCAACGAGAGAAAAAAAAAGTTCGTGTCAGTAGAAACCCTAACAATTTTACACTACCCTCTACACTTTTTATGGATATCATTATATTCATTAAAGTCATCATCGTCGTTGTCGTCGTCATTTTACATTAATTAACTATTTACATAGACCTCATAGAGGCATTCAATCTATACTACAATGATGTATATATCTCATCATTGATCTCTGATATTCCTAGTAAGAATGTTAGTAATTTGTTTCAAAATTAAATAACAATAACAAAACAGAAATTCACAATTATAATCAGCTATCTTAAGACATTCTCCTCAATATATAATTCGGAAGTCTAACGTCTGAAAAATCTTTTGCAATCATCATAAATAATGGGAATTTCTGTTCTAGAATAAGATCAACTGTTACATACCTTTTTTTTGTCTTACTTCGATTAACCAATTCTAAGACCTCTTATAATTGCAGTTCCTAAACCTTTAATCCAAGATTTTAAAGATTTCTTATCAACAATTATAAAGACTCTACCACTTTGATTCATTCTACCGGTTCTACCTAATCGATGAACTAAATCAACTGAATTTCTAGGTAATCCTAATAAAATAACATTCTTAACTCCTTGGAAATTTAAACCTCTTGCCAATAAATCAGTAGTAACTAATATTTTAACTTTACTACCATCTGGATCTTCTTCAAGTAGATTAGCAGGTTTGAGAAATGGTTCCAACATTTCTTTTCTTTCTTGAATTTTAACCGAACCACTAACACCAACAATATCTTCAGGACGTACTTTATATTTAGAAATCATTGATTCAACAATACCTTCAACTTCTGATTTTTCATTGACAAAAACAATGATTCTTTTAACAAATCCTGGTTCAGTACCATCTTTGGAAATAGCATACAATGCTTGTGCCAAAGCTCTTGGTTTAGATCCATTATATGGTGCAGCATCAGCATCGATAATCATAGTTTTAATGGTTCTTGGAACTTTATGTAATGATGGTGTAGCAACTCTAATTAATGATTTAGAATCAGGAAATAATCTAGTTAATTTCTTTTCAAATGATTTTGGAATCGTAGCTGAAACTAAAATCAAATCAAGCAATTTTGGAAAATGAATAATCACATCAGTTGTATTCTTCTCAAATGAATCATCAAATAAAGTATCTGCTTCATCAAGAACACAATATTGTAAATTAGCAAAAACTCTAAATGGTCGATTTATATTAACCAATTTAGAAAAAGCAACAATTTTACCTGGTGTTGTAACCAAAACATCTACTCTACCCGTTGTTTCCAAACGACGGAATAACTTAACTGGAGCTTCACCTTGAGATAACTTCATCATTGATAACCCGACTGTTTGATTTTCTGGTAAATCAACAAATTCTTTGAAAGCAGGTGGAATATTGTTATTTTCCAATTTAAACTCATTAGTTCTTTCCAAAACATCATACACCTGATCAACCAATTCATTAGTAGGTACTAAAATAATTGATCTAACAGAATGGGATTTTTTTAACCCGTCCAATCTTTCAGGATCTAATTTCCATAAATTCATATCATCTTCTTTTAATTTACTCAACAATGTAGATAAATAAGCCCATGTTTTACCAGATCCAGTTTCAGCAGCAATAGTAAATACTTTAGTTTTTTCCACTTCATTAGCTAATCGAAGTTCATACTGAATGCGTTCAGCATCACTCAATTTGGCAATTTCATTCTCTGAAAGAGCAACAGATTTGGGTTTTCTAGATTTATTTATGGTTTGAATAGCACCAATTTGAACAGGAGTTGGTTTAATAGGTATATCTTCTTTAGTTTTTGGTAAATTATCACCTTTTAAATTATATTGAGATTTAATCTCTTTAATCATAGCTTCTCTAACTGTCGGAAACACTTTCAATTGATTAAAATTATCAATTGGTGTTTCCCCAAGTGACATATGACCACCTTCATTATATAATTGTGAGAATTTACCAGAACTGAAAACATTCTTCTCTAGTTTTGGTTGAACTGTTTTCTTCTTTGGAATTGGTTTACTCACTGGTTTATTCAGTGATTTTCTTGGAAGGGGTCTTTTTCCCTTATGTCCCATCGATTTAAACCTTACTAACAGTAGTAGCAGTGGTGATGATGACCTTATAGTAACACATTGTGGATTGACTAGTAATTTTATCATTATAATTATGGTCTAATCAATAGACAAAGAAATCAAAAAAAAAGAAGAAGAATCAAGTTATGAAAAAAAAAAAAATCAAGGATCCGAGCAAGATTTCATGTCCTTATATACTTTTTTCACTCCCAGTTGTCTCATTGAATTGAAAACTCAAAAAATTTTTCATGTTATTGGTCAACACACTACTTCACGTGACATCCTGCATATTACAAATTAGAAATTTTTTTTTTCGTTTTTTTACCATTGGGTTGAATTTTCATTGAGAGAAATGGATTTGAAAGACCTCACCAAGAAGGGGGATCAACAACTGCTGTCTATTTTTTGTTGAAGGGATAAACAAAGTACATAATGTTAAGAGCAAGTAATATTGTTAGGGCTAGAATTGTACCTACTGTGTCATTTACTAGAACTTTTACAACTACCCCTGTTGTATTTGATGTTAGACAGAAAGAAGGTAAAAAGAAACAAGTTTTAAAGAAAAAAGTTGATCCTAATAAGAAAGAAGTTAGAAAAACTACAAGTTTAACTCATTTACCATTCAGGGATGCTGTTCGTAATTTAGGATTAAATAAAAATGCTCCAGTTTCAAAAATAGAAGTTCTTAAATTGGGAAATTTACAAACTGGTTCAATGACTAGTTATCCTAAAAAAATTGAATCTAAATTGAATATTATTGGTGGATTTAAGAGATTCCAACATCATGAAATGTTTGATAAACCTGTTTCTATGATTACTTCAAATACTACTAGACTTGATTCTGAATTTCTTGAAAAATTAAATGGAGAATCAAAAAACAATAGAATTTATATTGATGGAGTTAAAGGTTCTGGTAAATCTACTTTAGTTAATCAAGCCATTACTTTAGCATATGAAAAACTTAATAATGATGTAATTGTATTACATTTAGATTCTGGTGAATTAATTGGTAATGGTTCTTCTGATTATATTAAAAATAATAAACTTAAATTATATCAACAACCAATGTTGACTAAAAGATGGATTTGGAAAATTATGAAAACAAATGAAGAAATTTTCAAAAAATTGAAATTAACTAAAGATACTAAATTTATTAAAGATAAACAAGAAGTTGTTTTAAAAGCTGGTGAAAATACTTTATTTGAATATTTGAAACAAAATCATGAATTTGGAAGAATTAATCCTCATTTAGCTTTTCAATATTTTATTGAACAATTAGTTGATCATTCTAAAGAAATTCCTGTTTTATTATCAATTGATAATTTCAATGCATTTGCTGATTATCCATTAACTAAATATAAACATCCAGATTTCACTCCTATTCATATTAATGAATTTGAATTGGGTGATTTTATTTTGAAAGCTAGTAGTGGTGAATTAAATTTCACTAAAGGTGGTGTTTTATTAGCTAAATCAAATGATTTTGCATTAAATAGAAAAACCACTCATGTTGGTGTTTATCCAAATGAAGAATATGATCCATATTTGAAATTACCATTATTTGATTTTGAAATTGCCTATAGATTAGCTTCAAATGGTGGTATTTCTCCATTTAAAATGAATCCATTAACTAAAGATGAAACTAGATCATTAATGAAATTCTGGAAAGAACAAGGCGTTTTAATTATTAGACAAGATTTCCATAAGAAATTATACGATGATGATGTGATTGGTTCTATTCCTGAATTGAATCAAGATGAACAATTTGAAAAAATGGTTCAATTACTGTATGTCAACAATCAAGGTAATCCATACGGCATGATCAAACAATCTATGTTAAGTTATTAATTCACATTAGCATTGTAAATAGATTTATATTATATGTATATATATATTCTTCTTCCTTTAATGTACATATCACTACTATATATATACTATACTATACTATAATATAATATAACATAACATAATATATATTCTTCAATTTTATTGAAACTATGTAAATAAAGTATCTTCTTCTCTTAAATATTCACCAATATCACCTTGTCTGAATGCGACAATACCAGTAGGTAACATATTTTTAACTTCACCGGTACTTTTAGCACTAACACCAAAACCCAAAGGTATATCTTTCATATTATATATGATAACACCAGCATGTTCAGGAATATCATCGGACATTCTTCCAATATGAGCTTTTAAAACATGATTACCATATAAGAAAGGCATTTCACCATTTGATTTAATCCAAACTTTGAATTTAGCATATTGAGTTAAATAAGGTAAAGCAGTAATATGTAATCTAAATTTACCAGTTTTAGTGAATTTACCAAAACATATACCTAAAGACATTAATTGTTGTCTAGTTACACTAGTTGCAAATTTAGCAATTTGTTCTTGAACATAATAAACTCGATCTTTTTGTAATCTAAATACATGAGGATCTTCTGGATTATCTATAAGAAATGAAATATTTCTACCAATGTAATTTGCTAATTTTTCAAAAACTACTTTGGTTTCTTCTTCTGTAAGTGGTCTCATTAGTCGTGATGTGATATATTAGTATGGGATTACAAGAAATTAAATGAAGGAATGAAAATCTGATAATTCGTGATAATGAATAATGAAAAAAAGTTCAATAATTTTTTCCTACTGTTGGTTGATGATGAAGATGCGATGAGTTTACCACGAATTTTTTTTTTTTTCTTTCAACAGTACTGTAGCACCAAATTGAGTTCGAAAAATTTTCCAATGAAAAAACGAGATTTCTATTCAACAAAACATTGATTGATTGATTGATTTCTTTTTAATTTGATAGAAAGATGTCAGAGACTCCAGAAGTTGAAGTTCAAAAGAACGATGTTCAAGAAATTGTTAACTCTGGTTCTTCAGAGGATTCAACAACAAATGACAATACTTCCCGTATCAGAAAAACAACTGAATCTCGTCAAGATGACAAGAAACGTTCCAAAAAGGAAAACAACTATACCAGGCCTAAGTAGGTAAGTCCCTTTTTTTTGATTTATTGATATTATTCAATTTATGTTCTTTTTGATCAATAACTAACTAACTAATTTTTTTTTTGTTTTAGAATTGAATATACTCCATTAGTTGATGAGAATGGGAATCCAGTTGAAAAAACTCCAAGAAGACCAAAACGTAAAGTTGCAGTTATGTTAGGATACTGTGGTACTGGATATAATGGTATGCAAGTACAAAATGATCCAAATGTTAAAACTATTGAAAAAGATGTTTATGAAGCAATGGTTAAAGCAGGAGCTATATCAAAAGAAAATTCAACTGATTTGAAAAAATCACAATTTCAAAGAGCTGCAAGAACTGATAAAGGTGTTCATGCTGCTGGTAATGTTATTTCATTAAAAATGATTATTGAAGATCCTGAAATTTTAAATAAAATTAATGATAATTTACCTGAACAAATTAGACTTTGGGGTATTCAAAGAACAACTAAAGGATTTGATTGTAGAAAATGTTGTTCTTCAAGAATTTATGAATATTTATTACCAACTTATTCTTTATTACCTCCAAAACCAAAAACTGTTTTAAGTGAATTAGTCAAGACTAAAAAACAAGAAAAACCAGAATTATTTGAAGAAGATGAAGAAGGTACTAAATGGTGGGAAGATACTAAATTGAAAATTTTACAATCTGGTATTACTCAAGAACAATTAGATTCAATAACTATTAATCAACAACAACAAGAAGAAGAAGCAGCAGAATCTGATGAAACAAAAGAATCTGATTTATCTTATACACAATTAATCAAGAGTATTAAATCTGTTGAAAATTCATCTAGAAGAGAATATAGAGTTCTGAAACACAAATTAGACCATTTCCGTGATGTTATGAAACAATATGAAGGTACCCATAATTTTCATAATTTCACCATTGGTAAACCATTTAAAGATACTAGTGCAAGTAGATATATGATTAGTACTAAAATGTCTGATCCTTTTGTTATTGAAGGTACTGAATGGGTAAGTATTAAAATTCATGGTCAATCTTTCATGTTGCATCAAATTAGAAAAATGATTGCAATGGCAACTATGGTGGTTAGATTATCATTACCAAGTAAAATTATTAATAATTTTTTCAAAGAAGATAAAATTAATATTCCAAAAGCTCCTGCTTTAGGTTTATTATTGGAAAATCCAGTTTATGATGGTTATAATACTAAATTGAAAAAAACCGATTATGATGAAATTGATTTTATTAAATTTGATAAAGAAATGGAAGATTTTAAAATGAAATATATTTATGATAAAATTTATGCTGAAGAAAGTAAAGAAAACACTTTCTATGCTTTCTTTGGATTCATTGATTCTTTTAAAAGTAATAGAGATGAAGATGGTGAAGTTACTAAAGGTGGGGCCAGTATCTTTGATTTCTTATTCAATTACACTGAGGAAATCACCGATGACCAATCAAAGAAATGAATAACCTTAACTAACTAAGCATAAGCTGAAAATTTCATTTATTAGAAATAACTAAATAGAATGCAATCAAACTAATAAACAAACAAAAAGAAGAAAAAGAAAAAAAAAGGATAAAAATATATAAAAGAAGAAACATGTACACAGTTATGCATAGTGTAGAATATTTATAATATATAATAGACAGAATTTTCCCCCAATATTGATAAAAATGAATCAAAAAAACAGATTAAAACAAATAAAATGAAACAATAGTATTATTATATAAATTATGATGAATAAAACTAATACTTCAACTTGAAATATGAACAAAAAAAAAAAATTAAAAATAAAAATAAAGCAAACTAATAAGACAAATATGTCTTCAAAAGCCAAATTGGTATTTCATATTCTCTCTTTTTTTTATAAACTAAAGCCATGCTGGATTACCACCTTGAGTTTGTGCTGGTGGTTGCTGTGTTTTTGGATTAGCAGCAGCATATGATTGACTTGGTTGATACATGGCTCTTTGAGTTTGAAGACGTTGATCAGTATATTGTTGCAATTGTGGAACACCAGACTTTTGTTGAGCAGCCAATTGTTGTTGCTGTTGTTGTGATTGAATTTGTTGATGTGAACTTGATTGTTGGATTTGACCTTGTGGTTGACCTTGACCTTGAGGTTGAGTTTGTTGCTGCTGCTGTTGTTGCTGTTGTTGATCTTGGTTATCAGCGTCAGCAATTTTACCCTGTTGAGCTCTTTGTTTTTCTTGTTGGAATTTATACAAGGTCCAGTCAAAAACATAGTCATATCTGTAATTTTCCTTCTTGAACAAATCTCTAAACAATTTTCTCAAATATGGGTAGTCAGGTTTATCATCAAATCTTAAAGTCTTGATATAATTCATGTATTCCAAAAATTCACCAGGTAACCCTTTACACAATATATTATTTGGAGTAGTCATTTTCTTTTCCATAATTCTATCATATTTTTGTCTTTTGGTGGCAGCTTTCAATCCTTGCCATGGTAAAGAACCACGACAGAAATAAATCAAAACATAACCCAAACTTTCCAAATCATCCCTTCTACTTTGTTCAATACCCAAATGAGTATTGACACTAGCATATCTTGCAGTACCAGTTAAATTTTTGTTTTCTCTGTATGGAATGTGTAAATGAGTTCTTGGATCTCTATATTTCTTAGCTAAACCAAAATCAATGACATTAACTTGAGATCCTCTTCTTCCGATACCCATCAAGAAATTATCAGGTTTGATATCACGATGAATAAAACATCTGGCATGGATATATTCAATACGACAGATTAGTTGATCAGCCAATAACAAGACAGTCTTATAAGTGAATTTACGGTTACAGTAGTTGAACAAATCTTCCAAAGAAGGACCCAATAAATCGATAACCATGGCATTATAATCACATTCAGTACCATACCATCTAACAAATGGAATACCAACACCTCCACTTAAAGCTTTATAAACTTTGGCTTCATATTCCAATTGAGGATGCTTAGCTTTGGTGTTTTCCAATTTGATGGCAACTTCTTCACCAGAAATAATGTTTGTTCCCAAGTAAATATCACCAAAGGAACCAGATCCAATTTTACGACCAATACGGTATTTTTTACCAACTCTTAAATCCATGATTGATTGATGGTATTAAATGACAAAAGTAACAATAGGCTATAACTTGTTTGTAAATAATACAACCCAGAAGCTAAACCAAATTAAAAGAAGGTAGACACAAATGAAATGCTGGTTGAATTAGAGATTAACGACGTGTTTAAATCTCAAATGATGTTAATGTGACGTTTGTTGATTGATTGATTGTGATAAATGCTAGTTGATAATATATGAATCAACTAAATGCTATGATGAAATGATACAAACTCTTGTTGCTATTGTCGTCGTCGTCGTTGATGATGATGGCGATGATGATATTGTTGTTGATGATGATGATGAGACGAAAGATGATGTCAGTGAATTAATGTGACAGTGAGTTTTTTTTTTGTTTTTTGTTTTTCCTTGCTGTATGAAAATGAGAACAAAAATTTTCTGCCTTTGATTTCTCTTCTTCTTCTTCTGCTGCTGCTTATTAAGAGAGAGAGAGAAAAAAAAAAAGAAATTCATCATTTCTCATATGCTAAATTGTCGTGTAAACTTGCCCAGACGATGGGAATAGAAATTCCTGATTTCGGAAATACCCACAAATGCTCATATCACAACAACAACAACAACAACAACAACTACAATCGATTTAGACTTAGATTCAGATTTAGATTTAGATAAGATTATAAAGAATGTAATACAAACAAATGATCATCATTCTGATATTGCATCGGATTTATTGTTTAATCAAAGAATTACTAGTTTAAGATAATACACTCAAATAAAATTGTGTGTTTGCAACTCACACACACACACACACACACACACCTACACAATATTGGAAACACACGGCTGGAGGGTTGACAGATGGTGACAATTCAACGTGTTTAACAATCGTTTATATTAATCAGTCACTTATAATATCACAACAACACACATGAGTTGCAGTATAATGATGTATATAAAGTTTCATTACTTATTTCGTCTATTATTAGTAAGACATTTTTCTCCCTCCCCACACACCACCTGAGTAGACATGTTTCACAATTGTTACGACAACAGAATTCAAGTCCAGTTGATGTGTCAATGACTCAATATGGTAGTAACTTACAAATCAAGGAAGATGAACATTTAGTTATATATTGGACTAACACCACAGTTGTCAAATTTTAACCACACATACACAAGATTATGTGCACTTGCACTTCAATTAAGCAAATAAAACGGTATCAATGCTCCTGCAGATTCGTCAATTAACTACTGTTTATTAATACACTCTTTTTTTTTATACCCAACTTTAATAATGCGTCACAAGTTCAATGTTCTATTTCTTTATATCCCCTCTCTCTTTCTCCTTCTCCTTCTCCTTCTCCTTCTCCTTCTAATACAACAGATTCACCCTGGTTGTAAAGTACTGTCTTTTGTTGTGTTTATTATTTTTATTGTACAAATGGGACATAAATATTTGCACCACTTGTCAAAATTATCACTACAGTGGACAAAAAAACAATGTCTGACCAACCTTATCATTGGGCATTGTATTTGGTGATCATTGCAATTGGGCAGTTATAAATGATTCTACATTGTGGGATCATTCTAAGTGTTTGCAGGTCCACATCCAACAATAATTTGACTGTCCTTAGTTAGTTAATGAAAAGGAATTATACACAATTGAGGTGTTGTTGTCACTTGATTAATCCAGGACAAAGAGTTACATTGAACACAAACGAATAAGGGACAATAAAGGTTATCGAAACCAATGATAGTCATATATATCTATTGTTGATACTAGACTCTGGTAGTAAGCATTTGATGGTGGTTGATTCAGTTTGGACAACCAGTTTGAGTTTACCGTATGAGCCATTTGGCAGCACTCTTACTGCAAAAAGAAAATTAAGCAGAATTTGCAAACTACAAGAAGGTCAATTATCATAAACCTACTATGTAAGTGAAATATCAATCAGAATCTTAACGTAACCAACCACTACATAATTAAATGATGTTCTATATAGCAAATACTATGTGGTTGCCACCGTCGTTTCACTTGATTTATCTCTTAGACTACCAGTTATAAGCAGCAATTATAGAGACATTTTCAAAAACATACATTACCTAGAAGTATTATAGAAAAAAAAACATGCAATATTTATGCTAAAGATGAAGGAGATTTTCTCAAAGCTTTAATAGTAGTGACGATTAAATTCAAAGCACATAACAACCCTAAGCAATCCACAACCAATGCATCATAAGGGAACAAAGCATATTGATGATCTTTAGAAGGCAAATGTCCTAAAATTTTCGAAACCCAATAAAGCAGACATTCAATATGAAATATCAAGAAAAACTCAACTACCATTCTTTCAGTTTTCTCTGATAATTTTTCTTGAGAACCAGCTTCCAAGTCAACAAATTCTTCTTCTTTTTCTTTTTCTTGTTGTTGTTGTTGTTGTTGAATCTCGTATGGTGGGAGTTGGTCAGTTTCTTCTGGTTGTTTTTTATCAGAATTCAGTTGAATCAAAGTCAGATTGGTTGTCTTTTGTTCAATGGATAATGCATCATCATCATTATTATTATTACGCAACATCGTAGAAGTAGATTGAGTATCGTTCAACTCACTCATTGAGGTCTGAATAATAAATTTTGGTTTAATTATTAGGTAAAAGAAAGTAGGAACTTTTTTTTTTGAAATTCCAAAGTTTTACAGTCACTTTATATATGTGTGCATTTCAGAAAATTTGTTATTCTTATTCTTTCTTCTTTTTTGCAACCCAAGGAGTCGTGCATGGTGGTGCGAAAATTGGTTGTAAGTTTTTAGTTCCCACATACTTGATAGTATGACTGTCAATACAGATGTGATAAAGTCAACACGGGTTAATGAATAATCAGTACAATAAACTAGCAACATTAAAAAACAGAGATTGAGACAGTATTGAGACTGCCATGAGCATAAAATTATTACATGGTTAATAAATATGGCAATGTCAGTCTTGATCCAGCATACCAAAACTATATAATCCACACTCCACACCTTTGTAAGAATGCGTGTTCTTAACATATATGTGTGTGTGTGTGGCGGTGGTGGATTTCAATTCAGAACATAAGAGAATTTGATGTCGTACTTCATGAAGACTTCAATAAATCACACCCATCATCAAGAAACGATTTCACAATGAAATCATAAACCTACCTTGCAAGAATTCTCCATATTCAATACTGAATTTGATCTCTTTTTCACTGTGCCAATTGTTTCCGGTCTCCAATGGTAAAAATAATTTTGTCACTGATGATCAAAGAATAATGAACACTTTTAAAATAATAAACTATGCTTATACTCATTGTTGTTGTTATCAATAAGGGAGAGGCACAGCTTAATACAATAAGATTTCGCTCCTACATAAAAGATCAAATCTAAATTCCTGTTTTTATTTTCTCTCTCCCCCCACCCCTTGTTTGATTCTTCGTCTGTGTGGGTTGCTATTTTGTGGTCAATCTCATAAGACAACCAATGCTGTTTCCACAAGCTGATGCCTATATCTTCAATCAATAAACCATTGACTACTACAATTAAGTTAATGTTATCTGCATTAAATGAAAGGAAGAAGAACCAGTAGTAAAACAAATAATAAAAAAAAAATATATGTATATATAATATCAAGAAAGAAAGAAAAAAAAAAGTATTAACAATTAAACAATAATAATAATAATAATATAATAATAATAATCAAATCAGATGTAAACCATTCGTAAATAAAAAAAGCAAAAATCAGGAAGGAGGGTGGAGATGTAGTAGTAGAAGAAAGATGTGTAGATGTAAAACTAACAAATTCAAATACATGCAAAAAACTTACCTGCTAATTGATAAAAATGAATCAATCATTTTGTTTCAACATTAGTTTTTAGCAGCAGTAGCTGGTTTCTTGAATTTATTAATGAACTTCTTGAAGAAATCATTCTTTTTAGCAGCCTTTTCTGTTTTAGCAGAAGCATCTTTAACTTGAGCTTTAGCATCTTCAGCAGTGGCAGCAGCTTCGCCTTCAGTAGCTGGAGCAGCTTCATCAGCAGGAGTTTCACCTTCGGTAGTAGCTGCAACTTCTTTAGCTTCACCTTCAACGGTTGGTTCAGTGGCAGCAACTTCTTCAGTTGGTTTAACTTCTTCAGTGGCAGCTGGTTCTTCAACTTTGGCAACTTCTTCAGTAGCAGCAACTGGTTCTTGTACTTCAGTTTCAACTGGAGCATCTTCGGCAGCAGCAGCAGTAGTAGTAGCTGGAACTTCAGCAACTTCACCTTCAGTTGGAATGTTAGCTTCCTTCAATTCAGTGGCAGCAGCAGCAGCAGCTTCACCTTCAGTAGCCTTTTCTGTTGGTTCAGTAGCATCTTTTTTCAAGGATTCTTTTGATTCATTGGAGGTGAAGATTTTAGAAACTCTCTTAACTCTATCTTTAATAGCCATATTTGAATATAATTATGTAGTATAAAATTTAAGGACCGCGAATTGGGTGTTTATATGTATATGTATTTACTGTAAATGTAGTAGTAGTAGTAGTAGTAGTGGTATTGGTAGTTCTAATTAAAGAATCTTCTGTGTGATGAATGATAACTCTAAAAAGTAAAAATTAATTAATTAATTGATGATAATAAAAATGATTTAAAAACAACAATTCCAAAAATTAAAAAGAAGTGAATTCTAAATCAACAAATTCTTCAATTAAGATGGATTGGGTAATTAGGAATAGGAAATAAATATTTACTGATAAATTTTTAAAAACAGAAAAAGAAGAAGAAGAAGAAGAAAACAAAAAAAAAATAAAAATTTTTTATAAAAAAAGGAAATTCAAATGAAAATTAGGTAATTTTAATTTATATTTATAGACCTAGAGATAAATAGAAAGAATATTATGTAACGAAGAGAGTTAACAACAACAACAACAACAACAAAAATTTCCCTTTCTTTCTTTCCTTTTTTTAATAAATGCTTGTACTTAATAATTAAAAATATTTCTATACTTATTGACTATTTAATAAAGTAAAGTATTATTGTACATTTACACCCAGTATGGATATGACACAAAAACTCAAAACAAAAAGAGAGAGATGCAGGTAATGTTTACTGTGTAAAACCACATAGAAATTATTGACACACGTACACGCCCCTCTTCCACGCCCACTTCCACTTCCGCTTCCACGCCCTTTTCTTACGCACACACACACACATGTAAATAAACAATTGTACACGAACTAAAATTTAATTCAAACATTTCTTCTTTCTTTTAACAAGAATGGTAAAAGTTTGACCACTTTTTTTTATTTATTTATTTGCATTTCAATACACCATTGTTATTTGTTGTCGTTAGTATTAAAAGGTAACGTGACACAAAGGACTGGTCACGTAAAGTTTTTTGTTTTTTTGTCTCTTTTGGTTAATAAAAGGTACTCCTCTCTTTCAATCGGTTTTTCGAATTTTCGTTTTACGTGACATACACATTTAAAAATCACACTACAACTATGACTATGACTATGACTATTATTACTCCTCTTTCCTCTCGAGACACATATACACACTCACACAGAGATAGAGACAAAGTTGACATGGCTGGTTTGTTTATTTTTTCATACGAATAGCCGTTTAACTATTATATTCTAAAACATAAAACAGAAAATATTTAATTTATTATTCTACTTTACTTTACTTTACTTTACTCTAATTTTATTTTCTTGTTTGTGTGAATGTGTGTGATGATGATAACACGGCTGTTACACATTTGTTTTGCCTTTCTTGGTTTTTTTTTAGTTTAGTTTAGCTTAGCTTAGAAATAATAAAATTTTTTATGTGATGTTCTTGGTTGACACACGACAGGCACAGATGATTTTTTTTTTTTAAATTTGATTTTCTATTACACTTTCTTAACAGCACTACACGACTATCGGTAAGAAAGAAAACAGTTCAATTTGATGTACAACAACCCTTTCTCTTCCCCCCTCGTTGTCAGTTTATATATTTTTTAAGGTACATTCTTATCCTATATGGTTAGTAGTTTTGATCTATCCATGTAACATAGTGTTGTTACTCAAAGATCCTGTAAGAAGTAATAAATCATAAGAGAAAAGAGAAAAAAACACGCTCCCGGTTTCAATCACAACCAAACGGAAAGGACAAAAGGATGTCAGTAAAAAAAAGGATCTCAACTAAGAGGCAATGACATTAAATCATCCTTTCGTTTCCTTTCATTTCCTTTCCTAAAAATAAACTAAAAAAAAAGAGTTACGTGGTTCATCTCCCGCGTCTTTTTTTTAGTTTGTCCTTTTTTATACGCCCCATTGAGAATAAATGAATAGGATAGAGTGTTTACTTTAATAAAATACCAAGTAGAAACAATAATAGTGACGATCTTTTTTTTTCATTTCCCTTACATCAACATCAGCATCAGCATAAGCAAGGGTGTATCTCTCTTCTTTCCCCTCCTTATCATCCTCATCATCACCATCATCATTATCACTGTAATTAAAACAATTCTAACAAGGTTAAGTTCATGGCTTGGATTAACCGGACTTAAACTTTGCACAAAATAAAAACAAGATGACCGTCTTAAATGTATACACTATTAATAGCCGTGATCCACAATTCTCATACTCTGTATGGCTTAAAATTTTCCATAATTCCCATTGTTTAAAGAATGTAATATTGTTTTTTTATTTTTTATTCCATTTTGCAATTTCCTTTTGTTTCTAAATTTTTTTGTTCTCTCGTCATGAATTTCGGTTAGTTCCTTCCTTTGTTTCCTTTAATTGTCGTCTGATCTCAATGCTTCTTAGCCGTGGCAAATCTTACTAACTTATAACGATGAGTTGCGCCGCAGCATTTTTCTTTGTCTCTTTGTGCCTCTCCCAAAAAATTGATTGAGGAAAAATATACGCCAATTCCGAACAAACCAATCAGTACATTATACTTTAACCAAAAGAAGAATTACTGTACCAAAATTCAGTAATTTATTAACCACTTCTATCAATTTGGGCGCAAATTAGAAATAATAGGAAACAATCAATTACACGGTTAGGATTCTTTAAAAGCGTCATTGCAATATTATGTAACCTAGGTAATCTAAGAATTTAACTAACCTCTATTGTCTCCTTGAGGTATATTTAATAACATCAACTGATATGAAGAATACCCTAAATCATGGTTCAAAATATTCTTTGGCTTAATCGACTGAATATTTATCAATTATCAAATAAAATGGTTACTTCTTGCACAGGTTTACAAATCCATCGATGTTATTCATCCAAAGATGCGGCTAATATATCAATATGTCTCCTTAACACGTGATTATGATCACTTGACCGCCATTTGAATGTAAATTTGACCACTGTATTTATCCGTGTTGATTGACATAACCAAAAGAGTGGGATCTATTGGTCTACACCTGTTCTCTTCTTTTTTTTTTTTTGTCATAGTATAAATTAAAGATAGTTTTTATTTTAGGATCAAATTTAAAACCACACACACAAAAGAATATCTTGGTTGGTAATGAGAACGATTCTTGGAAGAAATCTATGTAGAATCCAAACTTTAGTTTGATATAGAGCTTGAATAAGATTTGACTCAAGAAACTATGTACATGTGTTGCAAAAATAGTTGATAGGTATATACTAAGTTGATGGAAATAATATAGAATATAACCGCAACTCACAAGTTTTGGCAACTTGACGATTGGTAGCAATCCAATTTTTACCAAAAAACAATTTACTACAAGTATATCATTCTGACTACTCTTTGAGATAATTTGATTAAGAAAACAAGAAAACTAAAAATATAGATCATGAATACATACTTATAGTTAAGAGTTTAAGCGAAGTATATTCCTAACTAGAAGTATTGCAAATGAGGATGAAGATGAAAATTTTATATTTCAATTGGTTATATTGAAACAATTCATGATGAAACATATTGTACATTACATTAACAAATTATGCTAATCATCTACCTAATGTTAAATCAATGAAAAGAAGTATCTGTTTTTAATCGATTCTCTTGAAAAACCCACATACATTGAATGTCTTTGACTTATTTGAATCTTGGTCTAAAATAACTACCGTAAATATTTCAAAAACCTACAACAGATTATTATTCTTATTATTTTGTTCTTTGATTAAATATATTATCATCAGTTTTAATTTCTGGAGGAATTGCAAGAGGATTAAGGGATGCTTATGGATATTCTTCATAGTAATGAATTTGCATTATGGACGGTATTATTTGTTTAGCTTGTTGTTATACTTCAAATTTGAATGATTCTTTGAACTTTACAAGAATGGAACGGGGATTGCCATCAGTAGATGTAGAAGTAATACCATTGATAATCCTTCACACATTAGTAGTGATTGCAAAATAATTATCGAACTCTCTAGGTCGATCCCTTCGCCGTAGGAGATATATCGCACGCGCGTAATTGTTGATTCACAACACAAACAAAACTTCTTGGTCAGAAACACCGCGCAGTGCTGCCAGAAAAGGAAAACCAAAACAGAAAAACATTCACATCAACAACATCAAGCAGAAGAATCAAAATTCCCATCGTCGTCTAATTAATGCAAAATCAAACAATGTCCATTTCATTACTGTCATCCCCAGGTTATAATATTAACAAAAGAGAATCAAAATTTGTATCTGATAATGATAAATCATCAACATTTCAAAGAAAACCTTTAACCAATATTCAACTAAATACTATGAAATTAAATAGCTCAAGTATATCAACAACAACATCTGCAGCAGAATTCAAAGTATCTAAACCTAAAATTATCAGAACTAAATCCATACCAAATGCATTTACTACACCTACTCCCAAGAATAATAACCTTCATATACATCATACTACTACCACCACCTCTACTACTACTACTGCTACTTTAGTTACACCCACTAAGAAATCATCAACTGAATCAACAACTTTACTATCATCATCTCCATTCATTGAATCTCCAGACAAAACTAATACTGTCGAACAATCATCAACACTAGATAAACAACATCAATCAAAACAACAAGAACATCACTCAGAACAACAAGAACAATTATCGTTGGATGATTTTGAATTTGGGAAAGTTTTGGGTAAGGGAAAACTTGGAAGAGTTTATTGTGTTAAACATAAGAAACTGGGATTAATATTTGCCCTTAAAGTAATGTCAAAAGAAGATTTAACATCATTAAAATTAGAGAAAAATTTTAAAAGAGAAGTTGAAATTCAATCAGAATTATATCATAAAAATATAACTAGATTATATTCATGGTTTCATGATTCAAAAAATATTTATTTAATTCTTGAATTTAGTTTAGAAGGTGAATTATATAATACTTTAAAAAAATTTAAAAGATTTGATAATTCAATTACAAGTTATTATATTTTTCAAATAACTCAAGCTTTAATTTATTTACATCTGAAAAATATAATTCATAGAGATTTAAAACCTGAAAATATAATGTTATCATTAGATAATTGTTTAAAATTAAGTGATTTTGGTTGGTCAGCATATGCTAAAAATAAAAGAAGATTAACTCTTTGTGGTACTTTAGATTATTTAGCTCCTGAAATGATTGAAAGTAAAGATCATGATTTTGGTGTTGATATTTGGGCTTTAGGTATTTTATGTTTTGAATTATTAGTTGGTAAACCTCCTTTTGAAGCAATTAATAGAGATATAACTTATGAAAAAATCGTTCGTGTTGATATTAAATATCCAAGTTATTTAGATCCTGATGCTGTTGATCTAATTTCAAAATTATTAGTTAAAGATCCGGCTAAAAGAATCACTTTAAAAGATGTATTACATCATAAATGGATCTTGAAGAATAAACCTAAATGGGGTAGACATCATCATAGTTATAAATAAACCAGATTTACAAACTAAGTAATACTACTGCTACTACTAATATATATATATATTTAAACTAGGATAATAAAACTAACCGGAAATGAAAATTTGACTAAAGAAACAAACTAAATGGTATTAAGATTCTGTTTTCTGTTCAGTACCACTTGTAGATGCAACAGGAGTTGATTGAGCTTGTTGTTGCTGCTGCTGTTGCGCTTGCTGTTGTGCTTGTTGCTGCTGTTGTGCTTGTTGCTGCTGTTGTTGTTGTCTTTGTCTCATTAACAACATTTGCTGTTGCTGTTGTTGCTGATGTTGTTGATATTTCAATATCTGTTGTTGGAAAAGTTGCTGTTGCATAGCATTATGTTGTGCAGTCATAACAATTGGTTTAGATGGGGCTCTAACTTGATACATTTCACCAGGAATGGCACTGAATGTTTGAGTAGGTGAATTTACATCTGATGGTTTATCATCAATATTAATTAATGCACATCTACCTTGTAACCCACCAATAGATCCAGAAATAGCTTGATTTGCTAATGTTTGATCACCACCTTGAGAACCTCCATTTTGATTTTGTTGCGTTTGCTGATTATGATGCGCCGAGATAATTAATGCATTAGCATAAAATTCTCTAGCTCGAAGGAATCGATGACGATACCTTACTGGCATTATCACTTTTCTTTCCAATGGAATAGTACTATTTTTAGAAACACCAGCCAATACATATTCAGTTTCTTCATCAGGATGTAAAATTTTGGCAGCATTAGAGGCAGCATCTTGTTGTTGATGAAATGCTGCATTCTCTCGACGTTGCATCATCATAGCATGATTCTTTGCAATACTAGCTTGGTTTCGTTTATGATATTGTTGCAACAATACATCGTAAGGAGCACTTCTACCAGGAACAGCACGTTTAGCACCCATAGAATGTGTTTTACAAGTTAATGAACGTGCACAAAGACCACCCGAAGGTAAAGCAACACCACATTGTTTTTCAACATCAACTGGACCTTTTGGTTTTGGAGCAGGCTTTGGTTTTGGTGTCAGTTCTTGTTTAGCAGCAGCAGCAGCAGCAGCGGCAGCAGCAGCGGCTTTCTTTTTCTTTGGAGGTTTTTCACCATTTGATGCAGCAGCAGCGGCGGCAGCGGCAGCAGCAGCTTCTTTTTCCTTTTGTGCTTGGGATTTCTTATATTTCTTCTTTGGCTTAACTACTGGTTGAGTTGAATCTGCATTTGTACTATTGTTATTAGCAGGAGTGCTAGAACTATTATTAGGAGCTGGTGTACCATTTCTTGAACTATCAACAGATGATGCGTCAATGTCAACTAATGCTCCATTTCTCCCACGCTTCTTCTTCTGTTGCTGTTGATTATTATTCGACGAGGCAGCATTATCTTGTTGTTCTTGTTGTCTCTTTTGTTTCATTTCGACACACTTGTTATAATGTTGTTCTAAACTTTTTAACCCGATTGGACGTTGACAAGAATTACAAATCTTATAAGCAATGTTTTGTGATAAATAGGATCTATCTGGAAATGAGTTAGCAATGAATTTATTAACTATCGAGTTATCGTTATTGTTAGAATCTTGAATTTCAACACTTTTATCTAAAAACCCACCAAATTCTTTCCAGATTATAGATTTTTTATATTCCAGACCGTCCGATAATGATTGTACTTGAGATAAGGTAATCACTTGGTCCGCTTTTGTTGACATTATCTTTGAAAAAAGGAACAATATAAGAAGACCCTGGTTTTCAAATTATCTTGTGTTTGTTTGTTTGGTCAAATAGAAAGCAAAGATTCAAAGATTGATACAGGTATTGATAACTTGAATTTATCACCAACTTTGATTGCTAATATACAAGAAAGAAAAAAAAAACTGGAATACTAGAATAAAAAAAAAAAGGAAAGACGGGCAGTGAAATATAGGAGGGATTAGTACTTGTAATTTAGTTTAGGATTGATCGATAGGATTGATTTATAAACTATCAAGATAATGATCGACCCTTATTGATAGACACTGATTGATTACTTGTAGTAGTAGATATCTGATAAATGTGGTTTGTGTGAGACGTGATCATCTTTCCTGTCTTTTTTTTTTTTGTTGTTGTTGTTTTTCTCCCACTTTAATTTTGTTTTCGTTTCTCTCGTTAATTTTTGCTGTTCGTGATTTGATCTAATTGATACTGACCAAAAAGATATTTGACTAGCTAGATCTTCCCCAGAAGTTAGTCCATATACTAGAGAAGACACCAAATGTTGAGAAGAGACGCTACAACAATCAAGTTATCACCTGAAGATATCTTGGAATATGATGAATCAATAGAACAACAAAAACAGAGACAACAGAAAAATCATCAACTGGTACAAGGTCACCATAATCCATCAGATTTCATTCCATGTAATATCCTTCAAGAACAAATGAATAACAGTAGTCATGATATAATGCCTGATTATAAAGAAGAATCAAGTTCAATACTGCAAAGAAGTCGTAACAATCAACAGTCATCAAGAGACGAAAGGATCGGAATATAATGATAAGTGGAGGTTACTAAGGGGTGATTATGTACCAAGTAGATGCCACTACGGTAGAAAAGCATACTATTCCATTCGAGACCGTCTTGTGATCATTCATGTTGTTGTCCTCGTGGATAGGTCACGTGACATAAGATAAATCAGGGAGAAATAGATGAAAAGAAGATTGATTTGAATACCACACAACTATCGAGTCACATATGATACACTGTAGTATGCTCTGAATAACTGTTAAATGGCTGACATATATGTTGATGATAACTGGTTCAAAACTTGACCTAGTCGTGTACTTTCACTCAATTATGCACAATTCCCCATTTCCGAAGAAAACCAAAAAAAAAAAAAAAATGAAAAATAAATTTTTCAATATTTCAGTGCATCGCAGCCAGATAATACATCTTACGAGTAGAACAAACTACAACCATGGGGTCAGGAAGTATATTATTGGGAGCTTGTTCTATTTTATATCTTATCTCAGGAGGTAGATGGACAGTTGTGTTACTTGGAGTTGTCTTAACCATCCTTTACAAGGTTGAAAAATCAAACAATAAAGTTGTTGCATCTCCACACCAGAAGGAAGAAATAATCACTAAAAAACCAACAAAGGAATCTCCTATATATGCGGTTGATTTCACTTCTACTTCTTTCACTCCGTCAGCAACCACTGTTATTCCTAAACAAACTGTCCGTTCGAGAGCAAAAAGATCACCAAAGATTATTAAAGCTACTAAACCGCGTTCATTAGATCAACAAACACCTCAGAAACAACAATCTGTTTTAACTAAATCAAGTATTGAATTATCTAAATCACAAATTTATATTTTCTACACAACATTAACTGGTTCTTCACAAAGAATAGCTAAATCATTATATGAAAAATTAACAGGATTAGAATTAGACAAAGAACCAAAATTATTGAGTCTCGATGATGATGTTGATGATTTAGAAGAATATTTCCTTAAAGTACCTGAAGAAAATGCAATTTATTTATTAGTTTTACCATCTTATGAAACTGATTCACCAATTGATTATTTCTTAGAACATTTAATTGATACTTTTCAAGATTTCCGTGTTGATAAATATCCATTACGTAAAATCAATGGTTTTAGTGTTTTAGGATTAGGTGATTCTGAATCTTGGAGTGGTGAAAAGTTTTGTTATCAATCTAAATTGGCTGATAAATGGTTAGGAAAATTAGGAGCAAGAAGATTATATCCATTAGGACAAGTTTGTATGAAATATCAAGGAGAACCAAAAGCTCAAGAATGGATTCAAAATTTTGCAAGTATGTTAGATAATGATGAACCATTTTATATTGATGAAAATGATGATATTGATGATAGTGATGCTGAAGAAGAAGGAAGTGATGATGCTGATACTTTAGTTGATGTGGAAGATATGGGTGATATTATTCGTAAATCTGGTAAATCAGTTGAAACTAAAGAAATGGTTGCTAAAGATTCACCTACTTTCAAATCACTTACTAAACAAGGATATACTGTTGTTGGTTCACATTCAGGTGTTAAAATTTGTAGATGGACTAAAAGTGCACTTAGAGGAAGAGGTTCATGTTATAAATTTGCCTTTTATGGTATCAAATCCCATTTATGTATGGAAACTACTCCATCATTAGCATGTTCCAATAAATGTGTTTTCTGTTGGAGACATGGTACAAATCCAGTAGCTAAACTGAATTGGAGATGGGAAGTTGATCCACCTGAAAAAGTCATGGCTGGTGCATTGGAAGGTCATTATAAAAAAATTAAACAAATGAGAGGTGTTCCAGGAATTCAAATGGATAGATTTGAAGAAGCTTTCCAAGTTCGTCATTGTGCTTTATCGTTAGTTGGTGAACCAATTTTCTACCCACATATTAATGAATTTGTTGGTATGTTACATAAACAACATATTTCTTCATTTTTAGTTTGTAATGCCCAACATCCAGATGCATTAGCAAGATTAGCTAAAGTTACTCAATTATATGTCAGTATTGATGCACCAACTAAGAAAGATTTGAAAAAAGTTGATCGTCCATTGAATAGTGATTTCTGGGAAAGATTAATGTCATGTTTAGATATTTTAAGAACTACCCAATCTCATCAACGTACTGTTTTCAGATTAACTTTAGTTAAAGGATTTAATATGAATGATATTGAAAGTTATGCTGATATGGTTGAAAGAGCAAGACCTTCACAAATTGAAATTAAAGGAGCTACATTTTGTGGATCTTCAAATGGTAATGGTAATCCATTAACTATGCAAAACATTCCATTTTATGAAGAATGTAAAACATTTGTTGAAAACTTAACTAGTGAATTACAAAATAGAGGATTAGATTATGATATAGCTGCAGAACATGCTCATTCTTGTTGTATTTTAGTTGCTGATAAGAAATTTATGATTAATGGTAAATGGCATACTCATATTGATTATCCTAAATTTTTCAAATTACTTGAAAGTGGTGAAGATTTTGTTGATTTGGATTATATTAAAGAAACTCCAGAATGGGCTGTTTGGGGTTCTGATGGTGCTGGTTTTAATCCAGCAGATACTAAATATGATAGAAAAGCTGAAAAATTGAAAAAGAAAATTGCCAGAGAAGAACAAGCAAAATTAGCCTTGGAACAGCAAAAGGAAAGTTTATAGATGATGAGAGGAGAAATTCAACTAAATAGGTTCAGATTTATTTATTATAATGCAAGTATATATATATATTGTAATTTCAAAATCACTGGAAGATACACAATGATGGCGATATAGCACAGCACAGGAAAAACTATTAAATTTATTTATATATACTTATACAGTTATTCTTATCGACGGTAATAATCATTTGTGATGGCTCATATAGAACATCAACATATTTAATAGTGTTATAAGTTTGTTCTTGTGAGGTAGTAACATCATCATTTGATTCATTAATAATCACCAAGTTACTATAAAATCTTTTCAAAAACTTGCGTTTGTCATTTCCCAAAACAACTGAATCTTGTATTGATGTCAAATTGTACAATATCACTTTATTATCCGACATGGAACACATTAAATAATCAGTATTGTTGTCATATTTGAAATATTTCAAACATGATACACTCAACTCAATCTTACTATCGATATCTATTTTAATGTCGTCAATCATTTGTCCAAGGTCATAGTCATCATCATGTTTACATTCAATTAACGAATACTTGAGATTTTCACCTATTCTACTTCTTAATATAGCTTTACATTCCATACTTGGTAACTCCCACACACTTATATCTGAGTTGCATACCATGGTAAAATAAATACAACCATCATGCGTAGTAAATAATTTGATAGAACGAGGTAATATTTCCAATGCAGAAATTGAGTTAACATACTCGTTAGTGACATCGTTTTGTACTCTCCATGATTTGACAATAATTTTAAAGCGCAAGTCCCATAAAGTCAAGTACCCTTTATCAGATCCAACCAATACCCATGAATCTTTGTAAACAACAAAACTATTAATAATTCCATAAATCAAAGGATTTTGCAATCCATAAAGTTTCTCCATTGTAATAATATCAAATACAACAAGTCCCTGTTCGGAGTCTGTTCCAATTATATAATTATCTTGTAAAAACTTCACCTCTGTAATTACTGAGTCGTTCTGGAATTGTCTGATTAGTTGTAATCTTGAGTATCTGGTTATCTTCTTAGTCTTGTTGTTTCGAATCACATCAATTCTAAACAATCTAATTATACCATCATTGGTTGTGACGACAATAATAAACCTATTTGGTAAAAAAGTTATGGAACAAACACTAGATTCTAACTCAATTGATAAATTAGCATTCTTAACAGTCACGATCTTCTCCATTTTCAAACTGTCCCAAACCTTTAAACTTCCATTTGATGAGCCGGTAACAAAGAATTCCGATGTTGGGCAAACAACTAAGGTGCTAATATCATCAATACAGTTGGTCTTGTTAGAATACTTAAAACTAGTAACCATAACATTTTTTGGTACAAACACAGAGCCAGCTGCATTCTGTTGTGATTGTTGTGCTGAAGAAGACTGATTCTTGTGAATAATCAACTTGCCAAACTCTTCAAAATCGGATAATGTTGGCTGAATTGTAGGACTCTTCAAAAAGTTTAGTATAAATGGATTATGTCCATTATATGTATGTTTGATATGGGAGGTAATGATTTTGGAATTATGCACACTGAACACTCTATGGGAAGTATTTGAATCATTAACCCAGATTGTCTTCTTTGACCCAGCAATATGTGCTTCCATTTCACCCATAACATTAGTTTCCACCATTTGAACAGAAGCAGTTACTCTTTCCAACTGTGGCAAGATCAATGAATTTGAACCACGCCTGGAACTATTACGTACAGAAACTGTATCTTCAATATTAGGCTCATATGTTTCTTCCTTGACACCATTTGGCATAGCCATTAACTCGGACTTGTATACAATATCAAAAAATATGTTTCTCGGTAAGATAGCAATATGGTCAAATGCCTTCAATTGGTAATTAGCAACATTGAATCTGCTAATATGATAAATATAGTCCTTTAAAACAAAAACTTTCCATATTGATTTATCATCCAATCCAAGCGATTTAAGCTTGAGTAACCATTGCTTATCCTCGGACGATAATGGAACAGAACTTCTCTTATTTGTATCCGGGGAAAATGCCATTTCTGATCTTGGCAAGTAAACAGACTTTCCCATATTTTTACTGAAAGATATAAGTTTTTTCTTGTTCTCCAATATTCCGTTGCTGGAATTCATTGACAGCGCCTTATTCTGCCAAAACAATGATTTTGAAGTTGCATTTAAAGACCACGTGATAGTTAAATCATAAACCGTCTTGGACAATGGTTTTGTCAAACATGGGTATAATGTATTCCATTCAATAATAGACAAATCATAAGTTAAGAAACTCTTAATCATAGGATATAAGAAACAATACCTATCCGCATCAATCAAATTATTGCTTATGGAAATTATCAAGTTGATTATAGAATTTCTAATCCATTGATTAGGATGTAACAATAAATTAATTGAATTCAAAAGCAATTCCTTATAGATCTCCAACGCATTGAACTCTTTTCTTGGGTTAATTAGGCGGTTCTTTACAAATACATTAAAAATCTCCAAGACTTGCAAGACAACAAATTGTTCTCCGTCTCCAATTGATTGAACCAACAATGGTAAAATATATTGCTCAAATGACAATACTCCGATGAAAGGACCCATCTCCAACACTGATGAAAGAAATGCCAACCTTAATTCTTGATCTGAATCATTTAGGTAGGATATCAAATGAGGAAGGATAATATCATTTGTTTTGTCTTGTCCAAAAAATTGACATAGCGGTAGGATATTATTTAACAAACTGATCTTCACTGAAGACTCTGAATCAGTCAACAACAACACCGTAATATCCTTGAACTTTGAATCCAATTGCTCTTTGGTTAATTTCAATGATGCGTATGATTGCATCACATCTTCTGGTGATACTAAAGTGTTGGCAACTGTATTTTCATTTTTGAATGCTTTAGACATGATCCAAAACTTTTTTGCAATTGTAGCCAAATTTGGTAAACATACAGCAACTGCGCTATTAATCAACCTTTGAGATTGCTGACTCCCTTTTAAAGTAAGTAAACTGTAAACTTTTGGTAGAATGTATTCAGGAAACAACAACACGTTGATTGGACTGATATAAGAGCATGACATTACTAGTGTTGTTAAAGCATAAAGTGCAACTACCACTACTTTGGGTGATATATTCATTCCTTCTTGGTAAACTGAAGCTTCAATGTATTCATCCAAGAACAAACACAAATACGGGAGTGATCTATCTAGCTTGTTTTCATCACTTATGTGTTCCGACAATGCTAAAATCAATTCACAACATTTAATCTTTGAATTCACCTGTTTTAGTGTTTGACACAATGAAGTTACTGCGTTCAAAATTATCAACGCGGTTTCTTGATTTTCATGACCATCCAATTTGCGTGGTTTAATTCGGTAATCTTGTGGCATAGTTGGAAGATTCAACTTCATAGGCAAAATATCATCTGATATTAGACTCTCATTAGGATAATCAAAATTAAGTTGCTTGCTAATAACATCAAAGTTATCAAAAATATAATTGATTTTCAAATCACTGATGGAAAGATTGTCATCCACGGTAACTGGCATAAAGTTCTCTTGATTGTTAAGCGACTCCATAAAATCATATAAAAATGTATAAAAAAATTCAGGGAAACATATATCTCTATATTCGTCCAATAATTCTCTGGCGCTTGATCTTTCATTTGGATCTAGTTTGATCAACTTCCCGATGATTTCAATTATATGGCTATTTTGTATACCTGAAAGATCTGGCTTATAATCATTCTTCATGAATTTGAACAACTGGGATAAAGTAAATGTTGGTTCTCCATCATTATACAATTCTGCAATAACACACCCCATACTGAATAGGTCCATTGAGTCTGTAACACTATTCTTCAGACTAACCAGACCATCATCATTGAAACTCAGAACATGTTTCGGGTGATCCTGGGAGTTGTAGAATCTTTCAGGGGCAATATAACATAACCTTCTTCCCGAACTATCAAAATAGAAACTGTATTGATTAGGGTTGTCTTCGGGGATATATGTTGGTTTCGTAAGACTGGCAAAATCAGTCAATAATATCCAATTCCACGAGGTAACTAAGAAATTCTCAAGTCTTATATCTCCGTGTTGTATATTCAATAAATGAATCTCATTCACAATCTTTAATATCTGAAAGGTTATGAACAACTTTTCAATTGGTTCGAGAAATGGACGAATCGATAATCTATCGTATAGATTAGTTTTAATCATTTGTCGTATCAAATACCCAGCTCGATCAGTTTCAAGTATTTTATGCCATGGTAATGTATTCTTGAAAGGATATACAAGTGAGGATTGTTTGACTAATAACTCAATGACTTGTTGTAGTTGTATGGTATAATTTGTTGAAGCTGGTTTGATTAATAGCTTTATAATCACAAGTTCTCCTGTTGTCTTATCAACTGCCTTTATGGTTTTCAAAAAACGGGAATTGTTTAGGACTTCAACATATTGATAATTGTTCAATGCGTCAATATATGATGATACGGCAACAGTTGGAGCTGAAGGTGCCAATAATGACAACCTCTGACCCATTTGTAAATGTGTTTGTGGTGTGTCTTAATAACGTAGAAGTGTTCGTGTGTGTGTGTGTGTGTGTGTGTGAAATATGAGTTTTTTTTTTGTTTGTCTTGATTTTTATTTTTTTTTGTACTTCCCTCATTCATTTTATGTCAATCACCGTTGCAATGAATAACAATGATAATGATGACAATATTGAATATGGTCAAGCTCCAGCGTTGCCTATTAGTGAAGAATATGGAAGTGAGGTAACAGCGTATCTTTTATCAGTCAGAGAAGAAGCACAGATTGGTCCTCCTGTTGTTTTTGTTCCGAACCGTGAAGATGCACCTGAGCAGACTTCATTAACAATACCTGTACTACCACAACAAGAGCCATCCAATTGGTCAAAGAAACTACTACTGGAATTTATATCAATTAAAAATCAGTTAAGAAATGTCCGTCATGTCTCGAGAAACTCTTATATACCAGGAACAACTTCAGAATGGAGAAAATTTTTACTTGAAGAACCTCCTGATATTGGATACTTTTATATGGTTCTTGACAGGCAAGCAGTATTTAAATTAATAGTATATATCACTAGATGGTTGAGTGTAAGTTCAAGACCTACATTGTCACAATGGATCTGGAAATTATTCCTAAGAATTGACAATACATTAGATGCCAATGAGTGTTCAACAATTCGAGATTTGGGTAAGAAAGCAAGCAAAATTAAATTGAGACAAATAGAACTCGACAATGAAGCAGATGCTATTTCTAAATATACTGTTGATTTGGTATTAGTTATAGTGGGTAGATATTATGGTCAACTGGATTTACTCCAGGTCGTGTAGAATTCAATGTCACAATACAAATATTAGCTCGCATTTTATTTTCGAAGTGTCTGTCTCTCAGTGTCGACCGATCTTTATACAAGCAACGACTACAACGACGAAAAAAAAAAAAAAAAATTCTTCATTCAATATTGACCACCATATAAACTACATAATTCACCACATACAATGGCTCCAAAAGCAAGAGCGGACTTAGTTGTTCCGTATGTATTGATTGTCTTATCTATATCGTTATTGAGCAATTACTAACTATTCCATCAGTTACAAACATGTACCAGCAAAACCAAGACGTGAAACTGGAAATATGATTGCACAAACCTTACCAATGGCAGCAATGTTTATGAGAAATAAAGTATTATCATGGTCATCATTGTTCTTATCCGTTCAAGCTTACTTAAATGAACCAATTAATAAACCACCTACTAAAGAAGCAGAACAACCAGGTCTTTTGAAAGTCTTGTTTGCTCTTATTGCTGTTCTTACATGTTATATGGATGTTGTGTTCCCTGGAACTAACCCAGCTGTTCAAAGAGCTGCTAAGTTGGCTGCCCAAACCGCCACTGAAGCTGCTGCCACTGCTGCTGCCACATGATTTCTTGTTGACGATATTCCGATTATTTTTTTGATGCACTACAATCATTCATGTTTTTATAATTTTTAGTTCTATATTAATATTAGTATTACAAATGAGGAAGAATATACATATTATGTGATTATTCGGAAATTAAAATTTAACACGTTTATGATGTTTTGCTATCATCAACAGCTTCCACAATTACACTATCAATTCCATAATATGAAGCTGAAACCGATTTTGATTTATAATCCCATTTAAGATCACAAATACCCACAGAATTTTTCTGTTCATCTTCCAAGTTGATCTCTGGTTTGTAAATTGCAACACATTTGACAAGGTCTTTGGCTTCCTCAGAGTTTTCAAAATCAATTTCCCATATTGATACTCGACAAAAATCGTCACCCAATGCAAGATATTTACCATTGGGGGATAAAACAGCATTGAATATTAACACATTCTTGGTGACATTATCCCTCATATCTTCAGTAAAGTTTGCATCATTTGCAAACAATTCAGAACTTTTCAAATTTGTAGAATTTCCTGCATCCCATATGTTCAAGATTCCTTCCATCGATATGCACAAAAGTATACTTCTATCGTCATTTCCAGGAACCCAGAATAACCCCATTATCGGTGCTGCATGTAACTTGAAATCGAGTTTCTTTTCCGGGTTGGTATTTAAATCGAGACATTCTTGTGATGACGAACTGCTCCATACTTTTATTGCATAATCAAAGTCTGAACATGATGCTAATAATTTCGTTGTTGGATTCAACTTCATAATGGTAATGTTTTGTTCGTGACCATTCAATAATCCAATTGGTTGTATATCTAGTTGACCACCAAACTGAGCTGGTGGAATTATACTGAAAATTTTTATAACATTATTGTTTGTAGTTATAGCAAATTTATCTTCACTTACCCAACACGAACATGCAATTGAATCATCACTCATTTCAAGGTTCTTGATTTGTTTAACCAATGATATTGTTATACCATCCCAAATTGATACTTGGTTCATGCTATCAATTGACAATAAAAATTTCCCATTTGGACTCCATGACAATGAAGTTATTATGCTCTTAATCTTTTGAGTTTCACCCAAGTCTATACTGTCTTCTGTGGTGCTATTGGCAATGTTTTTCAATTTCCCGTCAGGTGACCAAGCTCGTATTTCACTATTTGCTCCTGCTGTTATGATCAAATTTCCTAGAGGAGACCAAGATACAATATTGATTTGATTCTTTATATTTAACAAATTAGGATGGGATAAAGTTCTAGTCTCTATTACCTTTCCATCTTTTATGGCATTTATTACTGCGTTTCCATCATCTTTACCGTATGCAAACACTTCATTGGTAGGATGCCAATCACATGTTAAACTTGCTGGGAACGTTATTTGTGCCTCAAGCTGCCTTGTCTTACATACATCTGGCTGCTCTTTGGACTCGTTTAATTGTTGTGTGTTTGTTGTCTCTGCATCCGCATCAGTCATTTCAATATCATTGTTTTCGTCGTCTGTATTTTTATTTCCATTGGTTAATGCCACCTCTGACTTTAACATGAATCTATTCTTTGAGGAATTATTATTACTGTGTGAATTTGAAGTCTCGTCATATTTCTCTATATCGTCTTGTATTAATGCTGCCAAAAGAGTGAAATCCGACTCTCCAGTAGCTTCGGATTCTGCCACTGTATACAATAGACCCTTTTGGACCAAACTTACAAGACAACCAGGTTTTATTTTCAGAAGTATTTCCTTCGTTGTGGAATTTTCCTCGTATTCTGAACATTGAGATTGTTCATTCAAAGAATATGCAGTCAACTCAAACCCCGACTCTTGTAGGTACCTCCATATTAAGTAGTTTAGTTCCCTACTGGTTAGTGACATTATTGAATGGTAAGATAGAATTGATGAGATAGTAAAAACGAAAGGTTGCTAATAGTAGGAAGTGATGTCGGTGGTAATGATTAGTCCTTCAAAGTTGATTAAATTAAATAAACAAAACAAATTAGTGAAATAAATTGAAATACATGTATAAAAAAGAAAAAGGAAAAAATGAAAGATTTTTTTTTTCTCTTTCTTCTTCTTCTCCATGAGTTTGAAAATTGAGTTTGGTTTGTTTTGTTTGTTTGTTGTTTTGTTGTTCAACTTTTTTCTCTCTCTCACTTCCACACACTCTCAGTCAATCGATCGTTTTTTTTTTGGTTGTCTGACAAACAAACAAACAAACAAACAGACAAAATTTTCTTTGGGATTTACTTTGATCAATACCCACAGCAGCCGATCAACATCATCAACTATCAACAGCAAAGATGTCAGACAACAATCATTTAGGAACAAGCAACTTGAATGTCGATAGAATGAAGAGGAAAAGTAGAGCTGTATGGCAGACCAATGCCCCTTCAAATAACCCATATGCAAACGCACCATCAACCGGTCGTCCACGAAGTAGAAGTCGAGGCAACACGGCCGCTTCTATTTATGCCAATCCATACGCAGATGTAGGCAGTCAACATGGTGCAAATAATAACAGTAACAGTAACTTATTGGCTGTTCCCGGTTCTGGGTCAAGTCCTTATGGGGATCTTAATGCAAGCAAACAACATAATAGAAGATTAAGTATACATGTGTCAGCACGTCAGCATGGTCGTTCATTTTCTCAAGTCAATCCAATTGATGTTGCAAATCCACCACCATTACCAAATATAGCCGGACTTGATGTCAAGTCTTCTGAATTGTCAATTGCACAAAAGATATCGAAAGAAATCAGTCAAGGATCAGCTGCGGAAATTGATGATTACTACAAAACATTATTGAAACAACGTGATTTAATAAAGAGAGATATGAAGGATAATATCAATCAAAACCAAAAGAATATATTGCAATTGACTATTGATCTTAAAGAAACTCAAGAAGAATTGATGGAAATGAGAGGCAAAACTAAGGATTTATATGATGTGTTGGCTTTCTTTAGAGAAGCCGCTCAACGAAGATTGGATGCGGAATTCCAACCACAACCAAACCTGCCCCAAAAACAATCAAATAATCAATTGGGTCTCCCAAGCAATAGAAGAAAAGACCGTTCATCTATTATGGTACTTAAAAAAATGTGGGACCAAGAAATGCAGTCTTTGTTTAAAAATGTTGATGGGGCATCCAAATTCATTCAACCATTACCAGGAAGACACGTCGTTGTTGAAAGTGGTAGATGGCATGAGGTGAATGTTGGTAACTGGAAACCAAACAATCCGTCACATTTATTTGTGTTAAATGATTTGATATTGGTAACTATGAGGAAATCAACTTCACTAGAATCAGGTCATCAACTTAGTAGCAGTAATAGCAATAGTACTACTTCAAAGGGTAGATTACAAGCAGTCCAATGCTCTCCATTAACACAGGTGACATTGCAACAAATCAAACCACCAAAAGCAGATGAAAAATTGTACTATATTAATTTGAAGACAAAAGAATGGAGTTATGTGTATCTGACAGATAGATATGATCATTTTGTGAAAGTCACCGACGCATTCAATCGAGGCAGAAATGAAATGATCCAAAATGAAAGATTGGCTGATTCTAGAATTAGTTCCCCAACAACAAATGGTGAACCTACTGAAGAAAAGAGACAATTACGTGAGTCTTTAAGAAACTCGGGCACATTTAAAGAAGGAAATGGGATTGTTGACGAACAAGGTAATCGTAAAAGTGCCGGCACACCAAATAGAAATAGTACAGATCAAGTCTTACATGATATTTCCGCAAGGGTCCACTCACGAAATAGATCCCATGATTTTGGTACAACTACTAAAATTGCAGCCAGTACAGCAAATGGGAAATCACAATTCTTTAATGAAATCAAAACTTTGGAAGATAGATTGGATGATGTTGATGTTGAAATTTCTCATAATCAATATAGTGAAGCCGTGGATTTGATTGCTATTATTGAAACGAAATTACGTATGATTGAAACTGCTTTGATGAACCAAAAGAATAACAAAAATCTTAATATCAATGACGAATTGTTGCTTTTGGATGTATCAAAATTAAAGATTAACAACAGAAAAGAAAATGTCTCAAATGGTTTGATTTTTGATTTGCAACACAATGTATCGAAATTGAAACAAGATGAAATAGAGACTATATTGACATTGTTTGATAGTTTAAATCAACTAGAGAAAGGAGTACAAGCTTATTTAGATTCCATGTCTTCATGTTTATCAAGTACTGTTTCAAAATTAATTGTTGGATTGCAAGGATCTACAAAGATTGATGTGGTCAACTACCTTTCAAACTTGATGGTCATCAATGTTTCCATTGTCAGAAGAACCATGCAAAATTATGAATCCATAATTGCTCCTATTTTACAACGTCACGGAGATGTTGATTCAAGTGGATTGATCAATTGGTGCATTGATGAATTCACTAAACTTTCGAAGCAAATCAAGAAACATCTTTACGGTACTTTATTGATATCAACTGGTATTAATCCAGAAACTGATGAACCTATATACAAAGTTAAAGATAGAAAATTATATGATAATTTCTTGGAAATTATGCAACCACAATTAGAAGATTTGAAACTGGTTGGTTTGAATGTTGATTATATATTTGAGTCTCTATTAAACATTGAATAAATAAATAAATAAATAAATAAATAAATATGTTGTTGCTGATTTATAATTTGGCGTATAATTCCCTGACATCGTATTTCTCTCTGAAATAAGCCCCATGTTTCTTCAAGTATACTAAAACCAATGAAGAAACTACTAAAATACCTGTGATAATACTAAATAAAATTCCTGGACCAATAGCTCTTAACAAAGGTTCAACGATAAAAGTAGCAACAGCAGCTAAAATCATACGAATCAAATTATTCAATGCAACACCAGTAGCACCTTTACCAGGTAATGTATCAACTAAATAGGTAACTGTAGCACCAATAACAAGCATTGAAGCAAATCCAAATAATGCAGTACCAACTAATGGAACTAACCAAAAGACACCATATTTTAAAGTCCAACCAAAAATCATACATGCCATTGGGAAAAGAATTATAGCAAGAACAATGTTCCAAGAAATTCTTGATTCTGGAACTAATTCACCATGTTTTTCAGCATATTTGTTTAATAATCGATCATTCCATCTACCTCCAATTAGTGAAGCCAAAAAATAGGTAACTGAATTAGGAATATACATCAACCCAACAATGATCTCTGAAAAATTGTATGGATCTCTTGAATATTCATAGGAAATTGTCATGTTGAAAAAGTAGATTGCTGCAAATGAAATAGCCGAAAATGTTATAACTAATGCAACCGGTGGATGTTTTAACAATATAATTGAATGTAATGGACGAACAACCATATCATATGCATTGGTCTTGAATTCCGCCCATTTATCTTGTTTAATAGATGTGGAGTCAAGAATATTGGTAGCAGATCTGTGTAATTCTCCTGATACATAGTCTTGTTGTACTCTCTGGGAATACGTTGATCTGTTAGTCGTTAATCGAGATATACTTGGCATGACAGGGTCAACTACTGGGACATCGTCCTCTTGTTCTTCTAAGAATGTCAAAATAGATCTTGCATCTGATCTACGACTGAGGTTTGTTGCAATTCTTTCAAGATCAGCTTGTTGATCACGGTTGGAATCATTGGTAACTGTAGATTCTTGATCATCGTTTCGTTCAAGTTTTTCTTTCTCCATCGCTTCTTTAACAAACTGAATGTTATCAACTCTTCTTAATGTTTCTGGTAAAAGGAATGTAAGTGAAACAAGACTACAAGAAGCAATTATCATCAATAACCATTGAGTAGCTCTCCATCCCCAAGCTTGAGCAACAGCACCACCCAAAATAGGTGCCAAAAATGGACCCATAAGGGGACCTAAATAATACATCCCCATGGCAACACCACGTTCTTGTGGAATAAACAAATCAGCAATGGTACCGGCACCCACAGCTTGAACACTTGCTGAACAACCACCTTGTAGTACTCTAAGAACAATTAAAGCTGCAATACTAGGACTCAATGCTGTACCAATTGAGAATCCAACAAACATAATAAACGATATCATATACACGCTTCGTCTACCAAATCTTTCACTAAAAGACGACCACCACATTGGGAAAATACCTAGTGATAATAAATAAATACCAACGGATACATTAACTGTAGATACAGAAGTATGCAAATCTGATACGATATCATCAATAGCAGGTAACATTACAGATGTACCAAAAGGACCTGTAAGTGAAGCAACTGCAATAATGAAAACAATGATATATTTGATCTTGATAGGATAATCCCTAGCATCATGATATTCTGGGATGAGAACAACCTGTGCAAATAAACCTCTTCTATTTTTTAATGGCACACGATTTGACTTCATAGAAGTTGCATTAGATTTTGAAGCTGCCAAGGAAGACTGGTGTTGATTTTGTGCAAGTCCATCCAGATGTGATAATTCTTGAGGTCCTGAATGTTGTGATTCTATAGATGATAAACCATCTTCTAGTTCATTTAAACGTCCTAAATTAGGTTCCACGGTGTGGCGGTAAGTTTCATGGTGATCTGCCTGGTCTTGTGCTTCGGGAGATTTTTCAGTGTGGGGAACTGGATGAACTTGACTTTCATCTAGGTTTGGTTGAGTATCTGTAGATGCTAATGAAGTGGCTTCATCATCTGACCTATGTGGGATCAGATCTGTGTTGTTTGGCATTATGCAAGGATTGAAATACTTGGAATAGTTAAAATTTAGAATTTGTGTATGATTATGATTAGCTCTTTTTAATTGGTCTTCTCTGGGGGAGGTTTTGCTTTGGAAGAACTAGTACTAAAGAAAGGGATCTTGTTGTAAATAAATATGAGGTTTATGAAAAGTGTTCGATGTTGAGGATATAGTGTAAGTTGTGCCTCACTTTAACATAGATCTTTAAGTAAAAATGTTGATTTATTCAAATACAGAAAGAAACTTTATAGTTCATGTGAGATAATCTTAGCGCTAGCCAAAATTAAGAGCAAAGGAAAAAGAAAAGTTAAGCGGAAAAGAAAAAGAAAAAAAGTTCTCAACATCGAAGGACGAGGAGGAGGAGGAGGAGGAGGAGAAGAAGAATATGATGATGATGAATTAATGAAACAAGAAACGGAAAAGGAAAATTATAATAACACCGCTTTTGTTTCATTAACCCTTGCGTTTACTAATATATCGAATAATAAAATGACGCTTATTGTTATTGGTGAGATGTTCAGCGCGTATACTAGTTGGAATCAACACGGATCTTTATCTCGTTGAATAGAGTAATGGCTTTGTTGATATCATGTCGAGTTACCGTTATAAGTTCCTACATTTCCACCTTGAACAACTGTTGAACTTGTTTATAGCTACTCGTAGATCAAGAGATGGTAGACATTGTCTTTCTATAAAGAACCATAGATCAGTTCTAAGTTTTTGCTCTTTTCTTTTATTGCGCTTCAAATTCCTTGTGAGTCATTGTGGATGGATATATGCAGACCGGAATTATCACGAAGTTAATAACTCCACCCACAAAAAAATCCACAACCCAACAATTAACCACAATTATTTTATTTCTTCTATTATAATTGATAACGAACGGCAATAAAAAAAAAAACTGACATTCTTCAGTGAAAGCAAATGAAAACTCGATACAAAGCCACTTTTATTGTAAGCCTCGTCTGTTGTATTGCTCTTCTGTAAGTATTACTCATTCTTGTGAATTTACTTTTAGCCCATAGTTATGGCTAAATTTCCTAAACCAGAAGAGCAAGATTCTATTTGCATAGATTGGTAATTAAAACCGACGGCCGATAAGGTTAAAAAAAAACTTTATGTAATAGTTCGTATATATTGCATATTCAATACCCATGAACCTATTCTACTTTTCATTAATCGGACCGTGGTATTTAGTTATCTCCGGTTAGTTCGCTATAGTTCGGCGTTACTACATTTCCCATGACTCCGCATGAAACTAAATTTTCTACCCTTTCCCCACCGCGACGCACTACGTATCACCGCCATCTGCGGTGCCCAAAAGTCCCTCCCTACCGCGCGGCAGTCGTCATCTGATCACGCGCGTTCCAACGATTTTAGTTTTGTTGGCATTTCTGTTTGCCCTCTAGTATTTTTTTTTTGTCTGTTTGTTTTTAGTACCAGATTTCATCTATTCATCTTCCATACAACCCATCAAGATTCTTACCAATTAACTGGATGCTCTATCGATAATGAGTTCCAGACATTCATTGCCCGTGAGCATAATTAGAACAGCATTCATAATCCCAATATTCATTCTTGGGTGTTTATGTACAGTATTTACCCAATGGTTGGCATTATTAGTTCTCCACAATAAATCAGATACCATTCAAGCAATTATTAATATTACTAAAAATCATTTTGTTATATTGTTATCATTTATTACTCAAATTGTCAATCCATCAAAGATTGAAATCACAATTGATACTACAACTGTACCAGATGCTCAACAATTCAAAGTTGATGAATCCGGTAATTTGCACACCATGTTCCAGCCAAATTCGATTCTTATTTCCAACCACCAGATTTATACAGATTGGTTGTATTTATGGTTCTTGACATATACTTCGAAATTGAGTGATTCTGTTTTCATTATTTTGAAGGATTTATCTAAGATTCCAGTATTGGGATATGGTATGAAGAACTACAATTTCATGTTCTTAAGCAGGAAATGGGAAAAGGATAAGATTGTATTAACAAATCAGTTATTGGAAATTGATGCCAATGCTAGAGGAATGGGACCTGCCAATGGAGTAAAATTGGTAAGTACAACAGATAAAACATTTACAAAATGGCCACAAGGTAAGAACTCTGATAAGATCTGGCCTTATGAATTGATTTTATTTCCCGAAGGAACCGTACCATCCGATAGAACTACAAAGAAGTCCGCTGAGTATACTTCTTCTAAAGGTTTACCACCATTGAAACATGTTTTATTGCCTCGTGTAAGAGGCTTGTTCCTTGCATTGAAAAAGTTACGAAGCACCGTTGAAGTCGTGTACGATATAACCACTGTCTATGGAGGTTTGACTGAAGATCAATATGGAGAAATTGAATACTCTTTGAAACGTTTCTATTTGAGAGGTTATGGTCCTCCAAAGATCAATTATCACATTAGGGGTTGGAGATTGAAAGATATTCCATTAGGTGAAGACGTAGACGATATTGATGATATCCCAGAGGAAGATTTGAAAAAGTTTGAGAATTGGCTATTGGGTATTTGGTACGATAAGGATAAGCTTATGCAAAATTTCTATACTCATGGTAAATGGCCTGAAACAAAATATGAAACAAAGTCTATTATTGGTGATTTTAAGTTAAGAAATCAATTAGAAATTTTTACCCCTTATTTGGTTGCCTTTTCTGCAGTTTTGTTACTAAGAATTGCTTATATTTTTATTAAAAGTATTTTCGTATAGAGAGATATACATGTATACACGGCATTAAACAGAGGATTGCTTCCCAATTGTAAAACAGCTCAATGGTTTCATCGATTATAAAAGCACAAACCCCACATTTCTTGAGTATTTCCTATTCTGTGATTCCATCAATGAATACTCTACTCTAATGGTCAATTACAAAGTGAATGTTACATTCATCATATTGTTGGAAGGGTTTATCACACTCGGTGCAAGTAGTATATTCTGTGGCGCACGACCGTTTTTTTAATTTTTGTGCAACATTTATAAAACGCACTTCGAACATTTTATAAACTCACACTCAGTTGTAATAATTCATTCATGTTTCACTTTATTCTTGTAACAGCAAAAATAATTAAGACTTGTAATTTTATGATGTTGAAAACCACATCTATGCTCTCCAAACCATGTTTCAAATGTGATTCATCGGTCTACCTCGAGTATATTTATATGAATTGCTTTATTTCCTTGTCTGTAGAAATTATTTTTTTTTTTTTTTCATTTAGTAGCAATTGCAAATCAACAACTATGGCAGTAGCATTATCCAAAGCACTTATTTTTTTAACTGTGATTATTCAATTTATAGCAACTGCTTTGTTAAGTTTCCTACTACTTGGTTGTATTGATAAATCATCCAACTACTCCAATGTATTCTTGTTAAATTATAAATTCAATCTGACATCTCCATTATATGGAGAATTATCAACTAAATCACTTAACTCCACCTCATTAGATGCTTTATCCATTAGAGTTGGGTATTTGGGTGTTTGTTTATCACAAGACAACGACTTAACATGTACAACATATGCTCAGCTAGAATCATTCCCAACTTATTCTATTTCTATATTAGATGGAACTTTGGATTTGGTTAAATTAGCTCAATCATTTAGTAGTATCTGTCATCCAAGAATTTTATTTGCCACTATAGTTTTGACACTTGTTAGTTTGTTACTCCTATGTTATATGTTAATTCCTTTGGTACCTGGTAAGTTTATAGTGATAAAAGTAAACACTTTATTTACATTCTTGAATCTTTTATTATGGGGATTGGGTTCTATGTTACAGCATCAAGCAGTAAGTACATCAGCAGTAATGATGAGAGAATCAAGTCTTCAATTATTAGTTGGATCTTCTGGAGGTAGGGCGGAAGCAATGACTTGGACTGCTTTTAGTTTCATTGTTCTTGTATTTCTAAGTTTGTGTTTTGGTGTATGGACGGAATTCAAGAATAAACATGCTTCAACTACAAATGTAGCTCCACCTCCAGTTATGCAAAAAGTTTAATGAAATTTTTAAACCAATTTTTGATTAAAATACTTCTTGGGAAAGAAAACTCAAATAAATATATAAATTGTTCTTGATATTATTCACATTAGTATATCTAATATAAACCAATGATACCCAAGTCATGATTATTTTTATGAGAAGTTATTTGCAGATTCAATGATGAGTATATTCTCGGGTTTTTCGTTTTTTGCAGCTCTATTGGTCGTGTTGTATGTTCAAATGCGTGCACTGTGACCAAGACACGTAAGTTTTTAGAATTATCACTCTACGTTATAATTAAGACCTCAATTTGGAAGCAATCACTCTGGAAGTTTCTGCAAATAAAAGTTTTAATGGTCTCTATGTTTTTGACAAAGTTTGAATCCAATTATCATATTAAATAGTATATATATTACTGTCAATTATCATTAGAGACCAGGTCGTGCTTCTCCCAAATTGAACCGTGTACACTACCGAATTTGTGAAAAACAATTTCCACATTTCGAGAATTTTTTTTTTTTTTCAGTTCTTTTCTGTTGTTTATACAATCAACACAAACAACTTCTTCTCCTATTTAGTTCAACTATACAAGGACACAACCGAAAGGAAGGAGTTGTAAATCATTATAGAGCGATAGAAGATTAATATCAGATTCCATGATGTCCTCAACGTCACAGATTGACGCATTTGTCACGCGGCTCAACGATTGTGAAAATGATTATACTGCCAAACATTCAATCTTGTCTGAATTGTTGGATACTATGGACACACTCAATGGAGCTTCTGAATATGAATATTTCTTGAAGAACTTGGTGCCAATTTTTATGAAGGAGTTGAATGATGTTCCAATTTCTTTTATAAGCACTTCTCCTGCTCATAAGTTAAGAAACTCGATATTAGAAATCATTCACAGATCAATTATGAATGAAACTTTTCAACCATTTTCAGAAGAAATTTTAAATACTTTAACAAAAATCATAGTTGATGAAAACGAAGAAAATGGGGTATTAAGTATGAAAATTATTACTGGTTTACATAAAACCTACAAAAACAATTTGAGTGAGAAAGTACAACCATTTGTTGAAATTATTGGCACAATTTATGATAACATGGATAAAACAGTGCATGATGTATTTAGTGACGAGGAAAAACACGATAATAATAACTCAAAGGATGAATCACCAGCTACCACTGGTGGATTCAATGAAGAAACACCAACAAAGACATTGAACAAAGCCATGTTTTCATTCAAAACTTTAGCAGAATGTCCAATTACTATGGTTTCTTTATATCAATCATATAAACAACTCGTGTCAACATCATTACCACAATTCTTGCCCAGAATAATCCACATCTTAGAATTACAAGTGGAGCAACAAAAACAATTTAGAGCACAATCCGAAAACAATGTTGTTACTTCCATATCTCCACAAATAAAAAACAGACAAGCGTATAGTGATTTCATCCTTGGTCAAGTTAAAGCAGCATCATTCTTGGCTTATGTGTTTATCAGAGGATACGCCAGTCAACACTTGAAACCTGAAGAAAGTAAATGTGTTCCCGATGTTATTTTGAGATTACTACAAGATTGCCCTGCAGAATTGTCGATTGCTCGAAAGGAGTTATTACATGCAACAAGACATATTTTATCCACTTCATTCAGAACACATTTCATTCCTAAGTTAGAGCTTTTATTCAATGAAAAGATATTGATTGGCGATGGATTAACTTCCTATGATACTTTACGACCATTGGCATACTCAACCGTTGCTGATTTCATTCACAACGTGAGAAACGAATTGACACCATCACAAATTTGGTCAACTGTGAACATATATTGTGATTTGTTGAAAGACGACTCGCTTGCATTGACTGTTCAAATTATGAGTGCTAAATTGTTACTTAACTTGGTTGAAAGAATTATGAAATTACCAAATAAACTCGAAGGACGTCAATTGTTTTTGATAATCATTGATTCATATGCAAAGAGATTTGCCAGCTTGAACAGAAAGTACGATTACATAATTGCCAAACATAATGAATTTGAAAAGAAGAAAAGTACAAAGGAGAAAAAGGCAAAGAAAGCTGTTGAAAGATATTCGTCCAAGTATGAAACTGAACATGATCAAGAGGAGGAAGAACAGAAATCAGATGAATCTAATGATGATTTAATGGATATCGATTCAGATGTTAATGGTAAACCCGAAGTTGATGAAAATCTTCCTCTCGACATGTTTAATATAGATTCATACTCCCCAATTGCCACTTATCCCTCTACCAATAACAGTGATGTTTTGAAAGATGCAAGATACTTGTTTAGAACATTAATGACATTTTTGAAATCAGTGATATTTGGATTGAAGAACTGTAACCCGCCAGTTCCCCCTCAACCAACTTCAACTGATCCAAACAAACCTGGTCAACAAGTCAACTATGACAAATGGAATGATTCAGCCAAATTAATATCTCATGAAGAAGTTAATATTTTACGTGCATTGTTTAGAGGTGGTATCAATTGTCTTCGTTTCTTTTCAGTTACCAAGGCCAAACCGGTAGTTCCACCTAAAACCGTTGATTTTTCCACTGGTGGACCCAACTTACCAATTACATCATCTAAAGAAGAAAAAGATTTGATGGAAATTTTTGCAACTATTTTCATTCACATAGACCCTGCCTCATTCAATGAAATTGTTAGTTCCGAATTACCATTTATGTTTGAGTCAATGTTGGAAAACGCTGCATTGTTACATTTGCCTCAATTCTTCTTAGCCAGTGAAGTTACATCTGCCAATTTTTCAAGTATTTTGATTTCTTTTCTTAAAGAAAATTTGGATCAATTAGGAAAAGTAGACTTGATAAAGTCAAACATATTAACCAGACTTTTCAAGCTTTGCTTTATGTCGGTGAATTTATTCCCTACTACCAATGAAGGAGTGTTGTTGCCACATTTGAATTACTTGATATTGGAATCATTGAAGCTTGGCACTAAAGCAGAAGAACCTATTGTTTATTCATATTTGGTTAGAATTCTTTTCAGAAGTATTAGTGGTGGAAGATTTGAAAACTTGTACAAAGAAATTATGCCAATTTTGCCAGTATTGTTGGAAAACTTAAACAAGATGATTGCCAATGCTAGACGACCATATGAAAGAGATATCTATGTTGAATTATGTTTGACAGTTCCTGTAAGGTTATCTGTTTTGGTTCCTCATTTAAGTTACTTGACAAGACCGTTGGTTTATGCATTGAATGGTTCACAAGAGTTGGTTAGTCAAGGATTGCGTACCTTTGAATTATGTGTTGACAATTTGACTGCTGAATATTTTGATCCAATGATTGAACCTGTCATTGACGAAATTATGGCTGCATTATGGAAACATTTAGAACCTGTACCGTACCATCATCAACATTCCCATACTGCTATTAGAATATTGGGTAAATTGGGTGGAAGAAACCATCGTAATTTCAAACCATGCAACAAATTAGTGACTCAACTGGAATTAGATCAAGAAATCAAAGCCTTGTTCCAGATTCATGGATTACAAGGTGAAGTTCCTGTATCCATCACACCAGGCGTTGAATCTGCGGTAAAACTTCTTGAAGATCCAAGATTAAAGATCCATTATAGAATTAGTGCGTTTAAATACTTGGCTAGTATCTTGAAATTGTTTATTGACACAACCCCGATTCCAGAAGATTTCCCTAAATTTGTTAATGAAAGTATCGAGTTTTTGAAACATGAAAAGCATGATAGTGGTGACAATGTTGAATTGTCACCATCAGATATTAAGAATGGTGAGAAATTGGATCGTCAACAAGGATTATTTGCCAAGTTATTGGAAATGTTATTCTTTTCTGTATCAATTCCCGAATTAAGAGACGAAGCAAGTACTTTAATCGATGGTCTTACTACACATTTTACTTTACTTAGAGTTTACAGTTCTGTTATTGAAAAGACGAAGAAGGAAAGAAAATTCTCAGTTGATGATAATGAGGGCAAAGCTTATATTGGTGAAAGCGTATTTTTGAATTCATTGAATTATGCATTGAGTTTCTGGGATAAAGATGTTAGACAAAAGGGTATTGATTCAATCAAGAAGATTTATGATACCTCAGTTACTATATTTGGATCTGAAGATAATGCTTTGTATTTCCCAGTATTCAGATCTATGTTCTACAAGTTTACTCATTGTTGTTATAATGAATACTACCATGCTAAATTAGGTGGTGTACTTGGTCTTAAAACCATGTTCCAAGATTTGAAAATTCCACCAAGCTGGTTCAATAAAAGGCAATTTGAGTTGGTACGTTCAATATTCTTTATTTTGAGGGATACTCCAGAAACAGCTCCATTTGAAGTTCGTGAATCTGCAAAAGAGTTGGTTTTGTCTCTTTTGAAAACTTGTAACACCGGTATTTCCAAAGAAGCTGTTGCCGATAAATCATTCCAAACCCTTGTTGGTGCATTGGTATACGATTTGGCTAGTCCAACTCCTATGGTAAGAGAAGTTGCCCAAAAGTGTTTGGGTGTATTATCCGATACCACTGGAGTTCCAATTGCCACAATTATCGGTCCTTGCAAACACTTGTTATTGACACCTATTTTTGGTAAACCACTACGCGCATTGCCATTCCCAATGCAAATTGGAAATATTGATGCTATAACATTCTGTTTAGGCTTGCCAGATACTTTCTTAACTTTCAATGAAGAATTGAACAGATTGTTGTTGGAAGCATTAGCATTGGTTGATGCTGACGATGAATCTTTAGCTAACGTTCACCGTCTTACTGAGTATAGAACATCGAAACAACTTATTGAGTTAAGAGTTGTTTGTATCAAGTTGTTATCCTTGGCATTAACCAAACCAGATTTTTCTTTAGGAACACTAGGTGAAGCAAGAATTAGAATTTTGGGTGTTTTCTTTAAAGCATTGTGTAACAAATCTACTGAAATTATCAATGCCGCTCATCATGGGGTTGGCATCAAGTTTGCAAGAAAATGCCAAGTTGCCAAAAGAGTTGTTACAGAACGGTCTTCGTCCAATGTTGATGAACTTATCCGACCATAAAAAATTGACTGTTCCTGGTCTTGAAGCATTGGCTAGATTATTGGAATTATTAATTTCATATTTTAGAGTTGAAATTGGTAGAAAATTGTTGGACCATTTGATGGCCTGGGCTCAAATCAACACTTTAAGACAAATTGCTGGTCAAGATCTTGAGAATAACCATACAGTACAAATTGTAATGGCAATTTTGAATATTTTCCATTTATTACCTGCCAAGGCATATACATTTATGGAAGAAATTATCAACACTTTACAATATTTGGAAGGTCACTTGGATCGTCACCAGGATTCACCATTTAGAAAACCAGTTTCCAAGTTTTTGAACAGATTTGCTGAGAACTGTATTGACTATTTGATTGCGAACTTCAAGTATCGTAAATTAGGTAACATGTTAGCTACTATCACAGGTATGGATGGTTGTGATAACTTGAGAAAGATTGCCAAAGAAAAATTAACAGTATTTGTTGAAGATGTCCAAAATGAACCTGATAAGGAAGTCAAGATTGTTAAATTTGCTAACTTGATCGATTTGATCGAAGCTATTAGTAAACATGACGATGTTTGGTTCAATGACCAAAAGGAATTATTGTTAACACTTTCTAAATTATTTGAACAAGTTTCTGATACTAAATCAACTGCTGCATTGTCTTCTGTTCATTTCCAAAGTGACCAAGCTATTGACAAGCTTCACAGATTGATAATTCTGTTCTTACAAAAAAATCCAAGGGAATTTGATCTATTGTTTGCGGTTGTTGATCGTGATTCAAAATTAAAGATTCCTGTTCCTACTGAAATTGAAGATTATATCTTTAATGATGTCATTGCTTCAACAGATCTTGAAAAGAGAGAATTACATTTGAAGAAAACCATTGAGTTTTCCAGTGATGAAGACTCTTGTTTGAAAGCAAAGATTTTCTTTTTGAAGAAAGTGTTCAATCCTATATTCATCTATGAATCTGTTACCAATGGTAAAGTCGATGATTTCTTTGTTAAGGATAAACCAGAATGGTTAGAATTGTTAAACAACAATATATGGAAATCAACGAAGGATATAATCACTGATCATACCTCAGGATCCATGGATAGTTATAGATTTGCATTACTAGAAGCTACTGCATTGTTACTTAAATTAGCTCCTAAGTTTATTTCTGATTTACGTAAAGACATTATTAAATTCAGTTGGAACTATATTAAGCTTGAAGACAGTATTACAAAACAAGTTGCATATGTAACAACATCCTATTTCATATCTGCTTATGATACTCCTGCAAAGTTAACTACTCAAGTTTTTGTTGCTCTTTTAAGAACTCACCAATCTGAATCAAGACATTTGGTCAAACAAGCATTGGATATTTTGGCCCCAGTGATGTCTGAAAGAATGAAGGAAGTAGACGCACCAGATAGTTGGTTGAAATGGCCTCGTCGTATTATTTCAGAAGATGGATTTAATGTCACCCAAGTTTTGAATGTTTATCAATTTATTGTTCAACATGCTGATTTATTCTTTGTTGCTAGAGAACATTTTGTTTCGAATATTATCACTGCCATGGGTAAATTGACTATCCTTGCTAATCCAGCAATTGAAAACCAAGTATTGGCTATTGAATTAGCTGAGTTGATTTTGTATTGGGAAAGAAAAGCCAAGAAGATCAAGGAAGAAGAAAAAGGCAGTGGCGAATCAGATTCAGAAAATGCTGAAAATGAATCAGATGGTGCTAACGTAAAAGAATCAGAGGAACCAAAGGAAAAAGAAGAAGAAACATCAACGTCTGAAACCAAATCCGAAGAGAAAGAAGATGAACCAGATACGGATATGAAAGATGCAGAAGTTGAACAAGCTAAATCAGATGGCGATTTTTCAACTTCTCCAAGCTATACAATTCCATTTGGTCAAAGAGAAGCATGTGTTACTTTCTTGATTAGATACGTCTGTATCAGCCCTCAAAGAGCTTCTGAAAGTGAATTGGGTCAAAAAGCTTTGGGTATTTTGTATGATTTATTAAGTCCAGAGCATTGGTCTGAAGTTGCAGTTAAACTTACATTTTTTGAAAAGTTCTTGTTGTCTCAAGATATAAACTCCAACAATTTATTAGGCTATTGTTTGAATGCATTAGAAGTGTTGGGTGTTGTTTTGGAATGGAAAAAACCACAATGGATTGTGTCCAACCTTTCATATCTTCACAAGTTGCTTGAGAAATGTATCAAGTCAGATAATCACGATATTCAAGAAGTTTTGCAACGTGTATTATGTACTATTTTGAAATCTATCAACGAAGAAAAAGGATTTGGTGAAGAAGAAGATGAAGAGGATGATACCAAAGAATTCATTTCATTGCTTACCACCACAGTTTCGGACGATTTGGGCGATATGTCATCAGTTGCAGCTGGTATCACCTTGTCATGGACTTTGGCAAATTACAAACCAACTACGTTAGACAGTTTGATGCCGATGATTATGAAAACTTTCAACAAGCTTTGTAAAGATCACATTACAAATACTCATCAAGGTAACCAAACATCTTCCTCCAAGGACAGTGCTAGTTCTGAACTAGAAGTTAAATTAACTACTAAATTGCTTGAGAAGATTCTTAACTTGTGCTCTATGAGAATTTCTAATTTGGGTGATCAAAGACGTATATTTTTGTCTTTCTTGGCACAGTTGATTGAAAGAAGCTTGGATAAAGATACTTTGGAAAAGATTATCAAGATTGTTAAAAACTGGGTCTTTTCTAAAACTGATTTGTTCCCAACCACAAAAGAGAAGGCTGCTATTTTGTCCAAGATGATGGTGTTTGAAATTAGAGGTGAACCTACTTTATCCAAAGAGTTTTACCAAATCATTGTCGATATATTTGAAGATGATTCTTTTAGTTGTACTGAACTTACTGTAAGAATGGAGCAACCATTCATGGTAGGTACCAGATCAGTGGATGTATCAATCAGACGTAAGTTGATGTCGATTTTGAACAACAGTTTGGAGAAAGATATAGCCAAGAGATTGTACTATGTTATAAGAGAACAAAATTGGGAATTCTTAGCTGACTATCCATGGTTGAATCAAGCATTGCAATTGTTATTTGGATCTATCAATGTCGAAAGAGGTATTAGTTTGGTTAACGATGAAAACAAATTATCACCATTGCGGACATTGTCGTTCCCAGGATCATCAGATCAGATGGAAGTGGATAGTCACAATGAAGGATTGAATGAATTATTGAAGAAGCACTCTGAATTTTTAGAGAGTATTGACAATTTAAAGGCTGGTGATTTATTGGAACCATTGGTTGATATGTTTTACCAAAGTGGAGAAACTATTCATAAGACATGGGCTACATTCTTCCCAATTGCATTTTCTTCAATCCCACGTTCTGAAAACTTGGATTTCACTAGATTTTTGGTTATCTTATTGTCAAAGGATTACCATACTCGTCAAATAGATTTGAGACCAAATGTGATTCAATCATTGTTAGAAGGTATTTCTCGTTGTGATACATTACAATTGCCACCATTTGCAGTTGAATGTTTGGCATCTAATTTTGATGCTTGGTCACAAGGCATTCATATTCTTGAAACTATTGATACTCAGGCAGTAAATGCCAGTGCCGATGTTCGTGAAGTCACTGAGGATGCTTTAGCTAAATTGTATGCTACTTTGAAGGAAGATGATATGTTTTATGGTCTTTGGAGAAGAAGAGCCAAATATGCTGAAACCATTGGTGCACTTTCTTATGAACAAATTGGTCTTTGGGACAAAGCTCAACAGTTGTATGAAACTGCACAAATAAGAGCAAGAAGTGGAGCATTACCATATGGTGAATCAGAATATGCACTTTGGGAAGACCATTGGATACTTTGTTCCGAGAAATTACAACACTGGGATATTCTTACTGATCTCGCCAGACATGAAGGTTTCTCTGATCTCCTTTTGGAATGTGGTTGGAGAGTTGCTGATTGGTATAATGATAGAGAGACATTAGATCAAACGGTTAAGAATGTCATGGATGTTCCTACTCCAAGACGTCAAGTATTTGAAACATTCTTGTGTTTACAAGGATTTGGTCAAGAAAAGGAAACTTTACAAGATTTGTCTCGATTGTGTGACGAAGGTATTCAATTGGCATTGCGTAAATGGCATGGATTACCAGAAAGATTTTCTAATGCTCATATTCCATTGTTGCATACTTTCCAACAATATGTGGAGTTTATGGAAGCAAGTCAAGTATATGCAAGTTTGGTTACTACTAATGCACAAAACTTGGATTCCAAGTCTCAAGAATTAAAGAGAGTATTACAAGTTTGGCGTGAAAGATTACCAAATATTTGGGATGATATCAATATTTGGAACGATTTGGTCACTTGGCGTCAACACGCATTCCAAGTTATCAACAAAGTGTACATGCCATTTATTCCTGTGTTGCAGCAAAACAACAATGGAAGTAACGCTAATTCTTATGCTTATCGTGGGTTCCATGAAATTGCTTGGGTTATTAATAGATTTGCTCATGTTGCTAGAAAACACAACATGCCTGAAGTTTGTATCAAAGAATTGACTCGAATTTATCAATTGCCAAATATTGAAATTCAAGAAGCATTTTTGAAATTGAAAGAACAAGTAAAGTGTCATTACCAAAATACCAACGAATTGAACACTGGTCTCGATGTTATCAGTAATACTAATTTGGTTTATTTTGCTACTCAACAAAAAGCTGAATTTTTTACATTGAAAGGTATGTTTTTGAATAAATTGAATCAAAAGGATGAAGCTAATAAAGCATTTGCAACCGCTGTTCAAATTGATCTTCATTTGCCAAAAGCATGGGCAGAATGGGGTATGTTTAATGACCGTCGTTTCAAAGAAAATCCAAATGATATGGTTTATGCCAACAATGCCATCAGTTGTTACTTACAAGCAGCTGGTCTTTACAAGAATGGAAAGACTAGAAAATTGTTGGCTAGAATCTTATGGTTGATTAGTTTGGATGATGCTTCAGGAACATTGGCGCAAGCATTTGAAAATTTCCGTGGTGAAGTTCCAGTTTGGTATTGGATCACTTTTATTCCACAATTGTTGACTTCTTTATCACACAAGGAAGCTAAATTGGCTAAACAAATTTTGGTTCGTATTGCCAAGAGTTATCCACAAGCATTACATTTCCAACTTCGTACTACAAGAGAAGAATTTGCAGGTCAACAACGCCAAGCTATTGAAATTGCTCGTCAACAAGCTGCACAAGCACAAGCACAAGCTGCTGCTGCCGCCGCCGCAACAACTACCTCGTCTGCTGCTAATAGTACTGGTGCAGCTACATCTACTACTGGACAAGCCAATTCTCCATCTGCTGCATCTCCAGGAAGTGATAAACCTGCTAATGGTGAACCACAATCTAAGGAACAAAATGGTGATTCGACAAGGAAAGAATCAGCAGGTTCTCCATCGTCACAATCACAGCAAAGTCCACAACAGGGTCAAAAACCACCGCCACAACAAATCACTATCCCACTTTCTGTACGCCAACCATTGGAGCATGTGGATGATGTGATGGCTATTTTGAAGACGGCCTATCCATTGTTGGCACTTTCATTGGAATCATTAGTTGATCAAATCAATCAAAGGTTTAAGTGTACTGCAGATGAAGATGCTTATAGATTATGTGTTGCTTTGCTTAACGATGGTATTCAATATTTGAACAGATTAGGTAATCCAAGAGAAGACGCCAAATTGCCTCCAGTTACTGAAGCTAATATCACCAGATTTGCAGAAACAGTTCTTCCAAAACAGATTAGAGCTGAATTTGAAAAGGACTTGGTTATTTCCAAACCAAGCTTGGAAACTTATATAAGCAAATTGAGAAAATGGAGAGATAGATTAGAAGACAAGTTGGATAGACGTATTTCTCAAGTCAATTTGGAAAATTTGTGCCCTCATTTAAGTGAATTCCATCATCAAAAATTTGAAGAGATTGAAATTCCAGGTCAATATTTGTTGAATAAAGATAACAATGCTCATTTTGTCAAGATTGAAAGATTCCTTTCTACCATAGATTTGGCTCGTGGTACTAGTGCTTGTTACAAGAGATTGAGAATTCGTGGACATGATGGTAGTTTGCACACATTTGCTGTTCAATTCCCAGCCGCTCGTCATTGTCGTCGTGAAGAGTCTGTGTTTCAACTTTTCAGAATTTTCAATGATAGTATATCTAGAAAAGTTGAAGCTCGTCGTCGTAACATTCAGTTCACTTTACCAATTGCTGTTCCATTATCTCCTCATATTAGAATTGTCAATGATGATACTAGAGATATTTCTTTGCAAAAAGTTTATGAAGATTTCTGTAAAAAGAATGATAAGAGTCGAGATGAACCATTTATTTATACGGTTGAGAAATTAAGAGCTGCATATGATCAAAGATTACCAAAGCCTGATTTAACTAGTGTCAGAGTTGAAATATTGAGTGCTATCCAGACTTTATTGGTTCCAACTACTGTATTGAAGAATTATTTCATTGATTTGTATCCAAACTTTGAAGACTTTTGGTTATTCCGTAAACAATTTACATCTCAATATGCATCATTTATTTTCACCACTTATATGATGTGTATCAATGCTAGACAACCACAAAAGATTCATGTTAATAAAGGTAGTGGTAGTGTTTGGACATCTGATATGTTACCTTACAAGATGCCAAATAAGAATGCATTGGATAATGCACAGCAACAACAAAATGGTAAACCTGCTCCAATTTTTGTCAATGCTGAACAAGTTCCATTTAGATTAACTCCAAATATTCAAAAATTGATTGGAGAAACTGGATTGGAAGGTATTTTATCAGTTTACATGTTGTGTATTGCTAGAGCATTATTGGAACCAGAATCTGATTTGGAGCAATATTTGACATTATTTGTTAGAGATGAAGTTGTTTCTTGGTTACAACAACATGACAAGAGCGTTTTGAATAGTCCTGATAAACAATTCCGTGATATGGTTAGATTAAATGTTGAAAGTATAATTAGAAGAGTCATGACTATGGGACATGTTTCATCAAATAATGCCGTTGCAAACCAAAATGCATTAGAATTGATTTCACAATCTGTTAATCCACGTAATTTGGCAACTGCTGATACATTATGGATGGCTTATTTTTAGGATGACAGCAATCCATGATATTTTGTATATTAGATTTTATTATTCAATTTTGTATATTTTTTTATAAGAGAATAAATTTATTGTTATTATTATCAATATTATTATTATTAACATTCTCAACAACTATCACTACTAGTATATCAACATCAAAGGGAATAATATCGATCCTGTTTGAGTCTATATTCTTCAATTGATTCAGGAGTTAAATTCAATTGTTTGTTTCTTTTAACAACTCTACGATCAACTTTATTAGCAATATATTCTAAAGCTTTTTCACAAATAATCAACAATATTAAAACACATAAAGTTGCCAGGATTGAAAATATTAAACTTATAATATGAAAGAAATTAATATATTTATCAACTCTTGTTTTTAATATAATTTTACCTCGTTCTTTTTCAATTTCAAACATTTCTCCAGCTTTTAAACATTCAATTACTGTAATTATATTTAAAATTAATCCAATAAATTCCAATATAAATGAAGTAAATAAACAACGTAATGAAAGTATAGTCGGTATAGTTCCTGAACATAATGGTAAAACCAGGGCATTAATTACAAACTATAAAATGTTAGTAAATAATAAAAAACTAAAACGAATTAATTATAATTTGATAATTATTGAGTGGATGAATGATTACATACCATTATTAGGATATAAATAGTTGAAATAATACAAATAGCAGGTCTATTTTCAATATCATCTAAAGGAACACAAATATAAATTAAAATGTATTGAATTAATAATAAAGTTAAATAAATTTTAAATATTTTTTTAAATATATTTAAATTATAAATACTTTCAATGCTTTCAATAATTATATTATTACCAACATTAATTCTTTGACCTTCTGGTAAGGGAGGATCAAATAATACGTTATGAACCATATGTTGAAAGATAAGATAATGATGATGATGATGATTGAGAATCCATTAAAATGATTTATTATTGGTAAAAGGGGAAAGTAAGTTTACTGAAAGTTGTTGAAGATAAAAAGAAGAAAAAAGTAAGGGGTTAAAAATAGTTGCAAAAATCTAAAATTCAAAAAAGTAATATAAACAGAGTGAGAAAATAAGAAGAAAGGAATTGTTTGAATTGCATATCAAAATATTGAATAATATCTAAAATTAAGGAAACTCTAGTAAATAAATAAATAAAATTGGATAAATACAAGAAAATTTAATAATAATTAGGGAGGTTTATAAGAGTGATAATTATTTAGGAATTGGTGGAAGATAAGGATTATTTGGACGATTAATAACTAATCTTTCATATAAATCTCTTTCAAATTTAGGAAAAATTTTCATATTTAATTCAACACCTTGATTTATCCAACATCCCCAACTACCCATCATATTAGCCATTAACATATCAGTAAATAATCGATCACCAATAATTAAAATTTCATTTTTTGCAATATTAAATTTTTTAAAATAATCTTCAATTTCATTTAAACATCCTGGTTTTTTAATTGAATGTCTTAATACTGTTACACCTGTATTCGATTCTAAAATTTCGGCTTGTTTATGATTAATATCATCGTTTGTTCCAGCAGAATTACTAACTATTAACAAGTGTTCTTTAGGATATGTTTCCTGTAATTTCTTCCATGTTTGCTAATAATAAATTGTTAGTATTCAAGATTGACTGTAGAATGAATTTGTTAAAAAAAAAAAAAGGCAATAATACATACTTCATACTCTGGCCAGACTTTATCATCATGATCTTTGGCAAAGCAATTATCTTTATCTAATACAACACCTTTAATTTGAACTTGAGGATGATTGGGGATTTTGAAAGGAATAGTTAATTGATCAAATGATTTAACTGTTAAATGAGGTAAACATAAACTGGGGTTGTATAATAATCTCGAGACGTTGACTGTTGCACTGAGATTAAAACCAAGCATTTTTCTAGTATGACTCTAATGACACCTTTCTCTTGTTTGTCCTTGTAGTAGTAATGTTGGTGTGTTGGAACCCGCAAAAACAGAAGAATGCATAATCACCACCATCATCATCATCATCATCACCATCCAGCGAGTAAGGCAACGCAACAACAAAACAAACAAAAATTGGGAAGGGCACGCGCGCAAAAAAAAAATGAAGAATGAAAAAAAAATTTTCTTTGTTCATACTTCTATTGAGTTGCATTAGTCATTCAAGATCAAGATCAAGACCAATTTCAGTCTACTACCAGTCATTACAATGTCCGATTCTGCAGACCAGAAGAAACCTACTACTCAAAGACGTTCTAGAGTCAGTAGAGGAGGAGCCAAAGCGCAACAGCAATCGAATAATCGTAGAGGATATCGCAAAAGAAATGATTCCAACAATGCTCAAGGAGATGATGAAGAAGAAGATATCCCTGAAGATGAACAATGTTTGATTTGTGCTGAGAAAATGGAAGTTGCAGCGTTAACTCCTTGTAATCATACAACTTGTCATAAATGTACATTTAGACAACGTAGTTTATATGAAAAATCCACTTGTCTTATATGTCGTACTGAAAATGATAAAATTATAATTACTGAACAAATTCATAAAGATTTTGGCGATATTACTGATAAGGATATTGTTGCAACGAATGATAAATACATCATTGAGTTTACTTCTAAATTAGCAGAGCATGAAACGTTGAAATTATTGGAAAACATTTGTTGTATATGTCATGAAACTTTCCCAGATTTTAAACCATTGATTGATCATGCTAAAGAAGTTCATAATAAGTTTTATTGTTTAATTTGTTCAAAATTTAAAAAAGCATTCAAATTGGAATTACCTTTGTTTACTTATAAACAATTGCAAAAACATCAAATTGAAGGAGATGGAGACGAATCTGGATTTACAGGACACCCTAATTGTAAACATTGTCAAGGTAAAAGATTTTATTCTGAAGATGAATTGAATGTTCATATTCGTGATAGGCATGAACGTTGTCATATTTGTGATCAATTGAATCCAAAAACAGCTGACTATTATAGAAATTATGATTCATTATATAATCATTTCACTAAACTGCATTATGTTTGTACAGTTTCAAGTTGTGTTGAAAAGAGATTTGTTGTATTTAGAGATGATTTGGATTTAACTGCACATATGTTGAAAGAGCATGGTGGGTTAACAGGAAATAATAATAGAGTTATCATTGGATCTAATACTCAACATTTCTCACAATTATCTACCTTTGATTCAAGAAGATCAGCAAATAACGGTAGATGGATGGGTGAAGATGATGAAGTTTTGCAACAATCTCCAGAAATTAAAAAGAAAAGATTTGAAGAAAGAGCTAGACATTATTTGAATTATAATAGTGATAAATTTAATGAATTTAAATCATTGAATAATAATTTCAAAAATAAAAGTATCACTGCTAATGAATTGTTTAACCTTTATAAACAAAATTTATTCATACATCAAACTCAAGAAGAATTGAATCTTTTAATTAAAGAATTTCAAGAGTTTTTCCCTAAAAATTCTGATTTCCATAAAGATTTATCAAGCATAATCAAAGAAAATGTTATTGAAAATTTCCCAGTATTGGGTGCAGCTCCAACTAATGATAATTTCCCAGTATTAGGTGGAAGTAGAAGTGGATCCACCACACCCGTTGGTGGTCAAAGTTGGGCTAATGGAGGAAGTAGTTCACGTAATAACTCATCATCCAATGTTGATAAATTCCCACCACTTAAGGCCAAACCAAAGAAGAAGGTTCTTTTAATGAATACTTCACCAGCCACAACCACAAGGACAATTATTCGACCAGTATCAACAACTGTCAAAAGACCTATTTCTACATTTACTACTGCACCAGTTACAGTTAAAGCTGCAACCAAACAAAATTTCCCAACATTGGCAAAGAAATCACCATCTACAATCCCAGGTCCAATTGCAACATCAACTCCATCTTCATCAGTAACTAGTCTTCCAATGATGACAGGAACAAGTTATGGAAGTGTGAATAGTGTATCGAGTAGCTCATCGTTACCTTCATCAAGAAACAGTTCCTCCACCAACTTGAACAGTAATGAACAATTCCCACAACTTCCAAAGAAAGTAAGTAAAAAGAAGGTGATTCCAAGAGTTAAACAATACAATATTCCGGATCCAAATGCATGGGGGAAATGATAGAGATTAGGAATCGTGTCTTAGATCTTGTGTAGATACATATAACAATAACAATGTACACTACATGGATTCATACAGGTTATTTAAAATAAAATAGATGAAAGTAAAATGAAGACTAAACTCTAGATGAGTTAGTTTGCGTGTCTGTGTCTGTGTTTGTAAGCGCCAGTTAAAATTTTCAAACACGAATTTTCTTTTTTTTTTTTTTTTTTTTTTTTTTTTGCTTGAGTGTAAAATTAGTTTGATTAGTTTTCCCCGGAGGAATAGCATGTTTGTTTAGCCTTCTTTTCATAGATCTGTAAAATGCTCCGGATTCAGTTGGAGAAAAGCCATGGGCCAATCAATTTGTTCGTGGCTTCCATGGAAGGAGAATTCAATGAAAGGGAATACAGTTAAAAAGTCACCTGAGAAACTCAAGACAGAAGAACAATGGTAGCACATTGTAGATGAATTGTGTGTGAAGTTCTTTATTTGATATTTTATAGTAACGCACAAGTAAGCCACAAATCTTCTGTCTTGCTAGAAACATCAAAACCGGTTTTGAAATAACCATTGCATAGGTGTTTTGTTTTGTGTTGGTGGTTATAGTTTTTTTAAATCCGATGAGTAATTTTGCTCTCTTTTTTTTTTTTTTTAGTTCAACCGTAGTATTACCGGAAAATGCATAGAACGGTTCTATATACCAATCGGTAACGATTACCGGACCATTTGTATTGACCAGAATTCAATTGACTAGTCATTTGTTCAACATTTACTTTGAGCAAATTTTTAATAAATGCATGAAATTAACGAAAAATAAAAAAAAGAAAATGAAAGACAATGGTATAATTAAAAGGGGAGAGATTAGAGAATGTCTAGATGGTCATGAATAACTGTCAAGTTCCTCCACAGATGATTAATGATGCTTCAACAATGGATGGTATGTTTCTTGTTAGTGGAAAAGAAAAATAAAAAACGGACCGGGAGGAGATGAGTGAAGAGAAGAGGAGAGAGAGGAAATGGATGAGATGGAACAAGAAGAAGAAGGAAGAAGAGGAGGTTTAAGAATATTTCAAGAGTAAGTTGAACCGGAAATTAATCTCCTCCTGGTTGGTTACGGATCGAAATTTCCTCTGCAAAAACTAAACAAGTAAACAAAAAAATAGAATTGAATTTTCCATGGATTTCGGTTCAACTTACCCACCAAGATTTAAGAATCGGAACTCGATTGACCAGTTAGAAATACCACAAATGGATGTCCAAGTCAAAGTGGAATCCCATTTTTGTCATGCCCCTCTAATGTCCAGCAGTACGTACACAGAACTCTAATATTTTTAATTTTTTACACCTGTGCCATTAGGGCTTTGGGAAGAATCGGTACAAGATCACCATTTCTAACGGATGTCACAATAGAATAGGGGTAGCGATGAGACATGGAGGCATGAGGAGTAGAGATATTTATAGAAGATTTCAAAAAAAGTCATTAAATCTATGATATCTTGTATGGTTTATTTTTTATTCTTTTACCATATGAGCCGTGGGATTTGCTAATTATTATTATTATTATTATTACTATCATGCTGCAGTAGTTTTAGTCAACGAGTGTAAAAATTCTTACTTTTGGCAAGGGAAAGCAAGGCAAGTAAAGTATTATAGCAAACGGCTAAATCGGCACTTTAGAATCAGTTTTGTTGATTAACTTGCATTTACTTGAAAATCGCTCTCTCTGTAAAGATGGAGACTACACCCGCACACCAATAGTGAGGCAATTGGTGAGAGAAATAAAAACGCAACAATAAGTCGTGTGCCAAGAGAGAAAAAAAGAAATTTTAATTATTGTTTGTATTTATTTTAGTTTTGTGTAATTAAGAGGTCATACATTAGTAATTCTTATTTTTACAACCAACTTTACTCTTTTCTAAGACAAACTCAAACAAACTGACAAACAAACAAACAAACCATACAACCAACAGACACACACACACACAACTAAACATTATATATAAACAAGCAACAATTTCCCACAGTTTTTTTTTTTATTTATTTATTATTTTTGGCAACACTTATTTTTTCATTTTTTCATTTTTCAATTTTACAACCAACTATCACCAACTACTTGCAACCAATCTTCATTCCAATCCATCCTTTACTTATTCTCTGCCCTTTTCACCTATTTATTTAATTATATATTCCTATTTTAGAAGCTAAAGTTCTTAAAACCTATTCAGTATTTATTATTCATACACATCATCTTATTATTATCATCAAATTACAAACCATGAGTGTCATTGCTGCTACTAAATTCTTCAATAAATTCAAAAAGGCTTACAACATGTATTATTACAACAGTCCATTGCCTGTTTTATCCAAAGGGGAAGCATTTGTATTTCAATCCATAAATTTCTTAATCTTAGCCATTGGTATCTATTACACCATCTTTTTCGTCCCAATGGTTGTCACTCAATCCACAGAAAAGATCATTTATTATTTGACTGGTCAACATATTAATCTTTTCGGATTGTTAACTTCTAGTTTGAAATTAGTACAAGTTAATCATCATTCCCTTGTTAACAATATAACACTAGATAATGGTTCTATTTTGAATCAATACCAATAGATTTCTTATCGATACAAAGTTTCCTTGATTGATTTATCTCCCTCCCCCTCCCCTCCATTAACCTTTATTCCTGCTTTTATGATTGATTTCCTCATCCCCCCTTTTTTTTTTCCTTTTGTTCAATTGATTGTTCTTCCCCGTTTTTTCCATTCTACTTGTTGTGGTTGATTTTATTTTATTAATTTTGTTCATCAATACAATACAATACAATACAATTTAAACCAGCACACTATTTTAATTTAATGATATGATTATTCCCATTTTTTTTTTATTTTTTGCAATTACCAATTTTTATATAATGTCTATATACACTTCATTGTTCACATTGTTACTACTACAACTACAACTACAACTACTAATACAACTACTGTTACATAATATGGTCTTAATTTAATATACATACGCACACGGCATCTTATGTTTTTACAATTTTGTTATATTCTCTATCATAAGTTCCGAGGGAAATTATTTGAAATTGGGTTTTACCTTCTTTATTTTGTATTCCCTGAGTTCCGGTTTCATTCTTTTTTTTATTAAATTTGCTTTAAATCAGAATTGTGTAATTACTTGCTTACTTTCTCTTTATTTGATTAGGTGAGTGTGAGTCTGCATATGCGTGTGGTAAGTAACATTTCCTGCAATTCCTCGATGCAAGACAACGAAAACAAAAAGAGATTTCACTGCAACACCTAAGATTGGTAAATGTAACAACTGGGTGGACGTGTATGTGTGTGCTTCCAATGGTTTTATAACCTTAAATTGAGATCAATCCACACTTAAATATTCTCTTGTGATTTAATTACTTCCTTGACTAGTTCTCTTATCATCATTTGAACTTACTGTTTTAAACCTTAACCTTTCCCTGTTGTTTCCTTTTTGTTCCTCAAGGAGAATTTCGTCTTTATTTTTTTCTGTGCAGGAAACCACTTTTGTATCATTTGGGACGCAAAAATTTTTTTTGTACCCGATATATTTCCGAACCTATAGTAGCCGTTCATTTGTCGACTTCCATTTTGGGATGGTTATTTATCCGCACTCTTCTATCACTTGATATTAACTCCGTTTCTTTAGATCGAGAACAAACAAATCGAAAAACAAAATTATGGCAACACATTTTTTTTTTTGGATGTCCAGAACCCTTTATCAGGCTCTTTGCTTTTTTTTTTTTTGCCACATCCATATCAACCAATCCACCATGAGACAAAGAACAACTGTTTTCAATCCTTATTCAAGTCATGACGGAATTGTTCAAAATGTAAATAAAACAAATTTCCAATTGTCTAGTGTTGATGGCTATCCATTTATTGTTGAAAATAAATTCACAACTACACCAGATAATACATATCCTGCAATTAAAGAACTCAGAATTCAATCAAAATTTAGTAAATCCGCTAATAATGATCCAATCTTTCAATTTGATTATGCTCCTGGATTGAATATTTATGCAATTCCTCAAGCTGATGTCAATGAACAAGATTTTTGGCAACAAGTGGGGGATTTGACCCTCGAGGTGTTGAATATTACCATTCCTCCAGTATCGTGGATTTCAAACATAAATTCATTTTATTATCATGATTTACAACCAGTCGATTTGATCAACGGAAATGTACATGAACATTCAGATTATGATTATAGTTTTACGAATGAAAAAGTCACCATCAGGGAATTGTTAACTAATGTCGATAGTTTAAATTTTAATAGTGATCCAAATTTATTCAAAGAAGTCGGATTATTCTTAATTGATGATAAAATTTCCAGTCCAGATGATTTAAATCTTGTTGGTCTTCGAGTTGTATTGGATGATACAGATGAAGATCAGAATATACACAAGACTATGTTTCATATAAAACCAAGACATAGATATTTTGGTGAATCCAACTCAAAAGTTATCCCACAAGGATTACATCCAGTGTTGAATACTAAAATTGATGTCACCCTTCCTGATGATGTTGACATTCAAGAGTGTAAATTATATTATTATTTAAATGTGAACAAGTCTTTGATCTTTGATGAGTTTCAAAATGTCCCTGCTGGATCACAATTGGTGGTTAATAATGGTAATAAAAACTTGGAATTGCCAGAGTATAAAATTAGTGAATGGGGAAATGAAGTCTTGTTAGAATTTGACAATATCACTAATGAAGTCAATTTGACTTTACATTCAAGATATCAATTACCAGAAAATGCTAACGAGAAAACGGATACAACAATTATAAATACCCCACCTGCTATTTTCATTGGCTGTAATGTTAAAGAGGGCAATCTTTTAGGCAAGTCTCCATTTGATACCAAAAATAACATTGGTGGTAATTACGAAGTTTATTTCACAGAGGATACCGTGTTTTATCATTTGCTGGATCAAAGTAAAGACACATTGACAATTGATATTCCACATGGTGTTACTACATTTGATAGAATCAACAGTATTACGATTCTTGGATTATTGATTGGTATATTATTTATTGTCTACTCTATTTTCTCCAAATTGTTCTTCACTTCAAAAGTTAAAAAGGATTAGATTTTAAATATAGACAATTCTTCTCTTATCCAAATAAACTCCAATCTTTCACAGTAAAGCTTAGACCAATCTCTTTAAAATTATTGTAACTTTCTTGAACATACTTGTCAATTTCCGAATCACCATTGAAATTAACCTCTGTGTGTTCTTTCAATGGGATAATGTATTGTAACATAACATCAGTGTCTACTTTATCTAATCGTATTAAACACAACAAGGTTATTATTTGCTTTGGAGAATCTGGTTCAATTTTCTTATACTCTGGTTTGAATGTGACATAACTGAAATATCTTGAAATTCCATCTTGGTCGATTTCCTCCAAAGGTTGGTTATGTACATGATCCGGAACAATATCTTGTAAATGTAAATGAATAGCTTCTTGATATTCAATTGGATCGACTTTTTCTAATAAATCTATAATTAATGAATGATCTAATTTTCCTGAAGTAGTTGAAGTTTCATTGATGAATACTTCCTGAGTATCTGGAACATCTCTTATATGAGAAACATCAATAAATGAAGCTGGAAGTTGTTTAATTGTAATAGCTCCTCCGTAAAGTCCTGTAGTCATTTGTGAAACTAGTTTATTGATGAATTGGGAATTAATCATCAACGGAGACACTGTTTGCCATTTGATTGATAGTTTCTCAATTGGATTCGATTTTTTGGTTGCTACGGGCACGACCTTTTTATTTTTGTTCGTGCGTGAGAGACAATTTCAGGCACGCACGAACAAAAAAAAATAGAACAGAAAAAAAAAAGAAATTTATTCAAAAAAAAAAAAAACAGATCTGAGAAAAATCTACAACCACATCAACATCTTCATCATCATCATCAACAACAACTGAATATTTGTCAGGAGTTCTTATTTGTATTGATCATTTATTTCCAATATGACTAAATTCAAAACTAGTTCTAGAGTAGGGTTTCGAAAATATGTTCCTATAATTTTAACATTAACCATTCTTGGTTTAATCATTACATTTTTCAGTTTTCCATCACTTAATGGAGGTAAAGATATTCAAGAAGTTATATCCAATTTACCAAATGATAAAATGCTTGGGTTATCTAATTTATTAAGTACAGAAAATACTAAAAACCAAGGTGAATTATTAGCTAAAATTGAAAAATTACATGCTAAATTTTTTGAAGAACAAAATGAAAGATTAGTTAGAATTGAAAAACAAAATAAAAAATTATTAGAAGAAATTAAATTATTAAAAGCACCACCAGCAACTGCTTCAATTAGAGATAAATTAACATTTTTATATCCATATGATGCAGATGCTAGATTTCCAGCTTATGTTTGGCAAACTTGGAAACATGGATTAAATGATGAAAGATTTGATGAAAGATATAAAGAAGGTGAAAGACAATGGGCTTATAAAAATCCAGGATTTGTTCATGAATTATTTAATGATGATACTGCTCATGCTATGGTTAAACATTTATTTAAACAAGTTCCTGAAGTTATTCAAGCATTTGAAAAATTACCTGAAGTTGTACTTAAAATGGATTTTTTCAGATATTTAATTTTATTTGCTAAAGGTGGTGTTTATGCTGATATTGATACTTTCCCAATTCAACCTATTCCAAATTGGATCCCTGAAAATGTTAGTCCTTTAGATATTGGTTTAATTGTAAGTGTTGAAAGTGATTCAAATTCTCCAAATTGGAGACAAGATTCTGTTAGAAGATTACAATTTGCTCAATTTGTCATGCAATCAAAACCAGGTCATCCTATTTTAAGAGAAATCATTGCTCAAATTATTGAATATACTAAAAATATGGATACTTTAGAATTGGGTGGTAATACTAATGAAAAATCTCTTACTATTATGAAATGGACTGGTAGTGCTAGATTCACTGATGTTATTTTCCAATATTGGAATGATTATTTATTAAGTGGAATTTTTGAAAGTATTAATTGGCAACAATTACATAATTTGAACATTCCTAAATTAATGGGTGATGTCTTGGTCTTACCACAAAATTCATTTGCTGCTAAAGATGAAAAAGATCAATTGGCTTTTGCTAAACATTATGGTGATAAAATTTATAAACAAGTTTAATCAAAGGTGTAGTTATACATAATAATACATGATAAGAAAAAAAAAAAATTATGAAACATTGATGATGAGACAAAATTAAATCAAGAAACGATTTGCCTGTAATTGTATATGTTCTTGACAGGGGATTAATGTTAAACGAGCCAAGCGTTGTTGATGTAGTACCTTAGTTGTATTATAGATAGTTCAGTTATTCATGTAAGTAATTAGACTAAACTTTATGGTTTAATGATTAAACGTTTAGACATAGACTAAAAATCTGAACCCCTCTCTTTTTTCTATTGTCTTTCTATCAACCAATGAAATCCATATAATTTGAAATACTAATTATCAGTCAAAAACCTTCAAATGTGTAGATCATTTATTCAAGGTTTTGCAAAAAGTGTTAGATACTGGAATGTAAATAAACTTACAGGTCGAAAAAGATCAGCGCGTACTTTCCTCCGTCGAACAAAATCATCATCCTCGCACGCGGCGGTCGAGCCAATCAGCCACTCAATTGACTCCTCACTCGCTCAGTCGCAGAAGGAGGAGAATGTTACAGTTATTGTTTTGCAGCTAAATAATTTGACATTCTCATGCAACACAGTTTCAAAGTAAATCATTCCCAAAGGATCTACTTTCAATAAAATAATAATAATAATACGTTGTTATATGCTTTCTATATTCCTAGATTGATCTTTACCTCCTTTATAAATCATCAAGCTGTCCCCCTTTTTTTAAAATAAAAAATGCAATCCATGGTTATTCTTTTTCTTCTTCTTCTTCTTCTTCTTGACCGTTGTTATCTTATCAAGTGGTTGATTCAAAACAAAAACGAAAAGAAATGTCGAATCCTTATGATGAACCTCAAAAACCATCATCAGTTCCTCCAGAATTGGAGAAACCACCAGTTCCACCATCAATGGATAAACCAAAACCTCGTCATCCATATTTAAGAAAACCTTCAATTAAAAGACCACTTGATTATTTAGTTAGATTAAGTGCAAATTTATCAGATATAAAACTTCCATATTTAGATGATACTATATCTTCAAATCATCCTTCATTTCATGAAAAACCTCGTTCTGTAACTGATGAATCACGTTTTGATAATAATTCAAGTCATTACCCTGATGATGATGATGAAAATGATGAAATATTTGATGATGATGCTGCAACTGCAGGAAAATTAAGTTCTACTCTTGATAGAAAGAATGAAGATCAATTAAGTTATTATGAAAATGATGAACAACGAGAAATTGGTGAGAATGAGAGTATTTCAGCATCTACTTTAGCCATGTCAACTCATGAAATGGGTACTAGTAGTAGTCATCAAAATTTAAAAAAGAAAAAACAATATTATTATGAAGCTGATGCTGGTGATGGTACTCATTCAACTGATCAATATGTTACTGGATTTAGATTAGTTTTAACACTTTTCAGTTGTATTGTTTCTTTATTTTTAGTTGTTTTAGATCAAACTATTGTTACTACAATTATAAGTGATGTTGGTAATTCATTTAATGCATTTGATAAAATTGGTTGGTTAACTTCAGGTTATTTATTACCAATGGCTTGTTTATCTTTATTAAATAGTAAAATTGCTGTTGCATTTGGAAGAAAAAATTGTTTATTAGCAGGAATTGTTATTTTCCAAATTGGTTCATTAGTATCAGCATTAGCTAAAAATATGCCAACTTTAATTGGTGGTAGAGTTATTCAAGGTATTGGTGGTGGTACTATTCAATCGATTATTTCAATTATTTTAACTGAATCAGTTCCAATTTCAAAAAGATCTTTATCTTATGCTTTGTTAGGAATTACTTATTCTTGTAGTTTCTTAGGTCCAATTGTTGGTGCTGCAATTTTAACAAACTTAAGTTGGAGATGGTGTTTTTGGATTAATTTACCAATTGGTGGAGCTGCATTTGGTATTCTTTTATTAGGTTTCAATCCACCAAAAGTTAAAGGAAATTTTAAAGAAAGATTGAAAAAAATTGATTATATGGGTACATTTTTATTAACCACAGGATTAGTTTTAATTTTATTAGCACTTTCATTTGGAGGGGTTGAATTTGCTTGGAAATCAGGTTATATTATTCAAAATTTCCTTGTTGGAGGATTTCTGATTATTGCATTTATAATATGGACATTTAAATATTCTCCAAATCCAATGATTTTACCTATTTTCATTAAAAAATTCACCATTTTATGTGCTTGTATTTCTTCATTTACAAATTTTGCCGTTTTCATTGCTTTAATCACTTATTTAGCTACTTATTATCAAGTTATATTCAACAAATCTGCTTTCAAATCATCAATTGCTATTTTACCAATGATTGTTTCTGTGGTAGTCGCATCAATGTTGAATGGTCCTTTCCTTCGTCGTACTAGAAATGTTAAAGCTTCCATGATGTTATCTGGTATCTTAGCACCAGTTGGTTCTGCATTATTATTATTATTGAATAGAAATTCTAGTATTCATGCCCAAATTGGTTTGCCAATTCCAGTTGGAGTGTCTATTGGTTTACAATTCCAAGCATCTTTGTTATCTTCTCAATTAGAAGTTCCTAAAGATATTGAAGGTTCTTTAATTATGATTACGGTGTTTTTATCATTTTTGAAATCTTTAGGTGGTACATTATCAGTTAGTTTTGCTCAATTGGTTTACAACACATCAGTTAAACTTAAATTTGAATCATTTGTTAATAATCTTGATCATACTTCTATTCAATATAAAACATTACTGGTTTTCCAAGCTGATGAAATTGTTTCCACTCCAGATGTATTATGGAATGATATTCCTGATGCAAATATTAGAAATTTGGTATTGGATAGAGTTATCATGTTTGCATTGAAGAATGTTTTTTATATGGCATTGGGATTTGCCTTTATTTGTACTATTGCATCCTTATGGACTACAAATAAAAAAGTTCCAAAAGATAAAGATGTTGCACATAATGAAGAAGAAAAAGGTGCTGAATTAACTAGAAATGGATCTGTATTAAAGAGAACATCATCAATTATTTCTAGATATTCTGCAACTACAATCATGTCAAATTCAACTATGCATGGAAGTATGAGTTATCTTGATGCACGTAGTCATAGTCCAACAAATACTGAAATTATAAGTAAATATGCTACACCAAATGCATCAGAGAGTAAAATCACTAAACCAACAACAGCACCAACAGTACATCAAAATATTTCCATGCCTCAATATACTAAAACTAACAAATCTCCTCAATTACCTCCAAAGGATAAATTCACAACGTATACCCAAGTTAAACCTAAACCTACTTTCAAATCTAACAACACTACAAATTCCCCGAGGTATAACGCTGCTTTTGTTTCCCCAATAGCAAAGAAGAAGAGGAATAAATAAGTTTGTAGATATATATGTGTTGAATAATGGAAAAATAGTATAATTATCCGTTCGCAATCAATATGAACTTCGGGCGAGAAAAAAAGAAAAATTTCTCCGCGATCTCTGAACCGCGATCTGTATCTTGTGCGCCTCCCCACTTGCCACGGGATAATAATTTCCAATGTTGGACATATTTCCGATATTTAAATCAAATGAAATTTCCACTGTTTTTCTTTTGTTCAGCATTATTCCTCTTGAGCAACCACAGTTATCAAGATGTCAGAAACACCATTAAAGGATTCATTTGTATTCAAATCTATTAAAGTAGGAGAAAAGACTCTTTCCAATAGAGTTGTCTTCTGTCCAACTACAAGATTTAGAGCTGCTTCAAGTCCAGATGAACCAAATACTAGACATGTTCCTCTGGATCTTATGATACAATATTATTCTGATCGTGCTCAATATCCAGGTACTTTATTAGTTTCAGAAGCTACTTTAATTTCAGATCGTGCTGGTGGATATGATGGATGTCCCAAAATTTCCACAAAACAAGAAACTAAAGCATGGAAGAAAGTTATTGATGCAGTTCATAAAAAAGGGTCTTTTATTTCTTGTCAATTTTGGTTTTTAGGAAGAGTTGGATTTCCTGGAATTTTAAAACAAAGAGGTTTAGATTATATTGCCCCATCACCTATTTATGATGATGAATTACATGAAAAACAAGCTAAAAAAGTTAATTTACCATTACGTGAAGTAACACAACAAGAAATTCATGATATTATTTATAATGATTATACTATTGCTGCTAAAAATGCTATTGCTGCAGGATTTGATTTTATTGAATTACATGGAGCTCATGGATATTTCATTGATCAATTTTTACATGAATGTTCTAATCAAAGAACAGATAAATATGGTGGATCAATTGAAAATAGATGTAGATTTGTTTTAGAATTAATTGATCATTTAATTACTGTTGTTGGAGCACATCGTTTAGCACTTAGATTATCTCCATGGGCTGAAGTTCAAGGTATTGTTGAAAATGAAAGTCCTATTCCAACATTTGCTTATTTAATTAAACAATTACAAAAACGTGCTGATCAAGGAAATCAATTAGCCTATTTATCAGTTGTTGAACCAAGAGTTCAAGGTACCGTTACTGTATCATTAAATTCCATGAAAGGTGATAATAAATTTGTTGAAGAATTATGGGAAGGTGTTTTATTAAGAGCAGGAAATTATACTTATGATGCTCCTGAATTTAAAAGTATTGTTGAAGATACTTCAAATGGTAGAACTTTGGTTGGATTCAGTAGGTATTTTATATCTAATCCTGATTTAGTTCTGAAACTTAAGAATAATCCAACTGGATTGGTGAAATATGATAGGAAATTGTTTTATGAAGCATTCAATTGGGGGTATAATACCTATGGACAAGATGGACCTATAGATGAAGAAACTGAAAGAAAGAGATTTCCAAAGATTATCCCATCCGATGAAGCGAAATTATAGACGGATTGTATAGGTTATAATTAGAATGTACATTGCATTGAATCTTAATTACAATACCCCAGATTAATCAACCCCCTCTTGTCAAGGGAGATATCGTGTCATAAAACATAAACTAACTCCGATAAGGAGTCGATTAGAGAGATAGATGGGGGGTTATAGTAGGCTTAGATTATATTAGATTAGGAGTTTAAACAACGTGTGGGTTATCAATTTAAAGTTATAAATCCGATTTTGCCACGTGACCAATGCGATTCGGAGTTTTGAGAAACCAAATTTGTCTGTGACCCACCAAACACCGCGAAATTAATTTCTGTTGGCCCTCCCCCTCTCTCCCCTACCCCTCACCGACCGAACGGCCCATCTCTGTCTGACTTGTTTCCAGTTCTTGTTCGGCCTGGCTGGGCCCGGAGTTTGGTGGCAGTGGGTCGCTCGCTTCTTGTTGCGAAAAAAAAAAAATAGAAAGCAAACAATAATAATCGTATTACTTTCAATTGTGTACGATGGTATAAAAAGAAAAAATAAAAAGAGAATGAGCTGATGGACTTTGGCTCAACTGTTGATTACGTAAATATGAAAAAAAATTTTAAAAAAAAAACTCCTTGCACCCTCAGCAGATGCATATATGTTGTGGGGGAAGACGGCTGTTCATCTTACTGAATTTTTATTTTTATATAGAATAAATTCCATATGTCCTGTTTATTTCAGTTTGGAATTTTCTCTCTATCTCCTATCAACCCTCTACATCAATAGTTCTGAAATTTTATTATAAATATGTCTTCAATTTCGTCACAGTCGTCTGGTAAAATCACTTCTTATGAAGATCATCACAAAATGCCTATTCAAGCCATTTCTTACGCTGGTGAAGGGGATGAGTTTGTCATCCTTGATGGAAAGAAATACTATCGTCATGAATTAATGAGAGCTTTCGCAGGTACTTTAAACCCTGGGCTTGCACCATATCCAAAATATGAATTTGGTAATGCTTCAGCAGTAGGTTTAGCAAGTTTTGCCCTTTCAACATTTGTTCTTGGTTTATACTATGCTGGAGCTAAAGGAATTAAAGTTCCTAATGTTGTTGTTGGTCTTTGTATCTTTTATGGTGGATTAGTTGAATTTCTTGCTGGTGTTTGGGAATTCTTTTGCGGTAATACTTTTGCATTCACTGTTTTCTGTAGTTTTGGTGCATTTTGGATTACTTTAGGTACCATGAATGTTGAATCCTTTGGTATGCTTTCACATTATGATGATCCAATAATGGCTAATAATGCCGTTGGTTTATTCTTACTGGGTTGGGGTATTTTTACATTCATGATGTTGATATTGACTTTCAAAGCTACTTATGCATTCGTGGCATTGTTTGCTACTTTAGATGCTGCATTTTGGGTTTTAGCTGCTGGTAATATGATTCAAAGTCAAGGTTGTATAAAAGCTGGTGGTGTTTTATGTGTCATCAGTGCTTGCTGCGGGCGGTAGCCCATGAGGGCAGGTATGGCTGATAAATTCAATTCTTATATTACTTTCCACGGTCTCCCAAGACCACTGTCTGAAAAAATGAAATAATCTTATGATAATAATAATAATAATAATAATAACAATAACAAAATTAGTAATGAATATTTATGTCTTAGAAGAAAAATAAAATAAAAGTAATGTCTATATTGTCTATGTACCTAAGCTAATGGCTTTCCAACTCTTGCCTTTTCTGTTTCTTCATCAAATGAGATCAGTTCTCCATTTCTTGGCCAGGTATTATAACCAAAATTGTCTTGAGTATAAAAAGTAGGTCTTTCATATTGAGTTAAAGGAATTCCGTCCTTTAACTTTTCAATCAAATCAGGATTGGAAAGGAAAAATCTAGAAAAAGCAAGTAATGTTCTTCCATTATCAATATCTTGATCAATTTTATCTAATTCATGAGCATAAGTACCAGCTCTAATAAAGTTACCTTTCCAATGTTTGTAAGTAAAATCATTGGATCCAACTTGTTTATCCTCTTCGATATCCCAACTTGCTTGAACTCTTGGTTCAACTAATGAAATATAAGCTAATTGATTTCCTTCATCAGCTCTTTTTTGTAATTCGTTCAAAATATAACTATGGATTTCTTCACCTTCAGTATCAACGTTTTGGAATTTAGCCCATGGTGATAATCTGACAGCTAATCTATCAGCTCCAACAATTGGAATCAATTTATCAATAATACGTAACAACAAACGAGCACGGTTTTCAATACTACCACCATATTCATCAGTTCTCTTATTTGAAGCAGTATTCAAAAATTGATCCAATAAGTATCCATGTGCTGAGTGAACTTCAACATAATCAAAACCAGCTTCAAGGGAATTTCTTGCGGCGTTAGGAAATTCAACATCAACAATATGATCAATTTCTTCAATAGTTAAAGCACGTAATGGGTTTCCAGCTTGTTCAGCAATGGCTTCAGTTTCTTCATTCCAATAAACTCCAGATGGTGCAATGTAAGGTAATCCTTTGTTTTTCAAGTGTTGTGCATTAGCTACACGTCCCAAATACCATAATTGAATAGAACTGAAACTATTGTTAGCATGAATAGCATCGTTGATTTTCTTCCATCCTTCAACTTGTCTTTTATTGAATATACCCGGTACATGTGGGTTTAAACCACCTTGTTCAGATAAATAAGTAGCTTCAGTGATAATTAAAGTACCTGGATATTTGGATCTTTCATCATAATATTGCAATTGTAAATCTGTTGGTATATTATCAGCTGTGGCACGGCAACGAGTTGAAGGAGCAAAAGCAATTCTTTGTGGTAAAGTGTTGGCACCTACTTTGATTGGTTCAAAAAGTAATGTATTACCTAATGGAGTAATTGGGACTGTTTCTTTAGAGATTGTCATTATTGGGAGTATATTTGGCTAAGGAGTGTTAAATTTCATGGAACGGCACCTGTGGCTTGGTTTTTATACTGTGGTTCATCAAAGAACAAAAAAAAAAAAATTCATTGAGATTGTTGAATTTGTCAGCAATACTCATTGTCGGTTAAAACGATTAAATAATAATAATAATAATATAACAAAATCGGATTTATACCTTCTTGGGGAACTTTAGCGGATGTGTCACAAATTACGACAGTTGATCGTTATTAATCATCAGATGGTGGTGATAATTCGACTCGTATAATATTAGCTGAATTTTGCATAAAGTTGCAATCAAAGTTGCATGATACTATGGGGGAGTTTACACAAAATCTTGAATGGTTTGTAGTACCGAATTGCCCTAAAAGTGAAAATTCCCAATTTTTGTTACATTTCTATACATGAATACAGTTGTCTTAATAAAATCATTTGTTTAATTTAAAAAAAGTATATATAAATACAAGACTATACTATCAAATATAAAATAATCGTTTCTGGTTGACAGGTACTTGGAGCGGTCTGACAACAAAATAAGAATTGAACTTGTCGGAAACACCAGCAAACATACCATACCAACCACAACAAGCACTAATGACACATAAAACACCACCACCTCTTAAACACCCATTACTTTCTGTTATATAAGCAGCTGCTAAAACAAAGAAAGCTGCATCTAAAGTAACAAATAACCCAATGAATGGAATAGTGGCTTTCAAAGTCACAAGAACCATCATGAATGTAAATATACCCCAACCAATTAAAAAAAACCCAATGGCATTTCCCAACATCTTTGGATCTTCATAAGCGGAAATAATTCCAAAAGAAGGTACATTTAAACATCCTAAAGAAATCCAAAATGAACCATAACTACAAAACACCACATATGCAAAAGTATTTGCATTGAAAAATTCCCAAATGCCCGCAAGAAATTCAACTAATCCTCCATAAAATATAAATAATCCAACGCCAGCATTGATATGATCGATACCTTTAGCACCTGCATAAAATAAACCAAGTACAAATGTAGTTAAAGCAAAACTTGCCAATCCAATAGCAGATGCATTACCAAAATTATATTCGGGATATGGGGTGACACCTGGATTTAAATTCCCAACAAATGCTTGCATTAGTTCGTGTCTATAATATTTCTTTCCTCCTAGAACAACGAATTCATCTCCTTCACCAGCGTAGGAAATGGCTTGGATATCATCATCCAGATTTTGTTTACTTTGTATTGATTGTGATGAACGTGATGAAAATGACATGATTTGAAAAATAATAAGTTATGAATAGATAATAAAGTCAATAGCTGTAAATATACCAAAAACAAGTGATGACGATATTTATTGTAGAATCAGTGTATATAAAAAAATAATAAAACAGCAATCAGTGGGATATTCTTCTAAGAAAATCTATTTTGCAACTAAAAGAAACAAGTTTGGTGGAGTCGAATGCCCGCCTGATTTCTTTTCTTTTTGTTATATCTAGCACCAGGATAATGATAAAACAACAGATTCTCCTATACTGATAACGATAAACATACACCCAGGATCAGCCATCATATAAAAATCTAGAAGGGGGGGGGGCAGGTTACAATCTATTTATGTGACTGTGAAAATCAAACAAAAAAGACAAAAAAATTTTTTTCTTGCAAATGGGCAAAGTTTTTCCGTTGCATTTCAGGCCACAAGAATCGCCGCCTTGGCACAATCCCAGTAGGACGACTAATAATATTATTAGTGTTCGAAATTTCACTTGGCGTGGGATGTACTCTTCTACTATTGGGTGATCTTGGACTAAATGTCACTACGATACAATCCGTGTTTGGATATCGAAATAATTGGAAAGTAACATTCAAACAGTTGGGGGATGTTATACTCTGCATTGTTAATGTATGCAAGTCTGAGGTACGAAAGTTCTGCCGCAGGTATTTTGTTTGTTTGTTGTCGAATTTAGGTTATGCATTACAGCAGTATACACTTAAATTTTTTTTTGGCAATATACAATCAGCTCATGTTTTGGTTTTGATAATCTTAATGATGATCTTGTAGTCTGATCACTGGAATACACTCTGTTTGGAGGTTCAATCAGTCCTGTTTCCCCCCTTTGTTTGTTTCCGATATGAAAACTCATCGCAAAGTTGTATCCCTTTTATGCAAGGAGTGCTACTTTGCAAAACTACACTCACCACAAAGTTATCAATTACGGTGATAAGTAACAGAAACATCTAGAATATAAGGTGCAAGTTGGCAATTGACAATCAGTAACGAGTATATATATATGTCATTAATTAGTAATGGATTACACTTGATAATACATGGAATCCATTGTGTACGGTATTCACGTAGATGGAGTATCAAAAGAACTTAGTGGAATCTCTAAACACAGTGTTCTCAACTATCGTGGTATAGTATTTTATGGAATCACGTAAAGGGAAAAAGAGAAACGCTTACTGGTTTGGTGATTCCAATATGTTCTATAGCAATTATTGATAGTTATATCTAATGGTTCATAAAAATGTATAAATATCAAACAATTTACATCCATGATTGTAGTTCATTTTTCTTCTTCCCTTTATTCTATCACTATTGATATAACATAATAACTATAATGACCAAGCCTTTGATTTTAATGGTTCTCTACCCTGGAGACAAACATTCTACTGATGAACCTAGATTATTGGGAACAGTTGAGAATGAATTAGGTATTAGAAAGTTTGTTGAAGAACATGGTTACGAATTGATCACTACTGCTAACAAAACTCCTGCTCCTACCTCCACTTTTGACAAGTATTTACCAGAAGCTGAAATTATCATCACCACTCCATTTTACCCTGCTTATCTTACCAAAGAAAGATTGGCCACTGCAAAAAAGTTGAAATTATGTATCACTGCTGGTGTTGGTTCCGATAACTATGATCTTGAAGCTTTGAATGAAAAAGGAATTGCCGTGTTGGAAGTGACTGGTTCTAATGTCCAATCTGTTGCTGAACATGCTGTTATGACCATGCTGATCTTACTCAGAAACTACGGTGAAGGTCACCACCAAGCCGTCAGTGGTGGTTGGGATATTGCTGCTGTTGCCAAAGACGAATTCGATATGGAAGGTAAAGTTTTTGCTACCGTTGGTGCTGGTAGAATTGGTTACAGAATCTTGGAAAGATTAGTTGCCTTCAACCCAAAGAAGTTGTTGTACTACGACTACCAAGCATAACCAGATGCTGCTGTCAAGAAGATCAACGACGCTTCTAAATTGTTCAACGATGTTGACAATATCCTTGAAAGAGTTGATACTTTAGAAGATTTGTTCTCCCAAGCTGATGTTGTCTCTCTTAACTGTCCATTGTATGAAGAATCTAAAGGAATGGTTAACAAAGAATTGATTTCTAAGATGAAAAAAGGTTCATATTTGATAAATACTGCCAGAGGTGCCTTGACCGACCCACAAGCTGTTGCTGATGCTGTCAATTCTGGTCATATTGCTTATGGTGGTGATGTTTGGCCATTCCAACCAGCTCCAAAAGATATGCCATGGAGAACCATGCACAATCCATATGGTAAAGACTATGGTAACGCTATGACCATCCATGTTTCTGGTACTTCTTTAGATGCTCAAGCTAGATATGCCAAAGGTGTTAAAGATATCTTGGGTGAATATTTCAACAAGACTTATAATTATCCTTGTAAAGATATCATCTGCCTTAATGGAGAATTTGTCACCAAGTCCTATGGCCAACACAATAAGTAAGCATTTGAAATATTGATCTTGCTATTGATGAAACTTTCGCTGTTGTGTTTTTCTACTTTATATCTTTTTAAATATATAATACCATATGAAATTATATTTTCGGGGATTAGTGATAGTAGAATTTGCAGTTCTTGATACTAATGAATCAGGTATTGTGAAGACCAAAGTGTATTGTGTCTCAGTTATTTTGCACAGGTCGTGCAGATCTCACCAGATTTTTATTTTTGAATCGTTGATTCAATCTGTGATTGTTGACATCACTTCTTAGTAAGTACAATTTCATCCACCAGGAGCTGACCACTAGAGTTACACCCGAATTTCGACCATGAATCAGTAATACCTCCAATCTCAGTGAGGTTCAACAGTTGTACTCTTCACAATACAAATAAAGTATATGAATCATAGCTGTCAACACCTACCAATTATGAACATCAATCAACGTATCCACAAGAAGCAACAAGATACCATGGTGGGCCATTGTTGCTGGTTCTACTGTGTATTTCAGTACACCACTGATATAATTTCCAATTTGTTTTCAATCGTTCACTTCAAAATACAATTGCAACATATTGGAATGTAACGGCAAAACCTATAAATAACATCACAATTCCCATTGTCTGCGATTCAATTTTATCTGATTTTCTTTCTGAAGCAACAAGCATGTTGAGGATTTTCAGAGTTGATCACCACGATGAATTATCAATTCAAGATCCAAGGTTGATGTATATCGATGTTACCAAGGACACCAACATCAAACAAGAGTACATCAAGAAGAAGGTTCCCAAAATGAGAAATTCACCATTCCCATTATACTTGAAAAACTACGTCTTATGGGATGAAAGCGGATTAATTATGAAATCCATCAAGAATGATGATGAGCTTGAAGTGGAGGAATCTGAATTACCCAAAGCATTTTATGGATATTATGAGACCAGAGATGCCTCGGTTGTTGCCTTTTATCTCAATGACGAAGAGTTGGAATTTTTGAAATCTAAGAACCAAGCTAGAAATATTAGGTATGAATTTTTTGATGAAAATCAACCTGGAGTAGGAACTAGTACATGGTTATTGTTTCCTGGACGAATTGAATTGGGTAGCCACTATGTTCTGACCTATGGACTTAGAACGAAACGTATAGAGGGAGAACCGAGGATGTTCTACTTTACTGAAAATGACAGATTGTTTTGTGGTACTATAAGTATGAGTATTAGCACTATAGAGGTTAAGGATATTTTGGACTGTCCTCGTTCACAGTATGATATCTCGGAGAAGGTCTACAAATTCGATACACATCGAGATGGGGCTATGTTTGGTTCTAAATTAGATACAAAATTCCTTGCTAAGCATCTTGGTGTTCCGTTGAAGTTCTTGGATCAGACTTTCATGCCGGAATAAGGATATCTTGGTGATTAACATGTGGTTATTTTGTATAGTTACAAGTTTTTCAACTTAATTTAATAACAAAATAGTAAATACGTTTATTAATATAAACAAAATCTTGATCCTATAATATGAATAGTAGAAAAAATTATTAGTAATTAGTATATTCATTAGTACGATTTAATTCCAACGACTAAAGGGAAAGAAATTGACAAGATATAATTCTCAATTCGTATGATCAGCTCCTTATGCGGTAAACACAAAGAAATAGAATGTGAAATTACTATGAACAAACTATTCTATTTATATCTGTATAATGTTATTCTTGTTGTAATAAAATTGAAAACAATGTAAAAGTCACTACTAGGGATAGCAATGTAAGTAGTATGTCATAGTGAATTTCAGAGAAACTGTGTTTAGCATTTGATACACTTAATTTTGAAGTATACGAATGGATTTGTAAATTCAATTCCCTTGAATGAAATTCATTTGTATCAACTGTAGACATTAAACCAGTACAAGTTCTAACTACAATTTATAAAAAATATAAATACTAATACAATAATGGATATTATGGAAATTTTGAACAACTAGACATCAATGCTAGATTTGTGGAAAGTCTTTCATATAAAAGGTTGGTAGTAACGATCAAGATTATGTAGTTAACTTGTTAAAAGACGTACTCCTAGTTAATACTGTAAACTGACGTCAAAATAACTACTTCTGGAATATACAATCTATTCAATGAGAGCAAATTAAAAATCAAACCGAAGCTGGTATCCTTCTTCGTGCTAACTTTTTGCATTTAGTAATTATCCTACCAAAAGCTAAAGAATGAATTTTGGTGTACAATGTTCAAGTATGTTTAATTCCACTTTTAGTGGGTAGTCAAACAATAGGTGTGATTCTCACCCTAGGTTTGTGGACTTTGTAAGGTATTGCTCCGTAAGTGTCTAATAGTAATAGAATTATAATAAAGTTATACTTACAATTGAGTGATACAGCACTGACAATCAACTATCAATCTACATCTACAATGGTAGTTAAGAAGCATCAATAATAATATTCATTTATTGTTGTTTAGTCAGTACAAAAATTCATTAATAAATTATAAAACTTTTCAACATGAGTAATATTAAATTCACAATCATTCAAATATAAAAGTGATTCAATTTTAAAATGATAATCTTTAATAATTTGACAAGTTTCTTCATTCATTAAATCATCTGATGATTCATCATTTAAACAATCCTCAATAGTTAAATTATATTGATATAATCCATCTATAATTTGATCAACTATTGTATGAACAGGAATATTTAATTCATTATCAACAATTAAATCTAAATTTTTCTTAAATGTTATTACTGACATTTGTTGAGTTTTCAAAGAACCTAAAATTTTATTAAATTGTAATACTGCATCTTTAAGCTCAATTGCAAGATTATACATTTCTTTCAATTGTGATATTATTGAAGTATGTTGAATTTTAGGAATATTTGGATTTAATATAACATGATTACTAAATGAATCAAATTCACAATTTATAAAATGATTGGAAAGATGAAGTAAATTTGTAGCATAGAATATATAAGGAGCTAATAATGTTTTAGGTCTTGGTGAAGGTTTTAATGGTGATACAGAAGTAGTTGTAATTTGTTGAGTATGTGAATTTCCACAATATATAAAATCATGATGATGATGACTTTGGTTGTGGTTTTGGTTGTGGTGATGATAATCTTGTAGTATAGATTGGCTCTGGTAAGATGAGCTTAATTCAGATATTATACTTTCATTTTCGTCTAATTCTTCTAATCCATATTGGTCCAAATAAAAAGGTGTAGATCTTGGAGTTGGTGTAGGGGATAGACTGAATAAACAGATACCAGTGGTGTTAGTCTGTGTGTTGTTGTTGTTGTTATCTATTGTTGTGGGCACAGTTGTTGTGTTATTTAAAGTAGATGTGGCTGTTGTTGTGGGTATGAGTTTTGTAGGCTGTGGGGATATTATACTTTTATTAGATGTTGTAGTTAATGTTATTGTCATGGTATTAGTAGTTGAATATGTTAATGATGAATAGTTAATAAAGTAAAGAATGAAATGGTTGTTTTTTTATCTCTAGTTCAGTAGTGAAATTTCAAAGGGAAACGGTGAAAAGGGGGAAACAACTCATTGCTTTTATACTCCCAGAATAAGAGAGAAGTAAAAGCTTTTTGTGATTTGGGGTTTGTGGTTTGTTATTTCAACGCCTTAGCTAAAAGCATAATTTAGTTACATAGTTAGTTGCCCAGACTAAAAACTTCTTTACTTGCTTTGTCGTCGTCTTCCCCTCCACCCGCACCCACGCTTAATTTTTACTAAATTTGTCGTCGTCGTGGTTTTGGCCGTGGTGGGTGGGGGAAAGAGGGAGGCAGGGAGGCAGGGAGGCAATGACAATGTTACTCCACTCACTCATCTTCCAAACGTATGGTTATTAGATGAAATAAGCCAAGAGTGTACGACATATATTAACCCACTATTATACCCCTCTACTGACTTAGATGTTAAATCTCGACACATCGCCAATCTTTGAAAACCAGAAACACCTTCCCTCCTATCATTAAATGTGGAATTAAAGAAAGAAAGAAAAAAATTTTCATTTGATTGTTTGTGTCATTTTGCGCACGAGCTACCAGTTGTACATTGCATTAGTAAAGTTTTCACTGATATTCCGGTCGGGATTGTAATTCCTTCCTCAAATATCAAAACCATTTTAAAACGTGTATCCAATAATGGTTGATACGTACGTCCCCCCAAATGATTCATGAGATGCTAACCATGATGGGATAATTTTTTTTTGTCATAAATTATTCAATTGTTTTCCTCTTTCTCCTATTTGTTGTTTGACCATTCGATGGAGAAATGTCGGCCTGGTCGAGGAATGTCGTGTGTGGTGGAAATCTAACAGCAATCAAAATTCATTGTAACGGAATTGGGAGATAACAAATGACAAGAGAGAAAACTACACGACAAGAATGAACTGAGAATTATGCAAGATGTGTAGATATCCCCTCTCTCTGTGTGTGTATGTGTATGTCTACGAGTGTTATCAGTGTAAATCTGGAGATGAAACTGGGGTAATTTCTTGATTATTGTTAACTCAACAAAAGGCTATTCCTCAAATCTAGTTTCCTTAAATTAAGATTCTATTGTCTTGTATAGTATAACCTTTGACATTGTGGAGTTCATTAGTGTATGCGTTATTGTGTTTCCCCGAGATCTTGACTAAGATTCCGCAAACTTGGATACCATTAACGGATTTCCGACGGGAGTACATTCCCGGAGACATCTTTCCAAAACCCAAATGCGCGGATATACAGATATATACAATAGCCTCTATTAGATTCATCTTATCCTATCTTTCTATACCTTATTTATTAATACACACAGCTTACATGGTCTTAACTTTACAATTCATCCTTTTCAATGATTTTTTCAGTTTGTATACCGCCAGGAATAATCACTTTATATTCAATGAATAAATCCCCGTATTTTTCTTCTTCATCATGATCAACAACAATTGGCATACCTTTACCTGGAATAACTTCAATTTGTCCATCTACTATAGGAATACCATGATCTCTTTTCAATACTAATTCAGGTTCTTCAATATCAAAAAATTGAATTGTTCTCTCCCATCCACCATGTAATGATTCGTTCAATGTCAATACTTCAGTACGATACAAATTATTACCAATTCTTCTATAACCCCAACTTTTATCAAATTCTTCATTTAATAATACAATCAAATCTCCAGGGATCCAATTTGGATTCTTATCACCTTCACCTTCTAATACATGAGGAGAATCTCTTGGTTGACCAGGTTTAACATAAATTTCATAATGTCTTGGACCTCTAACAATACCATGACCATGACATGAATTACAAGGATTACTAACAACTTTACCATGACCTCCACATTTATCACATTGCATACGAATTTGTTGAACCATGCCTGGAGCTAATTGATGAGAAACTGTAATTTGTCCACTACCATGACATTTTTCACAAGTTTTACGTTCTTTATCTTTTGATCCAGTACCATCACATTTTTCACATTCATTTTGCATTTCAACATCAAATTCAATAATTTTTCCATTATAAAAATCAACCAAAGGAATACGTAGACTTAATTGTGAACTATCTCCTCTTCTTTTACCACCTTGTCTTTGTTGATGTTGCTGATGATGTCCACCAAAGAAATTGCCAAACATATCTCCAAAATCAAAATTATGATGTTGTTGTGGTTGTCCATTTGGATCACCAAATTGATCATAATTACGTCTCTTTTCAGGATCACTTAAAATTTCATAAGCTTCTCCAATTTCTAAAAATTTATCATGAGCTTTTTCATCTCCTGGATTTTTATCTGGATGATATTTTAAAGTTAATTGACGAAATGCTGATTTAATCTCTCTTTCACTGGCACTTTTTTCAATCCCAAGGATTTTATAAAAATCTTTTTCTGATAATGTAAATGAAGTTAAATATAATAATGTTATACCTAGAATAAATGAAAACTGCATGGTTCAATATAAATCTAGTCTGTTGATGAAATACTTGTGAATGGTTTCCTAACTTCTTATGTAGAATTGCAATTTGTCATAAAACTGAAAAAAAAAATCCACGTCAACAAAAAAAAAAAAATTCGAGACACGATTATTGGGCAGAAGTACACGCATCGTATACATCATCATCATCGGATTGATGGAGCTGTATGAATTGATAACTGATTAAGTTGCAGATGGAACAATATGAGTTTTTATATAATGCAACAACATGCCTGAATACAAGTAGTAAGCATATCATAAATGAAGACATAAGACAACTAAGTGGAAGATCGCTCACCAGGTGATTGTTCCCATGTTGATTAACCCAATGGCAATGTAAAAACAACCGAGATGTGGAATCTTTTTAGTACATTGCCTTTTCATAGTATACTTCGCATTACATTTTTTATGAATCAATAATGGGTGTTCATTGTAGAATCTTACATCTTATGTGTGTTTTCAGAGATCTCTTAAATTTTCATCACAAGATTTGGTATCATTTCACACGACCAGCTAATTCAACAAAAATAAATTATTCCCGATATCGCTTTAAAAACTCAAACCCCACACCTATAATCAGGAAGAAGAGATGGCTAAATGGGAGTATAATCCTGTTGCAATAAGGTATCAGAATAAACATCACATATATGCCTCATCAGGAATACATCTTATTATAAAAGATGGGGATAATAAAGAAGTTATTATCGATGATTTTGTATTGACTTTGAATCATATTCCGAATGTTTCAAATTATCAAATTATCATAAATGAAATAACTCCCAAGAAAGACATTGATAATGAGGAGGAGGATGATGAAAATGTTATGTGGGGGATGGGAAGAATTAGAGAGTTTAAAGATATTGAATTTAATAAACTTCAAGGATTTGATTTATTTCCTATTGATTCATTTCCACGTGAATCTACTAAGAAAGTTCAACTTTTAAAACTTACATCTATGTCATTGAGTAAATCTGGACAAATGATTAATTTAGATAATGAATTAGAAATATCTGACAGGATTAAACTCAAAGGATATCCATTCAATCTTACAAATTCTTTAATTTTTTCAAATTATCAAACTTTTGGAAATATAGTTGGGAAATGTTCAACTGGGTTTTATTTAACTGATATAAGATATGTTGAAAATTTAAATGGTGGGATTGTATTAAAAAACAATAGTGAAGTATTATCTGGATTAATATTTGGAAATTTAAGGAAAAGAAATGGTGATGGTGATTTAATTGTAATTATTGACATTCAAGAAATTATTAGTCTTTTAAATATAGAAAAGATACCTGATGTAAGACCTCGGGAAAGATCGTCGGATATGACTAGTATGAAGATCACTAAAGTTGATTCAAAACAATCAAGATCAATTTTACCATTATTAATTACCGATTCACAAGGAAATAGTACTTGGGGTACTTCAATTCATTATACAAGAAATATACTAATTACAAATCAACATGTAATTGAACCATATTCATCAAATACTAAAAAAGGAATATGTCAAATTCAATTACCCACAAATCAAATAATTCAATTATCATCAAAGGATGAAATAATAATTCCTATTAAAAATTTAGATCTTGCATTTATATTAATCAAAGATTTACAAAATCAAAAAATCATGAATTCAATTCCTATAATTAAAGGAATTGGGAAATATAATCAAGGAGATAAAATATATTCATTAAGTTATGGATTATTTTATCAATCAGGTATGAATCCACTTTATTCACAAGGTGAAATTAATTGTATTTATTCAATAATTCCACAAATTGGAATTAAATCAAAAATTAATGGATTAATTATAACTTCATGTAATGTTTGGAATGGTAGTAGTGGAGGTGGATTATTTACTCAAAATGATGATTTATTAATTGGGTTAATTTGTTCAAATGCAAATGTTAGAATTCCTATAGTTGATAATATTAATGAATTCAAATTAGAAAAAAATACTTCATTTCTGTTTATAATTCCAATTGATATAATTGAATATGTCTATTATTGTATGATTTTAGGTCATCAAGATGTTTCACAACTAAATGAAAATTTAATTAAATTATGGAATTTACAATCTTTCCATCAAGATATATTAATTCAATCTACTAAATTATAGTTTACTTCAATTCACTTCACTTCACTTCAATTTTATACGTTACAATTAATAATTATACACCGCTATTTATTTATTAGTCATTCTCTCTTCACGCCTTATTGGAGGTAATAACACATCAGCTTTAGAATTTGTCGTAGTAGTAGTATTAGCAAGACTATTGTTTGATGAATTTGATAATATTGGAGGTGGTGGAGGATAAGCAGAATAACTAGTATATTGTTGAATAGGTTGAACCACTTGTTGTTGTTGTTGTTGTTGAGAATTATATACTCTTGGTGGTTGATGTTTTTGATTTGGTGAATTTTGATTTGTTGAATTATGACTTGATTCGTCAGCAACCATAGTTTGAGCTAATATTCCAATTGTTATTGAATTTGATCTTTTAAATGGATGTTGATTATCAAAATTCATAAAGCTATTTGTACTATTATTTGATATTGAAGTTTGTAATGGAAGATATGAACTAGTTTGAACATATTCTTGTGATTGATGATGAGATACAGTTGGTGGTTGTTGAATAGGAGGTTGATGAATAGGTTGTTGTTGTTGTTGATTAGGATTGGCTTGATCTTCATCTTTAAATGATAATCCTTCAGTAATAATATATTCATTTAACATTTTATTCAAATTGATTTTAAATCCAATTAAATTATTATTAAATTGAACATTAGTATTATTCTTTGAATCTTTAATGAAATTTAACCAATTTTCAAAAATAGAATCCAATTTAACTTTCAATATCCAAAACCATTTTTGACTAAATGATAATTCACCAACTTCTTCTTGTTGTTGCTGTTGTTGATATTGCTCATGTTGACTAGTATTACTATTATTATTATTCTTATCTTGAATATTTAATTTCTTTAATAAACAAGATTTATTATCCAACAACAAATAAATCAAAGTTTGTAAAATATAATTATCTTCAAAATTAGTCATATCATCAGTAAACAACATTATCAATACTTTGTTCATAATTAAATACCATTCAATAATTAAACAATTCAAATTTATAAATTGTAAATTATTCAAACTCGTCAAATTGATCATATTTTCTAAACTTAAATAATTGGTGAAAAATATAATTGGATATGAAACAATCAATAAGTTATTATTGATATTAATGGTATTACTTCTATAATCAAAGAAATTCCCTTTAATTAAATTCTCAAATTCTTGGAAATTCCCATTGGAAGATTCAATAGTATTCATAATAGAAGAATTGATTGAAGTAGCATTGATTTCTTGTAATGTTAATGATAACAATTGCCAATTATAATAGTTCTTGGGTATAAAGATATAATTATTAAACAATTCATGAAATTTCAATGGACTATTAACAATAAGATTCTTCTTAAACAATTCAAACAATTTGGTAGCGTCGGATTTGATTATATCTTGATTACGATTATTATGATGATAATGATTATTATGATTGTTGATTGATTTATTTATAAGAATGATTGCATTATGAAGGATGTTTTTATTTGAATATATGGTCATTTTATTGTGATGTGATGTAGTTGGTGAAGATGAATTTGATGATGATGATGACAATGTTTGGTTTACCTTGTGATCTTTTAATTCATTTGATAAAGTTGAAACAATAATCATTTTCAATTGTTCATCATCAATATTTATAAAAGATTTACAGAATTTTTGCATGATATTCAACAATGACTCATTATTCTTAACGGATCTTTCTAAAAATAAAGGATACACTTTTGGAGGAGGTTGATTAGTTAAATAAGTTGATAATAAGATGTAAATATTCCAAAATAAATTGATATTATTATCAATTAAATTATCATTTGAATTGGAGACACCAGACAACACCGGAGAATTTGAAACATCTTTTAGATTTGAAATGATTATAAAACTAATATCATTAAGATAATTAAGTATCACTTCATTATTGATATAAATTTGTTCACCATCAGTATCTTCTAAACTTTCAAATTCATTAATATTAAAACCTTCCAAATTGAACTGTAAATAAACATAAGATAATAAAAATAGATTATGTAAAATTTCAATCTGATCAAACAAGTTGTTGTTATTGTTATATTGTGGTATAAGTTTTTTGATCAATAAATTCCATGATTTTTTGAAAAATTTAAGTGATTTTGATGGTTTCTTATCAATTATATAACCTAATGATATTATGGTATAACTTATGCCAATTTTGAAATTATTAAATTGATAATTATGCGGAGACGAAGAAGAAGAAGAAGAAGAAGAAGAACCAGTTGAATTCCCGTCGTTTGCATTACCACCACCACCAAGTTGTTGCGGGTGTTGCTGATGGAGTTGATTCAATTGTTGAGTAGTTAAATATGAGGTACCTAAATAATAAAGTAAATCTTTTAAAATTTTATCAAAATTTGTAAATAATTTAGATTGTTGAGTTAAATGTGAATAACCAATAAGAAAGATTTCATTAATTGAAGGAGAATTACAATTTGATAATGCAATTGAATCATAATTATATAATAAATTTGATAATTTCTTAGCAATTGATAATAAATGGATTAAATCATGATGTTCTTTTAATGCTGATCTATTTGAACCATCATCGGATGATTTCTTCCTTCGTTTAACCAGATTATTGTTGTTGCTTGTACTGGTAGTATTACTCCCAATCGTACTTGTTGGACTTGAACCAGTAGTTGTAGGAATCATTTGTATTATTTCACTAGCTGTTGAATTTGAAGGTGTCATATTGAACGAATCAAATGATGCAGAAGAATACTGTTGTGCTTGTTGTTGCAGATGATTATTATGTTGTTGATCTTGAGTATCAAAACTAAAAGAGCCTCTCATTGGAATAGCTTGAAATTCATCACCATTGTTGTTGTTGTTATTATTATTATTATCAGTTAATTCAATTGCATTTGTAGTTGGATTATTTAAAGATTTATTAGTTGGTAATAAACTTGGATTTAAATTAGTATTATGAACAGTTCTACAATGACGTTGTAACAAATCACGTCTTACAAATGAGCTTGTACAATGCAAACAATGGAATGGCTTTTCATTCGTATGAGATCTTTCATGGCGTTGTTTATGTTCTGATCTGGTAAATGCTCTTGCACAGAAAGCACATACATATTTCTTCTGTGCTTGTGCCATTGCTTCTTAATTGATGTAAAGTGTTATTGATACCAATACTAATGCTAATGCTAATGCTAAAATGATACAAATTGAGAATAAAGTATTGGTTACTATCAATATGAACAACAACAACTGAAACTGAAACTGAAATTGAAATTGGAAATTTTTATCTATGAACCAGAAACAGAAAGCAAAAAGGAAGGAAGAAAGGAAGGATATTTGGTGGAGTTTATATGCTCTCGATTTAATGGGGAGAAATGTCTGTCGCGTATTTGCGGTGAGATCAGACACAAAACAGAGAAGAGTACAAAAAAATGTTGGGGTCAGACATTATTTTATTATTTCTGTCTCGTTTTTTTCCCCGCTTTGGTGTACAATTTATACCAATTAGGTAAAAATAGAAATTCAGTCATTTATGAACAAAGCGGGGGAACTCGGAATAACCCACTCACACACAGACACTCACAGACAATCAGAACTACCAACTCAACTTATTAACATATCAACATATCAACAGAGCGTACGGTTGTTGATGTTGACCAGGGTTGAAGAGCAAAGATATATCTAAGACAACTTATGCTGATCATCATCCTCAATTTAAACAAAACAATTGATATATGTCGTCACTAACCCCCCTAATATATTCATTTCCTCCCCTCCTGCTACTGCTCCTCATCCTCATCCTCCATGTTAGAAAATTCCCCACATTTTAAGGTACCTGTACGTATGGTGCAAACCAACCCATCTCAGACTCCATCTGGTGATGAAGTCTTCAAAACCCCATCCCCATACGAATTACATTTAATCAATGATACATTTACTTTTAAATATATATACATGTATGTATGTGTATATACACACTTTGTCTATAATTAGAGTTAAACTTCACACCCTACTAACCACTATCTCTTCTTATTCTTACTCCTTCTCCTCCCCCGCCATTCCGTATAAATCTTAATTTCACTCCTCTTTGTTTGTGTTTTTTCTTTTTAAAGAATCTCAATTTTGTTCCAAAATAAGGATCGCTTACGGGGAGGGGGGGCCAGTGAAAGAGAGTGAGAAAGTAGTTATGGTTAAGAGAAATTATTGAACAGATGAGGCTGATACTTTATTTTTGTTTCTACTGGTTCTTCTATTGTCTTTTATCTTGCCGTTTGTATGACATTTACTTTACCGTATTTGATTATTTTTAAGAATCAAGAATACAATTATTTTCTTCTTCTTCTATTATATTATTATTATTATTCTGTATGAGCTGTTCTAGATTTTTTTTTTACCCATTCATTATTGTTCATTTGTATCTTTACAGTGGGGGAGGAGGACGATGTTATTGAAAATGATGATTAATTATCAGGTCGTGTGATTGGGACCAATTCTTTTATTTTTTGGGTGCAAATTTCAAACGTACAAATGCAATATAGTCAATTGTGCATTTCCACACGACTCCGAAATTCAAGTTAGAGAATAAGGGGTGGCTGAATTATAATGATCATACTTTAATATATATATAAATATTATTTTGCTTTTAAATGGGTTTTTGTTCTTTAATATCAGATGCACTGGTTAGTTTATTGATCACTATGAATTGTACTTGGATGTTTGAATTGTGTTTCTTCTCCACTTCTTACTTTCTGTTTTTAAATATGTAGATGTATAATTGACTAATTTCTCAAGATAAGTAATGTTGCTCTAGTTTATACGTACACAATCAATACTTTCTTGTTCACCACATGAAACATATACATATTTATCGGGTGGTGGGGAGATGTACATTGGAGAAAGGGATAGGAAAGGAGGGGATGATATGTTATGTTGGAACAGAGGAGTAGAATTAATCATCATCATGTTTAACAATCATACCATTTACAATAATGATCTCTTATAATGATTTATTTACCAGTTGTACGTTTTCCTATTATTAATTATAAAAACGAAAACCCACAATCAATTAAGTTTATAGTTTATCATCATGATATTCATCACCATTATTCTTCGTCTTGTTTGCTGTTTCCCCCTTGTTTTCGTTTAAGATTGAGCTTGTGCCTTTCTTACCCTGACTCCGTTGGAATTGTTGATTTTAATTGGCTCGGAGTTTTCAGACATTTTTTTTTATATATAGTTTACGATGCAACATGGAAATGTTACTATTATTCCTAATATAGAAAAAGCATTTCAACTGGTTTAACCAGAAGTAGCAAAAATGTATATCAAGTTACGTTTATGCTATTCATAACAACTTCTTACAAACTACAACCTATATATATATATCATCCGTGGGTATTGGTAAAGCAATTGTAACTTTTATTTGAGTTCAGTATATAGCTTTGACAGTATAGAAGGTTCGGTGTTAGTAGCATTGTCAATTGTTTACAATATCAACAATGGTCAAGAAATATTCATGAATCCCATCAGCATGAATGGACGAAATGATTTGAAATTTGTGTTGAACAAAATAAAAGTTCTTCCATTTCATCCACCTTTGAATTTTCTATATTCTTGCTCTCTTAATACCAACATAATACAACAAATAACTAACATATCATCACTTACATCATTATTATTATCATCTTGTGAATTATTATCTTTCCAATCAAACATTTTAATAATTCCATGTTTAATAATATGTTTTTGTTGTGTATCAATTTTAATTTTAACATCTCTTTGATCTAAATATCTAGCTAATGGTATATCAACCATTGGTTTCTCATCATTTAATAATTGATTAATTTTAGATTGTTCTTGATTATTAATTAATTTACTTAATTTATTATCAATTTTAATTTTTTTACCATTATTTAAAAATTCATTATTATATGTTAATAAATTATTTGATTCATTTGGCATTACATAAAGTTTCATTTCTGGTGAAGTACCTAATGCTGAAGTAGTTCCAGTGATTCCAAATATTCTAAAATTACTATCATTATAAATAAAATCAACCGTTGGTTTTAAACTATTATTATTAATTAAATATACTCGTAAATTATTCAACGTTGGAAATTCTAAAATATAATAAGTTATATGAATACTATGAATTTTAAATTCAACTTTACAAAATTCTTCTTTATTATTAGTTAATGGATCGTGTTTATGAATTATTAAAAGGGGAGTTTTTTTAAAAATAGTGAATTTGGTTGATGATCTTGAAAGTAATGGTGGTTTATTTAATATTATATCATTCCAATTTAAATATAAATAAACTCCTGTATGTAAAAAATTAGATATTAAAGGCAATGTATATATTCGAGTAAAATTAGTTATATTTTGATTCATTATTTTAATAGTAGGATTAATTAATGTATCTTGAGATGATATTAATGAAATCAAATCTGATGTATCCTCAACGGGTAAATCGTCTTGTGATGGTTGTTCTTCATTTTCTATTAGTGTTGAAAACGTATCTCGTGAATTTACTCTTTCCATACTCAAATGATACTAGTAGTTGCTTATGGTTTGTTGTTATCAAGTTTGTTGTTATCAATTTGGCGATGATGGATTTTAATTTTTTTTTTTTTAGTTTGTTTGTTGTTGGCGGTGCGTTAACTATGAGATCTGGAGAATTTCCCGATTCGGTGTTTTTAAGACATAATTCCGGGTTCCACTATTAAGGTACACATCTATAAACTACTGTTAATCTGGTTGAGGTGAAGAAATGCGATATCTCTTTGCATTTAATGATCTTATCCATATGTAATTGCTTTAAAATATCTCATCCACGTGTTTTGTCCCACTGTCTCAGATTACCCCCGCCCCTAAGCCATTGTATCAATAGTGAAAAATTTTTCTTTATCTTTTTTGGTTTTTTACTTAGTAATTAGTTTTTTTGGTTTTTCTTCGCTTAATTTCAATAGATAACTTTAAAGAAATATAAAAAAGAAAAATTTTTCAATATCAGTATCAACAAACCACCCGCTAATAACGATGTCATCTTATAAGGAAACATTTCGAGATTTTCCAGTTCGACAAATGGTAATTATTTGTTTAATTAGATTTTCTGAACCATTAGCATTTACTTCAATTTTCCCATATATTTATTTCATGATTAGAGATTTTCAAATATCTCCAACAGAGCAAGAAATCTCTAAATATTCAGGATATATAGCTTCATCATTTGCATTTTGTCAATTTTTATTTGCTGTTAAATGGGGGAAATTACTGGATAAAATAGGTAGAAAATCAATTTTATTAATGGGATTGTTTGGTACTAGTTTAAGTTTATTATTATTTGGATTTAGTCAAAATTATTATTGGGCTTTATTAGCAAGAAGTTTAGCTGGTGTATTGAATGGAAATGTAGCTGTTTTAAGAACAATGATTGGAGAAATTGCCACTGAAAAAAGACATCAACCTTATGCTTTTATGACTATGCCTTTATTATTTAATTTTGGTGCAATTATTGGTCCTGCCATTGGTGGTTCACCTTGGTTAACGCGTCCAAGTAAGAAAAATCCTTATCAAAATCAACATAATGATACTATTATAACTAATGGAATAATTGAAGATTTTTATGAAAAATTTATTACTAGATTTCCATATGCTTTAAGTAACGTAGTTGTTGCTTTATTTTTATGGTTTAGCTTAATCTGTGGATTTTTATTTTTGGAAGAAACTCATGATGTTTATAAATATAGAAAAGATTATGGAGTTGAATTAGGTGATTGGTTATTAAGTAAAATCGGTATTAAATCACCAATACGTCCATGGAATGCTACTAATTTAGCAATCACTCCAATAGATGAACATCAACATCTGCTACCAGATGAAACAACTGCATTATTGGAAACTGCAGAAGCTGAAGATGTATTCCCAGAAGCTGAGCCAGAATTAGAGGTCGCCTCCATTCATAGTGATGAGGATATTGAAAGACAGCAAGAGGATCGTCAACAACAACCTACACTTCTGAGAGTACAAACATATTCAAATGCATTTACACCAAAAGTAATTGGTGTTATTACAGGTAATTTTATTATTTCATTACATAGTGTTACTTATAATGAATTTTTACCAGTTTTTTTAGCATCTAGATTTCAACCAGACCAACTTCAATTCCCATTTTTAATTACTGGAGGGTTAGGATTAGATACAAGTTATATTGGTACATTATTCTCATCAACTGGTATTATGGGGATGTTAATTGTATTAGTTTTATTTCCACTTATAACTTCAAAATTAGGTACTGTTAAAGGGTATAGATTAAGTGTATCCATTTTCCCAATTGTTTATTTCCTTGTACCATTTGCAATTTTCACTAAACATGATTATAATTCAAATTTTCCAACTTGGTTTACCCCAATATTATTATATTGTTTAACCAGTTTGAAAACATTGGCTTCAAGTACTGGTATGCCACAAGTTACTATTTTAAATCATAGGGCTGCAGAAAAGAAATATAGAGCTTATGTTAATAGTTCAGCTATGTCAATTATTAGTTTAAGTAGATTTTGTGGTCCAATCGTATTTGGTTACTTGATGTCAATTGGTGATAAATATCAAATTGGTTGGTTAATTTGGTGGATTATGAGTGGATTGGCATTAATTGGTATGATACAATCTTATTGGATAGACGAAGACGATGATGATGAGTAGAGTAAAATAGAGTAATCAAAAATAGCTGCAAAATGAAATAGAGCAAGAAAATTTCATCAATTTTTAATTTATTGTACTTTGTGTATTGAGATGGGTGATATTGTAGGTTTTGTTACACCTTGTTGATAATTTGTAACTGATTTCAACGGTTCTACCAAGAAAAAATGACCAAGTAAATGTGGGGAAAGAGAGAGAGAGAGAGAGATATAGAAAGGAAGGGTTATTATCAATTGAAAAGGTCATCTGTTGAATCGACAATAAAATCCAATGGAAATTATCAGTCCGAATGTCCACATTGTTGTTGAATCTAATTTTTGCATTCGGGTGTCGTGCGCCAGTGGATAATTTCTGCATGAAAATCTCCCAATCAGGTGTTGTTGTTGTTGTTTGTTTTGTACGACATGCAGAAAAGGTTCACGACATGAGTCAACAGGAAATGTCGCAACTATATTGGTTGATTAATACAAGCATTCATCAACTTATGCTTTGTTTTACAATCGTATAACTTTTCAAGAGAGTGGTAAGAATGATAGTAGATATTCAATGGTAAATGTAGAATACTAAATTACATATATTCAAGATATACATATAAACAGGTAGAAAATAAAACGTAAATTAAAAAAAAAATGTAAAAAAATAAACAAATGAAAATATAGTTATACATTCATCAATTGAGAAAGAAAAACCCACATATTCAAATGATTTTTAATTACTTTTTTGATTGAAGAAAGATATAAAATTTGGAATTCACTCTATGATGATAAATTATTGATTAATAAATGACATTATAAAAAAAAAAAGGAAAGGTAAATTAAGGAACAATGCAAAAACAAAAACATTCATGAAAAGAAAGAAATCAAGATTAAACAGGAAATTGTACAATAATTATAAAATGATTCAATAATAGAAAAACAACCCATTATGACTCTTCATTTTATTGGTTCTATTCCTTCAATTTTTATTCTTGTTCTTGTAATTGTTGAAGTGATGTAATGTAATGAAATGATGATGGTAAAAATTGATATTAGTTAATTATAATCTTAGAATCTTTGGTTGGATTTCTTAGCTTTAATCTTCTTTTGGATGAAAACACCAGAAATGATAAGGAAAGCACAGAAAAGCAAACAGAAAACTAAAATAACACCAGCTGGGAACATTGTAAATGATTATAGATATATAGACAGATAAGAAGAAGTAATTACTTAACTACCAAACAAAAGAAAAAACTAAGAGAAATAAAAAGAAGAAAGAAAAGAAGAAGAAGAAGAAGAAAAGGTTTTCAAAAAAATTTCAATCCAACAGGAAGGATTTGTTTGTTTTTATATATTAATAAAAAAAAAATAGCAAAAAATTTTTATTGGAACTGGTTATTAGCTTTGAGGGAATTTTTTAGTATGAGTTCGGAACTAAAGGAGTGCGCTCCCAATTGTACGCCCATTAATATACATTTATGTGGTAGTGTGCATGTGCACAATAATATCGATTCCAACATTAATAATATTCATCATCATCATCATCATCACCAGTCATATTGATGTTGATGTTGATATTGACCAGTTGGTGATGTAAAGGGAAGTATAACAGTCTAAGGAGTATATCTAATTGAGTGGTTATTGGACACCACCACCAGTACCTACATAATCCATGTTTATTCACACAACCAGCAACTTCAATGTCGATAATCTTGTTCATACATATTTTTGTTTATTTATACACAAAACATTAATTTCCTAAGCCACGAAGAAAGAAAGAAATAAAGAAAACAAAAAACCTAATACAGACCACATTTGATGTTAGTGTGTAGCAGTATAATCTAATGGATATTTGACTCATGGGTCCTTTCTTTCAAATACTAACTTATTTCACTTCAATGATGAAAACCAATTTATTTTTTTGAATTAACTAAATGGCAGTTACTTTAGAATATTCCCCCGAGATGAGATTAGAATAAACAATGTTCCTTCCTTCCCTTGTTACCTCCCCCTCCCCTCGGAAGTCTCAAATATGAAATGAGAGAATAATTATAATATATTGTCGTCATCATGATTACACTAGAATTATTTCTATTTTGTGTATTCTTACATATTTTATTTTATTTTATTTTATTCATTATCTTTTCCTAATTTTTATTTATTTTAACCTTACCTACCGCTTTCATCTATTCCCTCTTCTTACTCTTTCTTTTACTTACTATTCTTTCTTGGAAGTCAGATTCAAATGTGGAGATTGGGTCGGATATTACGGCACAATAAAGAAATATTCAAGATATTTCTTGTCTTTAATAAATCGTCATCATCATCATCAACATCATTTCGTAAATCCATATATATATATAAATTTTTAATAACTTTCTTTATAATATTCTATTATCCAGCACGTTTGATAAAAGATGCATAATTAATGTATACCCATTCTAATCTCTACTTCTTCATTCACTCATTCATTCATTCAGCCTATTATCTTCCTGTATAAACAATCCAAAAAAATCCCTCAAACTAATATTGCATCTTTCAGGAAAGCAAGTAGCCGAAACCAAAATGGAAAAATTTTTTCATTTTCATTTTCATTTTCATTTATTGCCGAACGGGCTCGGATTTGGTTCCTTAAACAAACACAAAACCGGAATAGGAAGAATAGGACATTTATTCCGAGGAATATATCGAGATACTCTTTTGATAAAAACACATTCACAGTACAATATATAAACTATTGTATTGTAATGCAAAGGGAGAATGGGGCCTTAATTCTTTATGAGTTATTTTTTTGTTTAAATCTCATGTTTATAAACTTTGACCACCTTCCCCTGATTTACTACATTGTTTTCTTATTTGGTCTAATAGTTATGACATTTTTTACAAGAGTATAGATATCAATTACCACTTCAATAACAGATCCTTGAGTTATACACCATTGGAATGGGGCATTATTAAATCTACATTGATATCAGGAATAATTCTAAGAATAGTTGATAATATTTACTATCTACATCTATCATTACATAACAATTGAATTCACTCACATATAACACAAATAAATAAACAAATAAAAAAAAACTCTAACCTAACCATCAATAAATAATAATAAACACATATATATGTGTGGGTATCCTTGGGAGTTGTGGTGTATAATAATATCAATGATTGAAGTCTTATCAATCAATTGTAACAACAAAATATCCAAGGTTTTATCAAAAAAAAAATAATATTAAACACTACTTCACCTATTAGTATCCAGGGAAGTATCAAACAACAAATCAAGTAAAGGAACAAGAATAAAAACAGTCTCCCCAATTATAAAACAATGGGGATTATATCAATTATTATGATGGAAGGAATAATGAATAATCAGTGGAGGAGTATAATAGAACATCATGGAGGGAATACAATATCGTAGACTATATTTATCAGGAAATGGGGGGAATACTATTCTAGAATTAAACAATCACATATCAATTAAGAATACAATAACAACCAGGTTGTTGTATTTAAATACAAACAAAAAAAAATTTCATAAACCATTAATTTATTAATTATATTTTCACATATCAATTATGTGAAGATCGTAGTCGTATTCCACGTCGTAGTTTTTCCCTTGTTGTAATCTCCATTGTCAGTGTTGATAAATTACGTCTTTGATAAATTATCCCCCTTGGTGATGCAGATGATGCAGATGATGATGAACGTGGTGCAGAATTTACAAATCTTGACAACTCATCATCCTTTTTGTAAACAACTCTTGGATTGTTCAAAATTTGGGACTTTCTTGGAGTTGTTGAATTATTTCTAGTTGATACTATTCTTGAACTTCTGAGAATCTTATCCTTTTTATAAGTCACATTTGATCCTGCTAAAGATGGTGAATATCTAGGTGGTTCTTCATATTGTTTGATAATTTCTTTAGCTAAATTTTCATCCTTAACTTGAATATCAACATCGATTAAATCATTTCTCTTTGGTTTCTTCTTAATAATTTTCTTCCTCTTAGGTGGTTCAATTTCAATATCTTTTCCTAAATCTAATTGATCATTGGCTCGTCCTTTAGCTCTTGCAAATGCATAAAGATTTTGTTTCCATTCTTTAGTATCATTGGAACTTTGTAATTTAACCTTGGCAATTTTACAAGATCGTGGTAAATCTTTATCTAATTCAAATATCACCGGATCTCGTTTAACATATTTAACATTTGTCAATTTCAAAGGTTTAATTTTCTTATCGCCTTCTTCTAAAATCTTCCCATTATTACATCTTTCCAATAATCCTAAAATATTCATAGATTCTCCACTTGGTATTGGGGTTGGGTTACTTGGAGTAACGCAATCCATTGATACTTCTTTACGTAATATAAAATCAATATCAACTTCTGAAAAAAATGCACATGATTGTGGTACTTCTTTAATGCCCAATTGTTCGCAAAACATTGCTCTTGTCCAAACATTACTTATTTGTAACAACAATGCTGCTTTATATTTATCATTTTCTTTAACCAAATATCGAAGTTCATCATGTACTGTAATTGCTAATCTTGCATCTTCAATTCCATATTTTTCACATAAATATTCCATAGAAATTATCAATAAATGTAAATAATCAACTCCTGAACTCTGAATTGTCCAATTAACTCTAGATGTCATATAATTATTATTCTTTAAATTCTTAACATTTAAAGCATCAGTGATTCTTGCTCCCAATACTGGAGTCTTTGGTTCATCTTGTTGAGCTATTGCTTCTAATGCATTAAACATAACTGATTCACTCCCACCATAATACAATTTGGGTTGATTATTATTAAAATGTTTGGATCGACCCGTCATTCCTTTAGTATTATCATATAATTTCTTTGCAATTTCATTAGCTTCTTTATCACTTATTGAATTGTTGAATTGTTTTAATAATCTACTGGCAAATTTAATCCCAGCTCCATAAATTCTACCATAATTAAATACTTTTGCATCATTTCTAGAAATTCCCAAAATACTTGATGTTTTACTATGTAAATCAGTTTTTTGAGACTTTTCCCCTTCTAAAGTCATCCATCCTAATGCTGTACCTCCGTGGATTTCAAACATTGAATCACCAACTAATGAAGCAATCCATAATTCTTCTGAATCAACATCAGCTCCAATAAAACAATATCCCTTTGGTGCTTCAATTAATGCTTTCAATTCAGATCCAATACGATTTTTTTTAGCATTTGATGCAGTTAACCAAGTGTTTTCTGTAGCTCTACGAGTAATTGTACCCATAGTGGCTAAATTAGGTAAAATAATCGCCATTTCTTTATGTTCTTTAATTTGTTTCTTGGTATCAAAAAATTTGGTTTTTGAAGATTGATTATAAACAACAAATTGATCCATGATTCTATTTCTATTACTTAACCAATATGATGCTTCATTATTAAGTTTCAAGATCTTACTTGCATGTTCATATTCTGATGTTAATGTACCATCTTCAAAATATCTAACATATTGTTTAGAAAGAATATGAGTGCATCTGGCTTTAGGTCCATCTGGATGAGGAACTTTAAATAAAACATAAGCTTTACCATTTGCTCTTAATGAATCTAATATATCCATTTCTTCTTCAGGTAATTGAGGTTGAATATAATTCTTTGCTTCTAATTTTTCAATAACTTCATCATCTCCATAAGGAACTTTAAAACACCATCCTTGAGAATTAACCCAAAATAAAGGATATCCTTCCCATTTTAATCGAAGTAAAAGTGGAGTTATTCTTGTTCTTAAACTTAAATTCATTTCTCTGCCACCAGTAGATTTAAATAAATCTCTATACCATTCAGGATATCCGGTTAAATAAGCTACTTTTTTAGGTAAAGTTCCATCTTTTTTCAATTTTGCTTGTTTCAATGTCCAATTTAATTGGCTTAACCAAGGATCTTGTTCATAATCTGGAATTAATTCAGATTTTTGTTGGATAACAAATTGTACTAATTCATTTGCTCTTTCTTCTAATGTACTTGTAACTTCAGTTCGATTTTTTTGATAACATGATTCTGCCGATTCAAGATATTTAGACCATTTAGTAGTTGTTGGTAAAATCAAATTACCTAAATGTCTTAAAGCAGCAAATGAAACAGGATGAGGAACTCTTGATAAAAATACTGGAAATAATTTCTTAGTAACTTCAAATGTAGCCATTACATCATTTGCACAATAATTCATTAATTTATGAAATCGATTAATTAAAAGTTGAGGATTTTCAGATTCAAAATCTTTACGATCATGTTTATCTAATTCAATATTACAATGAAAATTGGCAACATTAGCTAAAGAATTAGGTGAACCTTTTAATAACCAAGGGTCAGTTTCAATATCCATATTAACAGTAGATTCAGGGAATTCTTTCATTAAAATTTCTTGAAATTCATCATTTGTTAATTCTGAAGGATCCCAATTATTAGCAATATTGATAGATTTATTTAAAAAAGTTTCAGAATCAGGATTTGAATCTAAATCATTTGCCATTCTTTTCGATTTATTATATTTAGCCCAAGTTGGACGTTGTTGTGAACAAATCCCACTAATTGCAACATGTAATGACATACCATCGATATAAAATGCTTTTGATTGTTTAATGTTATATTCATCTAAAACTCTTGCTCTATCATAACTTACATTATATCCAACGATAACTTTCTCTTTCTTCATACAATTCATAGGAATTAAATGATTCCAATCAAGTTCATTTTTAGGCACACCATTTAAAATTTGAATCAATACAGGAGATACCCAACCATACCAAGCTTTTGAAGAAGCACAAGTTGCCATAACGGGATATTTTGAAACTTTAAATAATACTTCAACATCAAATACTAATTCATCTTCTAATGGGAATTCAACTAATTCCGGTTCTTTACCAATTTCATATCTTGTCCAACCACTTTGTAATATCCATTCTTTTTCATTTGGTTTTATTGGAATATTTCCTGATAAAAATTTCCTAGCCATGGAAAGATATGGTTCACTTGATTTTATTCCTAATTTATAAAAATGTTCATCTAATGATTTACCAACTAAATTAGGGAAATTTTGAATATTTATAGGTTCATTAATTTGAGTCTTTTTACCTAATAATTGATTTGTATCTAAATGTTTTTTAGAAATTTCTAACAATTCTTTTGATTTTGGAGTTAAATAGTCATTAGTTGAAGTAGTTGGAAATATTCTCTTGTGTAAATCATTTGATAAATATTGAATACCTAATTGGTTAACTCTTGGTTGTTCTTTAAACTGTTGTTGTGCATGTTCTTGTTTATGTAGTCGTGAAGTTGTGAATCTACAAATAGGATATCTCCTCATGAGACTCCTTCGTAGTACCAGCCGATCCTTTATCATGACTGTACGGTAGTTATTCAATATCTACTATTAATACTACCTCTTCTTCCAGTTGTGATTCAGTCTTGATCTATGAAGTCTTAAGTTTCAAAATAAAAAAAAAAAATCAGAAATTGTGCAAAAGTACACTCCCGCAATAATATCAGTGTGTGTGCGATGGATGGATAGGAAAATACACACAGATGATCTGATTTTTATTAGAGTTTTCTGTATAATGCAACAATTTCCACCAATGACGTTGACGTTGATACTCAGTAGATCAATGTGGGGTCAATTACAATGGATAAGTATTCTAACCTATATATATATATATATATATATCAACTTGTTTTTACAAGAAAAAGGGGATAGGTTTGTAGGTGTATAAACCCCCTTTCGATGTTTCACAATTTTGATATGGGCCTCATTAAAAAAGAGTAAAGATAAACATTTTGACTGTTTCATCTTGATTTACACCTAAACAAATGACCAATGTCTTTTTGGTTTAGCCTAATAGCAATTGAAACATCATTGAAAGAGAATTCAAACTGGATTCTGGAGAAATGTCGTGGTGTCACAAAACAATGTCGTATTTTCATCACAAAAGTAAGCAATTTACCAAATTCGGACACACAAGGGCGTGCACTTTTGTAAATGTATACAAAACTCACTAATTGAGTATGTGTGTTTCCCAAATTGGTAATATGTTTACAAATTGACCAAAAGAAGAAAACATAAACAATCACGTCAATTTTTTTTAACCCAACAAAAACAACACGGGGGAATTGTCAAAATAGAATCACGTTTCCCATGTCATCTGCTGTTAAACCATTGATGTGTTCTTCAATTGAGTTTGAAATTAAACCTTTGATTGCTATTAAGGCTTGTTAGTATGGTAAAATTGGTAGCAATGTGAACTCAAATGAGGTGCGTGTCCTGACCAAAAAAATCAACAACAACAACAACAACTCTATCCATTCATTAAACACTGTAATATGATGAATCGCTACTACTACTAGTAATATGAATATAGATGTAATAGCCAATGATGGTTAATATCCATCTCATTGTCTCTCTCTATGTATATAACAGAATAGCTTACATTTTGTTCATCTTCTTGCCAATTTTGTTACATTTCGAACTAAAAAAAAAAAAATTCCTTCTCTCCAATGTCACCCACACAAAGCAAAAGCGAAAGCAAAAAAAAAACATCATCATCAACAATCAACAATCAACAAAAAAAAAACAAATCTTTATAAACAAAACAACTTTTTCCCTTTTTTTACTTTTTACTTTTCTTTCTTGTTTGATTGTTTCATTTGTTAAGTGTATAACAAGAACTAGAGTGTTATTATTATTATTATTATTTAAATATGGACTTATTAAAGAAAAAAACTAAAGCTGAATTGGCTAAATTGCTGAGATCTTTAGATATTAATATCAATTCAAAAACAAGTAAAACTATATTAATTGAAAAAATTGAAGAACATGTTGAAGAAAATCCTGATGATATCGATATCATCAATAAATTTTTGAAAGGTGATGATGATAATGAATTACCTGAATCTTCTTCTTCTGATGATGATGATATTGTTGAAATTGAAGAACAAGTAGAAATTCAAAAGGAGGAAGAACAACCAGAAGACGATGATGATGAAGAAGAAGAAGAAGAGGAAGTCGAAGAAGGTGATGAAGAAGAAGAGCAAGAAGAAGAAGAAGAAGAAGAAGAAGAAGGAGAAGACGATGAAGAGAAGGAGGAACAAGATGATGATGATGAAGAAGAAGATAAAGACTATGAAGCCCCACCACCATTAAACTTGAAAGAATGGGTATTAGATCCAATAATTGCTAAATCTGAAGATGCAATTGAAACTTTCTACAATTTCACTGATTGTGTTGGTATTACTTATTTAAGAGAAAGTGAAAAATTAAGAGATCAATTATCATCAACAGTTACATTAAATTATTTACAAATTTTACTTGAATTTTTAATTTTTATTTTTAATTTTACTAAAATTGTTCCATTAAATGAAAATAAATTAATTCATCAAATTTTCTTTGATAATTTACCTTATTTATCAAATTCAACTTTACCAACTTTAGAAATTACACAATTATTCAATGGTAAATCTTTAATTACTTTATTTATTTGGATTATTTCAAGTGTTTTAATTCCTGGTTTATTATCTTATTTCATTAATTTCACTTCAAGAGTTATTGAAATTGAAGATGATGAATATTTATTTAGAATTCATAGCTTTGATCCATTTATTTTTGCATTATCAAAAATTTTAACATTTTATTTCATTGGTCAAGCTAATTCAATTGGTTTCTTACAATGTGATTGTTTAATCAGTGGTTTATTTAATAAATCTTTGATTAATCTTGGTTTATATCAAAATTATGCTACTAATTCTTTAGGTAATTTACCTTATGTTATTGGTGCTGTTAATGTTTTGATTTCAATTTATGCTCAATTTGAAGAATATTAATTTTCATCAAATCCTTGACATTTATATATAATCTTTACTTGTCGCTACCATCATCTTCAACCATCATCACCATCATCACCATCATCCTTCCCACCGTTCAACTAGTATAACTAGTACAACATACCCTGCTAGTTCAACATACCCAACTAGTCTAACTTATCCAACTTGTTTTATTTTATTTTACTTTTTTTTATATTATCAATTGTTATTTTGTTATTGTATTACCTATTATTCATTACCCTTATTCCTTATTCTTTATTCTCTTATTACCACCCATTCCTTTTTTTTACTATTTTATATATTATAAATAACTACTTTTCTGTTTGATATTGTTTTATAATAAATTTCCTTATTTCTGTTAAATTTTATCTTTAAATTAAAATGTATAATATAATTATTCAATCAATTCTTTCTTATATGACTATCTATATACATATACTAAAATAAAAATAAAAAAAAACAAATGTGAAATAAATAGTAAAAAAACGTATCATTCATTCATCATTAACATCACCAACATCAGTAGTAGTAGTAGTGATAGTACTAGTAATGTCATCATCATTTATGAACTGGCCATTTAGTTTCAATACCCATTAATTCTAAATCATTAATTAATTCATCAGGTTTAGCCATTTGTGGACCATTAAATTGTTTCATTATTTTAGCTAATATACTAGCTTCTGAATAAACAGTATCAAATTCTTTAAATAAATCATTTGTTTTAAAATTTGAATTAGATCCATTATTACTTCCTTGTTGATTACCATATCCACCACTACTTGAATATCCATTTTTATCTGAATTATTACCTGTTCTTCTACCTCCTGTTCTTCGTTTAGGTAAATTTGAAGATGATGATAATGGTCCTGGTGTTGAATTATTATTATTGGTTGTTGTTCCTGTACCACTATCACTTAAATTTGTATCTGATCCTGAAGTTAATAATTTTTCATAAATTGAACTTTGAATTATTCTCTTATTATTAGTTGATGAATTTTTATGACTTGAATTTTTATTTTTGGAGGAGGAGGATGAAGATGATGATAATGATTTACGTGATAAATCTCCAGTAATGATATTAAATTCTTCAGGTGTTATTAATGGCATAAAATCATGAATTAAAACTTGTTTATTATTATCAACTCGATCAAATTTTAATTCTGGTATAATTGTAGATGATAATTCAGATTGTTCTTGATTGGATAAATCTTGAATAATTAAATTTTTGAAAATTTCTTTAATTTCAACTGAATAATCTTTATTTGATAATCCAAGTATTAATTTATTCGATTCTTTTGAATTCAAATCAAATATATCTTTTTTATTTTTAATATAATCTTGAAACATCTTTTTTTGAAATTCAAAGAAATTTCTCAATTTTTCAAGTTTATTAATTAATACTAAATTGATAATTTTATAAATTTTATTGGAATTATTATAAAAATTTAATGAATTTTTCAATAATTCATAATTTTCAAATATTTTCAATTGAATCAATTCAACATCTCTTTGATTTTCCAATTCTTCATTGATATTTTTCAATTCTTGATCATAAATCAAATTTTTGTTAAATTCAATCTTTGAATTCTTTAAATCATCAATTCTTTTCAATAATTGATATTTTTTAATTTGAAATATTTCTTTACGATACTTCTTTTCAAATTCTTCCATAGTTTCAACTGATTTTCTTAATCCTAATCGACGTCTATCTTTATTGGTGCCTGATGCATAAGCCAATTCTTTTGATGAACTGGTGAAAAAATCATCTCGATCAATTCGATAAAGATTACTAATTGCTTCAGAAGGATATGCATAAACATCTTCAATCTCTTCTTCTCTTTTATATGTTTCACTAATTGGTTTGTTTTTGATATTACTTAACTTTCGTTGCACTTTAGTGAATTTTGGATCAGTCATATTAATTTCGAATACATTTGTAACTCCTTCTTTACCTTGATAATAATCATAATAATTGTTAATATCAATCTTCAGGAAATATTTCTTATCATCAAGTGTTCCATCTTCTTCCTCATCATCGTCTTCTTCTTCTTCACCATCTTCCTCATCTTCCTCATCATCCACATTTACCACATCTTCCTCGTCGTAGTCGTCATCATTAACATTTCTAATAATTTCATTCTTAACTTTTTTATTCATTTCATCATCAGTATCACCACCTTTCATAGTTTCGTCATCAGAGCCTTGAATTTCATTTTCGGAAACTTCTGTACTATCACCATCATCATCATCACGACTAGTGGCACGTCTTTTCTTATGATTTAATTTATCAAGTTCAAAACCTAAAATATTAAATCCTTCTTTATCAGCTTGTTGTCTCATTTCAAATAATGATCCGGCAGCACTAGCAACAACCATATCAATTCTAGGCAATTCTTCATTAGCTTCCAATAATTCATTGAAAACTTTATTAGGTAATAAATTTGCTTTATCTGAATTTAAAGGATATTTCATATAATTAGGTGGTGGGAAAGGTAATGGTAAAGCTTGAACATAAACTAAATTTTCATTATCATAATTTGGTGATTTCATAAATGGTGATACCCCTCTTGAATCATTTTTAGGTTTTCTACCTCTTTTAGGTGGTTGATTTATTCCTGTGGATGAACCATTATTTGCAATTGGTTGATTGATATTATACAAAGACTCATATTTCTTTTTAAATGAAGCTAGTGAAAATGGTAATTTATCATAATTTACAACTGGTGGTGGTGGATAAATAAATGGAATCATTATACCTCTACCATCATCTTCATCATCATAATATTCATCTTCGTCATCTTCATCCTCCTCGTCTTCATAATCGTTAGAATAATCATTATTATTATTATTATTCACTGCATCACCAGCAACTACTTCTTGTTGGTCTTGTTGCTGTTGTTGCTGTTGATGTTCTTTGGTTGTAAGAGGTTTAGATTTACGTTTGATTGTAGTTGGAGGAGGAATTGGAGGTGGAATAGGAGGAGGGAATTTTCGAAGTATACCATTAATCTGATAAGATAATCTTGGATCACTTAAATCTGTAGTTAAATCGGTAAAAAAATCAGAAACTAAATTTGGTTCATGAACAATTGGAATGATATTTTTGGGTACTGAATTTAAAACACTTTCATTCAGTGGATATTCATCAATAGAATTACTTCCTTGTTGTTGATTATCATTATTATTATTGGTAGTAAATTCAAGAATTCTTGGTGTTGAATTTGAAGATGTTTTTTGTTGTTTATTATTAAAAATCAACGCTAATTCTTCTCTTGTTGGTAGTTTAGTAGGTCTTTTAAACACAGGAATATTTGAATGATCCATTTTGTTTATGTGAATTCGATATTTAATGTTATTTTATAATAAAATGTATTTGTGTAGATGTGTGAAATGACTTAGAAGAACAATTATCGGGATTAAAATCTTTAACTTTGATTTTATGAAACAGATAATAAAATGAATGCAAAATTCGATAAATAATACAATAAACCAGCAACTTATCAATATTATTAAAAAATTATCCAACAACTGATCCTTCTTCTTGTTGTTGTCGTTGATGTTGATGTTCTTGTTTGTTCGATTAATTGATTTATGGTTGAACTTTAGTTGAATGATTTTTTTTCCCTTTTTTTTTTTTTGCAATGATAAAAATTTCTTTCTCGTTGTTTTAAATTAAACTAAATTAAAATTCAACCCAATTCGAATTCGTTTATATTATCGATTTTAACTAGTTTGGTCAAAGATATTAATGGCGGTATCACTTTAATCGATATTAACTGTTATAATTCAAGTAATCGATTTAATATATATGTCAAAAAAAATAAATAAAAAAATAGAATTTAATTACTATTCCAGTCTAATCCGCTGGTTAATCTTTTGAATACACTATTTGTTTGGATTATTCTCTAGTAGATGATAATATTAATAAACACAGTATCTCTCTATTCTATATTGACAACTATAATGTCTCCTAGAATATACTTGTAACTAGTATATTTTATACTTGAACTCAATGATCAATGAAATTAAAGAAAAAGTGTGTTGGTGAGTAGTATAGGAAAAAAGGCGTGTCCATAAGGTTAAAAAAATTAAAAATTCTTAACCAAAAAAAAAAAAAAAAAATGCTGCGAATTTGGTCGTGTCCTTGCCCATATGTATAAGTAAAGTTCTGAAGTATTTCTATTATTGACTTACATGCAAACGATCTATCCGGCAAACATAAGGGGGGGAAGGAAGACATTTCAGTTAATAATAGCATGATATTGGTTTATTAGATCAAAGAGAAGATTTGTTGGTATATAAATAAAACTCACGACGAGTCAGAATTACACCAGTGACGCAAATAACCACAATGACTATCATCAACGGTTAGATTGCCATAATGTTTTAATCAAAGTTCAAAATAACTACGTCAGCAATACCCTCAATTTAGTTTTATCTAGCAAGTGACATCTATATTGTAAGTATAGTGTGAAAATAAAAAAACAGAGGGGGGATAAAGAATCTATGCTCTCACGTGTTGAACATCGCGTGCGGCTCGAAATATGTAATGGAAATTATTGATTAATCTACAAGCGTATTACTTGGTAATCTGTAATAATAATAATAATAATAATAATAATAATAATAGAATATGTTTTATATATATTAGATTAATAAGTATATAAAAAATGAATAGACCAGATAGAATCCGAGTCTCTTCAATTTTGGTAAAATTGCTAGATTATAATCAATATAAATTTGTAAAGGTTCAGATAAATACCACGAAGATAGTAATAGAAACTGACGGCCTTTCATCTAATATGAAGCATTTTTGACTTTGGCCTACTCCTCCTATAATCTC